GACCGTTCAACATACACACTGCATCAGGTTTGTCACGACTACAGGGGCCATGGATCATGCAACTTGTCACTGTACGATATAATTGAGGCTGGGTCACAGGATCAGGCAGCTCCGCACATACAAATCGATCATAATCATTGGGTGTGTGTGGGCGCTCGCTTTCATCCAGGATCAAAAGAATGTGAACGTGTGGCAACCCTCGTTTTTGGAATTCAACAGTCGCCATGTACCCAGCAACACGGCCGAAAATGCTCGAGTCGTTAATGTGATGAAGCAGCTCATCGAGTTTCATTTTAAAGACACGGGTGCACAAATCAGGTCGATCATAAGCGTGCTGGCCAGGCTCCAGCTCGGAAGTAATCTTGGGCCATTTGGGGTTGCATGTGAAGGTGATGAAGAGAGTTGGATTACCCCGTTGACGAATGATAGCAAGGCCGTTTTGAAGCATCTGCTTCATATAGCGTGGACCACCTGTAAAGGATGACGGCAAAATAATCGACCTTCCGATTTGACGTGCGTTTACATTGTCGACAACACCGCTGTACACCTCAGCACGAATCTCGCGTTGGTGCGTCAGGATATACTGTAGGCGTGATGTCTCAATGCGTGCATAATTGTCGACTATGAGCTGCTGGAATAGTCGACCGAAATGATGGTTGTAGGTCTGATGCTCTCCGTCCCGAACCATTAGCATATATGCACAATAATCCAAAAGGGTAACTGAAACGTTGTTGCCGTCATGAGAGTCGCATCGCAATCCAAGGTACCATCCGTTATCGCCGTGTGGGAACATGAGGACGTAATGGAGGGGCATATATGATGCGTGTAGAGAGCTAATTTGCTGCAGGCCGCGCTCACGATCATGGATAACGATATCATGAGGTTGTGCCGTGCCATCTACGCTGTCTTCGACAACCATAGCTGCAACCTCCGGGTGAGCCTGCACATCATATCGTCGACCCATTTCACGCGCAGCGCGGATAACCACCTGGATAGTGCCTACGGGTTGATTACGGTATGCATCTGCTGCAGCAATGAGTGTACGTGCGAACGCGTTATGGCGCTGCATAACTGCCTGAATCGTGTTGATGATATCATTGTTTAATCCCGTGAACATTGTGCTGCGTCGAGTTGTTTGCTCTTGGGTATCGCAAAAGTAAATTTGAGCGAAATTAGCGCGTGTTGGATTGTCGGCTCTAAGTGGCCCGAGACAGTGATACATGGTGCCATTGATCCGAAAAGTTGAAACACCATTTCGTCCACTCGCCAAGTTGGGATCGTGATTGGCGCGAATGGATGCGAAAGCAAACATGCTGTTATAGGCTCGGATATTGGTGTGGAAATTGGTGGCAATAGGGTCGGATGAATCGTGATTAGTGATAAGTGATAACAGCTCTTGTGGTGGTGCGCGAGGGAGGGGTAAGCGTATCTTGCCAGAAGTACAGCAAATACCAAAGCGAGGGTTGGATACAGACGATGCAACTAAGCGCTCATCAATCCACATTTTAGCGTGACAAAAAGAGCATTCGACATTCATAGACTCGAAGATATGACGACGATAGTAGTTGTTGTTAGGCGTAAAGCAAATATTGGAGCCAAATACATTTTGAGGTACAAAAGGCACCCTGCATGCAATCTGGTATTGGGCACCATGTTCAGAGGTGACATTGCGTGAATTGAACGGGCAATTAGCGTGCGAAGAACGTCTATGGTCCGGCGATCCGCAGCTGGCACATCGGCGTGCAGGAACAGGAGGAACTTCAAAAGCTGTTGGAAGATTTACCACGCCGTCATCAGCATTGTCATGCTCAAGTATATCATCTGACATTGTCTCCTCTGCAGTTGTAGTGACAGTTAAAATGTCGTCATCAAACGTTTCCAAAGTTTCTAAATATGTCTAGTATTAATAGTAGATCTAAAAAACATGGACAGGTATAATAATAAGTATACCTTCCACCATGTTATCAAGACTATCTGGACATTCAGAATCAGAAGGGTTATTATGGGTAGTAGAGCCACAGCCAGAACAGCGGATAGGGTCAATATTCTAAACGAAAAGTGTTTGGCAACCACACAAAAGGTATAGCTCATAAGTACACAAAAAGCAGCTGAAGCTAAAGCAATTATACATCATTTTCAAAAGACAGTACGTTATTATCATCATTTTCCTCAATTCTGCGTCGAACATTACGCTCATTCAGCGGACAACCGTGGAAACTTCTTCGAGAATGGGTGGTAGACCCGCAAATGCAAGTTCGAATGGGCATTTCCGTCTGGTTTTACAGAAGTGAATTAGTACTTATACGACGAACGTTTTTGCGATCTGCAGGTGAAGCCAATTATGCCCGAGATTTTTGCTCGTCTTGGTAAATGGCGGGTAACACAACGCAACACACCTCTTCCTGATGATCTCCTTGAGAACTCATAGCTTAGCAAAATAATTGGAGATTGACAACAAATTTTTAAGTTTGAACGTGACAGTAACGCGACAAAGAGAGCGGACCCTTCAAAAGTTATGCTTAAAATGGCAACGATTTCCCAATTGGGTTGATTATCTTTTAGATTATCTAAGTACCAACTTATTTTTAATAGAAGATAAACTGGTCCCTCCGCTTCGCTTCCGGATGATGTGAGCCCCTCCGCTTCGCTGCGTGTCAGCATCTGTCCTCCAGGGACCAGTTTACTGGGGCTCTGCCCCAGACCCCGGGTGGGGGCAATGCCCCCTACCACCCCCCTTTTACCTTCAAACAATGCTGAAAATTTGTTCTGCTTGACAGGAGTGAGAATGGTGTTTTTTATAATTTTGGCCTTGAAGTCATTGTCGTCACTGCACTAAAAATGCCTAAAGGCAATACCTCTTTCAGATTAAGATTATGTAGCTGATTACTGTGTCAGTTACTCGAGTTAATGCACTCCGAACTCTCAGACGATTCATGTCCAATACCCGGGCAATCCTCGCAACTGAACAGATCGTGTTCAGTTTCTTCGTAAAATTTACAGGTCAGAATCTTAGAGGTGGGTATTGGACAATTGTTGAGGTGGAAATTCTGGGACATCATGAAAGGTGTGATTGTTGCACCCTAAACCTAGGCCGTTGTGTTCGCTCTATCATACTTACTAAAAATGTGATTGTTACACCCTAAAATAAGCACGCTTTGTTCGCTCTACCTACTAAAGATGTGACCGTACACCCTAAACAAAGCTCGCTTTGCTCGCCCTACTTACTTACCAAAGCAAAGGCCCGAAATTCTATTATTTGTTACGATCTAGATGCTTTTGCTAATATGACATTGATATTTATATTTGCAGGACGTTCCCTCCCACTGACCCTCCCATTAGGGCGCTGCCCCGCTCTAAACCCGAAGCTGTAAAAGGTGGGGCAGCGACAGCAGGAGAAGTTGGTGGAGGCGAACTGTTGATGATAGGTGCAGGTGATGGTGGCGAGGTAGTAGCTATAGGAAGTGTAGGAGGAGGATTGTCAGTAATCTTCAGCGAAAATTGCATTATCACCAAAAAATTAGTAAGTACACAGTACCGCAGTTGATAGGGTTAAGTGGGCATTCTCTATGATTACGCCTACTGCCTACGATGGGTGCTCGAGCCACAGATACAAAACGTAGGCGCAAAAGTTTTTACAAAAACGAACTATCTGTAGCTTTGTAAGCAAACAGCTGCAGCAGTAATATTCAAATACACATGGTTAAAATATGCGTTGCCTATTCTACGGAAACACTGCGAGAATGCACTGGACATGGCTCATTGCGATCCGAGCCACAGTGACAGGCATGATCGGTCGACTGCTTTGTCGAGAAATGTGCAGAAAAAAAATAGTTAGTAAATTTGTAGCTCATCTAGAGCAGTCTGTCAGAATCCCGGCTAACGGTGGAAAATGCTCAACGATTTTTACAGAAAGACCTCAAATGTCGTTGATGGCAGATGAAATCAAGTAGCACACCTCTTCGGAACTCATATTGAGAAATGCAATGTGGTAATAGTCTAGGAAGACGGCACAAAGTTGAAGTTTACCCAAGTCTCTCAGGAACGTGTAACGTTAAAAAAGCATGGCCGTTACAAAGTGAAATTTCCAAATCTGGATTTTACGCTGGGATTGAAATCGTAAGCACCCTTCCCTATTTAATAGAAGATGATGATTTTTATCATAATAATGATGATTTTTAAACCAACCAAATGTAAAGCAAATGTAAAGCAAATATGACACGATTTTGAACCGATACATTAAAGAGTCTGATGCCTTAGTAAAGGCTAATGTATTGTTGTGGAGCATAGTCGTCTATATATCACAAGTTTTCTAGTCTGTTGTTCCGTGGATTTCGGTCATATGGGCAAGTAAGCCAAAGACGAGAGACGCTCGTATTTTCGTATTAAAGTGGTGAACGGCTTCTAAATCTCGTCATATGTGCTTTTTGCAGCAGTAACATTAACGGGTAAAGAGTATCGAGAATGCGTCGCAGAACATCTTGTTGCTGTCCTGAGCGTACAATCGCTCCTCATTAAACATTTGGTTATAAGGCCCTGTCTACTACACTTGCTATGTGTATCGCTTTCTCAATTATCGATTGCATTAAGGATAAATGTGTACCAGAGCTAGCCAAGTCCATTTCCCAAAAGTATCATCACCAACTGTCGCCATCGACAGCCTGATCACCGCATTTTTTAAGTATTGTTACAAGTCAAATCTGTGAGAAACCCTCATGTACATACGTCGAGAAAGAAGCCCGTAGCAATTAATTGATATATTGAGCACCAGCAAGCTTACTACATACTAAAAATAGCTTAAGTAAAACCATTTTACTTGTCTGGGTAGGTATCATAGTATCAACGGTACATAACTTGTATATGTTGTCGGTATAAGTGGAATTATCTTATAATTGTACAAGATAATTTCGTTAAGGATAAAATGTTCTACAAATTCAACGAATTAAACAAAGAATACATACCCTGAACGGTATACCATCATCATCATTATCCGCGACTCACTATCATCTGATGCTGAGTCGCATGAATAAGGTTCTGTTACCCTTTTTTGAACCAGTTTATTCTTCAATAATGCCGTACTTTCTCGTCGCGCCCTTGCAGTGCTTCTGGAGAACTGCGTATGGATGCTCTTACGCGCAAAAACACGTTTGTTGATGAAAGGATGTGCTGGCTTTCCTTTTAAAACTACCATTTTTGGATATGTGAAACCACTTCTCAACCCACTTTTTCTGGCTTAGCGAAGCATATCGGGAGTTGCATAGCACCCTTCCGGGTTGGCGACCTTTTATTTGACAACTTCTTCCTTTTTTTGGCTCCCTTAATTTACAACGATAGAAAATGGTCGCCTCGACTTCATTAGACGTTGTTCCCGACGATCCTACAGCATACAAAACCAAAGAATATTGGGAAGAACGATATCAAAAGTGAGTACTGTTTTTTCTTCTTGATTGGCCCCACACACACTCTCTCTCGTTATATAATTATTGACATTGGGAACTTTTGATTGTGCAATTTTTTATCTCTACCGATGGGTGACGACGACGACAAAACAGCGAGACTTCCGAGACAACATTCGATTGGTTCAAGACCTACGATGAATTAAAACCGTTACTACGAGAATTTATTCCCAACCAAGACGCTTCTATCCTTATGCTCGGATGCGGTAACTCAAGTATGTCAACCAGAGAGAAAGGAAAAGAGTGACACTCAAGAGTGACATATCCGCAATATTTTCGATGCTGACCGCCACACCTTTTCTTATGATATAGCACTGGGAGAGGACATGTATAAAGACGGTTACAAGAACATTACGAACATTGATTATTCCAAGACGGTCATTGATATTATGAAGGCGCGCTGCGAGGATATGCCAGAAATGAAATGTAATGTTGACAGAGGAAAAGACTTGGGAAATCAACGGGTAGATGCCAATGTTGAGGATGTATATACACACAGACTCTGATTGCTGGGCTGCTGCATATATATTAATAAATTAGGGCTCGAAATGGATATCCGCGATCTCAAATTCCCTAATGAATCATTCGATGTTGTCATCGATAAAGGTATTTATGTACACATTTATATATCAGTGAGGAGAAGATATTGCTCGTCCTTTGTATTTAAATGTAACAATAGGTACCATGGATGCTCTCATGTGTGATCGTGGTGATGTATGGGATCCATCCGAGGAATTGATAGCAGAAGTCAAGGCGGAAGTGGATGAGGTAGTGCGCGTCACTAAACTGGGTGGTATGTTCCTGTACATCACATTCGGCCAACCACACTTCCGAAGGCGCCATCTGCAAAGAGATTGTTGGGAAATCAACATCAAAACATTGGGAGAAGCGTTCCATTACTTCTTTTATACCATGAAAAAAGAAAAGTCCACACACTAACTTATACATGTAAACTGGTTAATTTCTTAAAAAAGATAATGATAATAAATTCAAGAGACAAAAGTCATAACAGACAATATCAATGTACACGCATGCAGTATGTGAAATAGAACTGCGAATCATTCATTTGTAACCTAGTAACCAAAAATCTAGCAAACAGCAGTAACCTGGTAACGAGTAACCTGGTAACCCGAAATAGAAATTCATAGATATGAATCTACGGTCATAAGCATCGCCTCCCCACCATTATGCTATCTAGAAAGTATTGTCGGCATTATTTGGAGTGCCTTTTTCACTAATGCAACGTTAAAACGAACTGCTTTGTGAAGGAAAAGAGCCGGCCTATAAGCAGTGGGGGTTACATGAGAATATTTGATTGGATGGGGATCCTGTACCTCGAATATGTTGGGTGATGCAGCACAGCACACACATAACACGTACCCACTTCCCACGAGAAAAATGATTTTGAAGAGAGAATCGCATGCTTTTTTTTTCTCACCTTTCTTTCTCTCTCCTTTTTTTTTGCTTTCTTCCTTCTGTTGAGCTTTTTAACATGATCAACCGTCCAAACCGCGTTATCCAACAGCAAAAGTATTTCCAAGCACCTTCCCAGACGCCTCTTTGGTTGAAGGGCCCACGAGACAAGGTTTATGCTATCGTTGCGTTCGGTACCATCGGTTTCGCCTTGACTGGTGCTTTGTATGGAACCGTCAAGTATGTTTGAGCCCTTTTGTTTTAATGTATTTTGACAAGTTCAATATTCTAACCATGATACTCTAATAGGATGGCAAGAGGAGAGAAATAACCAAGCTGTGAGTCGGCCTGCTGCTACTGCTACTACTACTACTATTACAGAGACGCTAGAAAAAAAACCCCTTAACTTGTTGTTTCACAATAAAGTGCGAAATCAGGAGATTCCAAACTTGCCGTGCCCCACCCACTGATATTTTTATCCGTGCTTTTCGTTTGGAAAAAAGAATCTGTCTGAAACAACCACTATAAATCCAGCAGAGAGGAGAAGGAGATAGCATTTTGACCTACATACAATTAAAGGTGCTGTAGGGGAGGAATATTCAGAAGAAGGAAAGATAAACCTTTGTGAAATAATCGATCGCCGTTCCCTGCTTGCCGGAAGCGTATTGTAATCACCCTTATTAGCTTGTTTCCTTCATATATGCCTTCAAAAGCAACAACACGCCAAAAGCACTTTGTTTTGGCATTTACAGAAAACGGCGACTCAGAGCGAGCGCGCATTTACAATTGGCGCGTATGCTTCCGTTGACATAATTATTGCATATGGGATATTTAGCCGTGTATCAGCTGCCTAAGTAAGCGTTGGCTATACTCACTCACACACGTTTTTACTTTAGTAAACCATTCGCAGAACCTGAAAAATACGCCTTACATATAATTATCCTGAAGAGCTTTGCTACTGATAAGCAATAGTATCAGAAACTCTTTGTTTTTATGCAACAGCGACAAGCAGTAAGTTGCTCACATATGGAAAAAGAAGTCAAAGTACCAAGTAATAGATATCTTGTCTTGACGTAACGTCGGTCGAGGGTATGCAATGTTGCAATGAACGATGGCCTAGTGTTTACAAAGTTTCCAACGAAGAGCGGCAGCAGCTTTGACTATGAGGAACGCCACCTGCTGTGCGTCATCTGCGCCCGGATTCCGAGCAGCGGAACCAGCTGAAACATATTTCTCCTTCCTGCTTCATATCCCCGACTGAACAGGTCCTTGTTCGCGACAGTACTTCTCTTTTTCTTTTCATTGAACAGCACACACCACCCTTTTTTTTTTCATTACTCCAATTAAAACAGGTAAATGCCAAGCATTCGACCATTTCTCTGCTTTTAAAAAAACAAAACTGTGAAGAACTTTTGGGAAATCAAGTTGTTTCTCTATAGTAAATTGTGCTCCCTTCCCTCTCTCTCTTCCAAAAAGCTTTGACAGAATGACGACCGTACGACCCTTGAACGAAGATGAAGTCTTCAACGAGATGAAGAAAATGGTAATAGGGGCATTGGACGGCTGCTTTGTGCAAAGTAATTGGCATCTATCGAATAACGAGCAAAAAACTTAACACACACTCGAAACTGTAATTTTTTTTCCTTCTTCTAGGTTGCCTTTATTAAGCAGGAGGCGCTGGAAAAGGCCAGAGAAATCAAAGTCAAAGTAAGTGGGGTTTCCTAGCAACCTATATGCCATCAAGTGCGTAGATAATCCCTTTTTTGATATACTAACTCATGCTTGCGTTCGTGTTTTTTGTATGTAGGCAGATGAAGAATTCAACATCGAAAAGGTAAGAAGGAATACTATAGAGAGAGTGGGAGAGGGGTTGCGTGGCGAGATCCTTGTTGTTTTGAAATGCAATACTTAACATACGCAACAACAACAACATGAAACGTGTAGGCCAAAATTGTACGTCAGGAGTCGCTGAACATCGAAGCTGTCTTTGAACGTAAGATCAAGCAAGCTGAAGTCCAAAAGCGAATGTAAGTCGCCCTTGTTCTCGTTATCTACCTTTTCTGTATTTGCAACTCCTGCTACTATATACCTTCTTTTCCTCCTCTTTTACATACATATAAGAAAGCTCACGCTAAGAAATGTGTATACATCATATCTGACTTGTAGTGCTCAATCGAACCATGTTAATAAGGCTCGTCTCCGAGTCCTTCAAGAGCGTCAGCAGATCTTGGACTCGCTCTTTGAAGATACCCACAACAATATCCAAACCATCTCGAGCGACGAGGAAAGGTACACCGAGCTTATGGAAGGCTTGATCCTTCAGGGTCTTTATACAATGATGGAACCCGACGTCACTATCCGTTGCCGTGAAGCCGATGCCGAGATTGCACAGTTCGTTTCTGAGCGCGCTTCGCAAAAGTTCCAGGAAACTGTCAAGCAACAGTCGAATCTTACTGTTAGTGACGACTATTTGCCCGCTTCTAGGTATAAAGAATAGGGTGACCCAAGTGTTGCTTAGTTGAACTTCTTTTCCCCCTTACTTGTTTCGCTTGTTACTTATTGTGAGAGATATACTCTTTTTTTCTAGTGCTGGCGGTGTCATCCTTTCTGGTCTCCAGGGCAAGATTGTTGTTGATAACACTTTGGAAGCTCGCTTAGAGGTCATCAAGGAAGAGGTAACAAGAAAGAAAAAGATCTAATGCATATGTCTGTTCGTGCGTTTTTTTAACTTATACTGTCCCTTCATTAGATGCTTCCTCAAATTCGTTACACTCTCTTTGGTAACTCGCCCAGCAGAAGATTCTTCGACTAGTTTTTCTTCCTTTTTTTTCTTTGGTTTCATGGATAAAAAAAAAGACCTTGTAACAGCCCTTCCTTTCTTGAGCAGCCTGAACGATATATATTAAAGATTAGCTTGCTCTCGTCCGGGCGAGAAGTGAGAGTACCTTCATCATCAAGTGATATAGCTAATGCGCCCGTGTATGGCGTTTTTTTATGCGTTAGACGGAGTTGGGACTTGGCCGTAAAGTGAGAAATTTCAAAATGTGCAAAGTCGGATTAACATAACCACGCGATATGGGATACCTCCTTGTTTGCAGTTACTAAGCTAGTGTATACGTGATTATAACGAGTGTATGCACATGAAGCAACATACATTAGGCTTAAAGATATGTATTTCCATCCTACAGAGGTCCGATAACCATCACTTCTTTATCACGCCTACAAAGATACTCACTAATTGGATAGGATGTACAAGACAATTGCATCCATATACATAATGGATTGGAAAGATATTACTACCTTTGAACATAGTGCTTCGCCGATTACTATTACCGAGATCAGTTGTTGCTGCTTGTGGGGCTGATCAATAGTCCAATGGCTTTGTTAACGATACAAAGGTTGCCTGCCGTAGTATTTCCTGATGCCACGATGAAGGCGGTCGAACACATAAACAAGAATGATCGCTCCCAAGTACCTCAGCTTGTTAAACGAAAAAGGGTAGTCATTCTTCGTTGATACCGATGGTTCTCTACGCAATTTGGTCCTTGTAAAGTGTACAAAGAAAAAAAAAGGCCAAAAATAGGCGAAGCCAGAATTCATGTCGTTCCTTCTCGAAGGATCTGCGAAGCTTCAGTTCCCATCCGCTTTACGCGCCGAACTTTTTCTATCGTTCTTTTTCTCTTAATCCGATACAACACAACCCCTTTGCAATCCTAATAAAAATGGATCTACTCTACCGCATGCCAACCTCATTACACTGCTCTCATAAGCGCTCGCATTCCCCTTCTTCTTCATTGCAACGACAGATCTTTAAAAAGAAAAAACGGGCTCATGATCTAACCTATCCTGCGTTTCCCGAGCATTTACAACAAGCAATACCAATAGGACACGACAATATAGCACATAATAGTATGGTGTTCTTCTCTTTGATCTAACATAAAATAACAAAGAGGAAAAAGCTAATCAAATCATTTTTTTGGTAGATATCCCAATGAATATACCAAAGCAACAGACGCATAACAGCAGCAGCAGCACAAACGAGGTGATACTAATCAATGACATGGACGCATTCTTAGCCGGAGACGACGTGTACGATCTGGAGGATACAGCGAACTATACACTATTGCATGGTGACAAAAGTCGACACCTAGTGGACGTCAAGTTTAAAGATGGATCGTCGATACCAATGGAACGAAGGGCAGGCGAAAGAAGGTTGAGAATACCAGACTTTGTATTGAATGGGTAAGCTCTTTTCTTCTTCTTTGTTCAAAGTTCAGCCAGACCGTGCTGGGGGAAGAGGGGGAAAAATGTGGAATATATAACTTAGATCTATGCAACCTCTTCGTTGTTGTGTAGTAGCAACACGACAACAGCATCAACGAATCATATTGATGAAGGCAGCAGCAACCGCGCATTAATTCGGTATCAGCCGCCACTCCGGCCAAATAATACAGGGGCAAGCGAAGGAACGCGACAACAGCATCAGGACGAGGAGGTATGTAAAAAACCAAAAGTCATTGCCTAATTGCAAACCATACAACTGACTGATTGAAATTCATATTGCATTTTGCAACACATAGAATGAACGCGGTGATCGGATGATGGAATTGGATAGCAGCAGCAGCTACCACTATCATCACCTGCCACAACCTCATAACAACAGCAACGATAGCGTTAGTAGTAGTAGTAGTCGAGAAGATGAAGACAATGACACCATCATAGCAATGGAAATCGATTAAGCAAAAAGAGAAAGCGCACTCTATACATAATACGCATGAGAAATGTTCGTTGTCCTTGTTCTTACCTCTTGCATAAAAAAACCAACTGCATGCCTCAAACCCGAGCAATTTCAGTATCGACCATGATGCCCAAGCTTCCGAATCCTTGCCCTCCTAAAGCCAATTGTCAAAATACACTCCTTTAAAAGAATTTTCCTTCACCATACAAAGGATGTGTTCTTCTTTCTCTCTCATTCATCTCTTAAACAGGGACGTCCAATAAAGCACGCCCCCCACACATATCCTGCTGCCGGGTCATCATCATTATCATTAGCACAACAGAAACGAGACAATAAGGGAAAAATGTATTGCTTTGATAGTGATGGAACGTATTCACCCATATCACCACTGAAGAAGCGTCCGGTGGGACGACGTAGTTTTGTGCGTCAAATCACACAAGCAAGCATCCTGGCTGGTTTGATGGTGCTTGTATTCATGTTTGGACGCGACTTAATGTGGTCTTCATCCACCAACAGCTATACGATCGATCCTCGTGACATGGATATCGTACAATCTCTATGCAACGCGCAAAACATGACCGGTGGAAATAGTGCCTTTTTGGCAGCAGCAGCAGCAGCAACAGGTGGCGAAAACAACCAGGAAGAAGCTAGGAACAGCAACAACGAGCAAGTGCCATCCTATCTGGCATCATCCGATTTTCAACCAGACACCATGATTGCATCCGAGACGTGGCAGCATTTGCCTATCAAGGGCGCCCTGTATATGCTCGTCAGCAATGAGAATCTACAAGAAGCACGGGCAGCTATGCGTAGTGTTGAGGACCGGTTCAATCACCACTACAAGTACCCCTGGGTCCTTTTGAACAACCAAGACTTTACACCGACATTCCTAAAATACATACGCAAGGCGACTACCGACGCGCCCATTTACTTTGGCAAGATTGATGCACGGGCATGGAGTTATCCCAATTGGATTGATATTCGTTCGGCAGAAGACCATATGGATATCATGTATGCCATGAACGTCTACAGAGGAGGAAGCTTGTCTTTCCGACAATTGCTCAGGTATTTCAAAGAACGGGCCCTACAACCTCTTTAGAAATGATTGTTATTGAAATAGCTCTGATTGGGTTCTCTGTTTCTCTTTAGATATCAGTCCGGTTTATTCGTACATCACCCTCTGTTCCGCGACGTTGATTATATCTGGCGAGTTGAACCTGGATCGGAGGTCACCTGTGATATGGTTGATTATGACCCATTTGCTTATATGAAGAAATACAACAAGACACTTGGTTTGTTTACATTTCAAAATTTTCCCTTTGTGTGAGTGTGTTTTCAACAACAAATAACAAACAAATATGTCATTTTCATTTGATGGGCATAATGTTCTATCACTAGGTTTAACACTGACTATGCGAGAGTCGCATGGAGCCGTTGACAATCTATGGTCTGACACGCGACAGTTTATGGAAGCACGTCCCAAACATGTCTTGCCATACAACGAGACAATCATGTCATGGATTACAGATCAGGGCAAGGCGGATTACAACATGTGTCACTTGTGGTCCAACTTTGAAATCGTCGAGACAAGCTTTTTACGATCCAAGGCATATCAAGACTATTTTGAGTTCCTCGATCGGAAAGGTGGTTTCTTTTATGAGCGGTAAATATCAAGTACAAGAGCTTCTGGGCATTGTTGCTTTTCCAATCCTCCCAAGGTTTTGTGTATTGATGTGTATGTGTATACGTATAGATGGGGAGATAATCCAGTGCGAACGATGGCAGCAGCCATGTTCTTACCACGTAACCGGATACACTTTTTCAATCGAATCGGATACACGCATTCTGTTGCAAGCCATTGCCCCATAAACAAAGAAGATAACATTCGCTGCAGCTGCGACATGTATGAAAGCTTTGGTAAGAGTTATCGTTTGCATTTGTTTAAATTAAACAAACTACCAGCATGTGGCTCATCAGTATCAATAGATTTCCATGCCGATAGTTGTACTGCCGATTTGCTTCGGCTCTTGGATGACCCTGCTCTTCAAGAAATGGTTACATTTGCTGAAAAGCAGCTTCAGGATAGTGAATCATCAGCACCTGCTTTCGATTTAAAGGAAATCAAAAACGAAGAACACGGCACGACGCAGGATGAAACAGAGTCGATGGGCAAAACAATGGATGAATTGACAGATCAAGCGGTCGCCGTAGACTCTGCTGCATTCGTCAACGAAGACTTTATGGCTTTGTTGCAGGATGAAATGCAAAATGAAAACCTTGCTGAGCTGGCCATGGCTCAGACATCTGCTGGTGATAGACTACAGCAATTTGCGGATGAAGAAGAGGAGGATATGATGATGGCATAAAAAAAGAACAAATAATATATTATTGATGATGCCAGTATAATACCAAAAACACTTTAATTACTGTACATACAACAACATATACACGTAGGCAGGCAATCTTAGATTTCACATTTCATGACTTTAAACATACGACGTCAGAAGACATAATGTTAGCGTTGTTGAATGAAACCGGCGAATTTTTTATTTTCTTAGTTCTAGAAATCATTGCTGCCATGGCTCTGCTTCTTTTATGCTCTCCTCTACTTTATAGCAATGACGCGAGAGGTGACTCGAATCGATCTTTCCAACAACACCGAATTGTATGTCATTCAATAGTACAGAGGATAGCAAAAACATATGTGGATATTAAGGAGGAAATGCCCACTAATTTAGGTTACCCAACGATTTGCTTCAACGATTACCTGCCTGCACAACACCACTAGCACGCAAACTTGGGCATCACAGCAGCAGCAACAACAACAACAGCAACGACAGCTCTTCCAACCAACATGTCACTCAGCTTTTATTACGACGCAACGGATTCGAAGACTTGAAAAACTACAGCAAGGCGCTCCATTGCATGCGCCACCACTTGCACGAACTGTCATTACGCGAAAACAACTTTAGCTACATCCCGTTCGAGATACTGTGCCTCACCCAGCTGACGTCGTTGTCATTGGCTAGTAACCGAATCCAAGATATTCCAGAAGGCACATTATGCAGCCTGTCAAACTTGCAATGGCTCTCCTTATCGAACAATTATTTGATCCAACTTCCTAACGATCTTGCCAAATGTCATCGGCTCAAAGGACTTGATATCCACAGTAATGAATTCTCAAGTAAGGCTCCTTTTTTTCGCCCCAGTGGATTTGTTACTCCTAGAAGTTGCAGCTCACTCTGCAACTTTGTTAAGGTATACCACCTGTGATCTTTGAGCTCAAGAACCTTGAAGTTCTGTTGATCCAACGTAACCGCATCAATCAAATTCCGTCCGCTTTTCCAAATAGAGTGCACACGCTCAATCTTGGGTTTAACGCGCTCGATCACGTACCACAGACACTTGTTGATGCATTACCGACAAATTTGTCTCACTTGTACCTATCTGGCAACCCACTGCAGACCTTACCAAAAGACTTTCTTCTACAACCAACACAGCATCAGCAGCAAAAGCAGAGCAGCAATACCAAGACACAACAACAACAACGGCAGCTACAATTAACCAGTCTCGATCTGCACACATGTGGATTGACAGAGATTGCGCCGTCTTTCTTCACTTATCCAGCCGTGCGTCGTCTACAACGTCTCAACCTGGCCATTAACCAACTCAGCGCCATTCCAGACACCTTGGGTCTCTTGACCGAGTTGGAATGGCTGAATCTCAATGATAACCGCCTGTCGACACTGCCAGCTTCTATGGGCGAATTAACCAAGTTGGTGAAACTAGGGCTGGTGCAGAACCAGTTGAAATGTTTGCCACCGCGCTTGTTTAGTCGGATGCAATGTTTGCAAAAAGTCGATATTCGCCGGAATAAATTGGCCTATTTTCCGGCATCCGTGTTGGCACTTGCACCGCTCACTGAAGCTATTGCGGTCGAAGAGGTCGGCGTGCCGCTTGCTGTATTTCATGTCGTTGTGCCGTCACCAGGGGGAGCAGCACAGTCGTACTGTCCACCTTCATGTCCTGTATGGAGCAGCCGCCACCAGCGTACAACTACCAATGAAAACAATGATGGTGATAAGTCCAGAAGCAGCAGCAATAGCGAGGGAGGTGGTGGTGCCCTCCGCACCATGCTGTTTTATGAAAATCCGTCCATGGATCATAGTACTGGTATTCTGTACAGCAACAAGACAATACTGACTCTTGATTATGCTGACACGTTATTGGAACAAGGAGCAGACTTGCATACATCGCTTGATTGGCCACAGACGACAACAACTTGCATGACGAGTAAAACCGAAGTAGCACGTGAGCTACCATCGTGTACTATTACGACCGACGACGATTCCTCATCTTCTGCTGTTTCTTCCCAGGTTCTTTCTCTACGCGAAATTGCTGTCCGTATCCTTCTCGCTACACACAACAAACCACCATCCCCGTTTTCTGGACCTCCTACTGCCGTTTTCTGCTTTGAGCACATGACGGAAAAACACTCTACACCACGTCTGATTGATGCTTTTCCTAAAGAACGACAAGCGTTTCTTGACAAGGTAGCATCACCAAACCTTGTTCCGGAGCATATACGGCAGTATATCCGTCAAGACTCCATGCGTCAATGCGATCACTGTGGTAAATGGTTCAGCGACTCGCCCTTTGAAATCGGGTATATGGCTCGAATGTGTATGGAACGCGTCCGTGTACCAATCCGGTTTAGCATTTGTTCCCGAGCTTGTGCTCTCAACGCGGTTGTACAGCTGCATACTGCGTCAAAGGGATGGCGCACAGTGGCATTGCCTGTGCAACAATTGGAGCATGAGGACATGGCTATTGAGGATACACAAGCGCCAGCATTACAGGAAGAAGTCCAGTTACATGTCACAAATAGAGTAACAGGTAACAATTTTCTTCGTCTGCGTAAAAAAAGATCAAGTGATCAGCTAACATAATCAATTATTTGTTGTTAACCTTTTTTAATTTAAACTTTAAGGATGGAAACAACTTGTTCGTCAAGGTTTCTACCGACTTTTCAAGCCTTTCCAACGATACAGCCATCATCACTACCAGCAACAACAACAACAGCAGCAGCATCACCAGTACAACAATGATAGCGTAGATCCGCCAGCGTTGATCACAGTTACTAGACAACCCATCCATACATCCAATCCGCGAACAACCGCATTCAACCATCTTCCACGAGATGCTATACGATTGGAGCGATTCTGATAGTAGTTTTATTTGAAATAATAAAAGGCCTTATGTAAATCTGATAGTAATGATATAAAGGTTGTCACTTTGTTGCGGAGAAAAGGTGTTAGCAAAGGGAAAAGAAGAAGAGGGGATTATCATAGTTACACAGACATCTTCTTTTTCCTCTTCCTAGAATGCATAATAGTATGTTTGTGTTCTTGGTATAGGAGGAGAAATAAAAAGTGTTGCTTAGCCAGCCCTGCTGACTAGATTACAAGAAGGTAGAAAATATTTAACAGAAAGAAGAAGAGTTATGTTGTTAAAAAGGGGAAGTAGGTGAAAAGGTCGAATAGCGAATGGAGAAGAATTAAGAAAAACTAATATATTATGCTGCTACCGTGTGTTCCTTTACAAGCAATGCCCCTTTTCTAGGCACCAAGTTTCTCATCCTTGGTGTAAGAAACATCATCATGTTGTTCGTGATGAAGTTCTTCAACCTTGTTAGCACCACCGAACAACTTGTCCATCTCTTCGAGAGGGACACCCTTGGTCTCAGGGTAGAAGCGCCATACGAGGAATGCTAGGACAAAGTTGACGCCCATCCATACATAGAATGCATAGAAATCCATGCCGGTGAACATGGGTGGGAACACCTGGGCCATAATCAAGTTGGAAGCGTTTTGGGTGTTGGTACAGATGGAGACGGCCGTACCGCGAACACTCATTGGGAAGATTTCTGAAGTGTAGATCCAGACGGTGGCGCCCCAACCGGGTTTGTAGAAAAAGGTAAACAGGAACATGACCAAACAGAGTGCAGCACCAACGCCGAGCGATTTTGAAATGGATGTGCTGCCATCTTCAGCAATAGTAATGATGTCTGGTGTAGTGATATAGACGGTAGCAGCAATCAAAAGCATAATGCCTTGACCAATGCCGGCGATAATAAGCATCGTCGTACGGCCCATGCGGTCAGACAAGAAGGTGCAGGTCAAGGTGAACAGAATACCGAAGGTGTAGGTTAAGGCGTTGATCAAAAGAACAGTCGAGGCGCTGTCAAACACTCTTTCGTACACTTTGGTCGAGTAGTTGTTCATCATGGATTGACCGGTGATTTGCTGACCAAAGTTGATAATCATGCCGAGAACTGCAAGATTAATTCCGAGTTAGGATTGATCCTTACTTAGTTTTGACAGCTGCAACGAATAACAACAGACGTATGTATCTACTAGTATACAGGAGCTTGGCACTTACTCATCCGTTTACGAATGGTTTTTTCAATCCACAAGTCCTTGAGCGAATTACTGGTATGCTTTTGCTCCCATTCAATGGCAGCTTTGATCTGTAAGAAGTAAAATATATGGGTTAGTACAGCCTAAATAGGTCGAAATACTGTGCCGTACACAGAAGATACAATCACGTACTTCATTGAGTTCTTGATCAACTTGTTCAGGTTCGCGCACACGAGCAATGGCACGTCGAGCCTTTTCTTCTTTTCCTTTTTGAACGAGCCAACGCGGTGATTCAGGACAAAAGAAAATGGCGACGGCACAAGCAAGAGGGATAGCAGCTTGGATCAAAGTGATGGACTTCCACTGCCAGTCGCCTAGCCATGGAGATCGTTGTGTTCCGAGTGCAGAGTATGAGGTGACAAGAGCACCAACAGAGTACCTGTTTTCCAAAAAATGAGAGAGTTGTATGTGTTCATGTGAGTTTCACAAATGTGTTTTCGGTGTAACGTTGTATAAAGAATCAAGAAAAAAGAAAACGTACATCATTTGCCAGAAAGAAAGCATTCGACCGCGGATCTCGGGAGGTGTGATTTCACTCATAAAGACAGGACCAGCTGGCAAGGCAATACCTTGACCGAGACCAAGGACAATTCTTCCACCAATGAATGCTATGTAGCAGAAGAAGCGAATGGATGATTAATCTTACAGGAGAACCATTTTACTAACACAAGCTTTTTATGCTCCTTTTGGCAAATTATAAGAGTCTAATTGTGTGCTGGGACTTACTTTCAACGTTGCTTGAGAATGCTAGTAGAAATAAAAATTAAGTAAGTAATAAGATTTTTGCTACCAGCAAACCATATGGCATACACTAACTTTGAACCAAGGAAGCAACAATGACCACGACACATCCTGTAAATATAGATGCACGACGACCGAGGTAATTTGTGATAAAAGGCGAGATGAAGAGACCAGCAAAAATTGTTGCTGCCATGTAACTGGAAGTGACAGCACCAATCAGATTCTGATCTTCCGGGGCATTATTGTCCAAGTCCATGTCATTCATGAATCGTGGAATACCCTGTAAGTTGTTGAAGACGGCTGCATATTCAAGTATCATTTATGCTCGTTAGTCTATCTGACGCTGACATATCGTTTTATGATTATAACTCACATGCGTCGAATCCATTGATAAACATGCACAGGGATGCAGTTATACCGTAACAGTATGTATGAAACCGTTTCTTGGTCATCAACTGCATTTTCGTTAACTAGTACTGCCTGTTACGGGTGATCGGTCGACTGACAAAGGAAGCAAGAGTAGTAAAAGAAAGAGAAGAGGAAGAAGTCAAAGAAGCTAAAGAAGAAAGAGAAAGAAATGAAAAAGACCAAGGTACTTTTTTTCAGATCCTCTCAATGGTGCGTTTGCTTTTATAACCTTTTTTTTCCTTGTGTGTGCAAAAAAAAAGAAAGAGAGTTCGTTGTAATACGTTTTCTTTTGGCTTGCGGCCGATTACTTGCAAATCAGAAAGTGGTTCACATTACTCGTTTATTCACCCGAAATACAGACTCGATCCTGTTCTCTTTAATCGGCTTAATAAAGTTCTTTTTACTTGCATTGGTGCACCACACAGCACCCCATGGGGAAAAGACGCGGACGGACATTATGGGGAAATGTCCAAATACTTCCTATTGTCCGACTTATTCGCCCGACCATAATCATCAGCATCATCATCATCATTAGCAGCAGCAGCAGCAGCACACTCACGTAGCATTTATGATTAGTTGCTGCATGAATTATAACCTCTTTTCCGTCACCGGTCCGGGGTATATTGCCTTTCTTTTCACCTTTCTCTCTTTATTTTCGCTTTCTTTTTTCCCTGAGAAAGTCGCTATCTCTACTGCAACATTACTTCTCCTGACTCTTTTATACAGTAGCGAAGTATGACTACCAGTAACTACAGCAACCCTATTATTTCGGGATTCAACCCAGATCCTTCTATTTGTCGTGTTGGTAACGACTTCTACCTGGTGACTAGCACCTTCCAGTTTTTCCCGGGCGTACCCATCTACCATTCGCAAGACCTGGCGAATTGGACTCAGATTGGTAATTGTTTTTAGAGTAGTAGCTTGTAGTAGTGTGTCTTTACTGAAATACAACAATCAACACATATCGTACAATGGAAAAATTAAAAGGCAACGTCTTGAGCCGCCCGGAACAACTCGCGGATCTTGACAAGACGCTCGTAAATGGCGGTATTTGGGCACCGACAATTCGGTACCATAAAGGCACCTATTACATGATCACCACCATGGTATTCACCGACAAACCTCACTTGGACTTTTCTCGTTGGCGTAATTTCTTTGTGACAGCCACGAATCCTGCTGGACCATGGTCTGATCCTGTCTTTTTCGATTATCCTGGCTACGACCCGTCGTTCACCTTTGATGATGAGAACGATGGTCAGGTCTATGTCCAAGGCTCGTTTTACCATCGTATTCGTAAAGAGATTTCGCAAAGTAAGATTGATGTCAAGACCGGCGAAACTGATCCCCCGCATCGCATTTGGTCAGGCACCGGCGAAAAGGCGCCAGAAGCACCCCACATTCTTTACAAGAATGGATGGTACTACTTGATTATTGCAGAAGGTACAGTTTGCTTTTTCTGACAAGAACTACTATCACCATTATGTTTTCTTGTTGTAGTCCATATACACACATAGAACATCTAAATAATGAATTATTTAACTGGAACGCAACCACAAACATACACACACACTAGCGTACAGTAATTGTTTTGATTATGGGAATAACCACTCAATTGTTTTACATACTTAACTTTATAGGTGGTACAGAGCTTGGTCATCGTGTCACAATGGCTCGGTCCAGAAATATCGACGCGGATGAACAAGACTGGGAAGCATGTCCAACAAATCCAATAATTACACATTTTGATCTGCCAGACGAGCTAGTGCAGTGTGTAGGCCACGCGGATCTGTTTCAGAATACAGATGGTCAGTGGCACATGGTCTTGCTGGCATCAAGAGCTTACGACTGCGACCATTTTCCCATGGGCCGCGAAACATTTTTGGTACCTGTCAATTGGGATGGCGACTGGCCAATGGTTCAGAGACCGATCAAGGCAGTTTCTGCGGATTCCTTTGCCAAAAGTACTGATCTGTGTCCATTTGGAGCTGTTTCTCAAGACGGCGGTGATGATAGCAGCAGCAGCAGCAAGAACAACTACCAATGGGCTTTGAACTGGCTTTGGCTGCGTCTACCGGACAAATCAAAGTATCACTTAATCGACACGACTCAATGCGTTCTCACTGGATCAGCTGCTCTGCTCGATGATCCAAAAATTTCTCCCACTCTCGTTGGCCTGCGCCAAGGCCACGTCAAATGTCGAGTCACAGTTGAGTTGAGCAACATTCAACGTGATAGCGCAACGGCTGGTTTGACGGCGTATCTAGATTGCCACCATTATCACGCCATGGCTGTAAAGCATACTACTGACGGTCATCTCAGATTGAATCACATTAAAGCAGCAGCATTGTCTTCCGCTCCTTCTAACACAGCAACAACAACGACAGCAGCAGGTGATGAAGATGGTGGTGTTACTCTGCCTTCAGCCAGCAGCGACGACAAGGTTACATTAGCCATCGAAACGAACGAAACCGAATTCTATTTCGAGTACAAGCAAGAAGCAAAGGGAAAATGGCACCGTTTGGCCACAGTGAGCAGCAAGGAGCTGTCCACCGGATTTACAGGTAACACAACGCATACGCAGCCCAAAAAAAAACAACAGCAGCAATAAGTAAATGTAGAAAAGGATAATAATCGTGGACAATAGGAGTAATTTTCGGCCTTTTTGTTACTGGTGACGGGAGCGCTCAGTATGGAAACTTCAACTATCAGGTGCTTTGATTTATTTTGGTGTGCGAAAAAAGAGTCATTACTGAGTAGACTGGCGCTGCTATCTTCTTCTTGATGTTAGTATAGCTTAGTACAATTTTATAATAAAATAAGAAGCACAAAGGGTATATTGCCTATATATGTCTATCGAGCTTCCTGATCCGGAAATGGCATGTGAAAAGCAACTTGAGGTGCCACGCTTTTGTGGTTATGAAATTGCAAAAGGAATGGTGTCCATGGGAAAAAGTTAGACCCAGTTTTCTTGTTGCAACTTGTAGCAGCAGAACTATGTAACAGCCGCAATAGCGTGCTGCTTCTGCTGCAAACTGGCGTAGGAGAAATAGAAAACGGCCGAGCCGACCTACTGGCTTGACATGCTATTCATGCTTACGACGCCTTTTTTATTTTAAGCCATACCCCCGAAATATCATCAATACTCTCACACACACATACCTAGTCGCGAATCAGCACGCTTCTCTCGGGCCAATTTTTGATCTTGCCCGCCGCTACAGCTTAATTGCCGCCGCATAGTTGTTGCCATCCTGTATCGTCGTAGTCAAGGGTCATACAGTATTTTAATTCGGCGAATTGAAACTGTCCTAATAACACGTCTTCTTAAACCATTGACCATACTCCATTCCCCACGTCATTCCAAACTTGATAAGCAAAACAAAAGAACGCGCTGCTCCGTATTGTTTTTATGTTTTTGATCCGAGATCAGATATGCTAAATTATGTATCCAAACAGTAGCTTTACTATGCAAAACGGAAAAGAAAAATGTTTAGGTTGTCATCTCTTCTCATTTCCGTCGTGATATTTTGCTTCTTAATCTCACTTGACATTTCGATGTGACCCGCGTATAATATCTGTCGCGATACCTACTTATCGACTTAGTGTTGCGCCAAGGCTTTTTTATACAAAGCGGTGTTGTTGCCATTGTACTGGGCTCCGTCCATACTGTCGGTGATAACACCGCGTTCGCCTGATCTATCGCAAAGTAAAAAAAGCAGATAGCGCTGGTCAAGTACTCGTCAATGGTGCAAACTTTATTCCATATGTTGTTTGCAAGCGCCTTTTTTAGTCTTGTGCAGCTCAGACAGTTTGCGGCAGCCAGGAAAGTCAGGGGCACATGCACTGAAAGTACAGCGAGTTTAGGAAGCGAGACGCGGTTGAGCTTTTCTCGGTTATAGCTCGTGTTTTTCTATCTCGTCCAAGTTTTTCCACTGCTGTTGCTTTGTTGTTATTGCGGTTCTTGTCCCTTTTTTTATGTGCTTCGTGGACAAAGTTTGCTTGTTCACCGACCTTGCATTGGTGATGATATCGTAGCAGTCATCTCCTAATAGCATTTTTACACTAATCGAAGCACCCGGTGCTCTTAATCAAGGTTGCCCAGATCATACATTTTTTGGTGCCTAAATAATTAGGAAGAAGTTTTTAAAAAGTCATGTTAAGTATCCGACGACGAACCATTTGCGCGAGATACTCAACAAGCGTTGGCTATTACATGATACAAGAAAAAATGAGCAACTGGTGCACTATGAATATCTCATATATACAAAAGTACAAGTACACATAGTGATAATGCGATTATGAATACCTTTCCTAAGTTAAGCGGGTATGTAAGAGTGATTCTACATAAAGCCGTCATAAAAAAACGTACAGTATTGTGCTGGCCTTACTGGCGCCGCAGCAACATCCGTGATGTTTAAGGCTCTGTTGCTGATGCAGAATAGCTGTTTAAATACTCATTCCTGTAGAGTAGCATGGTATCAGCAGAAAAAGAAACAACAGAATCCTACTTTGGAAGCATCTCAATGCAATACAACCTTCCTTACTGAGTTTCATAGCATGAGTATTAGAAGGGTGCTAAAGAAGAAGTTCTCGTTGTGTAGTTAAACAATATCTATTGTGTACGTAAAATCTGGGCTTTCTTTAAAGTCCTTGTCTGTTCAACTATCACCAAGATGCTTTTATGTTGTTTGTACTAGGTGGCATACATCGTAAAAGTGATCTAGATACCAATAAATTGTATTTATTGAGGCCCAGATGATGACAATGCAAAAAAAAAAAAAATCCTCACGTCGAGGCGCTAATGTTTAGACAGGCTCGGGCTGAAGCTACAGGTATCGTGATCGTCATGGCCAGTTGAAGTACCCAGATCACGTAGAAGGATGCATCAGATGCATGTCTTAGTAAGTCAATGAGGTGAGATACTTTCAGAGATATGTTTCTGATTATTAATAGCCAAACTACTGCAGTGTGTATGTTATCATTGTTACATAATACAAAGGGGTTGTAGAAGAATTTACATTACAGATGGTCTTCTATAGACAATACTGCTGTTTATATTAAATACATAAAATAATTCGACTCTCAGAGAATCAAATTATCAAGGTGCTCAAAAAGTTGCAACAAGCACATACGATCTTCCTATTAATTCATCTACTGAGCCACGGTTTTTTAATAATAAAGTAAAGAGGGTCGAGATTCTCAAACGAAAATGACGCGTGGAAAGTTGTGTATGACTCCAATAACAGCCGGGCATCGAAAGCAATTGCACGTCAACAATGACAGGGAGAGTTGTATGTATGCACAAAAAAATTCTTTCGCGTGTGCAAAAAAAGGAAATAAACGATATGTACATACCAGATCATTGTCTTTTTACCTTATTTTCTTTTTGGCGGGTTACAGTAGTCTGTATAAGTGACGTACAATCAAAAATAGGGGCGTTAAGGAGAAAGGGGAGAGGTTGATGGAAATAGAAAATAGTAGCATGTAAGGGGGTGGCAACGTCAAAGAGGTTATTGTTGTTGTGGTTTTTATTATGTATTATAATGGTTTGCACACAATGTCAACGAGCGTTTGGAAGGAAGGAAGGAAGAAAGGAATCTTAGAAAGAAGAGCCCTTGCAGGTTGATTAAAGGATTATAAATAGCACTCGGTTACGTTCAAAGTTGTCGTGGCAGAAGAGCTCAAAGCCAAAGAGAAAATGGGAAAAGGAAAAAAACAACATCATGAGGGTATCATGGTAACATGGCAAAGCAACTATTCATATACCAGACACAATCAAGGTCTTCATTGTTTGTTCTCTTCTGTCAAGAATTGACTATATAAGCCGATACCGATACGCGTCTTGCTGCTTTTTATTTAAAAGGAGAGCCATAAAGAAACTCACAACGTATCATACCCATTGCTTTATCCAAAACTTCATAAAGGAATACACTTCAATAGACTTGTGTGTTTTTCTGTTATTTCTCATCTCACGCTCCTTGTCAAAGTGTGTATTTTTCCGTTCTATCTATCTCCACCTTTGTCCACTTCACGTTTTTTTTTTGATATCACTACTATCTCACACTCGAGCACATACGAGCATCAGAACAAAGCATAACCAGAAAGTACGTGAAGGAACGTCTGAATAATGAGCCTTAAATGTCGTGTTTGCGGTAAAGAGCTACCAGAATACGATCAACGTGGGTTCCGCAATGCAGGTTTTACAGCACACCAGAACCGGTGCATCGAGCGTGAGCGTGAACGACGCGAAGGAGTCACTCGACCGCCGCAACGTGCTCACACGATGAACATGCCTCGCAGACTGCTCCCAGCATCGTCGTCGTCCCCTTTTTTCAATTACTGGCGCCCTGTCTCATCGCGACGTCGCAGACATTCGGCATTATCTGGCACTTTACAACAGACCCCTGCATCATCCTCCTCATCACCACCCTCGCTTTCTCCACAACAATTGGGTTCATCCTCTTCTTCTTCGGAAGCCTTTTTTGTCGGGTCGCCTCCTCTTCATCAATCACCTCCTCTACATCCCTTAACAGCAACATCTCAACAACATCTACTGTATCAACAACGTCAGCTAACGCCACCTCAGACAGCACCGCAAGCTTCATCGGCAACATCAGTAGCATCCTATCCACTACTGCCACCCACAGCAACGGTGCTACCCGTAGCAACGGCTCATCATCCAATGCAACAGCCCCCTTTAGTTTCATCGGACTCTTTGTCACAGGCTCAATGTGCACCATCACCACCACAACAGCTAGAACAACAACAACAGCAGCAGCAGCAACGCACCATGATGACGACGGTGACGACGGCGGCGACGACCATCCTCAATAATAGCCCCATGTCACCACTATTAACAGCAACAGCACCACCACCACCACCGCCACCACTAATAATACCGACTGCATCAGCTCTTCAATATTCTTCGTCTCTACTACCAACACCATCTGACCTGCAGGTGCAATCGAGAACATCTATCGAATATTTTCCTGTCCAACACTGTGATTACTGCGTCCCACAAGGCGGGCTGCATGATCCTAATTGCTATCTATTGCAGTTTGCTACTGGCGCAGCTACCAGAGCGCCGCACGGCCCATCATCATCTGCTCCCTATTGAAAATCCCTCCTTTTCTATATCTCCACTGCTTATTGTTATCATTATGTTCTTTTTTTCCTTTCACTTTACTTTATAGTGACTGTAGTAGTATGAATGTACTTCTCCAACCGTTTTTTGTGTTCTTGTTACGTATATTCTATGCCCCCCTCTCTTACCCCTTTCTTTGTTTTTCTTTCTTTATGCTTTTATACATTATGATGTACTTCTATATGCGGACAAACCACCAACACTACAAACCATCATCATCATTCTTTTTCTCTGATCCTCCTTCATTTTTTGAGGGGTACTTGAATATGCAAGCTTTTTACAAATATGGATACGAGCCTAACTTAGATACCTCACATCACGCACTTATGCAAGAGTTACATTATTAAACATAATTAGATTGCTATTAATATATCGTTTTTTTTTTTGGCTTTATAACAAAAAAGTAATTAGAATATATAAAAAAAATATGCAGAAAGCTTTTTTCTTTCCAGTTTTTTTGTCAGGATGAAAACCAGCATCCTGGATGCACAAATTGGGGTTGGTGATAAAAGGGATGGGAAATGATGATGATGGATGTTGGGAAACAAATTATATGACGATGACGATGATGATGATGAGAATAATAATGGTAAGAGATAATAATAGTAATAATAATAATAATGATGAGTATATATCTAGTGACGATCATTTTGTTTGAAGGTTTTGCATTTTTCTTTTATGGCTCGTCGACGTTGGCATTGACGTTGACGTTGTCGTTATCGTTGTTGCTGTTATTATTATTTTGATGCTGGTGTTGACGCCGAGTATGGTTGTTCTCAAGTTGATCCTTGCCGACACTGCCATCGACATGATGATGGGTGTTTTCATCATACTCTTCTTTAAGAATAGGTGGCGTCTGTTGAATAGGCGTACGGGGTCCGCTCGACATGGATGCATAATCCGAAGCATCATCGTCATCATCATTATCATCATCCGGGATGGTATCTAAAGGAGGCGATGCCTTGCCCACAGCGCCAGGATCAAGTCCAATTCCATCCAACACCACAGGCAAAGCCCCCATTCTACGATAATATGAGTGAATATCCTCTTAAGGTTTGTAATTGAAAAACTGGAGAAATGAAGTTCTTACCGAGAATAAAACATTTGAAGACGAAGGCGAATGTTCTCAGTATAGAGGTCATCAATTTCCCGGTCAGCATAGAATCCCTTTTGGACATTACGAATAAATACATAGAATTCGCATACAGCAACGAGTCGGTCTCTGCAGTATTGATCAATCGCTGCCCAATCGTCTGACTCGTCCAGTCTAAATCGGTATAAAAGTGACCCTTGCTGATCAGCGGGTCTGCCACATGCCGAACATTGTTGATGATGCTGAGAATGATTGTTATTGCTGTTGTTGTTGCTGCTCGACGAGGAGAATCGCTCCCACAAGGGTCGAGTCATCACTGCTGAAGGTAAAACATTGGTGTTGATCGTCATTGTCTTTTGCGATTCCTCGTCAAGTTGTTCAATGAAACAGGGTTGTCGTGACAAATACTCGTTCATCTTTTTGACCGACAAGCGGGAATGTGGACCGAATCGTAGACATGGTTCGACGTCTTCTTGCTGACAGACTTTCATGTACATAAACTGATTTAACTTTTTAAAGGGGGTATTTGGTGATGCTCGAACAAATTCACGAAACGCTTCCAGCTGGATCTGATCAATTGACATTTGTTTCTTTTGTTGTTGTTGCTGAGTAACCGAAGGTAACGGTGGCATTGACGTGGTGCGTTGTTGTAGTTGCTGCTGTTGCTCGCCGTTGGCACCGTGGCCACCACCAGCGCGCTTAATTTTGCTGTAGTACATGTGATGATTATTGGCGCTAGCACGCTTACAATTATATAGCTGTTGCAGATCATGTCTAGCGCGTGCCATATTGGGATCCGTGTTCGTCACACCGTTGTCACCATTACCACTATTATCGTCATGTTGCTGATGCTGAGGAAGCTGCTCTATGCGTTCGCGTAATTCTTGCAACTGGCTCTGTTCCGCTATTAAATGTTCTTGAGTGTGTCGCAACTGTTGCTCTAACAAGTATCGTTGACGTTTTTCTTCTGCGACCATGCCGTTGGCTTCTTCAAACAAGCGTGTCGATAACTCTTCAAGCTCGTGTTCCACGAGTGCTTTTTCATGTTGGACGTCCGCCACCCGTTCGATTTGGGCCACATATTTTCTGTTCAATGTGTGAATGTCTTGTTGTAATCGTTCGAATGCTTCGTCTTTGGCTTTTAATTCAGTGCGTAATTGTTCAATCGTTTTAGCTTGTTGTGCAAGCTTGTGTCGGCAGTGCGTGCAATCGTCGTTGTCGTCGTTGGTCGTCGTTGTCGTTGACGATGTTGTTGTTAATGATTCCATTAAGAGAATAGTTGCTGTTGGTAATTAAATAAAGGAATGTTATAGGGGTTACTTTTGTCTTGGTGAAAATGTAGGGTTTTTTTTAGAAATGAATAAAAAATATTGAAGGAAAAGTAAAGAAAACGAAAGACTAAGGGAGAGAGAAAGATAGAGATAGATGTAGATGACAAGAGAGAAGGAGAGGGGTGTGACGATAGAGAGTAAACGAAAAAAAGGAGTTTTTTTGGTGGTATATTGAAACAGAGAGAGAAGGTCTGGCTGGCTGGAGGAAGGAAGAAAAAGGGAGGGAGGTTTGGTGATGGGGAGTGGAGATTAGACTATTTTTACCCTTGTCTGTTCGTGTATTAAGGTGATGAAAACGGAGCACGTTTTCGTCTTGAATTGGCCAAGGCTTTTTCTTTACTCTACTTTTTTTTTTTTTGGTACTTTACCAAAACGTGAAGATACATCTCCGGAAAAAAAAAGTAAGTAACAGTCAGGATTCTAATCAGCGTTTATCTATCGGCGGTGGATGTTGATGATCTTCTTACTTTCACATATATACATGAGTGCGTGGCATTATCATAAAGGGGGAACGCCACGAGGACGTGAATGAAATGGGGGATAACTAATTGCATTACGAATGTACTACATAACCGCTGAGATTGACAGTTCGGGAGATCCCATGGCCTCTTCTTTTTTCATACATTTTAGCTGAAACATTCGGTTGTAGCACAAGAAAGTTTTCGTGTTCACCATCTGTCTGGTAGTGCCTGTTTATAACAACCGTAGTACAACGGTCTAAGAACCTTTGCTGCTTTCAATAGAATCGTAGAAATTAGTCTCTGTTCTATATTGCTCTCGCGTTTATATATCTGATCAAATTAGTTTTAAATAAATAAAACGTAAATGTATCGCTTGGCATCATAATAAAAAGAATGTTCGATAATATTTGTTGTCGTAGGAACGAGCAAAAAGACACATCCACAGAGCAACTAGCAGTTTGATTGAACAACCACCCATCAGAGCTAATGGAACATAATACTGTAAGCATATTTTCCCTATCGCGAGCCACTTTACAGTTCAATGGACCATAGCAACCAAAACACGTAGCTAGTAGAGTGATTTTGATATAGCAACAAATTGATTTTAGCAACACCGGCCGGGAGAGGGAGAGGGAGGGAAGCTATAATTGTCCGTAGCAGCAAACTAACCCTCTTCTCAGCAACAGGGTGCGGAACCATTGCTTTCCATAGCAACATACCGATACTCTATAGCAACAAACCTCGGCAACAGGAGAATTAAGCTTTTTCCGTAGCAACAGACTAACAAAGTTCTAACATATTCCGCTCGAATAATGCAAAATTGAGGTTACATACTGATTTTCCATAACAAAACATTAGCTCAAGCAAATGTATACCATCTTTCATGCATGATATCCTTTCGAAGATTGTGTTGATTTTTATATATTTTCACCCAATATCCATGATTGTTTGTTTTGCATAGATTGTGATTTAGGAACAAACAAAATAAACCGACGTATAACGCAGACCTCGTTTTTATATACATTGGGCAATTGAACTAATAATAAGCGAAGATACCACCAATCCATGCTTTTTGAGGTGTATACGTTGCGAGACAGCCGACATTGACATAAAATAAAAATCAAGTTATCTAGGCACTCGAGTAATGTCATGATTTATGGAATATTTGCATTGACGATTATCACATCATGATTTAATACGTCTTGTGTGCCCCCATCCAGTAATAGAAAACTGGGCCACATTATAATCTTTTAGCATGAATGTTTAATTCCTGTATTGAGACTATTCATGGAACGCATTTATTTGCATACGATATAGCATGCAGGGCGTATGCATCAGCATCAGCATATACGTTTCTTTTTTGTAATTTTCTTTCTTATATTGCAAATACCAATACCGCCGTTATTTTTCTTCGTGGGTTAATACAAATGTGATGAAGGGATATATGAGAAGGTAGAAATTTACAGATATTACATGTATAAAAGGGACAAAATGGTTTTTTTCTATGTACAGAAATAAGGATGGGTTTTCTAGAAAATGAGGCGGGCAAGATTAGAATGTCACCTTTATTTTTCTATTTACGAAATTGGTATTATAAGCTTACCATCCAGTAACTTGCACTACCTCGTTTAATAGGATCACGACTCAATAATGCTTTTATGAGGCTTTGTGCGTTGGGATCGGCAATACGTCGTTCAAAATCGGGTATGTCCAATTCAACCTGCTCGTTCCATCGGAGTCCATTACTTAGTGCTGGCGTCAATGGTGATGGATGTGACACAAAGTGAAGAACGGTATCATCTGTAATGGTCTGTGCGAACAAGGGTTCATGGTGACGAGTTTCCAATTCCTGTATTTGTTTGATAATTAATATATATCATATAATAAAATGCGGGGAGAATTAGGATCACGATTATTTTAGAACATACGTAGATAACGCAACCAAGAGACCAGAGATCTACACTGGCAGTAGCAACAACACCTTTGGCACCTTCGTGCCCATACGTAGTTGCACGTGCAACTTCAGGTGGACAGTAGCGCGGCGTGATAAGACCAACACATTCTTGACCAATGGTTCGACTCGCTTCAAAGTCAATAAGTTTCCAATCGCCTTGTCTAGAGCGCATGATATTACTAGGTTTCAAATCGCAAAAGGCAATATCTAATGTAGTGGAATTTTTCGTTACATTAAACCTTCTTTTTGTTTCCATCCTTGTTAAGTTTTCGGATAAATCACAAAGAAAATAAAGCGTACCTCTGGAATGTGCATAGGCTAAACTGGCAGTGATTTCCTTTGCAATTTTTCTGCGTATGGATAAGTCATCGTCAAACAACAATAGGCTTGGCTGTTGTCTCATAATTGTTTGCAACGACTCGTCCAAATTTTCAAGCACGGCCAAATGCGTCGTATCGTTGTTCAAGACTTCAAACACTTGAACAACATGATTGGATTTGAGTTTATTGAGTGCTCGACATTCACGTTCCCATGCTTCACGACGACCAAATGACTTGACAACGACAGGTGTGTTTGCACCATCCATGGCAAAATAGATACTGTTGGCATGACCCCTGATGGGTTGTCTTGGTAGCATGGTGTATCGGGATGGCAATAGTCGTTGTTCTTGATCATCTTGCTCTTCGTCGAGACGACCCAGGGTAGCAAGCATTTCAAGCGGACTGACGCTCTCATATATATCAACCGGGATTGTCATGGCTGCTGTTGCTGCTGCACCACCACTAGTAGTATTAGAAGATGTTGATGAAGGTGACAGAGGATGTTGTTGTGGTGACGCTATTTGTGCTAATGGCACATTACTTGATACCGAGGATCTGAACGTGGTAGTGTACGTGTACTGGTCGCTAGGCGATGAAGGTGAGATGCCTGTTGATGCAAGCATACTACTGGTAATGCTGCGTTGCTGCAAAGGCCGTGTGAATTCGTTTGGCTTTTGCGTATGGATCTCGTTGGGTGTCTGATAACCTGCTGCTGTACCTTGAATTGGAGATGATGACCGTGTATTCGTCGACGTGCCGGTTGTTCCCAACTCGCTAAGCATTAATGAAGGTATAGCTGCACCGCTTGAAGATCGAGATCCTAATGTTGTCGGCTGCGACTTGCTGCTGGGATGTTGCTGCAGCATGACTTTGGATTCGCTGTCCGGCATTGTTGTGCTACCTTTGTTGTTATTGTCGCCGTTGTCGTCGTGTCTGTAATTGCTCCCGCTAGTCATATCTCTAAACGTCTTTTCGTCCTTTGGTACATTACGCATTGCCTCTTCTTCTTCTTCTTCTTGCGCCTTCCGTCGTTCTCGCCGTCGACGCCGTATACAACAGAAAAGAAAAAGTGCAGCAGCAACAAGGGCAATGGCTGCCGCGCCTCCAACTGCGGAACCGACAATGATGGCAGTCTTGTTCCCGTTACCGTTGGTATCACCATCTGTGGGCTGATTTGTATTACTACCATCATCATTAGGCGATGGCGTTGGCTCAGCAGCATTGTTATTGCTAAACCCTTCCGGAGTCACGCGAGTCCAAGCCCAATTCTGATAATCCAAAATGTACATATTGGTATCATCGTTCGCACCCCAACCGCCATAGATATAGATTTTTTTTGTAGCTGAATCCAATACGGAAGTATGGCCCATGCGAACATTAGGTCCCTGGGCTAGGTTTTGCATGGCGGGCTTTTGCCATGTTAAAGTAGGGTAGTTGCTGGCATCTAAAATCCAAACGTCTGAATCAAATGGTCGGTCCGTTCCGCCGCCATAAATGATCATCCGATCCTCAAGACAGTTGGCTGTATGTAGTCGACGCGCGCCAGGCACGCCTGCATTAACGCTTTGGACAGTAACTTGCATGTTCCAGACGTGTTGGCCCAGATCATATGTGAATACATTCTTTAAAAAAATTGAGTCATTATCTGCTCGATTACAGTATGCAAGGTAATGAAAAATGGGAAAAAATGAGGTGAATGTACTTGAATTGGATTGGCACGGGATCCAGTTGTGGTTCCACCAAAACTGATCAAGGCGTTCGCATGCGGGATATAACACATTGTGTGATCGGTGACACCAAGCCCATTTGACCCTTGCGACCAAGTGTACGCATTGGCATCCATGGTGTACAAATTGTTAGAAACCGCGTTTGTAATGGGGAAACCGGTTTGGTCCACCGTCAAGCCGCCATACATGTACATAGTATTGTTGACCACATCCAATGCATAGCCTACTACATTATTACTAGGTGGCAAACTAGCAGTAGGGAATGACCAAGTCCAGCTGTTTGTATCTAGCTTTTGCAAAGGACCCGTCATGCTAGTATTACTCAGCACAGCAAGCATTTGTCCTGGACTAGGAATAGGCGTTGCTCGGAAATTGACCTGTGGGCTCGCTGCGCCATCCAATTGGACAGGATGGTACCATGCACCGTTGCGGGAATCCCACACCCATAAACTTGTAGAACCAGTCAGGCTGTTGCTATTTGCATCGGCATCGATGTCTTCGGTGCCGCCGTATACAATCACATACGGGTCAATGTAGGCTAGATGATAATCATTTTATTCATGCATATAGGATGTTAGCTAAATCATTCTTTTAGGTGTCGTGCCGTTGTTGTCGCAACTGATAGCTAAGATTCTTACCGGCCGCATGACCTGCACGCCAGGCAACAGTTTGTTGTTGATCGCCTAATTGCTGGCCATACACGACGGCACTTAATACCGATAGGAGTATTAATGACAGCGTTGTTGTTATAGGCAACAATCGGACCATCAAGGCGCTATTTCCAAGTGTTGTACCAGAAAAATAGAGAGAAAGAAAGTGAGAAAAAGAATCAGAGAAACGGGATAAAAAAAGAGAGGAAGAAGGTTATTTGCCCTGCCCCGCGTTTTGTTTTCATTTTCCCATTTCTCTTCAGCTTTGCCACTTTTCTGCGCCCAAATCAACCTTGTTTCTTATTTAAGACATTCACTTAAAATCATGGCACCATGACTCTTCTATCTAATAGATGATAAGTGTGTGTGTGTGTGTGTGTATAATATATATATCCCATCATCAGCATCATCATCATCATCATCATCATCTCGCGAGTACTCTATTTATCAGTGCATGGCAATGCACATATCAGCGAATTTCTTTTCAGCTGCATGCAGTAATATCGATAATATCGGTAAAAGTCAGGGGCCGTGTGCATTTTTGTATACATTTGGACTGTGTCAATCCGTGTTTTTCTTTCTTTCTTATATAGTGTATATACGATGTGTGTGGATGTGTGTTTGCGGATGAAGAAGAGAAGTAGTCGAGTTGTAAAAATGATGTGTGTGTGTGAGTGTCCGGTTAAAAGAGGAGGAAAGGGAGGGGCAGGGTATTGGATGCTAATCTTTTGTTTGTTTGTTTGTGTTGGAGGAAAATCTTCTTACTGCTTGTAGAACGATTCCAATTCCTCAACATCTTCCTTTGAGCCCAACCAAATACCGGATCGGTCGTGAATGTGCTCAGGAATGATATCCAAAGCGTTCATTGTGCCAGTAGACGCCTTACCACCAGCCTGTTCAATCAAGAAGGCCATGGGGAAGACTTCATACAGAATACGAAGCTTTCCACGCTTAGATTTGGCGTCAGCAGGGTAACCAAAGATGCCACCTATTTTTACCAGTGGCAGTGAGTATACAATGTATATAGGAATGGCACGTATCATGCTTGAAGCCTTTGTGTAACCACAATGGAGAATATACTTTACCATACAACAAGGTTCGGTGAATATCGGAGACCATGGAGCCGACATAACGAGCGCTGTACTTTTGCTTGACGGCATCAACGTACTTCTTGGAAGGTTCGTCAAAGTGCTTGTAGTTTCCTTCGTTGACAGAGTAAATCTTGCCTCGGGGTGGCAATTTGATCTACAAGCATACACTGCTGAGTCTATTTGATCCTCACACATACACACACTAACGCCCACGGAACGTATAAAAGCCAACCAGAAACACACTAAAACGAAGTGCTGTTCCTCCGCATTCCTTCAGATACTTACGTCAGGGTGGGTCATGATGAACTCACCGATGGCTGGATCCAAAGTAAAACCATTGACGCCATTACCAACAGACTAAAAAGTAATCCAGAATAGAGCAAAAAAAATAATCGGGTGAATACGCCGTGCCATGTCAATGCGTGCTTTGACCATGTGAAAACCATTTTTTCACGAGCCGCTTACCAAAATCATTTCACAGTATGAGCCTATCATAAAGAAGATGTCCCCCATGGTCAGTCAGTATAAGGCCTTTTTCTTCTTTCCGTATCTTGCACACCCAAGCACACACACCCAAGCTTACATACCGTACATGCAGTAACCAGCTGCAATCAATTCACGACCACTGCGCAACAGATCCTTCTCGGTGGGGTTTTCGGGATCAGCCTAACATAAAGAGGGGCGGTTTATGTTTAGTCTCCTTCTTGCCGTCATGTATACTACCTACATAAGAACCGGTGACGATCCACCCCAAAACAAACAAAGAAGAACTTACAACTTTGAAGATACCGAAAATGGTTCCAATGGAGACACCACAGTCAATGTTGGAGGAACCATCCAAAGGATCAAACGTGATGATGTACTTGCCCCGGAAGTTCTTGTCCTGGATCACCATGGCGTTTTCATCTTCTTCAGATACGAGAATCGCAGCCTTGCCAGAAGCGATCAAAGCGTTGCGGAAAATGTCGTTGGCCAACACATCGAGCTTCTTGACGTCTTCACCTTGTACGTTAGCAGCACCCGTCAAACCCAGCCTAGTCGATAGTTTCTCACGGTCAGCAAATGATTCGTGTACCTCTCACTCCCCCTCCTTCCACCCAAACCAAACCAACTTACAGATTGATAAGACCAGCTTGCTTGACCTTGGAAGCGACAAACTTACAGCCAAACTGTATAGCAGTCAACAGCAGGGTCAGATCACCGGTTGCTTCCTCGCAGTGCTATATAACACACACGAAATGTTTAGTGAACGATCGATACCCCGTATGCAAACATCTTTTGGTTGGATAAAGAAAAAGAATCGTTCTTACCTGTTGCTGGGCAAGAACCCAACGCGTCAAAGTAACCAAATCCTCACCACGGCCGACCTTAATTTCGTCAAACTTTGTCTCGGGCATATTATTTTGTGTGTATTTACTGTAAAGAAATAGCGTTAAAAAGAAGATAGAAAGAAAAGGAGAAGAGAAGATATCACAGGACTTTATAAATTGTCAGGCAAAAGAGCCGGCGTACGTCAAATCATTGAATGCGGGGTCGGGATTTTTTTGTCGGAGCACCACGGAACAAATAAGCAAGCAGCTTTGCGTGAGACCGGCGGAACGAGTGAGGGATTTGCAAGACGTAAAAAGAAAGAACGTGCGGTGGGCCGGACTTTCTCTTTGTGCAATTGCGTTTTTCACTTACGTGTGGGGTTAAACAGAGATTGTCCGCTGTCGCCGTTCGGACCGGCCCAACCCACAAAAAATCTATTATTACGAAAACGTTTGCTCATTCCCATCCGGATGGTTCCTTTTGTTTCTAGGGCTTGCATAGTGATTACTTATCCACCTCACTTTGCCTTGGTTGCCTAGGAGATCACAGACCAAGTGTTCTCTTCTGCACATTTATGCTGCAATAGCAACAAGGCACGTGCAAGGGAAGCTTACGCTCACCACCCCTGAAACGCCATCCGAAATTCATGTGCTATCTTTATCTTCGTCCTTCCGAGGAAGAAAAATGGCTCGGTTCCTCTTTCTCTTGAGTAACCGAGTCCGTAAGGCTATCGTGCTTATAAACGCAGTGTGTACGTAGATGTCTACTTTTTTATTATGAGAGTAAGAAACAATTCTTTCCTTCTCGCATAGATTTCAGTAACCGTTGTTGTAGTACATGCTTGCTCGAGTAGTCCGGAAGCTTGAGATAGTTGGCACACGTCATAACCGAGGGTAAGTAGTCGTCTGCTACCAAAGGTGGCTCGCAATGTTTTCTGACCACCGTAAACACAGGTCGCATCGCTTGCCAGCCACCAATAGGTAGTCGAGGGCTGCCCGTTGTGAATTGTAAAAAGTCGCGCCGTTCTTCTTCCTTCAGTTCTGCGAGCGTCGTCAGTAGATTCTGTACTGTTTCGCTTTCCGAGGTGAATCCATGGTCTGCATGAATTGCATCAGATATAGCTGCAAAATAATAAAGACACGTTAGTCTTCCCTTTTCCTCTTTCCAATCCAATTCTAGACATACTTTGGTAGGACCAATCCTCAACCGAGTTGCCAAACAACGCAACAAGTTCATTGGGCGTCAACACCTTGAGTTCATCCACATTGAAAACACGGTTGAAACCTTGACGGAACATGTTCATTTGCTCTGCTACACCCGATCCCACCATCTTGTCCACAAGCAAATCCAGGTATTCATCCAGGTTCCTGATCGTCACTTGTATATTCTCGCCGTTCTCCTGCATGCAAAAAATAACGTCAGATATAAAGAAATCATGCGCGAATTTTGTTGGGCTCATTACACAAACCTTGAGTTTAATGTGAGGGTGACCCGGCAAAGTAAAGTCAAGGCACAGATCTTCCAGTCGAGTACCATTTACTTCACTTGCTTGCATAGTTGCCATCTTTTTGGGTTCGTTCTAAAAGAAAAGCATTGAGCAATATGTCGATGTATATCCGCTCATTCGGACAAGGAGTTTCAAAAGAGAACCTACCAATGATTTATCCGCTTCCAATAACTTCTTTTGAACAAGATAACCTCTGAGATCATCCAACGACTTGCTTAACACCGGATCAATCTCCTTGACCAAAGCATATGGATCATGTTGTTGTTGCGAAGAAAACAACACCTTAAAAAACGCAGGACTGAACGGCATGTCAATCATTCGGAAATCCACCATGGCTTTCGCGACAAAGTGACCCAAAGTTTGAAACAGCTTAAGAGCATCCCGATGACGGCTATCGGCAACAGTAGTAGTAGTAGTAGTACTTGTAGGCATAGGGAATAGACCGTATTTCGTCGAGACATACACATCCCCTTTGGCTTTCACTTCCTCGCTATGGTCATGCCACATATTGAGTGACTTCTTGCAAAATTCTTTAGACATGGCAGCATAGAATTCCAATGTAGGACCCAAGCCTGTGCCTTCTTCACCCGTGAATTGGACTTCCAAGGTCGCATGAGACCCATTACATTGATCGAGGATTCTTGTGGTTGATTGTAGTAGATGCGTGCGCGGAATTTTGGCCTTGTATCGTGTAACACGATGAAATAGTGGTTGTTGTTGCTGCTGTGAGGAAGAAGAAAATCCGTCGCGTAGTATTGATAGGCCAAGGTGCGGGTAATGATGATGATGATGCTCAGCAGTGTGTAAGCTACCAGTATTGCTCGTTGTTCGTTGATTGCTTGGTTGGTTGGTATTGTTGCGCATCTGTAGACTCTGCCAGCGAGCCATCAGACGATGATAGCCATACGACGTGCTCTGTAAGAACTGGTAGCGGATTTCGAAGGGGAATAGGAATGGGTATTGATGCATGAACCAGTGGGTCCACTTCGGTAGACAGTTGCTTGCGACAATCAATGGTTCTTCGAGCTGTCTTGAGACTTTTCCCGTCAGTTTGCGATTGACAAAACTGTGGATGTTTACCAAGCTACTGCTATTGCCGCCCTTTTGTTGTTGCTCAAGAGCAGTCGACGTTGCTGTTACCAGAACAAACAGAGCTGAAGAGAGTTGAAGGGCTTTGAGACAGGTCGGATTGTTGGCAAGTTCAGCAGGTTGTTGCTCTTCTGGAGATGTCGTGTCGCATCCATTTTCGCTCGTCGTCCATACAAGTTTGTAGTCCAGTCGATAATATGGCATCCAGGCGGCCCGGTTGTTGGCTTGTTCGAATTGATGGATGATACCATAGATTGTGGACTGTGCAGGTAGAGGTGTGTTTTTGACGTAGAATTGAATCTTCCAATGACCACTACGTTTGTCGTTGCTACTACTACTACTCTGATCCGTGACTCTGTCTTGCGCACCATGCGTCTCTGATGTGGTAGCAGCTGTTGGTAATGTGTGACGGTGAGCTTGGGCGGACGAGGTGCTGGCGGCTGGTGTTGGACTACTGCTATTATTCGTGAGAGCATTCTTTTAAAGTGTCAAACAGGAACACAACGAAAACTGTAAGCTTATCCCTTGACTACAGCAGATCAAATGTCACCGGAAAATAGAAAATCATCATTTACCCTTTCCAACTCCATCAAATCATCTTCATTATCAGTATCCATGCCCTGCTCTTCATCAAATGGGTGCACCATCTCTGGATCACAGATGGATTCGTCGTCATCGTCATCGTCCGAGCTATCATCCTCGTTATCACGATCAATCAGATTACCACTACCAGTTGTAGTATTAGTCGCAGTATAAGCATCAACTTCTTCGTCTTGTTGAGAACTTGTCGGGGTACGCAATGTTCCAATCCGTGACATGAGATAATCCTCCAAGTCTTTGAGACACGCCGCAATCGGTACGGATGCCACCAAATTGCGATGTTCAAGCGGTATCCGAGGCCCTTCACCATTCAATCGTACACGAATACGTCTGTTGAGTGCATTCATCGGATTATATGTTGGATCATTGAAAGCACTGAGCGGGAACGTAATTTGGAACGCTTCTGACCGATTCAATGATTCTTGTAGACGATCAATCAGTGTTTTTAATGCCGACGGATGCTGTTTCATAATGATGGTCTCAAAGGCATTGCGACGTATAGCCAGCGAGCCCTTGTTGGCTGTCAAATAGGATAAGAGTGCGTCGATAATACCCGAATGCGATAGTTCGAATCCACTGATTCCAATAGTGCTTCCATTTAAAAACGCCAGGAATTCCTCGAGCGCAGCTTTTGCTGTTGATTCTGTTGTAGAGCTGTCACCGTCTTTGCACTCGCGCAGAAGCTTTTGTGAAATGGATTGTAATTTTTCCAGTCGTGTTTGATGCTTTTGTGATGTCGCTGAAGAGTGTTGACTTGCGTGATGTTGGTAATAACGAGAAAGACGACGGTTTCCTTGCATCGAAATGTAGTTGTTGTACACACGTACACAGTTTCGTGCGAGCGAAACGACGTATTTACGCGTTGTGCCTTGACCAAGTCCAATTTCACTATTGCTGCTGCTGCTGCTGCTTTGGTGCTGTTTTGAACCGGAGGAAAGTCGATGTTTTAACAACACGGCTACGGAAGAAGTATGGATCATATTGTTTGTTGATGATGGTGATGATGCTACCGCCGCCGCCGTCGTCGTCGTCGCGATATCTTCCACCGACGTATTAGCAATAATGTTGATCTCATGCAACACACCTTCAATCTCAAAAGCATCGGCATAGACGTCTGGTAACTTGTTAATCAATAACTCGGATTGATACAATGCATCTACCACAAGCGTCGCATGATCTTGTTGCGCTAAAATATCGGCTAGAAATGCTGAGAGCGAAGGGACACCACGCATCATCGTACGCAGAGCAGTTGGCTCGGCATAGTAGACCAATTTGACCAATGTGTGGGTGACCAATTCTCGTAGCGTCAGGTTGGCAATGCTGGTGTATATTTCGGTAAGTAAAGGTACTAGGATCACACCAATACGTTTGAGAATGGTTGGATTGGCCTTGAACAATTGTACATGCATGTCAGCTTGGTGGTGGTGGTGATTAATGGTGTTATTGTGCTGATAAGTTTTTTGTTGCTGGTAGTAGATAGTGCGTCGCTTGACAAGAGGTGGTACGCCTTCGTCACTCGAAGTCGTTGCTGATCGAGTACGCAATGCCACAGGCTCTGAGTCCAAGAATCGGTTGGGACTAAGGAGTTCTTTAATGTACAATGGTAGTATATATATCAGTATACTTTGCTAAGACTATATTATTGTTAACTGGGGAACAACATGTGAGCTTCAGTTTACCTGTTGGTAAGGGAGGTAAAAGATCGACGAGAATAGCCATCATAGACAGCATAGAGTCGCGGTACTTGCTGTTTAACGTTATGCTGCTACTACCGGATGACATCATGCCTTGTTCTCGACTGCTATTGTCGTAGTCCCCATCATCGATGCTAGGTATCGCCGCTGACCCAGTCATGATTTGATAAAATCGCCCAGCAATATCCAACTCCAAGAGCTGGTAACTCAAATGCGGCGAATGTTTGGAAATCGAGCGAAAAATTTTCAAGAGGTGACCAAAAGCAGCCGGACGAGCAACACCGCCTGCATTTCCAGGCACAGGGAGCAAGCTAACCATTTTCGCCAGCAGATCGGCTGTCACTAGACGTTCCAGAGGGCTGTAGTCCTTGTTGTTTGCAGTGTTCGCTCGACAACAACTTTCAATCAAACGTGACCAACATAAACACGTGTCGTCCACCACTGTGTTGTCCGGATAAGAGAGCGTTTCAATCAAGGTCGGAATGATTTCAATGACGCACGAAAACGTATTGCTAGTAACATCGATGTTTTGAAAGCAGCTTGCGGCGGTCTTGAGCGCACTGCGTTGGAGATGGATCGTGAAGAAATGGAAATGTTTGAGCGCAGCGTTCAACCCGCCGGCTTCAACGACTGCACGAGGAAATTGGGCTGCCAATTTTTCCAGGACCTTGTAATTGAAACGAGACGCATGTATAAAGTTATTGCGGAGTAAGTATGTAAATTAAGCGACATGATTTTTTCCTTCCTTCTTCATGATATAAGAATAATAGTTACGGATAAGGCTTGTTCAGGCAAGTCTATATAATCGCTCGGCTCTAGTTTCTGACAGAGAACATCGATAGCACCATGCGCCAAGATACTGGACCCTGCAGAAGGCATCACATGTAACAGGTTTGACAGGCACTGGCAAGCCAACGTCATTGTCTCGATAGTCCCAGCATTATGATGACTAGCACTACTGTTTAACGCAAATGCAATCATGGCATCTTCATCCAGCAATGCAATATCTTGCTCGTGCGGCACAGCTGCTTCTGAAGTATCGCCATTGTCGTCGTCTTCATCGGTCAAGATACGCGTCAGCTCGCGCACAAAGCTGTCACACGGAAACACGTTCATCAAGGTATCTTCGTTGCTGATGGATAGAATTTCAGATAGCTCTTGCAATGCAGCTACTTGCGAAGTACTAGTTATACCAAATCCATTGTCGTTGTTGTTGTTGGTCAAATTGGAGAGGATGGATCGAAATCGACTGGATAAGCTGCTGCTACCACCTGCGAATAGATCAAATTGCATACGGAAGATACTGTCATCAAAGTCGGACTCGTCAGTATGTGCTGCTGTTCCTGCTGTTCGGAAAATGGAATCCAAAGAGTGACTTGCAGAAGTAAGAGGAGGTCGATCATCATCCTCATTAACTTCGGTATCGGCGTCTTGTGGTCGAATTGGGGTGCTGTGCTCTTGATGATGATGGTGGTGGGTATCGGCTACGGCCATATCATCAATGACACGCTCAGTTTCTAGACGAAGACGATGAGGTGTTGGAATTTGATGCGTTTGCGGAGTTGATCTATTTCATGCGGCGAATGTTTTTCAGTTATTTGCAGGAATTTTTATTCCCAAAGCCAACCCCAACATTTACCTAGTACTGTCACTACTGGTACTGCTAATACCACTGCTACAGCCACTACTAGTGGCAGCAGCAGCAAATCTTGCTGACGTTGTTGGCATTAATACGTGGGTGGGTACAGAAGTATCAGCAGCAGTAGCAAGTGCTTTCTCTTTGCCCTTGCGCACACCAGGTTCTTGTTCGTGATGATTATCGTCATCCAGACCCATCATATCTGAAGAAGACAAGCCTTGTGCATTGGAAGACATGGTCACCTTCTTGTCCTTGCTACCGTTGGTTCTTTTACCTTTGCCCTTATTTCGCTTCTTGTTTGGATGTTGTTGCTGATATGGTTCTTCAACGACACTACTTCCGTCTTCACGTTGATGATGCACGTCTGTTGATGCTGTTGTTTCGGCAGTTGACGATGATGCGTCTGATTCTCTTTGTTGCTGCTTACGTTTCAAAGGTCGACTATAGCCAGCAATATCACATATGAAAGAAAATGGATTAGGAATCATAACGTATAGAGCAGAGAGAAGAAGGAAAAGATGATTTATGTGAATGGGAGAGAAAGAGGCAAAAGGAAAACAACGCATACAGAAACCAGCAAAATTGATAATGTTGGAAAGTATGACAAAAACAGGTTTTTATAACGCCTTTCTCTCACATACGCCTCCCGTCATCAAATTCCCCAAACAAAATGCACGCGCCGCCCACTGACACAAATGATAAAAACCACATGTATACCTGGCGCCTCCAACATTCTGGTTTGGATGAATCGTGTTGTTATTGTCATTATCTGGTGCGCAGCTGTTGTTGTTGTTGTCACTGTCATCATCTCCGCTGATATTGATGCTAGTCGTGGTAGCTGCGGCTGCGGACAATGACGACGGCACCATATCTTCTATAGTAGGACTAGGTTGCGTACGCCTTCGTAGACTGTATCTTTCGGGTAAAGCAGAAGAGCTCCTATATATATATATATATATATATAAATCACGTAGAAGGAAATAGAGAGAAAGAAAAACCAGAAACCATATGTGTCAGTAAAAAACTGTTTGGCCTTTGAAAGCGATTCACCCACTACCCGCTCAGGGCAACTCGATGGAGGAATGGAGGAGGAGAGAAAGAGATATAAAAAAAAGGGTATGCTCTATATATTAAGCTAGAGACCTGTTATTGCTGGTGGTACCAGCAGCAGCGACTGACGAGTCAGCAAAACACAATGCTGCATCAGCAACAGAGCTTGGTGGATCGCTCATGGATGGCGAATGATTAGGACTACGATGCTTTATTTTTTTTGGCGTACGGTGCATGGAGTAAGAAGGGCGGGAGAGATAAAAGAGAGGGTTCTTGTGTATATGATACAGAGTAGAATATGCTTTCTTGTATCTAGAGTGAAAGGCCCTACTCCCCTAATGTACGAAAGTGCTTCAATAGTTTCTGAGTTTTTAAGTACGTGTCATACATGAACTGTTGTGTGTTCACACTGTGTTCCATGACGCGCGCACGCTCCCGATCAGCCCCAATCTTCATGTGTGCTACCCACTAATGACTACCATAATAGGGGGAGCATTGGATATTGAACCGTCCTTGATCTTTCGAGTAATATGTAGCCATGCTAAAGATAGTTGAAGATTTCTTATAGAATAGGACCTTAAAGAATGCCTACGACCACACATCTTTCCGTAGAAAACGTCAGTTGCTGCTATATCGTCGTTCTCCTCAATTATGTACCTGATAGCAAAGTATTAGATCTGCATTTCCCGTCCGTTGTTAGTTAACAAGGCGATAGACTAGCAGCACAGCGGACAGGGATTTTGAAAAAGAGAGTAGTAGTATCGTATAATAGCAGCAAGCAAAAGTAATGGAAACGGATTAGCTACTGACAATTTAGTCGTCATACATATACTGTAGTGAGTAGAGGCGTTTATTGGAGGAAGACAAGAATAATATGTATAACGTAATATACCATTCCATGCTCCTGGAAAAATACATTATGAGGATGCATAATAGATCAATGACCTTGCAATGTATCATTTATCTGGTACTGATATGATGATAAAAGACAATGTCCGTGGTGTCAAGTTCAACTGCTGCTGTGCTTGAGATCAGGAAAATTATAGCAAGTGTATCGGTTATTTGAGGTGAAGAATAATGCCTTTAGTGTCAGCAAAAAAAGCTGCTGTCGAAGAGATTGAAGTCAGAAAGTGGATCTAAGTTCTCGTTCAAGAGCTCATCTCGACTGCTCCACTTTAAAAGGCAATAAATCTGTGTACATACTATTGAACGCGTGTCCTGTAATCCTCCACTGTAACTGTGCCTTACGATTACTGATCTAAGAGCATCTCCAACGGTCGTTCTAAAATTTTTCTAAAATGGAACGCCGCTATCCTAGCAGGACCATAGAATTGGCATGGTTTTTCCAACGGTCGCGCTATTCTAAAACTGGCTATTGAATTTACTGCTCTGCTCTTTCTACTTCAACCACTCATTTCACAATGTCAAGCCAAAATATTCGCAACCTAAAACAAATGTTCGATGAAGACATCGAGGAAGAACGCCAACGTCAGCGCAGAGTTGAGCGTCTTCAGAGAATCTTTGCAGCTGATGACCAAGACGACGATCAAGTGAGAAAACCCAGAAAAGGCTCTGTTCCTGGTCATCTCGTCATTAACCGCGATCGCGTTGGAGGTCATTGGCGTTTATACAATGACTATTTTGGCGACAATCCTGTTTACCCGGAATACAAGTTCCGTACTCGTTTTCGCATGAGTCGTCGGCTTTTCGAACGGATCGTAAGCGAATTGGAGCAGAAAGATGCCTTCTTTCCGCAGAAGTACGACGCGGCTCATACGCCTGGATTGACACCGCTGCAGAAAGCGACGGCAGCAATTCGCCAACTGGCATATGGCGTATCTGCCGATGCGACCGACGAATATGTTCGCCTAGGTGCAAGCACTGCTCTTGAGTGCTTAAAGCGCTTCTGCTTGGCAATCAGCCGCATCTTTGGTGACGAATACCTGCGCTCACCAAACGAGGATGATATAAAGCGGCTTCTTGATATGGCGGAAAAACGCGGATTCCCTGGCATGCTCGGTTCCTTGGACTGCATGCATTGGGAATGGAAGAACTGTCCTGCCGGATGGAAAGGACAATATCAAGGCAAAGAGAAGAAAGCTACAGTAATCCTTGAGGCTGTAGCAGACTTCGAAACATGGATCTGGCACGCGTTCTTCGGTCTCCCGGGTACGCTGAATGACATCAATGTCTTGCAGCGTTCCCCCATCTTCGATGATCTGGCGTCTGATGTTACGTCGCCCGTCAACTTTTCTGTAAATGGCCACAACTACACCAAAGGCTATTATTTAGTTGATGGTATTTACCCGCCGTGGGCTACGTTTATGGATTCAATCACGCATCCGATTGAGAAGAAGAAAAAGGTAAATTTTAACAATGCATATGGAGAGCAGCAACTCTAACTACTTATATAGTTGTTTGCCTGTATGCAAGAAGCGTACCGTAAGGATGTCGAGCGTGCCTTTGGGATCTTGCAAAGTAGATTTGCTGTGATTCGACACCCAGCAAGACTATGGCAACCCGACGATCTGTCAATGGTTATGCGCGCATGCATAATCTTGCATAACATGATTGTTGAAGATCAGCGCTGCAATCCAGGAGAGGATGTTGCTGATGACAACGAAGCCGAAGTATTGCGAAGTGTTGGATCGGCGCCCATTTTGACAGTTCGCAGGGATCCAAACACCATGAGCGAATACTTAAATCGCTATGATGAGATCAAGGATGTTGCGGTCCACGATCAACTGAAGAACGACCTCGTTGAGCATTTGTGGCAGCACCAAGGCAATATGATCTAGTAAAACACAAAAGATAATTTTTATTTATTGTTTTCTATTACTCGTCAACTTCGTCGTCGGTAGTCTGTTGAACTTCTACGTCCTGGACAATGGCTTTTGCGATTCTGGCCTTTGCATTGGCCAAAGCCTCGCCTTTTCTCAGCGTCCAATACTCGAGTTCAGCTCCTGAGTATCTGTCGAGCTGTTCTCGCATCACTTCATCGTCGTTCATTTTCTCCTGGAGCTCGATGCGCCTGCGGCTGTTCTGGACATGCTCCTCTTCAGCCTTCGCCAATCGAGCGCGATCCTCGTCCAATTTACGCTTGCGCGTTCCATCATCCTTCTCTTGCTCCTTGGCTTTCTTGCGACCGATTGGGCGCTTCACATACTCAGGTGCGCTTTGATTTGTCACATTGACATACTTGTTACTGAACTTTGGTTGCTCATGAAGCTCATTGTAACAGTGTTGAAACTTCCAAGCAGATTTCGCAGCTTTCTTATACAGCGTTACTGCGTAGTCTTTCTTCACTCCCATATATTCATCAGTACTGGTATCGTATCGTTTATGAAAACTAGCATCCCCTAACCTCATTTTCTTCGTTGTTTCCGCTTTTATTTCGCGCAAGAGCTTTTGCAAGACAACCGCAGTATCTAGACACCTCTCTTTGGATGGTACCCCAGCGGCCCGAGAGGGCTCCCTGGCCAGTTCGTACATCCTTATCTCCCCCTCTTTGAAGAAAATCTTTGTAGATAGTCTCCCACAATATTTGGAGGGGAACATCGGTGCCCTTTGACGAACGAGTGGAGGTGGCAAGCCAGGATTGACACAACCACACATCCTCTTCATTGCTCCAGCTCGGACCGCGATTGCCAGCTTTTGCTGCTGCTGCTGTCGACGATTCTGCGACAACTTCGGGAACGGTGGTCGATTCGACACGAGATTCGACATTAGTGATGGGGATCGGGGCAGAAGAACTGGAAGACATTGTTGTTGGAAAAGGAAGTGATTTATAAAGAAGAGAGAGCTTTATTTTACTGCGTACAACAACGCGATTTTATTTTAGAAAACTTGCCCTAATTTTGGGACGCCTATTCTAAAAAATTTGACCCTTTTCTAAAATAGAATAGAAATAGGACGACCGTTGGAACTCGAAATTTTCTATTTCGGAATCCTAAAATAGAATTTAGAACGACCGTTGGAGATGCTCTAAATAGTAGTCTTTCTCCGATGCAAGTGCGGGACGGAGGCTTTGAGACTTTTTTTACTTTTTGATTCACGCGCACGACACACGCAACGCTTGTTCTCCTTTGTTCTTTCTCTTTCTTTGTCTTCTTCCTCTTCTTTCTCTCTCTCTCTCTCTCTTTTATCTCTTGAAATCAACGACGTCCAACATTCACGACACGGTGGAGCCCTCAAAACGGAGAAACGACGGATCGGAATCACCGAGCAAGAGGAAGCGCATCCTAGACATGACGGATCAAGACAAAAGTAGTAGCAGCGGTACTAAGACCGATATGCCGTCTATGCCAGAAACAACAACAAAAACAACAAAAGCTGCAGCGAAAACTGCACTGTCAACAGAAGATTCAGCTATTACGAACGAAGAACGAATAACGTTGCAGTCTACAAAGAAAGAAACTATAACTGCCCCAGCAGTAGAACAAGAACGAGAAGTCCAACAAACGCAAGACGCTGTTGTTGAAGAAGAAAAACCAGCAGAAGCAGCAGCAGAAACGAATGTTCAAGAAGGAAAAGATACTTTTGAACCAGCTATTACGATGACCGCGATTGACGTACCTGCTGCTGCTGCTGCCACCACTACTGATGGAGATCCACCTGCACGTCACTCATCGGATTCGTCATCAGTTTCGTCAGCATCGTCGAGTGTCTTTGGTAATAGCAACAGCAACAACAACAACTTGACCACGTCAGCCTCACCATCGTCCCCTCCTTTTTCATCAGCTTCCACTTACAATGACGACGAAAACAGCAGGAACAGTAATGGTGCCACTACTACTGCTGCAATCGCCGATAATAGCAGCCAAAGCAGCAGCACTATTACGAACGGTACTTCTAGCATTAACGGCAACAACAGCAACATAAAGACATCGGCAATAGTTTTAACATCGTCTTCAGCAGCAAGTTCTAGCAGCATGAACCATTCATGGATGGATAATAAAAGCAACAAAAAGGCCAAAAGATTTGACAAAGGTGTTTGCGGTCTGACGAACCTGGGCAACACCTGTTTTATGAATTCTGCGCTACAGTGCTTGAGCAACACACCACAACTCTCCAAATACTTTTTGTGTAAGTTATTTCCATCTCGTTTGTTGGTGGCGAATTCTTTTTATGCTGATTCCGACAACGACGTAATATGTAGCTGGAAAGCACAAGGAGGAGTTGAACAGAGATAACCCATTGGGTATGAAGGGCGAAGTAGCAGAAGCGTATGGTGAGGTCATTGAAGAATTATGGAGCGGCACAGAGCGCAGCATTGCTCCTAGACATTTCAAGGTAAAATAATCATCACCATTGCCTTCCTCCTCGTATGGAGAATTTAAGCAACTGACTTGATTTATCGCGCTCTCATCCATTGGAACACAGCTTACGATCAGTCGCTTCAACCCCACATTCGTTGGCTATATGCAACATGATTCGCAAGAACTACTTGCGTTTCTACTGGATGGACTACACGAAGACTTGAACCGAATTTTGAAAAAGCCGTATATTGAGCTGCCTGATTATGATGATATGTCAGACAAGGAGATTGCTGAACGTAGTTGGTCGTATCATAAAGCACGCAACGATTCGGTCATTGTTGATTTGTTCCAAGGTCAGTTCAAGAGCCGACTCGAGTGCAATGAATGCCATAAGGTAAGGTGGAAAGGGAAGGAAATGCGAAACACATATAAAAATCAATCATTGATTTCTCTGCTCTCTATGTTAATTAGGTCTCTGTGACGTTTGATCCTTTTATGTATCTGTCTCTTCCTGTCCCTGGACAAAAACAAACCAAAACCAAAGTCGTCTATGTGCCCTATGATCCAATCCAGCGTCCTCAACAGATCATAATCACTACCAAAACCGGTGCTAAGATCACTGATTTATGCGAACAAGTGGCCAAGTATAATGATGTACAAGATCCGTCTACTGTAAGTAAACAATGATTGATAAGATAAATAGCGAGCTGACTTCTGTTTCTAATAATATAATCGATACATAGTTGCTGGTATTGGAGATATTCAACGATAGAGTATACAAGGTGTTTGACAAGGATGATTCTGTGGGTGAAATTGGCGATAGCGATATCATTTACGTGTACCAACTTCCCGGACCTGTGCCCAAGGTGCCTCACAACAGCAATAGTAGCAGCTCGAACAGTAATTATGGTTATGGAGAATTCGGAGGCAACAGACGCAGTAATCGACGCATGAATGGTGGCTATGGCTACACTTTGGCTCGAGGCAGAATCATGTCTTCTTCAGACGAGGAAGAAGAACAAGAAAAAGACGGAAAAAAGAAAAGGAAGGAGGCCAGTGCAAACAACGAATGGATTGCCTTTCCTGTCTATTGTGAAACGGCACCTGCAAAAGAAAATGGCCGAGTTCATCCATTTGGTGGACCCATGATCCTAAGCATCCGTGCTGAAGACGCCACATCTGTCGATAACATCTACAGTCTGATTGCTCAGCATCTCGAACGGTATACACCAATCAAATTGTTTGAAGAAGTTGTCGAAGACCAGGGTACGGAAATGACTGAAGCCAAGGAGGAAGAAGAAGAAGAAGAAGAAGGGAAAGAAGAACAAGAAAATGGATCTTTTGCAGAACAACAACAGCCACAGCAGCCGATTCATACAACTGCTGCTGTCACTGCTGCTGGTGGACGACGCATGGCTCCCATGAACAACTTGTTTACAATGAAGGTGATCAACGAAGAACGATCGTATCGATCTAGTGCTCTTTTCCCCACGGGAATGAACGTGGGCATGTCGAACGCCTATGGATCCAAATTCCGCAACCTAGAGGAACGCGCTCAAGAAGAGCAAAAACGTCGTGAAGAGTACGAACGGCAGCAGGAGCAGAACAAGAGGGAAAAGGAAGAAAAGGAAAAGCAAGCCAAGGAAGAAGAAGAAAAGGGTTGCAGCAGTGACAAGGACGAGGATGTTGCGGAGGGTGTCGAAAAAGAAAACAAAAAGGAGGATGACAAGGTCAACGATGACGATGACTCTTCAGCAGGAACTACTGACAATGAACAACCATCATCATCTATTGCAACACCGACCAAATCGGCATCTGAAAAGAAGCAAGAAGCAGACGATGTTTACGATGAAGACGACGTTGTGGAAGATGCAGCCTCAACGTACAATAATAGCAACAGCATCATCATTCGACCACGCTCGCCTATAAAGCCCAAGAACACGTATAATACGAATGGCTACCGACTTGGTTCAGCATCATCAAAATCACCAGCATTCGGCCAGTCATCGTCTTCCTCCTCCTCATCCTCCTTGACACCACCACCACCAAAACAAGTCATCCGTCAAGGTGAAGGGATTATCCTCGAATGGAAACCCAAGAAAGCCGAACAAATCTTCGGACTGGCAACCAGCAGCAACAGCCATCATTATGGCGACAACGAGCCGAAAATCGATGGCAGTAAATGGAGCGACTATGAAGTACGAGGCGATCCATTGGCACCCAAGGAGAAAAAAAAGAAACAGCTCACCTTATCGGATTGTCTGGACGAGTTCACAAGGGAAGAATTACTAAGCGAAGAAGACCTGTGGTATTGTCCTCGATGCAAGAAACGTCAACGTGCATCCAAGAAGTTTGACTTGTGGCGCATGCCAGAAATCGTGGTGGTTCATCTGAAACGGTTTAGTCATACAAAGACATGGCGTGACAAGATCGATACGTTTATCGATTTCCCATTGGAAGGTTTGGATCTGACCGAACGCGTGTTGAGTATTGAGAACGCGCAGGATGTCCCTGAAGAAGATCGATTGATCTATGACTTGTACGGTGTGGATAACCATTTCGGTGGTATGGGTGGCGGTCATTGTAAGTAGTTATATTTCGTCATCGTTGTTGGCAATATTGTGGGAAGAAGAAGAGAAAATGGCTACGATTACTGCTACTACGAAAATGGTGAAAGTTAATATTAACAACATTTGATATATAATAGATACTGCTTATGCACAAAATTGGGAGGATAAAAAGTGGTACAACTATGACGACTCGCATGTGTCCGCAACGGATGCCAACTCTGTGAAGGTTGGTACAAGAATAAAAGTGGAAGCAAGAGGGGTTAGATATGGTGTGCATGTGTGTTGGTGCGTGAGCGTGAGAAGAAGATTTTAATTCAATTGGATTAACTCATTTTGTTTATGCTCTGATTATGATAGACAACCGCTGCCTATCTTCTCTTCTATAAACGTCGACGTCAATCATCACCATCACCGCCACCATCAACTGAGCAAGAAAAATCACACATAGAGCAAGAAGAAGATGTTGGCGAGGACGACAAGGTGATGGTAGAACAACAACAACAGCAACAGCAACCGGATAATACTGAAGAAGATACCATTGACGAGGCACCAACGCCCGCTATTACTGCTTCTGTCACTGGTGCTACTGCTATTCCCACAACTACTACTAATACTGCAGAGTAAAAAAAAGCAAGAATATAAATACTTTTACATATTACACCACACACACACACACACTTGTATTTTGCGTTCAAAAAATAAAACCATTCTATATAGTACACGAGGGTTCCTTATCCATATCATTAAGGTTCTCAAAAGGGGTTTTGACAAAAGAGGGTGGCTGCGGCTGCAGTTATCTGCCGGACTGGGTGTATGTACGAGCACCTTTTCATTGTTTTTCCATCACGTACCTATGTACCTGCATACTGTGATATCGGTTTATATAGAAGAATCGCTACATGAAATACCACGCATGCATACGTACATCAGCCTACCTGAGGAGATTAGACAATCAAGTAGACTGTCAATTCTTTGTATTCAATAAAGTCATTACACTCGTTAAAGTAAAATAAAAGAAGTTGGAGCAAACAATAATGAAAATTACCTGGGTACTTGCCGAAGACAGTAATTTAAGCAATCGACAGCAAATGTTTTGGTATTGTTGTTGCTAAGCTTGGTACCCAGGAAGCATAGCACAATTTTTCTCAGTATCTTGATCTTAAGAGCGGAAGTAGTCAGTATACACAGACCCGTCAGCCATCAACCGCGTGGTAAAGATGCGTGGTTAATATGTCACTAGATTATATACGGATCTTTAGCTCGATATTTCATAGTGGGTCTAAAAAAAGAACCTTTTGAAGTAAATGTTTCGACTCCATCCATTTATGAAGGTATAGACATCATCCCCTATTGTTTCTCCCCTTCGTCCTAAGCTATGTACATTACTCTGTGGTTTCTAATTATAAACTTTCATTAATGTAAGAAAACATCAAGATAGAGCAAGAATGAAAGAATGAAAGAGACGGCAAAAGGAAAGAGTATGCAGAGCACATCTAGCGTCGATCCATAAATGCTTTACATTTCGATCCTTGCGTCTTCTTTTTTGTCAATAGCTTGCCCCAAGCCACTTTTAACACGATGGTCTTCTTTGTAACTGATATGTACAGTACGCTGGGAATGGGGGGTTTTAGGGGGTGGAGGAGTCGTTGCTTTTAAAAATCTCAGTTTGCCTTGCCTGTCTGTCTGCCGCTCATCAATTAATAAAATAGGTCCAATTTGCCAAGTTGGGCTAAAAGAGGCTATTTTTTTTTTGGCATCCCTGAAACGCGTGTCTTCAATTAAGACATCCCGCCGGGGGCGGATCTCATATAAATAGGACCCGCCCGCCCCGCTCGAACAACACAACGCACGCACAAACGGATCGACACTTACCATTCATTCTTTCATTTCTTCTCTTTCTTTTTTTTCAAAGTAAACAATGCATCTTCATTCTTCTTTAACCAGCAACACCATCATTGTTACCACCATGACGGTCTTCGTATTACTATCAGCATCCTGTTTGCAATGCATATCCGCCATACCCATCCAGACCGACGTTCAAATCGACCGCTTAGCACAACTTGTCACGTCCCACTATCAATACGACCACTTTGACCCATTGACCAACGAATATGCGAACGCACTGGCGAAACAATTAAGATTCAACGACATACACATTGCCCCCGACGTAGAGGACCCACCCACACTACAGGCACAAGTCATCCAAGCCATCCAGTCGCATGTTGCCAACAAACTCTTGTCGAGTGCACAACCATTGCCCTCGCTACGCGATATTATTGCACAGCATTGTCCTCCAACAACGACAACCGACGACGACAACCAAGAGGGCATGGTCGAGGTTTCTTGTCTACAACGCAAAGCAGAGCAATTATCGTCGGATCTGGACCAATTTGTCGAATCGTACTATAGAACCTGGATCCTCGAAAAGACCGAAGAAGCGCTCTCGGTTAAGAAATTGGACGATCGTTTAGTGTCCTTGACTGTCGAACGGTCTAAACAGATGCAAGTCTCTTTGCATCAATCGCCTTGCGAGTTTCATCGCTTTACAAGATTTTTGAGCTTGGCGTTTTTATAAAGAAATCCTTAACTTGTATATGAAAGAGCATGTCCATTCACCATATCCACATCCATCCACCCCCCCTTCTTCCAATACAAACTTTCTGTATACTGTAAATAGCATCATAAACCACCCTAGAATGGGAAAAAAAAACACCATTGCCGTTCCTCTCCTCCCCCTTCCCTCATTGCTTTTTCCTTCAGAACAAAACGCCAACCACATAACAATGTAAAAATAACAGGACTGTCATAAGAAAAAAATAATTTTTTTCTTTCATTGTATAAATTGATTTAATAAAGTAAAAAAAAAGACACTTTAGTTTGGAAGAGAGGCGTTCCTGCTATATTGGCGGACTTGGATGTTTATTGGATCTAGAGCTTTGAATAGTGTCGATCTCCTACTCGGTGGAAGTTTATATAGCTCCGGTAACGTGTATAAGTGTGGTGCTGGTGCACTAGACTAAAAATATACGAACCGAACTCTCTCTCCTTTGTCAGTCAGAAACGAACTGCTGTAAGACGGAGAACAGGAAAACATGAACTTTATCTCCGTCTACCAATCTCGTTCTCTCGATGATCATCATTGCATTTAATATTGCCACGGAACAAGACACACAAAATCTAATATAACTTTAAACGTTTTAAAATCGTGACTGTGTGATGCATATATATGTATGCCGGCGTCACTCTCAAATTAAAGCAAAAAATAGGGCTTCAACGATATTTTACTCTTTCCTAGCAGCACAAGAAGTTTTGGAATCAAAACATGTCCACGATAAAACAATATTGAAAAGCACAAAATAACAGTCGAAAATCCTGCATAGATGATGATATCTAATTGATCTTTCTATTACTACAATCCTATCAAAGACTGTTTGTGCTGTTGCGAGTGATAATTTATGATTAGCCGTAACAATAGTATCATAGTGATGTATTTATTTTACAATGTTTTTTAGCTTATCGAATGTATGCAAAAGTACAACGATAGCATTATATCGTGCTATTACTAACGAATTAACAACGCTGTTCTTTTGGCACAGTTATGTCAAACTCCTGATAAGCCTTCTCATAGAATCCTTTTTCCAAAAACATATGAGCAGATACCATAGCCAAACTCTTTGATGCAATCATTGTGCCTTCGTGTGCTTCTTCTGTTCCTGTATGTTTGGCAAATCCTTCAGTGTGTGGAAACTCGTCGGTGTATATATCGTAGAATGGATGTAAGCCAGGCATCAAATGTGCCACGTTTCCAAAATCCTGTATTTCGGTTAAAAAAAAGAAGTAGGAATAGACTTATAAGTTTTTAAAGACCCACTTTTTGAAATTGCAAATACCGAGAAAAATGATACTTTCTGTGGATCCACCCATTTGATTCGCTTCTTGTGCTTGTCGAGATTCGATTGGCTTGCCCTTGCTGCCGAATTCCCGATAATACCGCGCATACGTTTCAGCCATTACCGGGTTTTGAATGACATCTGATGTTAGAGAAAATGTATACAATGTTCATTGTTAGTAGTCCGTTTTTTGCTCATTCTGCGTCTCTGTGAATATGTATATATATACGACGACATATACAGCAGTATGTAATAAGAGGTTCACGAAAAAAGAATGATGACAATGATAATAATAATCTTACTTTTACACATGCCAGCTTCGCGCCATTTCATATTGACTTCACACCCTGTGGCGAGTGCAGCAGCCTTGAAACAATTTTCGACTTTCTCCATCAGCTCTTCAACGCGGTTGGTGGTCTTGGCTCGCACATAAAAGTATCCTGCTGTACGGTCTGGAATGATGTTTGGCTATTATATAAGTAATTTTTATAGAATGATCTATTGGTTATTAGCAAAATGCACATTCTGCTCCATTTCATATGGCTAATATAGACATAGGCGTAGGATATCCGCATTACCGCTTTGCCACCTATGTTTCATGTATGAGTTGTTGTTTTACATGTTATATTATTAGCCACGCATACGACAGCACTAGTAACATGTGATTAAAGAATACTATTTACCGTCCGTAATGATGCCGTGAATACGATCTGTTGCTAGCAACTGCTGGCGCAGTAAACCAATGCTGACCCACGCTTGGCAAATAGCGTCCAGTGCATTGACGCCTATTTTTTGTTGAAATTAGAAACGGTAAGCCTCTTTTTCCCTGTTCGCTCATTAATTACGACACTCTTCCAATAATGAAATGAACGTTGGCCTATACCATTCCATGGTGCGCCACCAGCATGGGCAGGCTGATAACGAGTATGAAAAGAAAGAATTAGTTACTTTCAATCGAACAATTTTCTTCTTCTTCCTCTTTATTAATTATAAACACTCTTCGTGGCAGATGTAAAGTAGTAAGTATTATATGCTAACCTTTCCGAGAAATTCGACTTTAACGTCCTGAATAGCAGTTCCCGCCCAATACGTCATGTTCATGGGTCCTGGATGGAGCATACTGCAAACATCCGCATGGTCTTGAAATGCACCCTTCTTAGCCATCAAAATCTTGCCATCCAGTGGTTCTGTTTTATGTAACGGATGAGTGAGCACGCGTATGTATAACCATAGTTGTTAGTCTCTAGGACCTAGGTCCACCAAAGCTTGACATCAAACTCCTTTACCTTCACTCGGACAACCAAAGAGAACGACAGTTCCTGATGCCAATCCCTTGTCCAACAAAGCCTTCATAGCCATCGCATTGGCTACGCCGCTGATAGCAATAATGTTATGGCCACAAGCATGTCCCAATCCAGGAAGAGCGTCATATTCGGAGCAAAAGCCTACACGTAATCCCAATCCTTTGGTATACGTGGCCATAAACGCTGTTTCCAAATCAAACGCGTGTCGTGTCAGTTCAAATCCGTTCTTTTCCAGATAGTTTGTTAAAATGTCATGCGCGTGATGCTCTTGCATGCCCACTTCGGGATGTGCGTGTAACTAAACATATATGAATTAAAATCGTGCGCATAGAAGAAGCCATATTATGTTTCAATAACAAAGGGTAATATAACAGGGAACAAATGCTTTACATCAGCACTGAGCTCACGTAGCTCTGGCGAAATACGATCGATTTCTGCATAAATAACGTTTTGCGCCTCCGGGAAATCGCATTGCTGTTGTGTGGCCTTTAAATATATATTTGAGAGAGAGTGTGAAAAAAAGTACAATAGTCGCATGAATATAAAGTACTGGCCATCAGTCTATACACCCATCCAACCGAAACATTGTTGCATATTACGGTAAGTACGTACTTGAGCTGAATTAATGGCGACTGTCATACTATCAATACAGTAGTAGTAAATAGATAAGATAAAGAGAAGTAAACCACTTACTCTGTTTTACGTTAGGTAACTCCCTTTTATATTGCCATGGCAAACCACAGCCCGAAAGACCCAAATTTCGGCCGGGAAAAAAATTAAAGTGCAAAGACGACTCGGTGGAGATAAGAAGGGGATCACTATTTCGAGGTTGAAAGGTAAATTCGCACGACCGGAAAGAATTTATCATAATACACAAGCACAATATGTAATCTCAAATCTTATCAACGCTGTGTTTGATAGTCGCTCAAAAACCTTAAATTTAGTGGTTCAAGATCCCGCTCCTATATTAGGCAATAATATTTATCAAGGATGTTTGTCCTTTTATCAGTATCTTTCAGCAATCTCGAATGCTTTTAATGATGATTGCTTTTGAAAATTTAGCATCGATAAACCGCTAAGCTCTGTTATAAACAGGTGAACGAGAGCTGGCTCTTGTTTGAATGGAGACAGGCCATTGAGATTCGACGGTAAATTTGCTTTGAGCACAACAGTATGTTAAAAATATAGTTGCCCGTAGTCTCACTACTCTTTTGCCAGCAGACAAAGCAAAGCAGAGGGAGGACTACAGTATAGCACACTACTGCACGACAGCTGCTGCAATAATCCTCTCACTTTCATAGGTTGAAGCTCAGATAACGGGCTTATTTTACAAGAAGCGTTGTTGGACTGTTTTTCGTTGCTGTCGTTTCTACTACTGTATCATTATTTGACTGTGGATCAAAGTTATGCGATAAATACTTGTGCTGATTACTACTTGCTGCTCCAAGTTATAATATCAGCGACGATAACAATAAAAAAAATTAAATCATAACTGACAATGAGCACTGAACACCATTATATCGAATTGATCGAACGAAACATTTGCACCGCAAGCTGTCAACAATACAACACATGTTGCTCTATCACAAACCCCTGATTTTAGTCAAAAGTAATATGCAATACTTCTACAAATATGAAGCTTCCCGAGATAAATAACAGGTTCTTGTAGATGTCGAAGCATATGCATGATGCGTAAAGTTCGCGTGACGGTGTACCCACCGGATTTGTCACTGCGAATCAAGGATGCAACTCAAAGGCCTCATTGCAACTTTTCCAGGATAATGATCTGATATTATGCTACTTCATAGACACTTCCATTCTCTATGTTATGTTTCATCGTTCTTATACATCATACATGTATACAAGTCAAAGTTAGTAGAAATGTCAAAGTAAGGAAATGGTGCCACGCAAAACATTAAATGCTGACTGATCATAACAGGATACTTGTACCACCATGCGCATATTACCGGACAAGACCGAACTTTCCCAACGATGGAGCAATCCATCTCCAGTGATTTGTGTTTGAAGAACGGAACTTGAATTCAGTATTCAACTCTGCCATCGTACAATGAGTATCATAGTTGTGTCAAAAGCATTATCCACCTGATCTTTGTCATACTGCTAACCTCGCCCAAACTCAGAATCGAACACCCTGTGAGAGAAGAGGACGTTGCACGTAGCTCCTTTCAAAGAGGGTAGAATGAAAAAGCGCTATATCTCGCTTGGTAGAGCAGCTGTCAATATTATTCACTCGAAGAAATGCTTGCGCGCAGTGTAAGTTCATACAATTGCGCTTTAGCGGACATGTTGCCCAATACACTACAACGGAGCTTAGATAGCAAGTATGTTCCATATTGAAGCTTTTTACATTGGCATCATATGATTTCCTCTAGGCGTATCAGATTGTCCACTTTTTGTAGACTCCTCAAATTTTGTTTAAGCATATTTTTTTTCTCAAAGTGATAGTGAAAGATCAATTCGCAGTAATCCGATAGGCAGGCCAGTAATACAAAAAAAGAATCAACTATTATAATGTTCCAACTCTGGTGGATCGATTCTGAGCGTTTTGACAAAAAAAAATACTGTTGGCAGCAGGTTAAAAACTGATATTCACGCGTATTGAGAATGGATCGAACGCCCCGAATATAAAGTAGAAGAACGGCACAAAGGCATTGAATCATCTCTTTAGGTGTGTACAGTGCAATTACAGTACTGTATGTTATAGCGCTCAAAAGCCTTTTATATATTGGGATCACGTATTGCCTGCTTGAAAATTCCCACAACCTCCCCAAGAGGATAATAATGACATTGAACAACAAAATCATCAAATGTTTCGACCGCTTCGCTCAGGTTGTTGCTTTTGAAGAAAACACTAGCGTCACAATAGGCGACTAGCGCTCTTCAGGGCTCCGTCGAGTTTACCTTACTGTTTTTAAGCTTCGGCGCGAATGGTCAGGAGCTGCTGTTTGCAATGGCGTAAAGCAAGGAAGCCTGGTAATATATTTTTGCTGATACTCCACACACTGACCGCTTGTTAATTGTACTACTTGCAGTCGATGAACCTAATCAACTGTATTTTTTGCATCGTGGACAATATGAAGAAAGACCTTGGTTGAAAGTCTGTAAAAGAAGTGAGAATGACTCTTCCTTTTAAACGAGAGTACCCCAAAACTTGTATAGCTTGAACGCCGGGAGCACCATATTAGGCGATCACAATCCAGGGAATAATGAGTGCGTAGATATACAGTCGCGCCCATCGGCTGCTGCCTTTTATTAAGCATTCAGTTGTGTTTTTCAATTTGAAAGAACAGACAGCTTTGTGTATTCGGATAAAGAAGAGTTTAGTCAACAACTTTGGTAATATGTTTTATATAGTAGAGCTCTTGACAATTGTCTACTTGCAATACTTCCAGTAACTACAGGATGTATCAACAAGTTGGCATTCGAAACGTACCTGTATTTGACGCGGAGGCTGGGTGCGTGCACTGACGCTTCTTTTCAAAATAAGCGGCGACAGTATCGGAGGGTACATCGGCATGGTGAAACATACATAGCATGTCGATCACTGCTGCTATAGCGTATTTGACTTCTTCACGACGACTATCACTTACACATCTCCTTCCTCTTCCCTTTGCTTTTGGGCCAAGTTGCGTCATATGATATAAGCGGTCCATAGAATGAGCCAACCAGAGCCTTACCAATGAGAGCCAATCAAAATGATGGATTTCATTGAAGACCCGAGCGTGACGGCAAAAAAAATTGTCTGAATAAGAATACCAAAAAACCCCCATCCCTCCCATTTTTTTTTCTTCTTCAGTTCCATTTACACAAACTTTATGAAGCGCAAAGTGTTGTGTGAATCCTTGACTTGGAAAGCTATCCGCCGAGTCGAGGTGGATGTTTTCACCCGAAAGATGCTTCAACGGTAGCAAGGTTGTTGGAAGCATGCCCTAGGGCTGCATCAACGTAATACAACAACCTTGAGGCGTCTTTGTGCTTAGTTGACGTTGTGGGCACACACGGCACGGGCGCCACTAGTGAATGGCGAAGGTCTCTCATTGCGTAGCGACCATTCACTACCTGCGTCTTCGATCAGGTTTTGTTGTCTTCCTGGAAAAAAGAGACAGCAGGAGTTTTTCCCCTCTTTTTCTATTGGAACTTCCTAGAAAAGAGGGTTTCTCTTTAAAATATTACAATAAGAAAATGACAAAAAGATAATAATCAACAAGAGAAGCTTTCTATGTTTGATTATTACAACGGAAGGTTAATCTTTCGTTGGGTAATGACATCCCAATTCACAAAGAACGATCTCTCGCGTACTGATCGACCTTGTGAAGTACTTTTGTACCTTGTTTGTGAATGTACTGATTGAGATTTAGGATCTCTTTCAAGTGCATATAAAGCGGTGGCAACCCTTTGACACCGTGCTCTCTACGCACGGACCCTGCTATTGTTCTTGAAAGAAAGAAACGAGGTTGCGTCTGTGTTTTTCTTTTCTGTGATGCAAGATCCGTTTGAAACGAATGGCCATCAGCGGCAGCAATTGAGACACGCTTGACTTCAAGCTTGATCGACTGCTGCGGATTCGCGTTTAAAAAGGCTTATACGATATTTTATAACGCGCTGATATGATATTGCAAGTAGGATGCCTTTTTTCCCGCTATTCTCCGGTTTCAAAAAGTACCACTTTTCTCTTGACCATTCGTTTTTCGTAAACGGATTCCAGCTTGTCATAGCGTTTGAGCTTGTGTTACTTCTCCCTCGCTCTTACAGGCGAAGAATGACCCTTTTATTATTTTAGTTATCATCCTCGCATTATCTCTGTCGCGTAACCTCCATGAATAATTTATGTGCCACATCATGCTATACACATGTATACATATACAATGCAAATTGCCAATTGCATCAGTCAGCTTAATTTCGTTGGTAAGAGTTGGCGTAGCACGAGGTTTTAAAGAATGTATGAGTAAACAGTGCAATAATAATATTATTATACGCGTGATCAATGGGCAAAGACATTTATATTGCGTCATGTACGTATAATATATTTTACTTACGAATATATGATACTTCATCAGTAAATTGTATTAAGCGCGCAACAACCGAGCCATCTCAACTGAAGAATTTGTCAATATGTTGGAGAAGCGATAATCAAAACTACCCACCGAAATACATCCGTACATGTTGTCCGTTTTAGCAATGAATGACTGACCGTGGTTGAGTATAGTACCCGCTCCTCCTCCGCTTAAGACTGTATTCTCATTTGTAAGCAGCCACAGAAATGGCGGCGTAAAACAAAGGTATATTTTTCTTCCAGGTACGAGAGCCCTCTTGTTGATAATCTGCATAGATTCATAGAGCTGCGAAACTACAAGAATGCTTTTACTCTTGAAGGATGATGGTCGAGAAGAAGGAGAAATGGCAGTCGCTAAATCCGGATCTTTTTTTTCAACAACATGTTCGTTCGTCTCAAATCGCGGCGCATTTTAATGTACTAATATTAACAATTTCTGGAAAGTTGAAGGCTGAAGACTAAATATATAGAAGCGCAAACGTGTATGCTCCAGAAAAGTTGAACGCTCCCCGAGAAACGCAAGGTGGTTGGAAGAATTGCTTAGATCCTGATCGTTCGTCGGATCACGGTCTTGCTTGGATCTTTTACTTTTGTTCTTGATAATCAAAGTAACGCAATGATCACCACGATGGCAGATAAGCGTTGTAGTTGATGCGTGTGAGTCGACCTAGCATCGCATATAAATTTTCTCCAATGTGGGATATTCCAATAATCTCCTTTTGCAACGAAATCCATTTTAATGCCTTGTATCGTTTTATAACGTTTGAGGATTGTTTTCTTCGGCAGACGGGGTGATAGTAAGATAGCCGCAAAAGAGGCAATGTGGGTTTGAAATTTCTTTGTTGAAATGTGTGGTTAATGACAGTGAACGTCCTTCCGTATCGCATGTTGTTACGATTGTAGCCAAGCGGCAAATAGAAAAACAAGAAACCTACAGCTGTGAAGCCTGCCTCCAAGAGGCGTCTGCCAAGAATTTTGGCGGCAGAAGAGATACCGAGGAATGCGTGTCTCTGTTCGTAAAAAGAGCAGTAGATATAGGGGGGTCCATTTTTCCATTTTGATCTCTCCCGTACCTTATTCCTCTACAAGATGCTTGTCAATCCTGTAAGTACTGTAGATGTGTAATGGATGACACCTGTTATCTGCTATCTACAGTTGATATTAAACTGTTCTTATCGTTATGCCCAGTTTCTCCTCGAGATACAAGTGACACTACCTTAATCTATGCCATTGAAATTGAACATACTGTGGATACTGATCAAGCTGAGGAAGGGTAAGTAGAATTTTTCAGTTTTGAAAAGAGGGCCTATATTCAGAGGATGGTTTGAAATTTTGACAAATCCACTAGTTCTACTGAAGAATCTGCGTAAGAACAGGCTGCTTTATTTACGGGCTAGCAGACTATCACTTATCTCGTTTTCCTCTTCCCTCTAAACAGCTTTTGTGAGACTATTCCAGTTCTTATATGTCAGCCTGATGTAGTTGCCAGCCATTAAGAACATCTGATTGTATGATACTGGAGAGATATTAGAGTGCGGATGTGTTCCCTGATCCGAATGTAAACAAGGCCGTGTTTAAACTTGCATGACTTGGTTGGTTATGTAGAAAAGTAGCGTCTTTTCGTTCTTATTATCGCTCCATGAATGGGACACTTGTTTTATTACTATTATTAGACAGGTTACATATTTTACAAAGTGGTGTCTTCGGGATCGTAGTTGTCGTTAATGAGACTATAAATGAATGAAATAGCGAGTTAGTTCATTGTTTAAGATACCTTATCCTATGTGAGTTCCTATCATATGTGTTCACTAATTACCGATAGACGTAAGTAGGTGGTGCGGATCCCCTGTTTCAGAAAGAATTGTTCAGCAAATACGTGACAAATTGGTCTGTACCTCTCTTCTCTACAACCCATCCCTCCACTACCACTTTAGTTTCACATGGAAACTCCTTCCCTCCTCCGAAAGAGATGTGATTAAACTTACAAGTTGTGTACAAACAAGCTGACCAGCTCGGGTGCAACATAATCATAATAAGGGTTTGACACTGTGACCTTGTCGATGATAGGCCCCTGCTGGAAATCCAAAATGCTATTTGGTGCGACGGTGATATTGAATGTTTCGGCATCATATGCAAACACAGGCGAAAGCTTGTACAGCGCAGTGCAGACAAGAACTGGAGTAGCATGATGCCTGGCTGCAGCCGCCAGCAAATGGGATCCCGTTACTGCTACCAAACCACCGTTGGCCAAAACTGACAAAAATGCAAACGCGTATTCAGTTCTCTTTCTTCCCAATCTTGTCCACTCAGTTTCCTCGCTGTATATATTTGGATTTGCTTACCAGCATGTGCGCCAACGACAACCTTGTTGACGCGTGGCATAGCGGCAAATATGGCAGAATCAACAACAACGGTTGTATCGATGCCAGCTTTTGACAATGAAGCAGCCATCTCGTGTCCTTGGTATCTATTACAAAATGGGAGCATTCCGCTCCTAATTAACAAAGAGACTCGTGCTTATCGACGTAAGACCAGAAAAAGAAGAGGTGTACTTACGTGGGTGCAGTTTCAGCAACAATGACTTGGAATTTACGTTTCTGTGCAGCTCGGAGCAAAAATTCTTCGACAGTTCGCGATTTGCCAATCGTCATGATCACTTCACTATAAGCATTTTTGATAAAAACCGGGTGATGTTTGGTGAGTAACCAAGTTATCGTAGTCATCGCATAGTCGAGCTTCTCGTAATCATCGCCATCCAACCATCCTGTAATCAACATACTTTGCGTGTATGTAATCAATAGCCTGATCTGCAATGCCCTTATATACAGTCTCCAGATCCGCGATAATTTCCTCATTAATTTCTTGAATAATAATTGGCTTCAAGGTGTATGCTTTCTTTTCGGGTGTATCACTTGAATCATCGGGTGTAGCTGGTGACACATCTGCCAAAAGTCTAAACATGGACGACTGTACAGTCAGCTGTGGACGTTCACTGACGGATCCAATCTGGCTGCTGGTGGTTGACAAGTTTTTGCTTGGTGGCGGTGAAGAATCGTTGTTATTGTCGCCGTCATCTGAGTAGCTGTCATCTTCGTCGTATTCGTCGTTATCGTCATCCATCATATCATCCAACTCGCCTCGAACAACTTCACGAATAACTTTTAATACTCGACGTACAATATTGCCTACTGCCAGTTCTGTTTATAATACATATTAGTTAACTAAAACATCTTTTCTGGTGGTTGTTGTTTTATCGAGTGGGTCACAAGAATATACTGAAAAATCAATACCTTTTGGTTGGGCTGCTGCCAATCTACCGCCAAGATCTCGGATAATATCTATCAGCGCATCGGCATCGCGCCATCGGCTCATGGACACAGCTTGCCGCAGTATGACAGCTGTTTCTTTGGCGACCTCATATGAACCAATGACTTGGCTTTAATTTTTTTGATAATATTACGAGGTCATGGAGAGAAAGGAAATCAGTTGTCTTTTTCGTCATGCACCCGTTGTTCAGTCATTCGCAGGTTTTCAATTACCGTCTTTTCAGTCGATTAATGAAGTTCTCAACTTGTGCTTCAAGTGCAGTAGGCAACGTCATGTCGTTCTGTGTGTGTTGTATGTCTATACGTCGAAGCCGAAAAAAAAATTGCTGTTAGAATTTCGCGGCGGAACGCGTTCCTCTTTCTTTTCTTCCCTCAGCCAATAATATGTGACTACCTCCTCTAGAGATGACACATCTCGACACATACATATGTGAACAGCAACTTTATGAGCGGTCCCATCAGGAAAATGGCTTATTCTTTTGCACTTGCGGTAAGATAGTACCTGTATATACCATTGACTCTATTCAAAATCAAAAGAAATGCACTTCTGTATAATCCTATGCCAGGCTGTTAATATCCATGAAAGAATGTCATGAGCCGAATAAGTCTATCAATTCATGTAACCCAGCATTTTAAAATAGGGTCACATTCCCTATCCTTTCCTTTCAGAGGGAACGTAGCTCATTAACAGACATACTTTGCCTTGTATCCGCTCGCTTTTCTTTACAATAAAGTATTTGCGTTGGTGCAAAAGGATTGTGGCCATGATATAATTTATCATATACACCGCTATATGGAACTACATACATGCGCGTGAAACCACATGAGTTCTAACAACAATACGTGCAAGTTTGGTGATAAAGCACTAAATTTTGACTCTTCGTTTGATAGAGGCTGATGACATCAAAAGAAACGAGCTGTAGTAGAGCAACCGTAGCAGCAGCAGCTAGTAGTGGTTTATTATACGCACATCAGCGATATTCACACCAGGATAGTATGTACAAGCAAATGAACGGCACTTTTGTTATTTCTCGGCGTCAACAGCAACAAGTATACACAGCATAATGTGTTTGCGAGACAAGTATAACACCCGCCTTTGCATAAAGTTAAGCGCTGCGCTCATTACTTACAGTATGATTAGGTGACCTATACGGTTACAGGATCAAAATCCTATACATGACCATGCGATTTTTACAGGGCATATCTAGCAAACGTCAATCTAGCTTAAATCAATCAGTCTGTACTTTTCATAGTATACATTGCTATTTTTATATGTGTTGTACATATCATATTATGCATTTTCAAGGATGCTGCCTGTGTATACCTAATGATTTGTTCAATAGAAAATTAATTCATATTGAATAAAAGTATCAGCCAAAACGAAAGTCAAAAGGTTTACAACACTCTATTACGTTTTGTGTCACAGGATGGCAGAGCTTCGAGTAATATACTGGGCAGCGTACGCTATTGACTATAATCAGAAAAATGGTATTATATGAAAACACGTTATTATAAAGTAATCGACATGTCACAACCTACGCGTACTATGGTATATATGTGACTTTCAAACAAATAACCATTGAGCATTGGTGGCGGAGGCATTAGTCGATGAATGCATTCCTGCAGTATCATTAGTAAAGCAATTGCAGCTAACCCGATATAACGGCAATGCCATGAAGGATGTCAATAAAATACAAATATGGAGGGTTGTTTTGCATTTCGCAAAAGAAAGGCACTCACATCTTTTCTTTTTAAATATTTATTTTTAATCAGCAAACAATATCATGAAGCCCACTTTGCTTGTTGTCTTTGTCATTACCATGATCTTTGCTCTTTTCCTCGAGGATACTGATGCATTCTGTCACTGCATGATCAAGGCTGCCTGCAATGCCGCATGCTCTAAGGAATCTATTTGCAAGAATTTCAGGGCCGCTTGTCAGGATGGTGGTTGCGGTGTTAGACAAACCTTTGTGTGCTGGAGCTCGTAATGAGGTGGTGTGTCCGATGACTTAACAGCTTAAAGAAGCAGTAGCAAGTGCACAACAGTGATGGTGACCAAATGATATATGCAATTCTATGCGAAATACTATTATGTGCATCACAATTTGTAGGTATAGATAGCTTACCATAGTAAGGCTCTTGTTTAAGATGCTCATGACATGTATAGCGTATATATAGTATTGACAAATAGCCATTATCTCTTCTTGTATCTCTCATCCCAGTTGTGAAAATCGTACACTGTACGATTTCTTTAATACAACCATGTAAAATATATGATTTGCGCCAAAATATAATATGACATTATCAAATGTTATACATGTTTGTCAGATTTACACCTTTGCCTATATTGGTTCTTCTACTTCTAACAGTCAACGCCCGTTCTTTCTCGCCTGCAGCAGTGAAGCTTACATAAAATATACGCTGCAGAAAAGTGCCTTCAAAGCTTTGAAGAAAGGATCGCCCGAACGAAGTTGTGCAGAAAGCTGGTATCAAATTGCTCTATCTTTAATGAGCACAACAACGTCCGTGGAGCTCAATACCATATGCTTGCTCGAGTCAAGTATAAGGGAGGAGCATGATAGGGGAAATGACGTCGTCAAAAAGTCAAAGTTAGATTATAAACAAGTAGGCTAATACAGCAGCACCTACAAGTGGACTGAGAAACATCAAATCTTCTCACTTGGCAGATCACACGATTCAAAAGTTTCCACCGAACTGATGATCGATAGATCTGGGTTTAAAATGCATGTCAAACCAGAGAGAATACAAATGTAAATGCTTCCGACAGCTTTCGGAAGCTGTCGTTGTCTTTTTATCAACAGCGAAACCAGACCGCAGCAACAGCACCAACTGTGCTTTTTCACTGTTTAGCATTCCCTGAAGTCTTCTCGTTCATCAATAGAAAGCACATTTTCTTACTCTTAATCTTCGCACCTTCTTCCTCCCTTTGAAATTTGTCAAAATTTGTCAAAGAACGCTTCCCACGAACCTCCCCTGCAATCACTAACAAGGTTTAAAAAGCGTTCATTAATCAGCTTCTTTTGTTTACAAAACTCTCCACACCCCGTTTCATGTCTTTCGATTCCAACACATACTGCTATAACAACAAAAACGACGATTCATTGACTGATACAGAATTACAAGACTACTTACAGCAACACGATTTTCAATTACAAAATGGCTTGCATGAACAAGTTCAATCTCCTGGCCAGACTGACGGCAGCAGTTCAAAACATTACAACAAAAAGGAACAACCGTCTTTTTCTGCTACCAACAACAGCAACAAAAACAAAAACAACAATTCAATGTAAAAAATTTATTTTAATCTCTTTACAGACATTTTCCAAAGTAACTTAAACACAAAATGTGGTTGACATTTATCTCACGTATATAAATAGTGGGCCCTGCTATTTTCAACAATTGTCGATAGAGATTGTTACGCATATATTTGCCCGGTTGGACCCTGCGTCTTTAGCGACTGTTGCCCAGGTCTGTCGACACTGGAGACATATTGCGACGGATGACGCTTGCTGTAAGTTTATCTGGAATGACTATAAAGAAGTAATATTAATATGCTACCTTGGATACGTACTTATTTGTTCTTCCCCAATATTATATATAGGGAAAAGTGCCTTTTTATCGTTCTTTGGCTCATTACCTTTCAAGCGTTTACGAAAAGATAGCTGGAAGTCAGAATATATCCTACGTACTCATTTGATAAGGTAAATAATGATTTGCAATGCGAAGATTTTTTTTATAAAAAATGAGTGGATAAGCTAATGCAGACTTATAGAAAATGGGAAAAGGGACGAGGAACGGTCATGCAGTTTAATCCAAAAATTGGATCAATCCGTGCAGTATCTGTAGACCTCGATAACGCCTATATGCTTGCTGCAAGTACTGAACGAGGTAAGAAAGGAGGAAATCGCGTATTTAACTTTGATAATAACTTTATTCTTTTTGATTCTGTTTCTTTTTTAGGCCTTGCCGTTAAATGCAATCCAGCAACAGGCAGTGTTGATAAGCATTTACTTTATAGTACGGATGACGGTGTTCCGCTGCGTGTAAATGCAGTGCAAGTGGAAGGGTAAGTTGACTGAACTTGGAGGGGTCAGAGTTGGTTAAGTTGTAATTCGTTTGTTTTGACTTTGTATATTATTATAGACAACGCATTTTATGGGGATTCAACCCTGGTTACATCACCATGACTACACGACCCAAATCAGTCGTTGGTAGGCAACTGCGAGTGTTTGCCGAATTCCATCAGGGTGCAGTTACTGCTTTGGCATTGCCAGCGTTTGCACCAGATATCGCACTAAGTGCAGGTGAGGATGGCGCAATTAAAATTTGGGTGGTTCCTACTGTATCTTGCGCGAAAACTTTTGTTGGTACGTTTATTTTTTATCAATTTCGCATAGCACTAGATCGTTTTTTGTTTTTGTTATAGTCATGCTCACGCGGATCCAAATAGGTATTGTCGACACTCCCACGTGCCTTGAAGTGACCAGGGATTACCGGATCGTTGCTGGTTACGCCAATGGAACTATTGTTATCTGGAATATTCGTGTGGATCAGCTTGTGAAGGATTTCCGAGAACAGCTAAGACGACGCGACGTGGGCGATCGAACACCGCCAGCAGTCGAAACAACAAATTCGACGACGAATATTTTTGAATCTCGACGAGTCATTGCACCAGCAACCGCCGAGACATCGACACCGGTACAAGCAATCAAACATGACTGTGAATCTGACGTGATTCTAGTGACGCATTATGGATCTCACGAGGTATCAAAGTACAAAATGACGACCGGTGAACGGACTGGCGTATATGGATGGGGCCATGATATTGGAACAATTACTTGTATGGAATGGGATGTTGCTCCTCCTACAGAGACTGGGTCTCTCCAGGCTGCTATGAAGTTGCGTACAAAAATGGCCGGAGCAACGTCGACGACCTCAACAACAACAAAAGATCCCCCATATATGGCTCAAGCAGGAGCCTCAAAAAACTCTTCCCAAGTGATGATGACACGGTTGCTTGTCACTGGTGATACGGCAGGCACCGTGTGCATCTGGGATGGAGATGCAACAAGTATAGACGGACGTAAAGTTAGACCCCTACGTATTTTGCATGGACATTTGGCACCTATTAGTGCTCTTTTCGTGGATTCTTTCAAGGTGGTCAGCGGAAGGTAAGAAAAAGTTTTTCTTTGGATCGGAAGGCATCCATTTGCATTTCTTAATCGATACTAAATAATTGTTATAGTGACGATGGTTGGATTAGGATTTGGGATCCACTCACGGGGTCCCTGGTCAATGTTTTAGGCAATAAGTAAGGTTTTTTTCTTAGGTTAAGGAACGATTTGGTGAGAGTATGCTAATTCAATTTATTTTTTCAGGATTCCAAAGAATGCACCTGTGGATCGTAACGATGTAAGCGTTATGCGAGTAACGAATCTTCACTGCGACGATTATCGTGGTGTTGCTACGATTGGCCATCAAGTCAAGACATGGGACTTTTCACCCAACAAGCAAATGCTGAACAAACGCAACTTGCGACGAAACAATGTGCGTGTGGGTGCTGGCGATTCGCGCCAACTCCATTACGAGATAAAACAGGAATGGAAAGAATCGGCCGAAGCGATCGAACAAGAACGACAGGAACGAGAACGAGAGGCTAAGGAATTGAACAAAATGACATTGGGTGGATTATCGGATGAAGAAATGCTTGCATATGCCGTGATGTTGTCGCAAGAACAAAAAGGAGGGGAACATCAGAACGATTGCTTTGCGATTGAAGAAGGATTCATCAGCAACAGCAACAGCGGTGGCGGCAGCAGCAGCAGCAATAACAACAACAGCCTCGCACCAACAACTGACTATATCGATGAAGACGATGAAGAGTTGATGATGGCTATGATTGCAAGCTTGGAAATGTCATCAACTGGTCAGAACAGTAGTAACGATGGTGGTAGTAGTAATAGCAATACTACATCATCCAGCAGTAATAGCAGCACATCGTTACCTGAGGACCTCACAGAATGGCCTACCGTGGCTGATGGCAATGAAAACCGAAAATGGCAAAAGTCAAGCACCGTGCGTTCTCGAAATATCTGGAATGACACCCAAACTCGTATCACCAGCAAGGCTCAACACAACAGCAACAACGATAACGATAACGACGAAAACGATGATGAACTGCAATATGTGTTGCGTATGAGTCAGAAGGAATTTTAATGATTTTTTTGTGTAAATTGTAATGAATGAAAAGTGATATGAGGCGATAGAGAGGAAATGTATTGGCAAAAAAGTTGTTGCTGTAGTGGTTGTAGTAGTGGATGATAGTATGCTAATTTTTATTTTAGCGAGCTTCGAATTGAACCACTAGAGAGAGGAAAAAAGAGTAAAACAATGGAAGATTAGTAAGCTTTCCCCTTTTTAAAAGAAAACAGTCGTAACGTACTTCGCTTGGTTCGCTTCTTGTACATGATTCTGTGGCCGCAATCTTGGCAACGGATTGGCTCTCGAGGCTTGAGCTGATTTTCACAACCGCAATCTATGGATCGAAACATGTAATATTTGAAAAATCGTTTAGCTTTTTACTTTTCTTCAAATTAGTACTCTATATCAATGAGAGCTTCAAAAGGTAATTACCAGCACAAGTATAAATCATGGCTGCAACGGGTTGACGAATGGGTGTGCCTTCCATTATTCTCCAAAGTGTTTGACGAAAAGTGTCAGAAAAATAATAAAAAGAAGCCCAGATTCATTGGAAGCAAAGCGGCTGCGGTTGAAAAACGAGTCACCGCCACAGCTATTGTCGAGATCACAGACCGCTCACCGCGAAATACAAACTTGGGGGACAGAAAAGACAACATTTTTAAGCAGCTGATCCAAACCAAATCAACAGATGGATAGTAAGTATAAAGATTGCTGAACAGCGACTGATAGACTGATGTACAGCGAAAGACGATTGGAATACAGCGAGAGAGTTGTGTACAGAGTTGATAAAGATTGCCTGATCCGAAGCTTTCAATGCGAAGGACTCTCCAGCACCTCCACATACACAGTAAAAGCAACTTGTAGCGCCTTGACTGTACTAAGCCAAGAGCAGAGAAGGGGGAAGAGAGTCGTTTTGTATCACTTGCATAAAATAGAGCTAAATAGTATGCTACTCGTGCCAGACGACACCGGAATTTATAAGCATCGGCACAGATTCAACGTCGCACATTTTAAACGTACTACACAGTCGCTTCTGGAAAAAGGATACGGTTGACACTGACAACAATACGTGCAAAATATTTAAGGTACTGGGCGGGGTACCACCGTTTTTTTTAAGAACTACCATGGAGATCGCTAGATACTTCACAGATGCGACTTCTATCTCTACTCTGAAAGAGAGGTCGTTACGATTCATTCCCAGCGTAAGTCCATATTTGGAAATTAGCATCACCAATATATAATCTTTTTGCCCGCACACACGTGTTTCTCAGGAACGTTTACACTTTAACTTTGTTGTTTCTCTCTACTACTATTGTAATTTTACTATGAGTTCGCAAAAGGTGTGTTACTGCTTCAATCTTCCGTAAACGACACTTGAAAGGTCTATTCATGGAAAATCATTGAGCATCTTCGAGCCTTGCCGAAGATTCTTGCCTGAGATTCTGACAGACTGTTTAAAAGACTCAAGTGTACTAATTAACTTTTCATCCTTGTATTGAAGCAATCTGAAGTTAACCAAGACTGTCACTGTGGCTCGGATGACAATAATGGGCCATGTCCACTTCATTCACGCAACGTTCGCCGTAGAATAGGCAATGAATGTTTAAGGCCACATTTGAAACTAACTGTTACAGTTTGTTTAAGTGGAAAAAATGGAATGGCGGGTAGAATGTCGTTGAATATCCTACAGCTCCTACTCCTGCTACTACACCTAGATCCACTCACACAACCACAGTGTATCGCACGGTGACAGCATGCATGATACACGGCCCATGTGGTCCAGGCACCAATGCTGTGTGCATGAAGGATAACCGGTGCTCACAAGGCTATCCAAAGCCATTCAACAACGAGACACGCGTCAAACCGAGATGGATATCCCATCTACCGACGCCTTGAAAATCACCAAAACCGCCACCTCTTCCCTACTTCCGACTTTCTCGCCGACAACCGACATGTTGTGCCGTACACACCCCTACCTTAGCCACAAGTACGATGCACACATTAACGTTGAAATCTGCACATCCAACCGCGCCATCAAGTATTTGTGCAAATACATCACCAAGGGCACCGACCGAGCACAGATCCAAACCACCGCAACCGCCACCACCACCACCAATACCGATAATGCCGCTGCCGAGCCGGTCAATGAAGTAGAGCAGTCTCAAAACGCTCGATACATTGGTCCGTGCAAAGCTATCCATCGTACGTTCGAGTTTGATGTGCATATGCACTATCCAACCGTCGTGCGTCTGGATCTTCATCTGCCAGGCGAACAGATCGTCAATCTCCGTGATGATATGACTCCACAAGAGGTTCGAGCAGCCCGTGACGCAGCAGAATCCGGCACCAAGCTTCCTGCCTGTTTCCGTCTTTACAGCGAAAATCGTGCAATAGAAGAGTATCTTAACTCGGAAATCCCTCGCCATAATTCACCAAAAGGATGTGACAAGGATGATAAATGCCTATTTGCACATGGAAATGATGAAATAATTAAGAAAAAATGTCTAAATGGCATAAAATGTTGGAATGATAATTGTATCTATAATCATCCTAAAGATTGGAATCCTAAAAACAACAAAAAAGAGTGTTTTATATGTTATAAATATGATAATATATGTAATAAAGAAAATAAGAAATATAAACATATTGTTGATAATAATTATAATATTACTACACCTGGAACAACAGAAATCGCCGTTGGAACCCTCGAACCAACCCTCCTGTCCAAAATGTTGTCACGCGTATATACCATGCTTCGCTTCCAAACATGGCACAATATTGCCTTCGTCTGCTTTTGCTGTTTGTTCGCGGCCCTACTGGCTTTCTTTCCCTGCGTCAATATGAGGGCACAACATATGCGACGTTCCAGGAAGCTGCTGCCACACCCTTTTCACGAAATAAAAAAAATAAAAATATGAGAAAAATTGTACACACAGCACTTTTGAAAGATCTTATTTGAAGCATTGTTTCAGGAACACTGGGGTAGAGCCCCAGTAAACTCGCTCCTGAAGGACAAATGTGACACGCAGCGAAGCGGAGGGACCAGTTTATGGAGATGAAGTACGGCACGCAACCGAGGGAATACCTGCAAACGCATAATCAGGTGGCCAACTCCCACGGCATATCAGCAAAGGCAAAGAGCATCATGAACAAGATAATTATAGCAAAAGCTAACAGTGCTACCTCTTTTTATGTGAAGGTGCTGTTGTCAAAGGTGCTTTGATAACAGCACATATGATACATCATTATGGCTGGGATTCACCAAATACGGTACTTTGCTGTTCTTCCTTAATCAACATAAGGTCGACTCCGGTTTCTATGATACGAGAATATTAATAGTGTCCATTCCGCCCATCCAAATTTTGCAAAAGGACAAAATGGGGCCGGGTGGGAGAGAAAAGAAAGGTACTCGCATCCAAAGAAAACTAGGGCAGAGAATGAATCATTAATAACTGCTTCATATTCAACGGGGTTGTATCATACAGTATGATGATGCCATGCCCAAGGTTACCTGTTCCGTTTCATGGAAGACATACTAGCATTCTAACGCTTGGCGGTTGCCTTAATGCCGATTCTCCAGTTATGCCTACGTAAAACACGCCGATACAGTATGAGCATTCGAGGTGAGATCGGCAGCAGCATACGAGCAACCGGTACTGTGCGAATTAAAATCGACTAACAGGGCTAGCGCAACCATTTCGGGTAGCCTTTCTGAGCATGCTCAAACGGTCGTAGGTTCGACCTCTCACTGCTGTCTGGTAAAAACTTCTTGCCTATGAAGAACAATGATCTCGCAGAATCCCCAGTGACAAATTGGATAGCCAACGCTTATGATAGATTTACCCATAGAAGCACACCGATGTGCCCTAGTTTTTCAACCAGGTTTCAGATTGTGCGTTTAACGTAATTGTTAGTTTTGATATTGTACATATACTAATAAAAAAAGACTTGTATTGTGGTAAAGTTATTCTTGGTGGTTAAAGGTTACAGAGTGAGAGAATCCCTTACAAACAGACTCAATGTTTCTCACACAATCTTGCAGTTGACATGCACTTGGAAGAGCTTTATCCGAAGGCTGGATCATACACGGGCACTTGAATTAGTATTACGGGCATGCGTCATAAAGTGAGCCGGAAGCGACGACAAAACAAGACAAGCCAAAGACAGAGGAGAGATGAATCTAGGTCAAGGCAAGAAGAATATCGGAAGGTCAAGGAGACCAGATGATGAGAAAGGAACAAGGAACAAGTCGAGTGATTACATTTATATTTATGAAGGTTGATAAGTTGGGTGATGATTGACGATAAAGATGTTGAGGGATTGAGTAGAGATCAACGAATAGTCATGACAGGAAGGGCCTCTATTGGGGTTAAAGCGATGCAAGCGAAATTTGAAAATTGACCCACAAGTCGCTTCAATAGCGGACGTTGCCCATAAATTGTGCCATTCGCTGCGAAAAAAAATTTCTCAACGAATTGGATGCGGTGAATAAAGCCAGCAGTGGTATTCCAGCTGTGTCGGGGGCCTTCGAGCTATCGCCGGGTTGACATCGTGCTTCTACTTTTCGAAGTAGGAGTGGGGAGCTGAAAGTTCTTTTAAGAATGATCAGTTTCTTTTCCCATTCGTTCCCCACTTTTTACACAAAAAAAAGAAAATGACAAAAATATAGCATCTGGAGCAAGTCCAGCTTTTACTCGCGGATGTGACGTGTTTACTGTTATTAGCGAACAACAAAAGAAAGGATTGATGGCAAGAACCTTGATTTTAAATAGATTGACAGGGACTCAAATCATCCGTAACGATATTCATGCCTAAACACATTATCCGCCATCTCACCTACTATGGCTGCTGCACTTCAAATTCTGGTCTTCTATGTATACAATAGCAGCGTACCAGTACAAAATACGTTGTATAACTCGTCCACGCATGTATTTTCCCCCAGGCAGCATGGATGGATGAGACAATGGTTGCTCTTTTTAATTCTCGGGCCAACAGCAGAACATTCGCCCATACTGTCGTCGTATATGTGATAGTTGCTACGATTGCTTCCAAAAAAAGTCGACACATGCTCCGCTTCAATACAATTTTTTTTGCACTCCCCCTCGACCAGAGGGACCAACGCAGGTTTTCGCAGGGTTTCCCATTGTTTTATAAGTAAGCGGGTAGTAGCGGCTACTGAATGTCACCGCATACACTAGCATCTATTACATTGGTCAAGAGTTGTGTGTTTGGCAATAGACCTCAGATATGCCCAATACAAGGTCAATGGTGATTTTGAAGTACAGGATTTTTCCTTATGATTGGCGATGCTTTTTTTCTCATGATGGCGGGGTTCTTTTCTTACTATGGCGTTTGGGGGTCTGTTGATGGCGGTGTGTTTTTTGTAATTGGGCAAAATGTGTAACCCCGATCGCATTTGCTTTTATATAAGCTACTATCGGGTTTTTCCCTCTCTGCGACCCTTTCCCCTCTTCTTTTTTTCCCCCAAACTTTTTCTTTCTCTCTTATTGCAAACGTCAGCATTATGAGCGGTCACTCTGAAGTAGCGGCAGCAGTTAAAAAGACACAGTATGCTTTTGATAGAGCAACCGATACTGAATATGTGGGCACAACAAACGATGGCGTCAGTTTATACAGCGGCAGTGCAGATGCAGCAAGTGTTTCTTTTTCTCTCTGTCCACACTTTTGTATGTCTTTTTATAACCCACTTGGCACTAACATGGCTCCCTTCCCCTGCGACCTATCCAGGATTGGTGTATTGGCGATGTGCCTCATGTAAGTTTTGAGTCACAATAAGCTTTTTCTTTTGGGAATACCTTTCGTTCTGACTTTTTGCTCCTGTGATTATTCTTGGTTCTCAGGGTGGTAAGCAAAAATACGAAACAGGACAGGTTACACAAACGAGAGATAGCTTAAACTGCATTGCTTGTACTTAACAACGGATAACAACAGGTGGTGTATTAGCGATTGTGACCGACGCTGTCCTCCGCCACTTTTCCGGCAAGCATCAAAAAGATCCTATCGCATTGAACTGCTTCTTTATGCACAAAACTGAAGTCGGCCCATGCGTTGTTGCCATTGAGGACCTCAAGACGAGCAAAAAGGGCTACTGGCTTGTCAAGGCATCGCTTTTGCAGCCTGTGACAGACAAGTCGTATGTCTTGACCCATGCCGACGAATTCGCTTCGATCGCATACAAGGAAAAAGTTCATGCCATCTTCACCATGGGTAACATGGATACAGAGGAAGGCGTCACTTATCTCCATGAACCTTATCAGCCACCGGATCGAAGCATCATGGAACCGTTTCAGTATTTCTTTATGGGCGATTATGTTGAGTCGTTGTTGGATCAGACGGGTACAGCTAAAGACGGCAAGCCGGGTAAACCAGAGTTTAATCAATCGATCAAGTTCAAGGATGGCCGTGAAACGGATTTCAAAGGTAATTCAATAAAATCCTACTTTTATTGAGTAAATGCTACAAGAAAAAAGCAGCACTGATAATACAGTAATTATAGCTATACCTTACTGGTGCGATATGTTTATTCCTCCACCTGGGATGCTTGGTGAAGAAGTTTTGGGCGGGTAATAAGATTATTTATTGGAAAGCAGGATTACTCTGGGTACTGCAATACTATGAAACAAAGATTACTAAGAACAGTGGATGAACATAGACCGTGCTGGTGCCCGACAATGCAATTAGAGGTTCAATTCAAGCGACGACCTGCATGCAAAGAAGTGATTGCTAGTATCGTTTCTCCGCACATTATCAATGGTCGATTTGATGCCAGCGGCGGTATCTGGGATCTCGAAGGCAACTTGATTGCACTGACAAGGTAACGTGCATTGTTGTTGTCCCACTAGCTACAATGCATCATGATCATGTGACACCACCGACTTACCAATCTATTCATTGTATTGTAGACATCAATGTCTAATTGTTCCATGGTCGCGAAACACAAAGCGCGAAATCAAGCGTCCAAAACTGTAGTTCATTGTGTATATACCGCTATGTTCCCGTTTCTACCATGTATGTTTTTCATGATTTTAGTGTATGTAATAGACCCATCCATTATCTCCTTAAACGGATCTACACTTACAGTTGAATGACCTCAAACGATCGCCGCTATCTGAATAGCATTTACAGCAAAAGAAGGGGCCGTTGCTTACAAAGTGCATTTGCTTTAACAATGTGTAAAAGTGTGGAGAGAGTTATCGGAGATGTCTAGATAAAAAACGGAAGCAAAGAGCAGAGAGTAGGGAAAGAGAGCCCGTGCGTTAGTTTCATTTACCTGCGGAATATAAACCCACTCTCTGATTGGCGCGGGAAGTTCAAGGTGATTGGCGAAAGAGCGTACTACAGCTTTACGGGTTGAGTGACGTAGTCCCAAAAAAGCAAGAGTTCGCTGATTCGCTCCCCACTTTTCCTGTCCTCTCTCTCCTCTCTCCCCCTTTCTGTGCTGGACTGTGAGCAGAGCTGCCTTTTTCTTTTCCAACCGCACTACACATTTTTTTAGGTTGTCGCCTACACCCTTCTTTTATTTTTTCCCTTGGAAAAAAGCTCTCGTATAATGGCACAATCGCAAGTCCGGCGAACTGCCTGGGAAACGTATGTAACACACTCGAACGATCATCTCTTTTATTTTTTTCTACTGCCTGGATTGAGAATGGGGTGTGGGTTGGGTTTTGTGTGAGAGAGAAAGAGAGAGAGAGAGAAAGAGACAGAAGGGGGTCCGGCGCTTTGGTCGGTGGTTTCGTGGTTTTGTCGGCCACAAATATACACAAAAAAAAGGGGGGGTCGTGTGCGTGCGTAAAAGTGTGTGTGTGTGTGTATGTGTATGAGGGTATGGCTGTACCAATACTACAGCCTTCTGTTAGATAACTGCTCTATGGAAACAGTCAAGGGGTGGTGAATGAGGTTGGGAAAGCGTGAAAATGGGGCAAAAACTTGAACATTTTGACGTGTGTGTAATGAAATGAAACGCATTGGGGTAGTGAGTGGGTTATTAAACTAGTTTCTTTATATTCCAGACAAAATGGACGGGCCCAGTCAGACGCAACAGCAGCAGCAACAGCAGCAGCGAACACACCAACAGGCACGGCAGCAACAGCAGGCACGACAGGCGCAACAGCAACAGCAGCAGCAGCAGCAGCAGGAGAAGCAAACGACTTGCTACACATGTATATCTATGACTATTGCAAGAAACGTAATTTTCAGCAAGCAGCAAAGGCGTTTGCGGCAGAAGCACATATTCCACCAGATCGAGCACCACCCGTCGACATACCGTCAGGCTTTTTATCGGACTGGTGGGGTGTCTTTTGGGACGTTTACAGTGCCAAGCATAATGAAGTCAACGCCAGTAAGGAGGCACAGGTGTTCGATCAGGTAAAGCAAAACACACACTCTCTTTTGTGCGGTTCTGCATGTTTGTTTATATCCAAACTTAACTTCTTGTGTATGTCTCTTTTGCCTGATTACAGTACAGCCGGATCTTACAGAATCGAAGAGAAGAAGTCCTAACACAACATCGTCTCTTTAACCAAATGTCACAACAGCAAGCTCAGCAGCAGCAGCAGCAGCAGCAGCAGCAACAACAGCAACAGCAACAGGCCGCACAACAGGCCGCCGCTGCTGCTGCTCAACAGGCGAATCAACAGGCTCAACAGCAACAGCAACGACGAGTTTCTGAAGCCCAACGACAAACACAATCTCCTCAACAACAGCAACACACACTCCACCATCAATTGCAACAGCAGCAGCAACCGCAGCAACAACAGCAACATGCTGCTGCTGCCGCGGCCGCCGCTCAAACGCCCCATCTCCAAAGCGTTCCCTCTCAACAGGCTGCCCTGTCACGAGATTCCCGTCCGTCACCCGCAAGCAGCACCACCTCACTCCCGAATAATAGCGGCATGCCTCACCCTACAAACAACAGCAATAGCAATAATAATAATAATAACAACAACAACAACAACGGCAACATTGTACATACTCCTCAAAGCATGCCCGCATCCTTACCCCAGCAACATATCCAGGGTAGACACGCTCCGTCGCCGTCTTTTTCACCACAACAACCACAACAACAAATGCAAAGACCGAACGCTGCCGCTGCTGCTGCTGCCGCTGCTGCTGCTGCTGCCGCAGCCGCCGCCGCCTCCACTGGTGGTGGTGGTAGTAGTAGCAGTGAGCCCATGGGACATCATCCTTCTTCAGCAGCTGATCATATGATGAACTCGCCCATGGTCGGTCCACAACAAGGTATGCCCATGAATGCCCAAGGCCAGCCGATGATGAATACCCAGCAACAACAACAACGAGTAGCAGCTGTTTCCAACATACAGAACGCCGCTACCATTACCGCCATCAACCTTAATCGTGAATTTAATTCCCTGTCGCCTGAAGAACAGGTAAAAAGTCATTATTTTACTGGGAGACGTTGATCTTGTGTTAACCTCTTTTTTCTTTATAAAAGACACGATACATGTTGCAAAAGAGACAAGCTGCTGCAGGAGGCATGATGCGAAATCCGTAAGTCCCGCTTAGTTAGCGTAGTTTAGCTTTATGTAGATCAAGAAAAATGAATTGGTTTCCTCCTTCTGTGGTTTTGCTCATTATGGACAGGATGTTGTTCGCAAATAGTCAACAAACGCATCTGCGTATGCAGCAACAGATATTAATGCAGCAGCAAGCTCAACAGCAGCAACAGCAACAACAGCAGCAGGCTCAACAAGCACAACAACAACAGCAGCAGCAACAACAACAACAACAGCAACAGCAGCATCCTCAACAACAACAGCAACAACAGCCATCCGGTACTCCACAACAACAGCCTGGTCAGGTCCAAGCACCATCACAATCACAGCCTCCTCATCCGCCACAACAGATACCACAGCACGCGATGGATGCCACTGGACGGAGTTTTGCCATGTCACAACCAGGTACGCAACCCATTTCGGGAGAAGAACAGTAGTAACCATAGTTTGGAGTGTGTATATCTGTTTGTTTTGACGCAATAGAGTGTATTCAATAGGGAATGGACAACCACGAGCTGTAGGGAATCCAGCGGCAATGGGATTGACAGGTCCTGGTGTGCCAGGACAAATGGTGGGCAATATGCAGAATCCGAATGTGATGGGGAGTGCTCCATTCAATGGTGATGGTAAGTTGTCTAAAAAAGTTGGAGTGGGGTCTTGTTCCCGTCATAAGTTACTAATAACTGTATGAATTAGCAATGAACCTTATGATTGCACAGCAAATGATGAGCAAAGGCCAGATGCCTTCAAACCTGACACAACATCAACAGGTAAAACGAACATTGATCTTTTTGAATAGTTTGGTGAGGGGTGGGGGGGATTTAACAAGGAGCATAAAAGAGACTAAACGTCCAATAAGCAATTATTTCAACGACATCAATATCAACAGAGGCTCCTCTTCAACCAACGTCGGTTAGCACAGCAGCAACAACAACAGCAGCAGCAGCAGCATCATATGCAACAACATATGCAATCACAAGGCATGCCTCCCAACATGAATCCTGCCACCATGGCTGCTACTACGACCCAACCCATGCCGATGGCTGTTGCTGGATCTCCACAGGATCCGGGTAAACCTCGAAACAATGCGGCCGCCATGGCAGCGTATCAACAGCAAATGCAGCAACAGATGATGCGACAACAACAGCAACTTACTCCTCAACAACAGGCCCAACAAGCTCAGCAACAACAACAACAGCAGCAACAGCAGCAGCAGCAGCAGCAGCAGCAAGCTCAAGGCCATCCTTCCAAACGACCCCGCCCCAATCCCGATAACGAACCTAGCACACCCCTCACCCACCAATCCCCGCAAATGAACAATGTTGGTAGCCCGCAAAGTGTACTTCAAGGACGAAACAACGCACAGGAATCACCTGCTATGCAAATGCAGGGAAGATTACCTCAGCAACAACAACAACAACAACAGCAAACAACTCCTCAACAGCAACGCGCAGCGTTTCCTCCCCAGCAAGACGTGAAAGCAAGCACTTCACCACAAGCCAATCGAAGTAATCCTCCTGGAAAACAGACACCACAACCTCGCTCCACGCCTCAACAATTATCACAACAACAAACTACGCCTCAACAACAGCAACAACAGATACCAAATCAACAACAACAGCAAAGAATGGCATGGAATCCAAATATAGAAATGGACTCGTCACCAAGTATGTCAAATGTTAAAACCGAAACAATGCAATCACCCGCAACGGTAGCAGGTGCATTACCACCGAACTCTACACCAGCTGGTAATAACAATGCTGCCGCTGCACAAGCACAAGCGGCTCAAGCACAAGTAGCTCAAGCTCAAGCTCAACCGCCAATGTCATTTGACTTGGAGCGATTCATGATGAGCGACGTGTCGGACTTGAATGACATTTTTGCAGGCACCGAAGATGGCGCTGATCAAGGCTTCATGATTGGCGATGGCAACGATTTGGATGGTTTCGGGAGTAGTTTTATAGCCACCATGGGCAACATTACTGGCGTAGACAATTCTTTGACATTACCGACCTCGGGACCCTTATTACAGCTACACGGAGAACTGCAAGGTCACACGAGCAAAGTACTGACGTGCGCCTTTTCTCCGAATGGACAGTATTTGGCAAGTGCAGGGCAGGACAAGCGCGTCATGATTTGGGGTGTGCAAGACCGAAGGAAACTGAGTGCGTTGGAAGGCCATACGAACAATATTAATTGTGTGCGTTGGAGTCTGGATGATCGCAATTGGGTCGCGACAGGATCGATGGATAAGAGTATACGGGTGTGGGATGTCGGCGCCGTGTTGAATGGAAGTGCGGCTTCTGCCAAAGAGATTGTCAAGTTTACGGGCCGGACGTCGATTACCGCTGTGGATTTTGCGCCAGGTCGACAGGATATCATTTGTTCGTTGGATGCAGAGGGTGAGCTCAATGTATGGAATATCAACTCCTCAAAATGCGAAAAGACCTTAAAACTGGTAAGTAACGTTTGCGTCGCAGAAAAGAGAAAATGGGTGTGTGCTTGCAAATTACGAAAAGAAAAAAAAGGCTAAAAGCTAGATATGAATGATGACACATAGCCAATGTCGAACATGGCATACTCCCAAAACCCACTGCGGTTCCATCCCCGCGAAGGCAACATGGTCGCCTGTGCCAACGGAAGTCAGCTCTTCCTAGTCGATCTCGCTTCGGCCAAATCAGGCAGCAGTGGGGCGTCCGAAGGCATCAAGACGATCCATACCGAAGACTCAAAATACATCTGCTCCGTGGATTGGTCACAGGACGGCAACTATCTTGTCACGGCATCCGAAGGACTTATTGCACTTTATGATACATTGCACTGGAAGATGATTTCGGCCCAGTCGATACAGGCCAAGGTCAACAGCTGCGCGTTCACGCGAGGGGACATGTCGGATAAAATGAGGGTTGTGTATGGCGAGTACGAGGCGATCTATATTTGGGAATGTGGCATTTCAGCAGGCGGCGCCCAACCAAAGCGTGCAGGCTCACAATCAGGAACAATAGCAGGCATCGCATGTGCAGTTGTGGACAATACCCAGGTTGTTGCATCTGCCAGCAATCACGCCAAAGAAAATTTAATGCTGTGGACCTTATGATTCTTTATATACATTATACATATAGTACTACTCTTTTCTTTACCCCAACCCCCCTTTTCTCCCTCTCTTTTTATATATAAAAAACTACAACCAAACAAGCAGAGACAAGCAGTATGTCGATAAGTATTTGGTAACCTTTGTATCGAGTTCCGTGCCTGAGAGGCAGCCACGTGGTTCCTGCAGCAGATCCGCTGTCAATAAATAAAAAGGACGCAGATCGTTATTTTTCCAAAATAGTTTTCCATTTCTTTGGGCTCTGGCTCGCTCATCGTAAATCTCGTAAAGTTTGCATTAAAGCAGATGTTATACTCATGATGCATCTCTCTGAACACACTCACACACACCCGGGCAGTTCGTACAATCTTTCCATAGCATTCTCTCTACATCATCCATTTTGTCTAAATTGGCAATGGTGATTGCTATATCTAGTATTCGACAGCTTTAAAAATCATTGCATATTGTAAATATGTGTCTATCCAGATTGTGAGAAATAAATTTGTATCACTCTCTCCATCCATTTGCTGTTGTCGAACACAGCACACAAAAAATCCTGAGTTCATTCCAGACGTTTTGATGTTCTGGGGCATCTAAATACTAGTTGTTTTTTCTAGCATTCTTGTTTTTTCTTGCAAACTATATACTGGTGTAACAGGTTCAGATGAAACAGCCATGCTAGCATCTTCGTTGCCGTTGTCAACAACATCATCATCAGCTATTCTTTCATTAAGAACAGCACTAACAATTTCTTCATCGCACAGCAGCGGATTAACAGCTGCAATTTCCTCTGCTGGATCTGCGTCATAAGTGAAGTTCACAAGGTTATTGGCACTATAAATAAGGCTTATATAATCATTTATCTGGCTAAGTGCAACTTCGTCTGCATTGTTTGATTCACTGTTAGTGCAGTTAGTCATGACTGCACCTACTAGATTTGTGTAGTGCATTTTCTATGGTGATATAATACTGAGATAGGCTGCTTCATTATTTCGTCAGTAAGCTTTTCCTATGATTTTCCTTTTGTCATGATGATGTATGGTGTGAATAGTGTGTATAAAACAATTGCAAAAAGAATTAGGTCTTTTTATTTAAAGTTGCAATGTAAAAGTAACCTCAATGAAGTACTGATGTTCCTTAATTGGTTTACATAATTGACACTTGATAGGCCAAGCTATAGTCAGCCTGTGTAACACCCTTATACCCATCCTCACTTTTTGCAGTTCCCCACTTTTTGCTACTGCAAAAAACGGGGGCCTACTGTAGTCAGAACATCTACTAGCATTTGCTTGTTCAGTGGAATGCATGAAATAGTATTCAAAGCTCAATCTCTTCTAACAACAGTTTGGCACAAGCACTTTGATTGATCAGTGGCAACATTAATGCATGGAGCCTTTTCTCTTCTGTCTGTTGTGATCATTATTCTTTTACTCGTCTCATTCATTCTTGCATCGTAAAAAGTCTTGTCGCTGCAACTGGTAAAGTCGTCATGGCATCTTTTGTATGAGAAATCGCTTTCCGCGTCATCTTTAGTCATGTTTGGAAACAGCAAGTATATTTTTTCTCTTCTTAATTTTTTTAACAGTAACAACATTTGATAGAGTGTCGAATTTATCGTTGAAGACGGCTTGTAGGAAAGTCCTAGCTTCGCAAAACGCCGGGAATATATACGATTTTGCTTTAAAGGCTCTTTTTGATTTTAAGCGATCGGTGTCGTCCTCATTCAGATGGTGTGTTGTTGTTGTTGGTAGCTGGAACCAACAAAGAAATTCATACAAATTGGGTAAGTCCGAGCCTCCTCCGCCGTAGGCCTTCACAATGTATCATAGCACCATTATAGATCATCACTACTAGTATGTACACGTAAAAATGTTGTAACATTGTTAAAGAGCCCATCTTCTTTGGCCAATTCTCGCTCGTTTAGCAGATGAACAGAGAGACATATCCGTCAGAATACAAAGAGCCGCGAATAAACCAGCAGCTCCATAGATATAACAGGATCTTTCTGCTCTCATAGGAGTACGAAGGGATACCCTTCTTATGAAACACAACTATTAACAATGACGCCACCTCCTTTTGCTATATGGTTTTGCTTAACCCTGACGAAGGCCCACCTATCGAAAGTAAAAAAAGTTACGATGCTATGACAGCCGCCGTCTTCTACTAGAGCCGTCACTTCTTTACTTGTTAACAAAGGGAAACAGATAGAGATCATTAGTTTCAGGAGAACTTGGTGGAAAAGTATTAAATAATATATCGATGATCAGTTTTAAGACAAGTCTTTATTTTTGTAATTATTACAGAGATACCACTCAGGGTTTTATCTATTAGAGAAATAGATTGTTTCTAAATGTACTTGATTGTTGTTTATGACGAAGTTGCTACGCTATTGTTTATCACATACTGGCTGTCTGTGTACAAAACATTTACGTGTCTGAAAGGCGGAACAAGACACCACGTGATTCCAATCTTTCCAGTAATGCAACAGCGTATAACAAGTCTAGATGCAGGTGACCTTCGTCAATCAAAAAAGGCGTAGATCATTCCACATATTAAATCATTTTCATTTAAGCTTGAAAGGTGTGTGTTGTGTGATTTTCCGATAGTGCGGGGAAAATAGCCCTCATCATTATCTTCATTGGTGTGTGTGTGTGTGTGTGTGTGTCATCATCAGACCTTTTCTCTCTCTCTCTCTCTTTGTCTCTTTCATGTGTTAATTAAACAAAAGAAAGAGTCTCAACGGAGGGCCCCAGCGTGCTCTTTATCTGTCTTGGTTTTGTTTACATAGCTTCTGTTTACGGGTGTGTGTCCCTCTTTGTTCGGGATACACAAGAATCGTTCCATAAAAGGGTGTACAAACAACAAAAACAATCAGTACCCAAGTGCTCCGTTGTTACAATAGACGCCATGACAACAGTAACAGCGACTCTCTTGGTGTTCCGGGAGAGGAATCCTTGTGTGAGGTTGAGGAGAGAGCAGGGATACTAATGATGCCGACGATGGTGATGATGATGACGACCAATGATGGGTGATATGCATAGCGTTTACTAGATGATGCAGCAGCGTGTGTGCTCGTGAAGTCACGTTCTTGAGGAGAGAAAAAGAAAGATCACAAGGGGAACCGTTGGGCGGATTGTTCCATGTACCGGTACATAAGCTATGTGCGATTGAGACCATATAAAGACACACACAGTACACGGCATGACACTACATATATAAACAACCTGTGTAAGCCCTCTCCCTTTCTTTTCCCTTTCTCTCACAAACTCTTTCCGTTCTGGCGAAGTACTTGTTTGCTGGCTGTGACACTCTCCTCTTTCTTTTTCGTCTCCTTTTTTTTTCACCCTTTTCACCAGATATTATACACCACAACCCGCACACACACACACACACGTACCGCAGTCTTCATCCACATATACTAATAGCAGCAGCAACGGCACTATATCACAACAAAAAAAAACAATGGATGCGACACAATCAAGAGGATCAAGGAGTTTTCTATTTCCAGATCGACTTGTGTCTTCGATCGTACACAAATACCGACGTCGACGGAGTAAACGGGAACGTGCAGACAGTGGGCATCATACAAACATGACGACCGAGGAAAGACAAACAGCAGCAGGAGGGCTAGCAATAACAGTAGCAGATAATACTTATGGCACATATGGTGCCAGCAGCAGTAGGGGTCGCAACATCAACAACAATAGATATGTTAAACAACATACCCCTCAGCAACATCCATACAATGATCGTCACCACCAACAACAACAACAACAACAAAGACACAGCATACAATCCACTTCATCGTCGTCACAGGACGACGACGATGACGACGTTGTTCAAGACAACACTAGGGCTTCCTTTAGATCCGCGTGTTCCGGCATGACCCCACGAAATGCCCCTTCAATGACCGCCGAGTCAGGCATGTCTGTGCGATTACAACACTATCATATCGGCACACCTGTTTCCTATAGGCTCCACCGCAACAGCAGTAGTAACAATGATGCTAATGAAAATGATGATCATTCTTTAAATTCCGCCCGTTCTGGTGATTCTGCCACTAATCACTTACAGCATGACACTTTTATCAGCCAGCAACAACAACAACGACAGGAGGAACAGGAGCAACAAAGACAGCGACGATATCAAAGAATGTATCAAAAGCATCGGCGAGAGCTTCAACAAGAAGAGGAACAAGAACAACAGGATGGAGAGCGACGAGCGTCGTTCTTCTCCAGACGACCACGCGTGCGACAAGGATCAAGCAATCCGAGTATTGGACATTCGTGGCGTATCCGACGAGCGCGTGGAGCCATGATGGAGGATCAGTCTTTACCGGACTTTGAAATGCAGGTGTTTTGTCCTACCTGTGAGAAATGGGTCCAGTCGCGAATTCGGTATCGTCTAGGCGCATTAACCTGGCTCGTAGCATTTATACTGTAAGAGTTGTGGTGCGACATAGAAGAACGTGGCACATTATCAATCCTAATGTTATGGAAGGGTAGAGATAGGGCAGATGCTAACTAAGACAATCGTGAATATATTTTTTGTTCATCCATAGATTCATGTGCACGGTGTTTTTGTTCTGGGTACCATTCTATGTAAAATACTTCAAAGGTATAAACTTCATATTACTCGCTACTACTACAACTTGGTGCGGGGAAGGCCTTGATGGTTATGATGAAGTTAAAAGGATTATATACCCGCATTAAGAAGTATAAATGGGGTGTTTAAACAGGTGGGATATGCAGCACATACTCACAACCGTTTCTTTCAAGATGTGGTCCATTATTGTCCAGCCTGTGGTACGAATATCGGGAGACATTCAAAGCTATGATTGAAACAAAATAATATTTATAATAAAGTAGTGATAATGATACAAGAAAGATACGCAATAAATATATTGCAACAAGCACCTTTCTTCGTAAATATACACTATTTTGTGTAGTATTTATATTTAACTTTTCGTTGTTCTTGTAAAAAAAACAACGATACCAAAAATAATGTTTTTGAGCTTAAAAGGCAATTTATATAATAAGATGAGCGTGGTTTCTAACAAGTAGCACTAAAAAAAACTCGCCGCACCGGCACACCCCCACTATTTACCACTTGCCCCTCCCCCCCTCGTCATCCCGACGGGATGCAGAAGCGGGGATTGATCGATCATTGGCTTTGTTTTTTATCAGACCCGATATCTTACGTACACAGTATATAATCCTGGTTTCAGAGGGCTGGCCAGAGTGGCGCTTATCTATTTTTAAAACATTGAGCGAGAGGCAAAAACATACATACAATGTCTGTTTATACAAGAGGGCAGGGAGTGGAAACTAAAGATATTACAGCAGCAGCAGCAGCCAGAGCGTGCAGAAATCCTTCTGTTATGTATCATCGCTTGTTGATCTGCGAAAATTAAAAAGTAAACAAACGAATAATATATAAAAAATATAGAGGCGTTTCTAGATAGACTCAAGAAAAAAGATTAGACAGATAGAGAGGAAACAGGGGAAAGGGGCCACGAGTAACGGCTTGTAGGTTTCGATTGGAAGCTAATCTCGAATGTGGCTGAATACACGTGTTCAATTGACTTGTCGAGCGAGCGAGCGATGCGTATGCACTGTCATGTAGCAGTAAGTACAAAGTAGGGCATGCAGATGTGCGCTGCTGTGGACCTAGGCCTACAGAGAGATAATGTATCGGATTATTCTTATTTTGGTTTCTAGGAAACAGAATGATGTGAGACCAATCCCTTACCCACACAAAATAGCCGGCCTGCGCATCGTATCACACAAACCGGCGATCCTGATTTCCTTTTACGGTAGCCATGTTTGAGTCGGCGATTGATTGCCCTGCCAACAGCTTGCCAATGAGCACAAACCTTATATTTAAACACCATCGAAACCAATTTAATCCCTTTTTCTTTTTTCTCTTCTTCTCTTCTCTTCTACCTATCCACTTCTTCCAACACACACTCACACAGTCCCTTAGCGAACATAAAGAACAACCATGGTTGCTGTCAAGAATATCTGCTGTATCGGTGCCGGCTATGTCGGTAAGTGATTATCGATTGAAATGTCTAGTAGCTGTGGTGGTAGTACGAGTACTAAAAACAACCAATTGAAAACAAAAATTTAAAGGCGGTCCCACCTGCGCTGTCATCGCTTACAAGTGCCATGACATCAAGGTCACCATTGTTGATGTGAATCCCGCCCGTATTGAAGCTTGGAACTCGGACAAGCTCCCCATCTACGAGCCCGGTCTTGAAGAAGTCGTCTTTGACCGCCGTGGCAAGAACTTGTTCTTCTCTACTGATGTTGATTCCGCCATCCAGGAGGCTGACCTCATCTTTGTCTCCGTCAACACCCCCACCAAGAAGTCCGGTATGGGTGCTGGTATGGCTGCTGATTTGGCGTAAGTTTTATCTTATCATATGAATAGGGGTGGGGGGGGGGTTTTCTAGTAATGGGGAAAGAGAGGAAGGATACTGGCAGTGGGACACAGATAGAATTTTGACACCATGCGTGTATGTTTGTAGTTATGTTGAGAGCGCTACCCGCCGTATTGCTGAGGTCGCAAAGAGCTCCAAGATTGTCGTTGAGAAGTCCACCGTCCCTTGTCGCACTGCTCAGAGCATGCGCACCATTTTGGAAGCCAACTCCACCCCCGAGGTCTCGTTCCAGATCCTCTCTAACCCTGAATTCTTGGCTGAGGGTACCGCCATCGACGACTTGTTCGCCCCCGATCGTGTCTTGATCGGTGCCTTGCAGACCGAAGAAGGCATTGCTGCTCAGACCGCATTGGTCGATGTCTATGCCAACTGGGTCCCCCGTGAGCGCTGCATTACCACCAACTTGTGGTCGTCTGAACTGTCCAAGTTGGTAAGTCTATTTGACAGGGAACAGTGGATCATTGTGTGCAAGTAGGGGTGGAATGGGCTGGTCTTGGCACGATTACAGATATGTGCAATAGTTCGCTAATAATCACTACTTGTGTATGATAAATTAGGCTGCCAATGCCATGTTGGCCCAGCGTATCTCGTCCGTCAACGCCTTGTCTGCCATCTGTGAGGCCACTGGTGCCGATGTCGACGAAGTCGCCTTTGCATGCGGCCGCGACTCGCGTCTTGGCTCCAAGTTCTTGAAGGCATCCGTCGGTTTCGGTGGCTCGTGCTTCCAAAAGGACATTTTGAACTTGGTCTATCTGTCCGAACAATTGAACCTGCCCGAGGTTGCTGCCTACTGGAAGCAGGTCGTGATCATGAACGAATACCAAAAGAAGCGTTTCGTCCGCAAGATCATCTCGACCTTGTTTAACACCATCACCAATAAGAAGATCGCTGTCTTGGGTTTCGCTTTCAAGAAGGATACTGGTGACACCCGTGAGTCTGCTGCCATCACCTTGATCAAGGACTTTATCCAGGAACACGCCCGTGTTGCCATCTATGATCCCAAGGTCGAGCACGAACAGATCTACATGGACTTGTGCGAACCTGGTGTCGTTGATACCCGCAAGGAAGTCGAGAAGCATATTCAGATCTGCGCTTCCCCCTATGAGGCTGCTGATGGCGCTGATGCCGTCGTCATTGTGACCGAGTGGGACGAGTTCCGTGACGAGAACTTGGACTATGCCAAGATCTACCAGGGCATGCACAAGCCTGCTTTCTTGTTCGATGGCCGTTTGATGCTCAACGCTGCCAAGTTGCGTGAGATTGGTTTCAAGGTCAACGTCATTGGCAAGAACGAGCTTGCTGGAACTGCATAAATTTCTTCTCATTTCGCACTTCCTCTATCCCTCCTCTCCCCTCACCACCTTTTTTCTTTTCCCACATACTGTACAGATTTTATTTAAATCCATCTCACTTCTCGCCACAAACAGACAAACACAAAGCACATCACAAACAATCCATCCTCAACAAATAGCCAATCAACCAACCAACCAAATCGTTCCACATTTTGTTGTACAAGTTTCTTTAGAATGATTTTTCTTGTTTATCCCTCGTCTAACCACCGTTTCCGCCGCATCAATAACGCACAAAAATAAAAACTTGTTCATTCACTAAAAAAGAACTTATGGTCTGGTCTGTAGAAAGAGATAGCACAGTTTAGAAATAAGCGGGCAAATCAGGAATGGCGTCGAGAGTATACATGGTAGTACATTTTTATGACGAGAGTAATTACATACTGCCTATCTTGATAACGACAGCACGTTTTGACCATTAACCCAGACGTTGGTAATATTTCTATCGTCCCCGAGATTAATGAACTTTTCCACGTAATCCTCCAATCTATCATCATTGCCAGGGAACAGATCGATAGGCGTTCCAGAAACAGCCACGTCGACCAAAATGGCATCAAACGACATGCCAACCTGAAATGATCCAACTTGATCTTGTATCTGTAGACATTCTGCACCGCCCCGTGTAGCCATATAGAGCCCAGTCCTCCAATCCATGATAATGTCGCCCTTCTCTAAATCCGCTGCTGCAGCTGCTGCTGCTGTTACCCCTGCATGATTGTTGCTATTATCAACACCAGCATCAGCACCAGCACCATGCAGGGCGGCGGCGGCGGCGGCAGCGGTGCTTGCAAGATAGCGTGATGCAGTGATCAGATGCCTTATCGAACTCAACATCGACGGTGCATAGCCACCTCCTATGTCTGTACCTAGGCCTTGTTTAATATAGCTGAATCGCGTGCTAGGAAACACCCCATTAGCAAAGTACGCGTTGGACAAAGGACACACAGCGACCGCCGTACCACGTTGTGCAAGCGTCTGCGTGTCTTGGTAATTCAAATGAACGCCATGAGCCATCACCGTGCGCGGTGTCAGTAAGCCAGTTTTATCAAATATTTCAGTATCGCTTATTTCTGAGCCATACAACTGTTGAACGAACGCCACCTCATCCAACGATTCAGAAATATGCGACTGGATTGGCACATCGTATCGTTTTGCCAACTGACCCAGTTGTTCCAACAATGGGATTGAACAAGTCGGTAAAAACCTTGGTGTCACCACTGGCGTCAGCAACAATCCCTCTTCCTTCCGTTGGCCCAATGATAAACAGTATTGGATGAATGCTTCCGTGTCCCTCACAGCATTCTCGGTGGATTCTATATAATCATCTGGCGAATTTTGGTCGATGCACACTTTGCCGATAAACGCGCGTTGGCCTGCATTTAAGGTTGTGTTGGCTAAAACCTTGTTGGCCTCCAGATGTAGCGAGCCGAAATACAGGGCTGTGGTCGTGCCGTTACGCAATAATCGATCAACAAGTTTGGGGTAAACGTAGCGCGCCCATTCGACGTCTTTGAACTTCTTTTCGGCCGGAAAGGCATATAGGTTTAACCAGACCATGAGGGGCACGTCGGTGCCTGTGCCTGCGTAGGTGATTTGTGGTGCATGGATATGCGTATCGATAAATCCCGGTAGAATGAATTGAGTCGGCGATAATAATGTCAGTGTATGCTGCTGCAGCTGTGTTGTTTGGATTGTTGCTTCGAGTTGTGTACGTGGTATACCAGGCAAGAGAGTGGCGATGCGCCCCGTCGTCTCATCGACAGCAAGTAGTGTGTCTGTTAAAATAACCAATTCGCCTCGTTTCGGTGTGTGAACAAAGGTTCCATGGAAAAGCATGATAGGAGAATATATTTTCGTCAAAAATGAGAAACTTCTTTCTCTCTTATGTAGACAGGAGCGGAAACTCGTTTTGTGTCACGTTATTTAATAAACAACGATGATATCATCTTTTACATGTGTGCTATATATAGCATACAGAGAGGACAAGGTCGCCGTCATGAGACTGGAATCAAAAAGGCAATAAGAAGTTACAAGGATGCATCCTTCTTTTGCGTATAACAGAGCTCGCATCAGTAATATATCAGTTACATATATATTTACTCTAGCGGTGCCACCGTTAAAGAAATCGCTCAGTTCTCATCAGGTTAAACACGCGGTACGCACATAACCAAAATCGAAAATTTCGGTTTGATGCTGTTGTGAATGCTACATTTGAAACAGAGGAGAAAACGGTTGCCGACTAAATTTTCTATGATGGTGTGCTGCTGTAATTGTCGCAGTGCACGCATAAGCAAAACTGACGGGTAGTGGATATCACGAATACTCGCATGATTATGCACCCTCGTGGTTATTTCGGACTCGAATCAATATACTATAAAGAGATTCGCATAGTTTATGCAGTTTTTTAAGCGCGATGAACGGGCCAACTTCAGATGTGCTGATTGCTGTGAACATTGGTGAAAAAAGGTGTCGTTCGGAGCGGCAGTGACTAGTCTTTTCTGGGTAGGATAACTAGTTCGATTGTTTGATGAAAGAAGCGTGGTGGAGCCTGACATAAAGGCTTGTGTCTCCATTCGTATTTATCATTTCGGCTGCGATCTTTTTACACCTGTTACATAAACTCCTGCGGCGCTGTGTTGTACATGCGAATAATATATTTTATTATAGATGGGAGCATCATGCGCGCTCTTATATTGTCTTTTTGGGTTCGCCAGTTCGATCATTTTGTGTGGTGAACCACATTAATACACTGCTTAAGATATCAACAATAAGATATTCGGTTAAACATTATAGCACACACGTATGAACACTACGGCATTTCGGCTAAACACTATTGAATAAAATCTCTCACTCAGATGATCCACCTTACGTGAACAGGATAATGAACCTATCAACAGGTACCTCGGCCATTACATCAGCTAACGCCGGTTTCAAAGATGTGCCCGATTAACATAGCGACTTCAATAGAAGTTCTGATACGTCCTTGATCCATCCTCTATCACATAGTTTACCCATTAGTCGGATGAATTGATATCGCCGTCTTAATAGCTAGAATATAAAAGAGCTTTATCTTTTGTTGGAATAAAACATCATCTCAAAGATACTTAATCTTGTCCCTTATTATCTTTATTAAAGCTCTATCATCACACTTTGCTACTGCTGCAGGTTTTGAGCATAAAGTCATAGATGTTGGCCAGAGATATTTAAGTTCGTGGGACGCAACATCTGTATTGAAAGGAGATAGTATTGATCTAGCACAAGCGTTTGCGATAAGCCAGTCAGATCAGAGCATCGACTCTTTATTTGAAAACGTTGCTTTCATTAAAATCTTCTCTAATACACTAGCGAGCTCTCTAGATATCGTGCTATGTATCGTACTTCTATGGTCAATTTGGAGACGGTTCTCGCAGTTGTTGTTGCTCCTTTTATTGATATGATATGAGGCAAAGAGTTATTTTGTCACGTTCCAGTACTATGATTGGATCTGCAGCAATCCATAGTATGTTGGAAAGCGTGGTGGAGTACCGTGTTCCTTGACTTCCCCTTTCGTCAATAGTGAGCTGCTTGGTGCTATCACTATTTCAATAGTGATGAGCAACTCGGTATGCTGGAATCGTGATATGACTATTTTAAAAAATCATAAAATATTGGCCGCTATTCTGTTAAACCATTCTTGGCTGCCACTGATCAAATAAAAACGTTAACTTGTATTGACTTTCATCACGCCGGATCGGCAACACGTTTTCGAGATGTATGCCTTGTCTTGAAGGAGCAAGAACCATTTCCTTCTTTCAGTATTGCTACTGCACATGATTTATTTCATGGTGCATATACTCGTGTAGCGTAAAATATATTTTTGAGTACTGCAGAGTGTCATGAGACTACACTTCAAGAAAGCGGTCGTTGGTAATGCTCGTACGCCTCTCGTATCTTCTCAATTGGAGATGTTACACACTTTATGCAAGAGGCCTTTCGCCTGTGTTTTGATTTCCACTTTTAAGTAGCGTCTGCGATCAGTTATCTTTCTGTAAGTGCTGTTAGACATACTGGCACAAATTCTCGGGTCACATAAAGCTTAAGAGCTGAAGGAGTCATCGTGCATTGTGGTAGCGAGCTTCTTTAACACACCTCAGATGAAATGATCTTTAAGTGGTATCTTAGCTAATGTTGTGCGGATGATCACAGTGTCTTTTAGGCAAGAAAGAAGAGGAAGAGGAAGTGATGAAGGCAGACTGAACACAACCAGAAGCTCCTATGTATACCCCATCAAGATAAAGTTGCTACATATACGACACTTCCTGACACTTTTGTACTTTTTATATCAGTTGTTAATGTCAATCATGGTGCATACATACGAGCCATTCAAAGAAGGAAAAAAAAGCGCTACTACTATTATTGTTTTGTATATAATCGAAGTATGAACAAACAATGTGATGATGAAATGCTTTATTACGATGCAATAAGGGGTGTTATGGAAGGAAAGCAGGACAGCTTTGAATGAGAGGTATGATCAGAGAGAGAAAAGGAAACTCTTTTTTTGTGGTCCTTTTCACTGAAATTAGAAGAGCTGGAACAAGCTCAAACCAACAGCAACAGTGGCACCAGTGAGGGCAAGTGCGTTTCCAGCACTCAAAGCGGTGGCGTCGGATCGGTTGAGAGATGTGCTGGAGCGGTGAGTGGGCTTACTGCCGCCCATGGATGTAGGACTGTGTCTGCTACCACCATAGCCTGCAGAGGATGCGCCTGCGGACGAAGCTAATATTCACAAATGATACACCAAAATGTCAGACTCTTGTTTTGATATACACACACAAAAGTGCTCATCTGGATCATTACTCGTGGAACTTACCACTGTTGCTCGCAGACGAAAGATTAGCTGGAGCGGCACTAGAAGGACCCGATGTAGGAGCAGCCGATGAAGCTGCGGATGAAGAGTGGCCGGCGGTACCGGTAGGGGCGGCAGTGTCAGCTACAGGAGAGGATGCTGCATCTGAGGAGGATGCCGGCATGGCGCCTTGGCCAGCCGTGGGTGCAGGAGCAACGGCCTGTTCGTCATACTGGTCTTGCTTGGCAAAGGCAGCAGTGGACAAGAACGCGAGAAGCAAAATGGCGGACGACGAGACCTTCATAATAGCGGAATGATTACTGGATGTTGCGGATAAGAAGAAGAAGATCTTTTCTGGACTGTGTCTAGATCGCTTTTTTATATAAAGTTTGTTGGATTAAGCTTGTCAAAATTTGTACAAATTAACACGTGACGGATCGGGTTGTTTGATACACATCCCCTCTTCCTCTCTTGACAAGATCACGCACGCACAAAATTAATAAAACAAAAGATGTGCGTGGGAGAGGGGGTGGAGCGGCATACATTAAGTTATGCACAAACAGATAAAATAAGGAGTGTGTGTATGTGGGAAATATAAAGGGTGCTCTGTCAATGATGACGGACGACGACAACAACGACGATCCTCCCTCATTGGTTCTATTACCGTTGGTAATAGCGGATCTTCCATTCCTCATGGTTATCGCCACTACTCTGTGACCTTCGTCTGAATTGCATTTTTTCATTTTCTTGTATCTTGGCAGCCAGTTCTGCATCTTGGAGAATTTGCTGGTGACGGTTCCAGAGCGCATGGAAGTCAATGTCCGGCACAGAATCCGTAGCAGTGTCATTGTCGTAGTCGTAGTCGTCGTTATAGTCTTGTGGGATATTGCTATTGGCACCTCTTTCCCCTTGAGCTTCTCCTAGTCCTTCCTCCTCGTTGAATCGGCTTGATACACTCATAATTGATGTCATATCCGAATCCTTTTGTCCATTTTCGTCGTTATTATTGATCCGCCACGATCGACTGAGGAGACTGTGCCATTCACACATGGTATCGCGTAGCATAGCTTCCTCGACATCTTGCTCTGCAATCGAAATATCGTCAAACAAGGACAGGCCGTCGCTATCATCGTCCTCGCTTATGATTTTCTTGTCATCCTGAGCTTCATCACCACCACCAAGCCATCCACCGCGGTATTGCTCATAATGTGGCTCAACATTGCCTTTCCATTGGATTCCGTATAATAGGAGTGTCCAGTACATGGTGAATCCCACAAAGAAAAAGTATGGCTCAAAGCAGCACATTCCCCATAAAGCCTGATACAGTTCGTAGATCAACACCAGCATCACGATATTCATAAGACCGATCCATGCCTTGTAGATGGGCTTGTCTATTTTGTTAAAATAAATTTAAAGTTTGAGCCACACTAAACGTCTCTATTTTTTTTGCCCCTTTTTTTACGCACGCGCGCGTTTATCATCTACTTGTTCTAGTATTATTAGTATTTTACCTGGCATCATGCGTAGCAAATTATCCCTTAAAGCACGTAGTTCTTGAAGCATATTTCTAGGCGGCTCTGATGGATTTTCTTCCGTTAAATGTGGCGGAGAAAGTGGCGACATGGCTCGTGGAGTAGGTGCATCGTAATCCTCCTCTTGCTCTTCTCCATCTGCAACTGGCTGGTCGTTGGGCGCTCGTTGAGAGACGGATGTATAAGTGGATGCCTCAGCAGCAGATCTCGGACGTGGCAGTACCACTGCTGGCAAAGGTGTTGACAGCATTTCCTCTTCTTGTGGTGGTTGTGGTCCTGCTTTCTTGGGCATCGGCAGTGACGGCGGCAATGGATCATCATCGTCTTCAGACGTCTTTTCATCGAGCGGCACATCTGCCAAAAGCTGACGCGGGATCGGACGGACTGGCTGAGGCGACAGTGGCAGGAGCGGATCACTTTTTGTGGCTCGTGGATCAACAAAGCTCTTGGGCAACGGTGGTACAGGCGGTGCACCCTTTAACCTCTTTGTGGACCCTTGCGATAATAACTGCATTGTAAACAAGACTTGGAACTCGATCAAGAACTCCAAGACACGCTGTGAGATGCGGTACTGCACAGGAGAATGGTGCTGTGGATGACTCAATATGCCGGGCGCAAAGACCACTGCTAAATTGGCGGCATCCATTTTGGTTTCTGCTGCATTAGACGCAAATAGACTCAGCAAGTCCAGCATATAAAGCAGCAAGTGTTGGTGTGGGATAGGCAGATGTTGAATTAAGTGTTGAAAAGCTTCAATCCGTTCCTCGAGGGAGTGGTAATGATTGTCACCTTAATTATGTAGAGCGGTATATTAGCTTACTCAAAGACACAGCTTAAAGATTTCTCATGTTGACTTGGCATACGACCAACCCATTCAGAAACACTATACAATCTCCAGAAAAGCACTTACTCATGACATTACGAAAATCCTTATAGAATGCATGGGGAATGACGGGCTCAGGAAGCTTGTTAAGGTAGCGACGCAGTGCTGTGCTCGCGTCATGAGCAGTATAGCCAAGCCAGTTCAAGTTGAGACCATAGGATTCTTTTGGATCGTCAAATATCGCCTGCAGGGCATTAATGCGTTTGGTGCTGCCAGAAATCCGGAATATGCCTTCCGTCTGCAGAGCTAGGTTTTTTTATATGATGGATTTGCATTAAGTAACAACATTTAATCTGCTATGAAGTGACATAGATATAGGAGTACTTTTTTACCATGCGCCTTTAAGAATGATCCACATTTAGCCACGACAAGCGGGATAATTCCTGCTCGTCTATGCTTGATAGCATCTTCGTCGACATAGCCGACCGTGGATCGAGCATAACAGATCGATTCGCATACAGGAACTCCATAAACACCTATTTACCACCATTATCTTCAATTATCTATCCTCGACAACAACTTCGAATACTAGTAAAACCCGCGCAAAAGTCATACAAGAAAAGTTGTTGCTGTGCAATATTGCATAGAGACAAACAATGACTCACCTCTAGATTTTCTAGAACCCACAGGGCCGACTTTTCGTGTATTCGTGCCACCTCCTGTTCCAGAAGCCAGCCTGCGAATCCAACTACCAAATGATCGTCTTCTACTGAGTGTTGGTGTTGGTGACATATAGTAGCGCTATTGTTGTATAAACGGCGAGAGGTGGGGTATATGTAATAAAAGAGTTAATGAAGAGAAAAAAAGAGAAGAATTATTTTTGGCTGGCTGGTGCACAAGAAAAAAAAAACAATTGGTATTGCGGTTCCTTCGGCATACCCTTTGAGAATAGAGCGTGTAACGATCTCTAGCCTCGTATTAAAAAGCACAAACGTGTAACATGACATCAGTAGCATTTTTTTCTCTTTTATTGTTTCCGCCGTCTGTGATGCTTTTTGGTGGGTCAGCTGAGGCTTGGTGCCCTGTCCTGGCCTGCCCTGCTCTCTTCTTATCCTCGCTAATCTGCCGACACCGATGACAATGATCAATGTTCGGTACTTTTCTTGACCTATACATCGATGGTGGCTACGCACTCGCTGTAAGTAAATAAGTGTCAAGTGAGAGATGTAGAAGCAGGCGAATAAAGACTAGCAAGTATGATTTGCGTGTTATACATAATTATGGTTACTATCGTACCCCTTGACAACGGCATCAGCCGAGTTATCTGGGTTGCATGGCAACTGCAGTGGCCCGATAAGCAACTTTGTTGCCCCGCGCTTTTTTCAACATCAGTAAACGATGCAAACTCCCAGAAACCTTAAGTTACATTCAAGTGCTTGGAAAACCAAACTTGCTCCAAGAATGCATTCATCTCAGCTTGTGTTACAACCTCATTCTCTTAATGCAAAAACCCTGTACAGCAGGGTACGCTTTTCCAATGATTCAGCAGTGCACGAGCTTATACATATCATCTTTGATATCTTGACTATTTGAGCTTTATCACCTCTCATGCATATCAGATATACGATATAGCTATTACTCAGATTGACTGGGAATAGAAAGAAAGAGAGCGAGAATAGACCATGCGAATAAATTGACGGCAAATCATTTCGGTCTCTATGATACCGTTATAAAGATCGTAACGAGGACTCTATGTAATGAAGCTTGCTGGTCACAGCAGCATGTATGACGAGCATTGAAGTAGTATATAAGTTCCATGGTTTCAGTCTTCTTCATACTGCAGTGCTAAGTATACAAAATCACCAAAAAAATTAGCTTATAAAGATAGAAAAATTGGGTATTATAATTTATCAATTTAATAAATAAAAAAAAAGGTACGAGTAAAATCTAGTATTTTCCAATTCGCATCTCATTGGGCGTATCCAGCAACACAAACCGATACCAGAGTGTCATCAGAGGAATTGTGGAGAAATGCCACAGACTATGAGCATCAAACACACGCAAAAAGGGAGGGAAGTCGAACAATTCCAATGCCATAGCCGCCGATGTGCCTGCCACCGAGAGAATCACCAGATACGCATAGGACCGACGATGTTTGTTCTTTTCCTTAGTGTACTGCAGAATCGTCCATCCAACCCATAGCAAGAGCACTAAACTCCCAACGACAACAGAGGCCATCATGTTGTATCCATAATCAAATGTATAGAACGACAGGTACGAAATATGCGCTAAAAACATGGCTGTCACGACCACCGACAGGAGCCGTAGCACGACTTGGTTGCGGATATGGAATAGACGAATGAGCGCATAGTACAATGAGTACAGGATAAACAAACCGGCCGAAAAATAGTCGAGTTTTTCCGTGATGGGGAAATCTCTGGCGTGAAAGACTGTGCTCCATATCCAAGCGTTAATGCCCACCATAGAAAACACGAGCATGTAGGGTTTCAAGTAGTATGCGTTGGGAATGTCGCGTCGTAGAATCTTGTAATAGTAATAGTGGACATAGCCATTGCCGATCGAGAACAAGACGGAGGCAGGTTCCTGAATGCCAAACACTCGGTAAAAAGGCCATTTCCCATAGTATTGATATACAGGGGCGTCATTGGCAATGGCACGATCGGTAATCCCTTGCATGCAATTGTACCGGCAGTTTTCTGGACAATCCCATAATGTCAGGCGTAGCGAAAGAGGTAGTTCAGCTGTTGGGCATTCGGTTCGTGTGCATGTGTCGACGCAGGATAAAAAGTTGGGCTGGACATTGCCCTTGGAGCCTGCGCACAGGCGCAAAAGACTCAAGAAGAAGGTGCCTATTACGCAGATAGCAGTGTTGGTGCGCATATATATACACTATGTGGAGGTTTTTTTTTGTGTATAGAGTGTGGAGTTGGAAGAACTTTTAAGGCTTTAATTGATGAAGGGCTACACGAAAAAACAAAAGGCGCGGAGTACAAGTAGGTATGATACACATCAACACATGCATCATTGCAGCCGTATACTGAGATATGAATGCCTATTTACCGAAAAAAAAACGATTAATTAGTGTCTTGATTTTCTCTTGCAATATTTACTTTGATTTAAAGTTGTATTCGCACATGTGGTTGTCGTGTAGTAGCTGATGGAAGATGAGAGCTTCTCGTTGAGCTGGTCTTGAATTCTAAATAGGTGTCAGTCTAGATGTTTAGACAGATACATCGCTTTTACATTCGCTAAAGCCAAACTTACTATAGATATAAGGGCTCTATTAAGCTTCACTATGTTCTTGAGCTATCTACATGTCGTAACGTCATTTTACTAGTTGAGCAGTCCTCATTATTGATATGTTGGCTACATTACAATACGCGTGCCTATCATATCCGCCCTGGACTGATCCTACACGCATGGTTGCTTTTTGTTACAGAGCAAGAGGAAGATTCAATCTTCATAAGAGTGTCTCTGAGCAGAGGAAGTAGACCGACATTAGAGTATACGCAATAGAAGAGGCATGAAGTAAGTATCACGAACCAGGTTAAACACACTGATATTCTAGAATCACTATAACACAGCTGATGTATCATGCACAGGCAACATAAATGCAAATCATAGCCTTTAGTGTTATACGGTCAAAAGTACAATCAAACGAAAAATCCTGTTTTCCTTTTTCTTTTGTAGTAATGTATATATGTGTGTATGATGTATATAAAAACTATTATTGCAAGCGTACAGGTAAAAAGTTTCCAACAATCACCGTCTAACGATAGTAATATGATATTAGTGATAAGGATGTTCTTTTCACGCTTTATTTGAGTTAGAGAATGGCTTACCGGAATATTATATTTGTCTCTCCGTATCGTAAATGAGAAACAACATGAAATGACGTTCGTGTTGTCAGGATCCGGATTCTTCAACAAGCACGACGTTAATACTGCCTTCTGTCCAGGATCAAAAGCGATATTGCCGTATTTCTAGAGACATAAACATTGTGAGCACGTTATTTTTTTTTCTTACAATCACTAGCCTCTTCACTCTCCCCACAAGCTCATGTGTAACAGATATTCAAACAAACAAACAAACCTCCCAGTAATTAACTGCCGATTCTTCTGCCATCAGTTCGTATATGCATAGTCGCCCCTGAATAAAGTAGAGAGTTAATAAATCTCGTTGCCTGATCTTTAACGAATAAGAAACAACAGCAACATACTTCTCGTAAATTTTCAATGGGAACATTGACAAGTGAAGCAAATTCCTTATTTCCTTTATAGATTTCACCTGTACGACGCCACAGACACGCTGGGATTCCCATGGAACTAAACACACGATCATAATCCTATACACATATGTGATTTGTTAGATCGAATCAGAGATCAACATCGGGTAACGGCCCCCTTTTAATATCAAGTCAGCCGACCCTATCAGATTTTTGACCTATCCATCTACTTTTTCGTTCCCTCACGCACACGCACACACATACAGACACAGTATCATGATCCTGTGAAATTCCATCATCCATCATTAATAATTACCAATAACAAACGCTCGAATGCTTCTTCTACTAAAATTAAATCAATATCTGTCAATGATTGCGCCACAGATCGGAATGCCGGTCGGAACGTGCCCATGACATTCAAAATACGTTGCCGACTTGAAGCAGACATGCTACAAAAAGTGCAATATGTTTAGTAATCTGTTTAAATTACACATATCACAGGACATCTTGACCAACAAAAAACCACTGGTAAGCCTCTTACTTGTTATCCATGTATTTTTGCAACCGTGCATAACCATTGACATAGTTATATGGTTTCAAGAATCCAGCTTCGTATTTGGCATTGATCACTTCTGTCAACCGATCTTCCAACTTGCCATCGGACGGATCAGCAGCAGTCAAAAAGAACTTTTCGGTGGTATTGACAGCGGGTGCTGCGACTGCATTGTGCTGATTGTTTGCATTATCGTTATTATTGTTGTTGTTGTTGCCATACATTGCCTGGACATCACCATCCAACGAATCAAGGAAATTACTAGATCATAAATATCAATCGATAAGCAACGGACAAGATCTTTGCTACTCGTCTATATCATCTCCCCTCTCTGTACAACTCTCAGTTACCTGATGACCGAGATTTCGTTGCCCATATGTTCGCTTGCAAACGTGAGCTGTCCAGTACCCATTTGGCCAAAGAATTGGATCGGTAACCCGCCCAAATTACTGCTCCCACTCAATCCTACAATTATCATTTTATCATCAGTATACATATAAGCGTTATCGCAAGAAACACACACACATATATATACATTACATCTTGACAAGAGGAACAGATAACTTACCATTAGGCATATTGTTCATCATGTAAGGCGCACTCGTGCTAGGTGGCGCCACACGGCTTTTATTGGCATGGTTATTGTTACTACTGTTATTATTATTGTTCGGTTGCGAGTTGTTGGAATGTTTTGGTTCGTCATGACATAAATGGCCAATGCTTCGCTTTATACACCGCTGACAAGGCCGACCTATAAAAAAATAAAACGCAATTAATAGGTTGTCCCTTTTTTCCCTCTTCTTCTTCTCACGCTGATTAGTTTATAGCTATAAACAAAACGATAATAACCTTCATCACAGGTCATGTGTGAACGTCGACAATATACGCATGCTAAAGTAGTCGTGAGAAGAAATAATCAGGGAATTATTAGACCAGGTTCGAAAATTAAGGAACAATTGGGAAAGGGTTATTATATAACTCACCATGAGTCACTTTCCGCCGTTTTGGACCTGTTCTTTTCTTTTTTGTGTCCTGTTGTTGTGGGGTACTCGTATTTGATTCCGAGGCGGAATCCATGGTGGCAGCTGAAGGTGTGGATGACCCCTGGTTTTTGCTGTTGGTATTGTTGGTTGGTGTATTACTCGTATTGCTTCCTTGCGGCTTTAAATCCATAAAGAAAGAGAGAGAAAAAAAAAAGAGAGAAAGTATGTGGGGTTGGAGACTACTACCAATAAAAAAGAATTACTAGAAAAGAAACAAAAAAAAGCCCGACCCGAGTTTGCGTGCTCTGGTTCGCGGGGTTTCTTTTATCAGAGGGTGTGTCGTACACATTTAGCCTTCCCCGAGGAAAAATCAAGTCGTGCTGGCTTGGTTTTCGAGTGATAAGATCTACATAGTAAACGACACATCATTGCTCGCTTTACTTTTAATTTGCAGTTGTATCAATAGCTTTCTTCATCATCACACTCAATGTGGCACTTCAATATTGGATGATACAGTTGATAAAATAGGCTGTGATGGAGAGCAGTGGTAGGCAGCAGCATAGAGGGGAGTTCTGTCTTTGCAATTATACTAGAAAGGAAACACATCCACCTAGTAGTAGATATGATACGGCTCTGCTAGAATCATAATGAAAGTGTCCACAAACGAGATAATATTAATGTCAAAACCAAGTGCTATGTATTCTGCTCAAGGAGCTCAATCCAACTCACTTTCTTTTTCCTCCCACTAGCTTCAAAACACTTGCTTAAAATCCTGATGTTCTGAAGTATGAGTGTATTGATGGATTAAATCGACGGCAATGATATACGTGCTCATCATTCTCAACGAGATCAAGACTTATATATGAGCAACAGGCACAAAGCATTATGCTTCGATATGTAGTGGAAAGTATAATGCGAGTCTGTCTTCCCATATGCAATTCATTACACTACTGCATACACTGCTGCATATTATATCACCTGAGTCACGATGACTATCGTGCCTTCTCAGTCAGTAGAATGGCACTCAGCTTAAGAAGAGGTACGTTGTAGATTTAGCATCCCCCATCCAGCAACCCAATAGTAAGTTGTACCTGGTTGTCTTGTTCCGCCAACAACTACAGAAGTTCATAATCGGATACCCAAGAGGATCTTCTTGTGCACTTTTCTCGTACATGCATCATTCTTCCCGCAAAGAACTTTGATACCTTCAAAGCCAATAAAAATAAATAAATCGAACTATAATCATTTAAAGTCTATACATCAATCTTTTGCACACTGACATTTCAAAATAGTCTCGCTGAGTTGTCGACCCGGCGCTTTTCACCGTTGTTGTTCTCTATGCTATCGATCGTTCAAGAAAGAGCAATGTTCCAAAAGCTGAACGTAAATCTGAATACGTAGCGAAAAGTGAAAGAAATAACATTGCAGTGCAATTCTTCATTAGCCAAAATGTCGAGCCGAGACCGAATTGCCTAAAGGACAATATAGCAATCTCAGCTTCTTTTGGTACTTCCTGGGGAAGAGCAACCCGGATTTCTGTTAACAGAGAAATTGTGGTTGTCATAAGCGTTATTAAGTATCGACGCGACTAGAAAGGAATTGCAACGTCCTCCAGTAGGTTGCAAAGGTGGAGTTGATATGATAACAAGGTCCTTGGACACAGGCTTGTTCCTTGAATACGGGCTTGTTAGCGACTGATAATTTTATATCGGAGACAAAGTAGTAAAGCCTTTCACTCACACACAAGAGACAGCAGCCCGCGTGTGAAACCCGGCATCTTTTATATTTTTTTTTTCCTTCTCCTTTCTGTTGGTTGGTTTTTCCTTCACCTTTTTTTTTCTTTTTTTCCTTGTTCTTGCTATTATTTAAACCTCTTTCATCCCCAATACATGGAAGTTTACGATGCTCTGCGAGAACAAGCAGAGGAGGATGCGCATATGACCCTGAAGTCCATGGGTATGCAGCTGTGCATCAACGTGGCCATATCCATCGTAGTAATACTGTGCGTCAGCTACCTTCGGCCTCGACACTTTTTAGCATACCCGTCCAGCAAAGCGAGCATCGGTTCAACCACCTCTACCCCGACTCGGTAAAAATAGCAGCTTTTCCTTTTATCTCTCTCTTTACGACACGAAAATCTGAGATAATAAAAAAAACTAAGACGAAAAAAAAAAATGGCACCAGCAGCAGTAGTAGCAGTAACAGTAGCAGTAGCAGTTCTAGTACTAGAAGCAGTAGTGCAACAAGTGATGGTGGTAGTGGTGATGCTAGTGACACCAAACATGCTGAGCTCGGCTGGAGCGATTGGCTGAGACAGCTGGCAAAAGTTTCAGACGACTTCCTTATCGATGGTATAGGCTACGACGCCGTGCTCTATCTGAGGTTCATGCGCACGCTTCGCAACATCCTGATTGTCCTGACGATCATCGCCCTCGCAGTCCTCATGCCAATCAACGTTGCCGCCACTCGGATCACTGGGTAAGCCATCTCATCGTCAGCACAATAATCGCTGTGATGATTACATATCCGTCCTAATCATCGTCCCGTGTCACACAAAATTACTTACCTTCAACAAACGCTTACGTTGAACCACCTTCAATCCCTTGTCTATCAAATCGAATCGACACGCACAAAACAACGCTGTTGTGATGTAAATAGCGACTGGCCGCCTGTTTCATTCGACATTGGCTTTCTTTCAATCTCGGGCATCAACTTTCGGGGTGGTCAGGAGGTCCAGGATCCCGACCAATCATGGTACCTGTCGCCCGTCGTTGCGACCTGGTTCTTTACGGCGGTGGTTGTGTACTTCTTGCACAGAGCAACCAACGACTACATTGCAATGCGCAAGAAATTCTGTCGATCGCCAGCGTACAGCCTATCCTCCCGATCCCTGCTGGTCTCATCCATCCCTGCACATGCCGCGCGCTCGGACGTTGATTTTAAATCGTGGCTGGAAACGCGACATGGCATTATTCAATACCCGATCGAACAGGTCTGGCTGGGCCGGCAGAACTCAAAGCTTCTTGACCTGGTGCAACGGTATCAAGAAGCCGTGTATCACCTCGAGGACGCGTTGGCGGCGTACGCAAAAGGTAATTGTGCTCTCTCACTCCCCGGATTGGGAGTTTTTTTTTTTTCTTTTGCTTTTGGATGGAGATCGAAAGAGAAAGAGAGAGCAGGAAGGAGCAAGCCACTTTAATGTGGCGGGTTTTTTTTTTCATGTGTGCATGTGTTGGGTGCACAAACACACACACACATGCATGTGCTCTATGGTCAATGATTGTGCAGGATGAACCTTCTTCCTTCTTTATTGACAAATACCTGTTGCGTGTGCGTGTGTGCAGGTGCACCGGGTCATAGAAAACGGCCCTCTATCCGGATTTGGAAGAAAAAACAACAACACCACCATCGACGATTATTGCCATTCCCGTTTTGCCTATTCCAGCGGGGCGAGACCATGGATGCGATCGACTATTACACGAAGCAAGTCAGTGACCTCAACCGCATGGTCCGCCTCAATTCCACCACCAAGAAAGAGTCCCTTTTGGACTACGGCTGGGTGACGTTCCGCAACATGCGCAGTGCAAACAATGCGCTGAAAGAATTCAAGCGCAAAAGTAGTCGTCTCAGCGACACGAGGGCTTGCATATCGCCACCGGCCAAGGATATCTTTTGGTCAAACATGTCCATTCCTCAAGCCATGCGGGCTCTCAAGGTATGGCTTGGCCGAGGCCTGTTTGTGTCATTCATGGTTATTTGGCTCATTCCAAGTAAGTGTCTTGTTTATGCAACATCACATCGTACACATGCACACATTACATCAAAGCTTAACATGTCTCAACAGTTGCCATACTATCGGCCCTGTCCAACATGGTCAACATGATTCGCATGTACCCTGAGTCCCGCAGCATGATCGAAAAACACTCGTTTGTGATCGGCCTTATCCAAGCCTACATCACGCCACTCACCATGGCCTTTCTGTTCTACATCTTGCCGCACTTTTTCCGCTACCTGGCCATGAAGCAAGGCTATCTAACACGCACGGCCCGTGACAGCAAAGTGCTGGCCATGCTGTACATCTTCTTTCTGATCAACCACCTGCTGATGTTCACCATCTCGTCCATGTTTATCGGTCTCTACGGCCAGCTGCGCCAATTGGTCTTGGACGGCATTCTCGGCGACGAGTACATTACCGAATACGTTGCACAGCTCGCGAAGAACATGTCCGATGTGTCTTCGTTTTGGATTAACTTGTACTGCATCCGTGCCTTTGGTGTTTCCTTGGAGCTGGTTCAAGTCATGCCCGTGCTGATGGTGACATTGCGGAAATACTTTATGCGATTGACGCCACGTCGGTTCAAGAAATTGGCCATGCCGCCCAACTTTGACTTTGCGTTGAATTACAACATCGTCTTGTTTTTCTTCACAATTGCTTTAGTCTATTCGTCCACAGCACCCTTGGTACTACCCTTTGCGCTCGTCTATTTCGTTACGTCGTCGTTTGTCTACAAGTACATGTTGATGTACATATATGTCACTAAAACTGAAAGTGGCGGACGCATCTGGCCAACAGTATTGCATTCGACGATATTCTCGACTATTGTCTTTCAGTTGGTCAGCTTTTTGCTTTTGTTGCTCAAGGGGGGGTATGAGCAAGGTTTAGGCATTATACCATTGCCGATGTTCACCCTGGCGTTCCAATGGTGGTACGGTCGTCGTTTAAAACGCTTGACATCAAGCGAGGCCTTGGCGTTACAAGACGAAGAAGAAGGAGAGCAAGATCACCATGAAAAACCATCTTCGTCAGCCTTGTTGCAAGACCAATATCGCAATCCGCTTTTCGACCATACCTACTTGATGCCTGTCATTCACGATGACATGCGCTCACTTTTGACGCAAATTTACCCCAATTATCAAGAGCAACAGCAACGACGGGGACATAGAAGAAGATCTCCCTCTTCTTCTTCTTCCTCTACAAACTTTGATCCGAACAATAATAATAACGACGAGGACATTGCTTATCATGGAATCAGCAACAGCAGTAGCAGTAGCAGTAGCAGTAGTGATAGTGACGGTAACCAACCATTCGGCATGTATCCCACGAACCCGGATTTCCATGTCGTTTTACACGACCCGGTCGAGAACCGATCCGTGGTGTTCCATACCGTCACCGACGACTATTACACGTACGATCAAAATCAAAATGACGATTACTGCCCATGCTGCCATGGACCACGACGACAATATCTCTACTACGACGATCCTCCTGTGGGCGACTCTAATATACCAATAATACCAGTAGACCCGCGCAACGAAAAAGCGTTGATGGGTCAGCAACAACAGCAACAACATCTATCACCAGCAGAACAACCTTCAGCCCCTCCTTTGTCATTAATCCTGACACCGTCCCAATCTTTTGAAGCACGGCGGAAATCGTCGGGACCCATAGAAGAATGGAGACAACGGATGGATGTGCAGCGATCCTTTCAACCTGCTCCTGCTGGTAACAGCGGTGTTACTGATCTTTTTGCCGCTGAGCCTTCTACACCTCAAACGCCCGAATTACCGACATACTTGGACGCAATACGTTCTCCGCCACTATTGCGTCCTGTCCAGCCACCGCTTCGTCGCCATTCCGATCCAAGCGTTTATAATGCCAATAACAGCAATCAGCACTAATCATACAAGGAGCTGTTCTTTGACACACGAAGTTATAGGGCTCTACTTTTTGACGGACCGAGGAAAGCAACAACTTGTACCATATTGTATCGCATACATAGCCCTCTCTTTCTCTCCTCCATCTTTCCTTCTAACCTGTATATACTTATAACAACCAATATCACCACGTGCATGTCTTTTTCCTATTATCACTTAAATACACAGAGATTACATCATCCTTTCATTTTAATCTTTTGTATGGATTGTCCCTTTTTTTTCAGGTACGTACTCAATAGCCATATTAATAGTAAGTATTGCTGGTACCACATGAGATCAAAAGCGCAATTTATCGGCAGCATGTTTATACATATTGCCAAGAATCGCAGGGACTTGGCCGTATTGAGAGGATATGAATAGAAGCGGAGCAATGGTTGCTGTTTCTGTTGTTGTTGTTGCAGAATATGTACAAAAAAACAACACGCTCTATCTCTCGCCGTCGGCTAGCTCGGAAGCCAAGCATAACAATGGGTAGAGAAGAAAGTTTATATCACCACTAGTGAGTAGTGTGCATGTGTCACACACAGAACACTTCATAAACTCGAAATGGTCTCGGTAAATAGGATAAATGGTTGTTGTTTATATCTAATTTCTTACAACAACAAAAAAAGATATATAAGAGGGACGAAAAGACAGAAAAGAAGCAACAAGAACAAACGTTTTTTTCTGTCTTTTTAATTTTTTACTATCATACCATCCTATTTGCATCATCATGTCTTCGTACTATCCTCCTCCTCAAGAAGGTCCTGATGGCCAACCGCTTTATTCGCAACCTCCTGATGGCGGCTACTATCAACCTGCACCTCCTCCACAAACAATTGTTATCCAACAAGAGGAACAATCGAGCGACAGCTCATGTTCTTGCTGTTGGGGATGGTAAGTTAAGAAACAATGATTATCCTGGTCTTTGACAATTTTCTAAGTCTCTGAAATCTATTGCAATATTGTAGCTTGGCAGCCATTTGTTTCTGCTGTGCCATAGACCAACTTTGTTAAAAATATCTTGCATGTTCGCGACAGCCATACACTGTATCCACATAAACGACTATACTCCAGCTGCCCTTTTTATGTATATCCTATTACTTCGACCCCCTCCCTCACCAGATAAATAGTACAGAAGACAGCTATCTACTACTATATATCCCTTGCCTCATCGTATCGTCACCAGCCTTGTAGACACAAGACTGTAAAGTGCATTGAAGCTTTTTACCCTCCTCCTCGTCCTTTCCTCACATATACACACTATACGACAAGTGTACACCACCAAAACACTCGGCTCCTAGTATGATAACAGCCCTCTGCCCCTCTTCTACGCGTTACAAATAAATGACATCACCATGTTTTGCTATTTTCGTATTACCGAGTTTCATTAACCGTTCCTGAAAAAAAAATCTGTACAATGATCTCACCCCCCAGATACACCCCTCACTCGCGACCCTCCATTTTATATGTATTTGAATCATGTTTCCGTGGTATCATCATAATAAGCTTCTAATAGCTACTGATAACTCACAAGCCACAACCATGAAGGATTCGTCAATTTGGTGCATGAGATGATGATGCCCATGTAGGGAGTACTATGTACTACTTGTCAAGTTATGTAATCTACACCCCCTGCCACTATGCAATTCCAAGGTGCTTTTGATCCTTTTATTCATAAACCCACAAGAACCATCTACCCCTTTCTGTGAATGCACTGTTTCTTTCTAAGCCGAACTACCTTCTTCTCACCGAGTGGACCACTCACTCCACACTATCTATCAGGTCTTATCAACACTGACAAGTGAGCATACAAACGATAGAATAGTTAAAAGAGTGATGTACGACCACCTTTCCATAACCGACCACGATAATAAGAGGAAGAGAGTATAAAGAGACAAAGCTCAATTACCACCCTTATCCTCTTATGCGCTTGGTGATAGGAAGAAAAGGCGGGCCGGAATATCGATATTGGACCTTTGCAGTTAGAGAAATTAGAAGTGAACTACGTTTTCGTACAAAAACCTAATGCTTCTTTCTCTGTGAGGTTATTTTAGCCCTTGGTAAAAAGAAGAAAAACAAAAAACGACGTAATCCATCTCGCTTTTTTATCGCTATTGCATATCGAACCCGTCACAGCTGCTGTGTTTTGAGACAAAATCACACTTTACCATTTAAAGTAAAAGTCAGAATTTGATGAAGCTTCTTTTATCAATAGCTTGTTATCAGTAGAATGCACTTAAGCAACAGTCATGAGTAAAATTACTGCTGTTACTGCTACTGCTGTATATTCTCAACTAGTATACAGGTGTAATTTGTTTTGTTTTGTTGCCGTCACCGCTTACACTTTTTTTTGATTTCACTACTATTAACCTGATTTAGAGCTGGTGGGATCAAAAACGTGCATACCCAGCTCTTTGTTTGAATCGTTCTTTGCTCTTTAAGTCTATCTTGCTTTCGGTCAGCAATCTCCCTATGCAAACTGTTAGGATGGCCAAATTTCCTCGATTACTTTGTTATCCTTGGCATCTGGCTGCACAGTGATGTCTTCATGATATGAATGTATTCGTAGTAATGACGAACCAAACAAGTTCTTTGCTGTTTCAGATACGTTAGGTTGCATTACTAGTGCTGGCGTCAGTATCATTTTTTTTTCTAGGGTCACCCTTACTACTCTCCTTAGACCGTATCATATTCAATAAAAGCGGTGACACACATTAATGGTCATAATCGTCTACTGCTATATCATTCACTACGTGAGAAACTTCTGCTTTAATAAAATGAAAGTAGAAAGTAAGCATTTTTACCTCGCGGTATACAGTAGTAGAAAGATATACATGCGTTTTTAGCCTTGATAGCTCTTCGGCATACGGGGCACATCGAAATTCTGACCCTCGAACACATTCGTTTTTCAGCAACTCGCTGTTGGCTTTGGATCCACTGCTTTAAAATGCGGTCTCTTCTGGTATCCTATAGAGTTTTGCTTGCTTCTTTAAGCTCAATTGATTTTTCCTAGTTAATTGCTTGTGTTGCTGTTGAGTTTGATGAAATTGGTGCTCGATACTCACCCTAAATGTCCATGTATTCACATTATCGAATGCCTCCAGTACGTGGCAGCATGCTGCTATGTACAATATCTTGTGAGAACATCAGTTAAACACATCCGAAAGAAGAGAAGGTATAAATACATTATTCAGAAGATTTACAAACTTATATCAGGACGTTGTTGCTGCTGCAAATGTTTTTCTAATCATTTCTATTAAGAAAAGTGATCTGCTTTGCTTTTTGGCACAATGTCAGACACGGGATGAAGAGAAACACTGATTTATTGAAAATGGAGCAGGATTGATTAATATCTTCATAAATATTACTACTCTCTTAATGATACGGACTAGTAGCAGTAGAGCAGCTTGAGACGATACTGCACACGAATGTCAGTCGCAGTGCGGGATTTTTCTTGCATTTATCAGAAAGACCAGCAGGCAGTGGCTGTTAATTAGCTCGTTTCTTTTTTTTTCCTGCAACACACGCACATACACAACTATGAGTGACAATGAACGTTCCGGAGCAGCCGATGATGACCTGTCGCTTCCAAAAGGTAAGGAAACTTCTCTTGCTCTTACACTTTCGAGTCTACTTTGCTTTTTAAAACAGTTAATTCATAGTGATCGTGTTTCTCAATTTTGGAAAAAAAACATATAGCCACCGTTCAAAAATTAATAAACGAAATGATGCCAAATGAGATTGCTTGCGCCAAAGACACACGAGATCTACTTATTGATTCCTGCGTCGGTAAGTTCGTTATGGTGTGTGTTTTTCACTGTCAAGTACAAGTTGTTAAATTCGGTCAATGTAGAATTTATTCACTTGATCGCTTCGGAGGCAAATGATATTTGCGAGCGCGAAAATAAAAAGACGATCGCTGGTGAACACGTTGTGGCTGCGCTGCAGGCTCTTGGTTTTGACGATTACGTAGAGGAAGTAGACGAAGTTTATAAAGAACACAAAAAACAACAGAAGGTAGTGTTTCTATGTGTGTGCGGATAGAGTTGCTATTGTTTGTGGTAGCAGTAGGAGTAGTAGTAGTTGGTGCGCTTTCTTCTGGTTGTTTGGAGAGAGTATCTGAGCACTGATTTAAAAAATCCTTTTGCTTTATAGGAGCGAGACCGAAAAAGTACACGTTTGGAGAACACAGGCATAGCGGAAGAGGAACTGTTACGGCAGCAGGAATTACTTTTCGCACAGTCTCGACAAAAGTTCGAAGCGCAACAACAGTAGACACACACACACACACACACATACGCACCTATTTTGACAACGGCATATTATTACCCTAACACCCGCTATCGAAACTGTTTGCCCTGTAGCAGCAGCATTTCATCACAGCCATCAACCAAATCCACTTGAACCCATATCTTCTCTCGCTTGCTCTCCCTCGTAAATATACATACTCCCTTTCTCCTCTCTCACATCATCCATTTGTTGAAGCCACTTACAATGAAGAACAAAACGATACAATATTTCATTTTAAGCATGTACAATGCCCCCACCTAAACAATTATAGAAGATGTCGAGAAGCTCTCGTCGCCTTAACTTCTCGTCACTTAAAATCAAAAATGCTCACTCTATGGTCAATGTTTTTATCTATTCCAACAGTCTGGGGTCGAATGCGTTCAACAAGATGATCGTAAACTGGAATGACTTTGTATGACATTTGGTTTACAACGTCCGACCAACCATGCCACGGTATTCTTGCGTGTTCCTTTCATATGCTCAACCTATTTGCTTTATAATCACTCTCACGCCGATGATATGTTAGCAACTCACGAAGATTGTTAGTTTTACAAATGTATTATATAATATCGTATCCTTCAACATAATTAGCATCAAAAAGCATTACTTCATCGCAGTGGATCATTCTCCCATTACACCAATATTGGAACAGGGCTATGTTCTGTCATGCTTAGTTTAATTGTAGTAGTAGCATTCATCATTGTATTTTACATATCAATTCTTGATCAATACTCGTTCCAATTTTTCTAATGGAATAAATACATTGGCTGTAAAGTTCTTCAAGCGCTAAGTATACATGTTTGCTTTGGGCACCACCTGGTTCGTTTCTGTTGTATCTATAATCGTTTTAGCCACGGCCTTTTCCACTGTAGTCGTCTACGGACTTAAACGGTTGAAACGTTGCTGCCATTATCAATGAGCTATAGACGTTTCAGATTGATTTTTGGATGCACAAGTGCCCCTTTCACTATTGTCAGCGTTTTCAAGTGGAGGGTGGTTTCGTGGATATTGCTTGTACATATAAGAATTTTAAAAACATATTTTCTTGCTATGGGTACTCCAATATCCTTGGCTGTAAGCTTCCTCTATTACATAAGTTTGTAGGTGTACTGTAGGTTTTAAGTGGAGTGCTACCCAGCAGATGTCGGCAAGGAATTGGTGAAACTACTAAATTTCAAGGATCTTTTGACTTTATATTACGCTATTAAACATACACAGATAAGAATACTTCAACAAAATGCATTAGTACACGCAAAGCTAATTATATACTCCAAAAAGATAAAAATTAAGAAGCGAAAAAAGTATCCTATCTAGTAAGCAGCTGCTAATCCGAGCTTGCGTGGATCACTTGCGGCATGAACAGTGCCGTCCGGTAGGCGTCGGACCGCTTGTACTGCAGAGACACGTTGATTCTCACCAAGGATGAAGGTCTACACATACAGATATAAAGTCAGTATATCAATGTGTTATAAATTCGTTGATCCATACCTCGTGACCGCGCTGAGCCAATTGCTCCAGGATATCTCTATCATAATCTCCTTCAGCAAGCAAGATGTTCGGCAACAATTGATGATGTAACCGCGGAAGCTCGATAGAGTCGTAAAGATCATAACCAAAATCAATGGCATTTAGAAGGACCTATAAATTTTACATGTGTTGAATTTAAGTCAGTGATAATGATCACACCACCCTAGTCATTGAGCACGATGAATAATATATAAACCGTACACTTAATGTGGCTGTGGGAATCAAAGAACCACCTGAGCCACCAAGAGCCATTTCAAACTGTGAGTCACGCTCAATGATAGTGGGCGTAATCGACGAAAGCGGTCGCTTGCCAGGAGCTAATATCCATAATAACGACGTTGCCATGTTTAGATTCTTCCATTGTTTGTTGATCCTAATTCCAGCGCATGCCATGATCCTTCCTTTCTTTTAATCTTTTTTCACACGCAAAGCAGACTTACCAACATAATTGTACTCGCTCGGATAAAGGCCAAATTTGTTAGGTTTTCTATTTTAAAAGGCAAACGGCATGCGTCGGTTAGACCACATGCCATAGTACAACAGACTAGAGAAGCAATGCAAAATGCACACGTTACCCTGGTATCGAAAAGTCATCCATTTCATCATTTAGTATCACACCAGTAGCTTGATCCAAGATTTGAGCTCCAAACAATAAGTTGACTGTAGACGTAAGGGCAACTGCACCATTATCCTCGTCAACAACGGACAAATGCATGGTTCCATGCGATGAAATATGATCGAATTTTGGCTGGTAATATAAGGGAGGATGCGTGGTATCCTGCACGTGTTTCATGTGTTTATGTGAGCTAGAAAAACCCATACTGTGCGCGTATCTAATGCTACGAGTCGTCATCACTACTACTACCACCACCAACCAACCACCCGACTTATCCACTCACATCAGAAATATTCCGTCGAACGATATTCGCCCATTCTTTTGTCGCAATCTCAAGGATTCGTTCGTCATTATCAACAAAATCTGGGTCTCCAAACTCGGTGCGAAATGCGAACCCATACTTCATCGCTTCAACAAACCGATGGATATTCAAACCATCCATGCCATGGACAGGGAAATTATACCGTTCGAGGATATTGAGTACGCTAGCAATAAGTGGGCCACTGGTCGGTGTTGTGCATGTAGTGACCTTACGGCCATGATAGTATGTGCTGACTGTAGGTCGAATGACTGCTTTGTAAGTTTCCATATCCTCCATGGTCATGATTCCACCTGCTGCCTGTGTCGCGTTCACTAAACTTTCTGCAATATATCCCTATCAGTTAGCCACATTTTCCGTTAGTAAAAACATTATTAATTTGTGAAAAAGGGCATTAATAATAATTAAGTAAATAAAGTTATTTACAGTATAGAATGCATCGGGACCTTCTCTGGCGATAGTATCCAAGGTCTCTGCAAGTTTAGATCGAACAATCAGGTCACCTGCTTTTGCTAAAGTTTCGTTTGGCGCAAACACTTCGGTCCATTCGGGCATGGTCATCAACCAACTTTCAGCTGTCTATATCCACAATGATAATACTAGTAAATAACAAACCTTGTTTTAGACAAGCCTTGATATCCACAATTCTTTGTTTTTACCTTTAAACGGGTTTCCAGTAACGGCGTTGCTCGGAACCCGTACCTTGCAATTCTTATTGCTGGTTCAAACAGTGTGGCCCACGGTAATTTGCCATGGCTAGAAAAAACAAACAAACAACGAAAATGCATGTGTAACCCTCCAATTAGTATGACAATCCACTCTCTGCCTTATCTCCTTTTGTCAAAATCTTTACCGCTTATGTGCGAGCTCGAATCCACGAACTTCTCCCCTGGATTATAAACAGAAAAGAAAAAGTATAATTGTCAAAACTTTTTGCTCTACGTCAGGCCCCATACACCAATAACCTGATGATGATCACAGCATCATCTTGAATTGCCTTTCTAAGAAAAAAAAAAGAATACTCACGGGACGCCCACCGCCAGGCCACCAACCTGTGCTGCCTTTGAGTCATCGATAAACATGTCCCTATCTGAAGCCAATGGTGCTGTTTCACGGAAATCAACGAACTCAAAAGTGCCATTAGGTGCTCGAATCAGCATGAAACCGCCTCTATAAACAAAATACCAACGTTAATGACTATTCTGACGAAGAAATCACCCATTTCCTCCAACCAAATTAGTAACGCTATATAAAAAGATAAAATTACCCTCCGAGTCCTGTAGTGATTTCAGTGAAATCGTTATGTTAATATAAACAAATTTGGAGGAAGATTGTCTTATCTAAGCACGTTATCACACAATTTCCGAACCTGTTGCAAAACTATCAATGACACCAATACACAAGGCGGATGCAATGGCTGCATCGACGGCATTTCCACCCTGTTTTAATACTACACATCATAACATATCGTCAACGACTATTACAAAAATTAGCATGTCTATTGATCAAAGGTCTTACTCTCAACCCCTGTATTTGAGCATTCCTCAGCTTCTACGGCGACAGCTGCCCGTTTGCCTGTTACTAAACGTCCAGCACTTTGAGGACCTTGTGATTTTATTAAATGATTAATAACAGGTTGATTCAGTATAAAGGAGGAGGAGGAAACAAAATGAATATATGATCAAAAGATAGGCGAGTACCTTCTTTACGTCCTTTTAAGGTAGTCACTGCGACACCCGTTATCAAGAGCAAAGCTGCAGCGGTGATTCCAAGCACGATCAACAGTTTGTGCTTGCGACGATTACCGCCCTGGGTAGTGCTAATTGGCTTTGGAAGGAGCGGCTCATTCGCAGCAATGTCTTCAGAATTCATGACGTTCTTTCAAATGGGAATTGTGTCAAATAAACAAAAGTGAGAGAAAGAAGAACAATAAGCGCGCGGAGATCGAGAAAGGAAGAAAAGCGTACAGAAGAACGGGCTAAACTGTTTCACCGGATGACCGAGTAGTAAGCGCTGTAATGCAAGAAGAGCTTTAAAGTCAGAAACGCCCAATCAAATCGATGTCCGAACGTTGTCGTCATGTTGCCTTTTATAGATTGAAGGGTGGGCGTACAAATTTACAATATGGCAGATATTTAGAGAGGTATTATACACAGTACCGCAACAATTACTAAGCAACCAACTTAGACAGTAAAATAGACAGTACTGTGCTATGAGAGTATACGTGCGATGGGCTTGAGCAACACAGTTGAGTATACTTCTACAGTGATCCCCCTCTTTTTTCTGGGCTGTCATTCCATGATCGAAAATGCATCAAGGTGACAAAAGCTGCTTGATCAATAGCACATAAGATGACTTTAATAATGATTTTTGACGCTTCACAAAATAAATCTGTCTTTTTCATGATATTTTGACGGTCGTCTTGAAAGCAATTGAAGACATCATTACACCACGTTAGAGATCATTAATTCACCCGAGTCTTTGTCTGCGTCAGTCGAGAGTCCTTCCCTTGTTCGTGTTATCAATTCCTGCAGGGCTTCAACTTTGGCAGCTCGCTACTGATATCTTCATAGACAAATAAGCTGCAGATAAACAAGGAGTGGGCTGTGATCGTTTATAAATGTTGCTTACATTATACACAGCTTGATGAACACGCGGTATCTGTAGAGGAAAAACAAGCATGCCGTCTTATATTCCGTGCGTACAACTATTAGTCTTTTGCTGTAACAATGTGGTCTTTAATTTCTTAACAAGACGGTATATATAAAAGTCGAAAGGAAAGGGGAAATGGTTATATTTGGATCGATCAACATAGCTGCATCGTTACATTTCATATTGTACAAATGTATATGCATGCAGGAGCTTGTACATGATGGTAGCAGACAAAAATGGTTTATTTACAATAATTACGACAGTGTGAGCACTGCGTCCGGAGGGACATACTTGATCGCGTCAGAGCTGAAAAGCTTTGGCAATCTAAAACAACCCTGTCTAGGCAGCAGGAAAATAGGTTGAATGATGAAGGTTCTCGATAGATTGAGAGTGGGTGGGTGGGGGGCAAATAAGATTTAATTCTCTGGTTTTCTTTACATTTTTGTTGAGATATAGTTTGTGGGGAAGAGGAGAGACTAGCTTGCTTCGGGATGCTGATCTGGTTGTTGCGTTGCTGTTGGTGCGAGGGGAACCGGCGGTGTCCAGCCATTGAATCAGGGATTGTCCTGAGTTGTACTTAATGCATGCAGTAAAATCTTCCTCGGGATGGCCACATCCGTTTTTTTAAAGGAGTTGACATACCTGTGGCCATATATGTCACCAGTATTGTGTAGAATTGATGAGGCGTTTTTTGGGGGCTTGTTGAGGACGCAAGAGATCAAATAAATAGTGGCTGCAGGTATGGTTGACTAGCAGAAACTCGTGCATATTTAAGCACCACTGCAAGTGGTGGATAGTGGTGGGGGCGGTGTCGTCCTGGCACCAGCACGCTGTTTCCTCGAAAGGATGCCAATACACAACGAATGCATCTGCTGCGCTCATGAGTCGCCATGGGGAGGTGGAAGATTGGGTTCAGGCCAAGTGAAGAGCTGCATGCAGTCAATCGAATAACGTTGGGCCCGGCCAATCGCTTGAGGTGCTGATCATATCGAAACAGCCGGACTTCCGTGCCTAGTGAGGTGTAGGTGGTATTCGGGCGAGGTCGCGACAACTAAAATAGTAGTAACAGCAGTGCATGATGCTCAACATATTCTCTATCCTGCTTCAAAGACATTTTATATAAAAAGGAGCAAGTCAGCGTTAATTATAGGAAGCTTCTTTTCTTCCTTTTCTCCTGTAAATTCCTGTTTTTTATATACCACAAATGCCTTCTGCATCAACGACAGCAAAGCCATCATCATCATATGAATTTGACAAGGCCACAAAAGTTCATCCTTTAGGTGTTAACGATTGGGGTGATGCAGTTTTTACCGGTCAACTTGATAAGGTATTTCATATATACCTCTCGTTTTACTTGAAGTGTACAGGAGCGAACAAGCAGAGTGAATAGACAATGATATTATTTTACCTCTTAATGGTATTATACAGCAATGGGTGTTACGTGGAGTGATACTGGTAGGTATAATAGATTGTCCATTTTTCGAGGGTAATGACAACAACAACAACAACAACGTATTATGAAACTAAAAAGCTATATATTATTATGGTAGGGTGGTAAGCGTTGACATATATGAAGAATAGACAAAACAGCAACGGCGTCGTAGTCCTTCGTCGAGCATTCCGCAACCTCCCTTCATCCTGAATCATCATTTTGACAATTGACGGGCGGTGGTGTGTGGGAAATTGATATGGAATGTGTAGGATATCTGACATCCATGATGCTGAAGACCGCTATGGAACATCATCCAAACCGAGCTCCTGCCGCACTCACAGCATTTTTCACCAGTCCAGCACGACCAGGACCATGCGTGATCGAAATCAAGGATCTCAAAATCAGCAAAAAAGGCTACAGTACCGTTACTGTGACGCTGAAACAACTCAAGAAGAATAATTACCAGGACAAACGCCCACCAGTGACGGTTCAAGAATACAACGCGAAGGATTATGAGATGAAGTGTTATACCGTGATTACTTTAATGGGACACAACCAAATTGAAACCGGCCCTACGATCATCCATCCCGATGCAGCTGCTGCTTTGATCGATCGTAGTAGTACTACTATGCAGCCGGTAGATTTACAGATGGGGGGAGGAGAGAAAACCATAGTGTCGCTGCAAGATCTGAATGCCAAAAACTTGACTGCTACAGCCGAGAGTCATCATGCTTTTTCATTTTCGGATAACAGACCCATCAATTCGATAGCATTGCCTTATTTTGCAGACATGTACGAACATCCGCTGCATATGCTTGCAGATGCAACATACATGCGACTGCAAAACACACATGCATGGAAACCTACTTTACAGTATGAGGTGCAGTTCAAGTATCCGATCATGCCAAAAACAACAACGCAGATCCTGGCTAGCTTCAAAGTACCACATCTCATTCAAGGAAGATTCGATATGGATGGTGTTTTATACACACCAGATGGAAAAATTGTAGCCACAACGAGGTATGTCTACGATGATTTTGCATTACAGTATGATACTGAACGTGTACGCTTATCATATTTCCAGGCACCATGCAATAGTAATTCCGCGTAGGAGTGAACGACGTGATAAGGTCCAAGAGCAGAAGAAATCAAAGCTTTGAGATCTCGTTGGTTTTGTTTTCAAGAGCACACATTGTGAGTCATCTATGTATACTGAGACCTCGTCAAAAGTTTGGCATCAACAATAAAATTGGTGTCGTCATAATATTTGAATCCGACAGATATGATTTTGTAATCTTTAGGTGGCCAAAACAATTGCGTCAGAGAGCAGAACAGTTACTGGAAATCATACTGACCACAGTGAGGCAACTAAACCAAACTAATCTTATAAATCTATTAGTCTTCAAGTAGCAATATGCGCTTTGTAGGTAGTAATTTCGCTTGTCATCTTAAAAAATATGACTCCGTATGTCTGGTTACTAGCGTCGTAAACGAACAATCCCTTATGTGTATATGTAGAACCAAAGCAAAACTTTTCATTTGACGATCATACAATTTTTTGGCGCGGCAAAGCGGCGCATGTTCGGATCAACATTGGGCACAGCGGGGACTCTCTGCCGGACTAACAAGCTATATAAGTTGCAGTAATTATCTTTCTTCCCGACGAACAGAAGATCTACAGTACTATACCATGTTGCGATCCTTAGCACAGAAACACCATTTCCTCTCAAGACTAGTACCACCTAATGCGGGTCAACGCTGTCAAAGGCAACCATTACTACTCCAACGATACCACAGCACAAGTACCACAACAACAAGCGACGACGACGTACCATTTGACGACAAGCCATTCCCTTTCTCACGATTTGAACCGTGCTGCCCTGACAGTGAAGTAGCAGCAGCCGAAAACGGCTTTGTGCCATGCTCACGTCACCCGATTCCTAATGTCATTGGCAAAAAAATCGAAATGCACGAAGCGTTAAAAAAGACCAAAACGGGACGACACTTGGTCGCTTGTGTGGGACTTGACGCACCCGACTGGATGCGGTCTAAAGTGGAAACTGTCAAGGACGGCATGATGCTTTCTTTGAGTTTCGCTCAAAATGCCTGGATCAAGGAACAAAGAAAGAAACCTTCCTCGGACACTACTGCTGGTGGTGGTAGCGGCGAATTGTTCACAACCATCATTGATCGACCTTCACCCAATACCGAATGGCCCACATCTGATATCTTGCTCTTTCCCGAGTTTCGTCGGTATCCAGCAGCTCATCCGGATAAACTGCTAGATTCATCCATTACGCCATTGTTGGATGTCCTCTGGGAGAACCCCATGTGTGGTATATTGCCCCATGTCGAAAACGAACAGACGTTGGATGATATTGATACGATTGTACTGATTTGCACACATACCATGCGGGATAAACGATGCGGTGTATTGGGGCCATTGTTGGTGGAAGAGTTTCGAAAGGTCTTAAAGGAACAAGGTCTTTTAAAGGGTCAGGAGAACGGTCGTGTAGAGGTTTGGGGGGTCAGCCATTTTGGAGGTAAGTTCTTTTTATATTTGGAGGGAAGGATGGAGAGAAGAGAGACAAAATAGAATCTGTTTGACTGATTATTATTTACGCATGATTTATACTGTAGGCCACAAGTTTGCAGGCAACTTGATTATCCATCAAAAGGGATTAGGAGGACACATGTATGGAAACGTACGGCAGTGCCATGTCCCAAGCATTGTCGATCGCCATATCATCAACAGAAAAGTGATCAAGGAGCTCTGGCGTGGAGCAATGACGCCTCCGTCTGTAGAGTAGATAAAATGAAAGACCCTCTTCCTTGCATAGAATTCATTTATTCCCTTATTGTACTGTACTTTAAGCATCTTCTTTTTTCTATTGTTCCTGAAAGTAAATCGCCGACTTAAAAGGCTTCGCTTATCGGATTATTCTCCTTCTATAGCCTATAAAGCACCCATCTTACGTTGGGCGTGGTGGCACGGTCCAGGAGTTGTCTCGTCAATGTTGTTCGTTTAGCAAAGTGCCCCAGAACGAGATACAGTGCATTTCTGCGTGTGTATTGTGTACAGTGACTGCTCAGAGGATCGATACTCGCGTCTTTTTTTTTTACGCGCGCGCGCGCTCTCTGATTCTCTCTCACAATTTCGTTCTTTTATTTAACCGAATTTGACAAAGCTTTATTTCGTTGCTGGTCTTCCACAATTTCAACTTCTTTAATATCCCCCAATTGTCACCTAGCAACTTTGATTCTTTCTAAATTGCTAAGCAACACCCCACATTATAAAATATTCCAAATAAAACATACAGAGAAAGCGGACGATAACAGCAAAACTACACAGAATGACTCACAAGCACGGAAAACTACAGAATGGGACTCCTCCTACTAACAACAGTAGCTCCCACCGATCACAGTGTCTTCAAGATAAAAACAGTGAACGCACTACAGAATCACCATTTGCATCGACCGATGGAACCAAATACTATTCCTTCAATCAACGCGATCCTTCTCCAGACGACAATAGCAACAACAACAAAGTTGATTCAAGAAAAAACCGAACTACAGGCAACGACAGCGACTCTAGGAGAAAACGAACTGTAAACGACGACCTTTTAAACTCTACAAATACAGTTGTTTCTGGTAGTGATGCTGCCGCCGGAAGTCCAGGCCAGCAAGCAAATGCACGAAAAATGGCCAGAACCCTTACCGCCTCAGAACGACTGGCGGAAGGATACGTTCCAGATCCGGCCCAGTTTGATGTTCATGATCGTGCGTGGGGTTACTTGCAAGCATTGGTGCCTGAATTTCCTTCAGGATATCTTGAGCGACAAACGTACTCTGCTGTAAAAAGAACTGGTTATCTTATCGGTCGTGGACAAGGCAACGACTTTCCGTATGTTGTGCAGTTCTTGTCTTTCTGTTTTTTATACTGTTCATCAATCCATACATACTCAATCAACCTTTTAACTATCTTTAGCTGCCAGCGAGGTGAAATTAGCAAGCAACACTGTCTGATCTACATGGTGCGAGTACACTATCAGCTATATGGAAAAATATCTCTTTAAAACTGATCATCCCGTAACATTTCACTTATCTTTCAGGAAAGCGGCACCGATGGTGTTCAAAGAGGCATCAGCGTGTATTTGGAGGATCTCAGGTACAGTTTTCATATGAATAAATTATCCACGCGCACCCTACTCATTCATCGTTTTCCTGGCCTTTTTTTTCTTTTGTGTCAGCTTTAATGGCACCTGGGTGAATGGCAATTTGGTTGGCAGAGGCAAACGGGTCCTCTTACGTTCTGGCGATCGTATCCAGTTGATCCGCAAGATCAATTTCGATGATGATCATGTCAAGAATCGCTGTAAGTTTATTTAAAAAACGTATTTAAAAAACGACAGTCTATCCCACCCATATCAGCTCTTCCCTCCCTCCGAACCTTAGCCCTAGTCCTTCACTACGTGTTTTTTTTCTTTATGATATATATACGAGGACGAGAACGTAATTAACTGATTACTACCGCTACTACTAGTCTATCGCATCATTCTCCCTCCTCAATTCGAAGTTGGTGTAAGTTGTGGTGGATTAATTGTATGCGCGCTCCTTTATATTCAAAACTTATTCATTTACCCAATCTTTTTAAACATAGACATTCCACGAAGAATATCGACTAGCACACGTATTAGGCCGCGGCAACTTTGCACATGTGTATTTTGCGGCTCACAAGATAACAGATAAGGAAGTCGCCGTGAAAATCATAAGCAAAAGCAAATTTGATCGTCGGCCCAAGATGTTGCCCTCGGTTATCCAGGAAGTTAGCATCCTCATGTCGTTAGAGGCTCATGTAAGCTTTTAAAAAGATAAAGGGGGCTGAATACAAGGAAGTTGATGGGGAAATGATAGATAGGGATGAGTAGGTTGTAGGAAAAGCTTTTTTATTGAACTTCTTTTGGGCTCTTTATTTTTTTTCCACAGCCTTGTGTCATACAGATCGGCAAGGTATTCAACGAGCCAAAGTACCTGTATCTCCTCCTAGAATAGTGAGTACTAGTATTACTACTTGTCTGATTACTGGTTTATGGTTTGGTTGTGTTAACTAAAACTGTGCCCATCTACAGAAAAGTATGTTGACTAATATGTCGTCCTCGGCGTTGTTATTATTTTCTTTTTGAAATAGTGTTCGTGGTGGAGAACTCTTCGATTACGTTGTGCACCGCAGTCGTTTAACAGAAGACGAAACACGCTTTGTCTTCTTCCAATTGTTTACTGCTATTGATGTAAGTGTATAAATAAATACTTTAAATGCTCAAATGGATTGGCGCAAAAAACGTAGGTTAAGACAAATTGCCTTGATTATATATTGATATATGTATCATTTTTTTTACCTTTCGTATAGTTTCTTCATAGCAAAGGTATAGCTCACCGCGACCTGAAACCCGAAAATGGTAAGAAAAAAGCTTATATGTTCTTCTTGGCGTTATTATGCTCAGTGATTCCCATGGTCGTAAAAGGCTATCTAATAAATCGTAAATAACACTCTACTTTCTATCGCTTATGATCCTTATTTAGTACTGCTCGTCGACAAACAGAAATTACACGTCAAGATAACAGACTTTGGCCTGGCTAAGATACAAAAGGGGGCAACGGCCTTTGTCAGTCAATGTGGAACTCCAAACTACGGTAAGTCAAATAAAACATAAAGGGAACTGCCACAATCATGGAATATTGATTATTGTTATCTGTTACAGTGGCACCAGAGATTCTTGATCCAGCAGGAAAAAGAGCGTATGGCAAAGAGTGCGATTTGTGGAGCTTAGGCGTCATGCTCTATATCTGTCTATGTGGATTTCCGCCTTTCAATGGTAAAAACAAACACATTCCCGCTCCCTTTGTATTTCACTCAATGTTTACTCGATCATAACAATTTACGTACACTTTTACCAGATGAACTTTCGCCACCGCCAATGAAGGAACAAATCAAGAGTGGCCTTTATACCTTTCCAACACCGTACTGGGATGATATTCACCCTGAAGGTATATGCTGATGCTATTACTGTCAATTTCAGCAAGACTAACAATTCGAAAAAACGTATTTGTGTATGTATGTATAGCTGTGCAACTCATCCGCCGTCTATTAACCGTTGATCCAGCCCAGCGCATAACCGTTAAGGAAGCTTTAGTAAGTTCTATTATACCATTATCCATCTATCTTTCTATGCATACACAACTGATTGAAAATCATTTTTTCTTTATCTCTTTTTGGTTCCTGTAGGATCACCCCTGGATGATGATGGAGGTAAGGCAAGAAGAGGAGGGAACAATTACTACTGCTTTTCTTATCTTATCGGTTCGAAATGCTTGTTGTACATTACTGATATCGGTCTTTCTGTCTTCTTCTATGTTAGCCGGAAACACTCACTAGAAGATGCAATGACGTTGAGCTCGGCTTTGAAAGAATGTTGCTGGCACACCAAGAACTGGCGGATGATGACATTAGGGAAACACAACCAATTGTTCCATCAGCACCAACACAAGAATTTTAATAGCAGAAGACAAATGTCGTTGGAGCTTGTTATCGAAAAAGCATTATTATCTTTTTAGGAACCATGACATCCAACGCAAAACATTCTCTGATGCCTCGTTGTTTCTTTCCGCCACAAACCTAAGGCAACATCATCATGGATTCTATACTTCTTACTCCTATGTTTTTACTCTTTCTGACCTACATTCGTTTTTGCCATTATATCACATGCATATCTGCTTCAAGTCTGTCACGCCTATTAATATTTATCCAAATAGTGACAGATACTTTCTTCGTATATACTTCCCTGCTTTTGTCTCTCTGTCTCTCTATATCACTTTACTTTCGTTTTTTCTCCTCAGTACATATAAAGAACACAATCACCAACCGATTATATTTCTGTTCTTTTCATGTTTTACTATATACTTTATATTTCAAACCTTTATTTTTCCACATTTTCTCATACTCCAGAGGTAAAAGCAATGAGTCTACTTTATTTTCATAATTACACATCAAATGTGGTATACATCTACTTTCATTGAATGTATTTTCTTCAACAATTGTTGCGTATATATCAATAGTTTCATACAAAGTCTAGTAACTTTATGTTGTCTGGCGTATATATTGAATTCAGAGTCGAGATTCCCTAAAGTTTTTCTTGTCGTTTTCCTTGTTGCACAACACGACTTCCGTCAACCTCTCGATTTCTGGTACTATATAAATGACAAAAAGATAAAGAAGAAAACCAGTGCGTACTAGGTTACGTGCCAAGCAAAAGGTATGAACACATGACACGTTAAATATCAAAAGAGCTAACTGTACCTAATCGATCCGGATCTTCTGCAGGCAGTGTATGCCATCCGTCAATCACGCATACTGTCACCATAGCTGATTGTGCTCCTATATCTTCAGGATGGGACCTCGCAGTTACATCTCTATTATTTCAAAAAATGAGTTATGTACATCTATTTAATAAAAATGGGGACATGGCTCGCGTAGGATATCACTTACATCATTGGCTGTTTACAAAGCACTGCATGGACCGGGATCGAAACCATTTTAAGCGACATACAGCTCGTGTAGGCGTCATAAGTAGCTCCTTGACTTAGCAACTAAAAGTATAGTTTTTGAGCAACATCCAAAAAAAGGTGTTTATACCTTTTTTTGTCCAAAGTTTATTGTTTACTTACACTCTCTTGTTTTTTGGGACATTTGAGCTTTACTTTGCCTTCATCCGTGTCATACAATCCGTAATTCTATATATTACAATAATATGCTCAAGTAAGAAGCAGCCTATTATCAGTATTGATTTATATATTACATAGTATATCATATATACACCAGCCGTAGTATACAGTCCATTAAGCGAACGCAAGACTGACCACATAATTTTCAAGCGCTTCAGGATGCAGCTTTCTCCAAACCGGATTTTTGCGCAATGTCTTCCTGCATGCTTCTCTAAATTATGTCAAATTCACCACCATTTTGAACTGCGTGTAAGCATTTTATAAACCTTCTGATATCCCTTCCTAATTTCCTTGTAACGACGCTACAATGTCGTCCCTCATGTCACATACCGATCTGGCCAAGTATCCTGTCTTTTTAAAGTACTGGTAATCAAAGGGTATCGTCCGACTTCTGCAGGTCCGAGTGCCCAATTCCGTATCACTGGTTCCATAATGCAAATACCGTCAAAAATATTGGGTTGAATAAACTCTGCGAGCAGCCTATGTGTGTGTGTATGTTGTTCAGGTGCCAAATAGTCGATACGCATGGTTTATAGTATTATGGTAAATCGTGTAAAAATGTAGTGATATGAATTTTTTGAAGTCATAATGGGCAGTAGAGTCGTTCCTTACATTGTACTAGCACCAATGCTATGTGCGACGCCTATCAACTTATCATAACCTTCTTTACCCAAAGCCATTTTCCGGATGACTTGTAGCGTATCCATAGCGAGGTCAAACCAAAGCACTAAAGCAGTATGATATTTTAAGGGGTTGAAAAATTAGCTTACTATTTGTTTAGCCACGGTACCAGTAAGAAGCTTGGGGCATCTGTGTATACGATAATTTTTTGTGTCTGTTTTCGAAAAGAGAGGGGCTTCTCCATAGTATGTATGTTTACCTTTATACTGGTCCAGATACTCGTGGTTCAATCTAGCCGAGTCGCCATGGGTTCTATTGTCCCAGGCTATAAAGTCAATATGAGTGCTCTCATACACGGATTTAGAACGTAATCGTTCGATAAATCGTCGCATGAGTGGATGCAACAATTCTTTGTGAAAACCCGATCCATGGGACCACAGAAACGCAATTCTTGCGGTGGCGGAAGAGCCAGATGGTGGGGGAAATTCATGGCGTTCAACAGCAAGTCGCATCGTATCATGGTTTGTTGTAATCGGATGAACAGAAATAACTCCTTCATAAGTTGGAGTCAGGCGAGTCATTTTGATTTTCTTTTTTCCTTCGCTCTGGCGATGAAAGAAAGAAGAAAGAGAGTTGATGGCTTAAAAGAAGAATAATGCAAATGCATTAGGGGTTATGTTTACATATACTGAGATCATGAGACACGATAGGCGTCCCCATGCATATGTGGTCCATCGCCGTGCTTTCTTTTCGCGAAAGAAACATCTTCAGTAATAGTGACAATGCTCAAATGCCAAAAATCCACCTTTTCTTCCTTCTGTGTTCCATCGTTGCATAAAATTAAATAAGGGAAAAGGTGTTTACATAGCTAGATGTAGACATGTATACCTCTTCCTTCTCGATCGAGCAACAAATCATAACAATTGTTCTGTATTTATTTATGACATAAGTTTTTCTTCTCATCGATAACGACATGCTCATGACAAACGCCTGAATGCTTTGATGCAGCTTTTTTTTGTTTGTATACTGTCACAATAACTCAGTTGGTAGTTTCAATACCACTAATAGTTGACCGATGGGATTTTCCCAAGTTGGAAGCCCACCCCAACCGCCATGATTCCGCCGACTCAATAAATCCCACATGCATAAATTTTGTTGTTTATAATGCTGGATCATCTGTTTCTCTCTTCTCTCAAGATTTAAGTTGGCAGCCCAAAGAAAGATTTTGTTTCTACTTCTTGTTTTCTTTTTGCGATATACATAATTTCTTTTTTCTTGCTGCTGTATTAGAAGTTGGCTACATCCTCCTTCTTCCCCCTAATTAAGATTGCTGTTTATAAGAAAAAAATATGACTGCTGCTACTGATTCTCTATTTTCTAAACAAACGGCTATTTTGGGCGGTGGATCCGCTATTGCACTTGTGGCAGGTCTATTAGCGCTCAAATATAATGATCGACCACTTTTTGCCGAGGAGCGGAACGATATGACGCTTTTTCGGGGACATCCCTTAATAGGATCTTTACTCTATATGATTCGTAACAAAGCAAGACTGGTGGATTACATTTCCGATGAGTTTGAGTCCAACGATGTGACAACACTGTAAGTTTTAGAGAAGGGAAGGAGTAATGTCAGCAGAAAGATGCTCTGAAGAAAATTGGGTCTTGAATGTATTCACATATTATAAGCGTGTTTTGATACACTATACAGTATGTTGCAGATCGCTGGACGCCCACCCAGAGTCCTCACCATTGACCCAGACAGCGTTGAGCACATGATGAAAGGTATGCTTAATAAGGTTGATGGAATATGGGATCGGTTTCCAGTACGGCTTTAATCATACTAAGGAAGTTGGGTATATTAATTCTAATCTCAACAATCCTCTAGTAAATTTTTCAAACTATCCAAAGAGCTTACTCTTAAAGTACATGGTTTGAATATCACATTTAGAGATGATGCATGAACAACCCTAGACGTATCAAACTTATATTAACAATCTCTTTTCTGTCATAACTTTTGATTCTTCGTGAACTAGACACTCCTTTGAAGATTTGCTTGGTGATGGAATTTTCGCGTCGAACGGACAGACCTGGAAATATCAGCGTAAAACAGCGAGCCATGTCTTTAATGTTGCCAACTTTCGGCACTTGTTCACAGAGTAAGTGCGATGTCAGTATAGTAGCTCAGGCTTCATCTTTTTTTACTGATGCTATGATTATATAGTGTCTTTTTGAACAAACTAGACGTGGTTACAAGACAAATATTTGATCGAAGCGCAGACACAAAAGAGCCTGTTGATTTCCACGACATCATTCTTCGCTTTACATTAGACTCATTTGTTTTGTAAGTTATGAATTGATACAACAACTGCTTTATGTATACCTGCAAACACACATGCGAATGTATTTGCTCTTATCTAATAAGGGTTTTTTAATTTTTTCAAAATGCATAGGCTTGGTTTCGGCGTTGAGCTTCATGCACTGACCAACAAAGAGGGTGTCCCTTTTGCTACTTCATTTGATATCTGCCAACAAAATTGTTTCGACAGGCTGCATTCCCCAACGACACGCATTTGGGAAGCGTTGCAACCAATTCTTTCACCACGTCAAGTATCGATCGGACAGCACTACAAAACCATCAAAAATTTCTCCCTTAAAATCATCCGAGAGCGGCGAAAACTGGTGGAGGAAGGCGGCAAAGAGTTCAATGACATGCTGTATCGGTTCATGGTGACTCCGGATCCTAACGGTAAAATTTTGGAAGATCGAGAATTGGCACACACCATACTCAATTTTATCATTGCTGGACGTGGTAAGTAATACTATTTCATTTGTAAGTTCTACAACAGTACCTGTAATTACATATACTGAGCCTACCCTAACACTTATTTTTTCGGAATATAAGATACGACGGCACAAGCATTATCTTGGACATTTTACAATTTGATGCTTTATCCTCGTGTAGAAGCCAAACTTCTAGCTGAGATCGAAGCCCACTGGCCGAACGAAAAGACTATGGATTCATCGGCCCTATACGAGATAGTGAAATCGCTTACATATGCTCATGCAGTGTACATAGATTGCTTTCTTTATGCATATCGTCAGCTGTTATCTGGTGCTGCATTTATTCTCTAATACTTTTTTCTAATCCAGACTGTTCGAAACGCTTCGTCTTTATCCATCTGTACCTATTGCATCCAAACACGCCCTTGAGGACGATGTATGGCCGGACGGTACATGCGTGAAAAAAGGAGATACTGTAGGATGGTGTCCTTATGCACAAGGCCGGTCAAAACGTGTTTGGGGCAATGATGCAAGGATGTTCAAGCCTGAGCGATGGATTGATAATGACGGAAACCTTGTGCGGGAATCTCAGGGAAAATGGCCAGCTTTTAATGGAGGGCCGCGCGTTTGTTTAGGGTATGTATCATATGAAATGTTGGAAGGAAGGAAAAAACGTTTTCCTTGTTACTCATATTCAACGTTCACAAACTATAGGCAGAATCTAGCTATACTGGAAGCTATTGTGGCTATTGCAACACTTCTTCAGAGATATAAATTCTCGCTTGTACCTGGTCAGGAAATTACGTATACCGCTTCTTTAACGCTTCCAATGAAGAATGGGATGCGGGTCTGGGCCACCAGACGCTAGTTAATAGCGATTTCTCTGCTACATATGTCTCTTCTCTAACATATAACAAGACATTGTCTTGAATGGCAATATACTATTTGTGCTTACAAGTGCCGATTAGCCAATAAAAATAATACCATTCATGTGCTACAATATCAAACCAAAATGTGCAACTTTTCGTCATATCTCGATAATATTTGCTCAAAAGAAACGGCAAAAGCCGTCTCTATCCAGTCGTTTGCTTGTTTATTCTATTCGTTTCTGAAAATGCAGTTGCGAGATGTATAAGCGCATATCCTGCATCATATGTACCTCAACATGCATCCTGTGCATAAAGCCGTCGAGCCTAAATTTTCGTTTTAAGAGCAATTCACCAAGGAGCAGCAGTAAGAGTTATATTTATGTGGTGATCGTATACATATTTGTTATGATCAGCAATACAGCTTCAAACAGATTTATCGCAGTAAACATACTTTGTTGCATTCAAATAACAGTATACATCATTATACGAGATACTAGTACCATTCAGCGATTCATTTGAAACTAATTATGCTTGGCATCATACAGATGGTAGTAGTGACAGTAGAAGATTGAAAAGATCTTGAACTACACTAAAACAAAGTTTACACTCGCTCATTACATACATACCGGAAAGTCACCAGATATTGCTGCAGTACTATTTTAGACAAGTAAATTAAGTTTTGTACTCTGCAGGTTTTTCGATATCATGCTTACTATCTTCCTTTCTCTTACTTTTTTTTTATGTAAAGTTGGTATGTAATAAGCTCGTTGCAATAATCGAAACTATATTCTTATGCAACAATGGCTCTTTTAGTTTAAAAATGAGCGCAGCTTCATGGACAAAAGAGACTACTACTGCTAGTGACAAAGTAAAGAACACCAACGTCGATAATCAGCAACAGCAAAAACAACAACAACAATCTTCAACTGGTTCTAAAAGCAACGACGATATCTTGAGCGACCATCATCCTGAAAGCAAAGAAAAAGAGAACGAGAAGAATGATGTCAATAACAGTATAAAATTACAACACTATACAGACGATCAAGTTCTTTCTATGTTGCCGCATCATCTAGCACCAGATGAGAAAGCTGATCTGGAGAAATTTGACCGTCCAGGAAACAAAAATATTACGGCAGCAGCAAACGATGGCGTAGTAGATCCTTCTTCTGTCAGGGATATTGATGGTGGCTATGCATGGATGGTAGCTGTCGGGACCTTCTCTGGGTCTCTTTCTGTGGGCCTTTCATTATGTTGGTAAGCAAATGGGCAGCTGTCTTATCCATAGTGCTGCTACTGTCATAGCTGTGTCAAGAATAAAAAGATTCTAAACTGCTTTATTACCAGGGGTAAAAAGATAAGAATATTAGCATTTGCGGTGAAACTAAACACCATCATCAATGACAAAGCAACAAATAACCATTAGTGCTTTCACTTTTGATTTTCTTTTCCTCTCTTTGCCCCCAAAAAAGGCGTTATACAAGATATTTACATTAGGGAACAAACATTTTCCGATTCAAATCAATTGATCCAGCTCACATTTGTTGGCAACATGCTATCTGCTCTTACCTACTGTTGCGTTTTCCTGGCCAACTTTTTGATCCCGATGGTTGGTGTGAAACTGCTCCTTTTGATCTCTACTATTATGATTTCTCTGGGATTGGTATTGTCGGGTCTAGCCACACATGTAAGTGGCGTGCATTTATCTTGTTTCTCTACGCCATACACAAAAAGAAAGTATGAATTATTAATACTTTTTTGAAAATATCTAGGTGTGGCATTTGTACCTTTCATGCAGCCTTTGTTGTGGAATAGGAATATCACTTATGTATGGGGTAATTGTAAAAAATACTGATTAGTCAAATAGCACTTGCTACATATGTTTTTTTCTTCTGATCTGACAAGATGTTTATAAGGTAATTATAGGGGTACTTCCACAATGGTTCGTTAAAAAGCGAAGCACTGTATTTGGGTTCCAATCAAGCATGCTTTCTGCGACGGCATTGATCTTTCCCTTTATAATTACAGTTTCAAATGATACGTTGGGTATTGTTTGGTAAGTTTGCATCGCATAGGAGAGTAGCAGCAAAAGTAGTTATCGCTTACTCGAAAATTGTATTTGGAAAAAGGATGTATAGAATTCTCGGTCTCGCCTTTTTTGCGTTAAACGCTGTTGCAATCTTGTTGATCAAAGAAAGACCATCAGACAACAACATAACACCGTTACGTAGAAAGAAAAAGATTCTTGATACTGCCGTGCTGAAAAACAAGACTTTGGTGGTTTGGACAATTGCAGGGCCAATATTTTCTTGGTGTCAATATATCACCTATACATTTTTGCCCCGTAAGTATGAGAGAGAAAATCGTTGAGCTGTACTACATGTAAAGTAAGAACAACTCTATTGACAACGCCAATTTAATGTAACCGCCCTAATAGAGTATGCAACATATCTTGGCCTTTCTACCACTGAGAGCTCTGCAACCATTACAGTCTTTGCAGCTACCAGTATCATCGGACGAGTTGTGATGGGGTAATGTATTAAACGAAGTTATTTTTTGTATTTTGCAATGCGGTGATGTTTATAGAAACATTTTTTAAGAGGGTGGTCTTGTTAACAGAATGTGCTGCATACATCGTCATAATGGATATAGGCTGCTGGCCGATAGACTAGGGAACTTGAACACATACATTGTATTTACAACAATAGCATCGCTCCTCATTTTGTTCCATTGGATGTTTGCTTACGATCTAGCATCATTAATCTCTTTTGCTATTGTATACGGCCTTTTTTCAGGTGGACATTATGCGCTGGGTAAGTATGCATTTATCCATTTATCCAAAAGCATCTTAAAAACCAAAAAATGACAACTTGTGCATACTGACATTCTGTTATTGATACCATATATACCACGGCTGTAAATATATAGCATCACCAATAACAGTCGCCATTGCAGGTTTGCCAATGTACCCAGCTGCGACTAGTTTTCGAATGCTCGCATACTGCTTTGGTATAGTAGGGCCAACCATCGCAAGTACTATTGAAGAAGCGACCAACGGCAAGCCGTATCTTTGTTATAAACTTTTTGCTGGATTTGCACTATTGATTTGTGTTATACTTGCTTGCATTGTTCGACATCATCTGAGCAAGAAAGTTTGTGACAAAATATAAGAAACGAAATAAACGGGTTGTGATGTGGTGGATATGTATAATGCGTTTCCTGTTGCCTGAGGATATATAGAACGTTTCTTGGAGCAAATGATACAATGGTGATGGCTTTATTTACTTTGTAGTACATTTGCTTGGATACAAAATGCAAGTAGAGAATTGGTATGGCTGCTTTACTTTTGTCGTTCTATGTATGTTACTAGGTGCACATATGATGTTGTTGTTGTTGTTGTTGTTGTTGTTTTCTGCTTTCCGTTATGAAGTTCTGTTCAGTTGGCTGTTATGCGATGGTGTCAAGTACGTTATTGCGTGGCATTGCCGCGGAATCGTTTACGTGGGTCGATCTGTAATCATATTCAACGACACATTGAGTATCCTTCCCAATGCGTTTTTCCATTGCCACCAAAAACAGAAAAGTGCTATAGCTTCTCTGAATAAAATTTGCTCCCTTTTCTCCCTCTCCTCTTGTTCTACGTTAACGATTCAACAATTAAAAAAAAAGAGTGTATATATATACCATTCCCCGACGGCATTCTGCGTAACTTTTGCGAATGCTCTGACATTCTGCAGGGACATCGTCGGCATGTTCAGACTTGAAACAGTCTGCCACTGTGTTACGCTTAACCAAAACACAGTTTGATTTTAGCATGCATTCAATAAGTTCGGCACGAATTTCTTTGCAGGACGACGGCATGGTTGTTGTTGTTCAGCTGGTCGGAGAGGAGGTTCAAAAAGACAGGTTCAACAAAGCAAGCAGCAGCACTAGCCACACACATTTCTTTTTTTTTTTTTTTTTAGGCGCGCAACAAATTATTGCGTCGGTTTTTATTTCAAGTCACGTGCATATTAAATATGAGAGGTGAGGAGAAGAAGCTAAGGAGCGTTTGACTAGTTGGCGATAGAAGGAAGATTTTCTTGAGTGCGGGTTAACAAAAGGGAATGGATTTGCGTTATAATGTTATCGGGAACGAAGGGAGAGTTGTTTAAAACAAAGCGCCAGTGGGCGTTCCAAAGACATTCTAATATACAGCTGATAATTATATCTGAAGGGAGACGGGGAGCATTTTGGGGAAAATACAGGTGAAAGATGGCATTGTGTACAGCAGATTCTGTAACAGATTGTAATAGTAGGTCGGGCCATACGGAGCACCAGATCGACCATTTGCGAGGGCATTGGTACAGGAAATGAGACAAATCATCTTCATCTTGGTTACAAATTGGGCATACAGCGGATGTGAATTCGGAGGGCATAATTGAATGTAGAGTTTTACGGCATGAAATCTTATTGTGAAGCGCTCGGTACCAAACATTTCTTGCCGTTGGCGATATCTTCAATCGCCAGAAGGTATCCCATTGGCTAGGTGTTAAGATCGTGTTTTCCCGGGCTTCGACGTGTATAGACTTGTCGATGATTGCTTGTCTGAGTTCTTTTGCTGTGATCGTGGTCAATTGTTTATCTTGGACCTTGCACCATGCTCCCAGATCGACCGCCTTATGTTCACGGATAGCGGGATCAATAGAGTTGTGAAGAAGATGCCTCGGGATCAAAGTCTGAAACACCGCTGGATGGAATCCCAACTCACCCAAGTCCAAGAAGCGAACCAGTAGACCCAAAAGGCGCGGGTAAATCAAGAATTCCGTGGCGAGCCGTCTCCGTAAACAGCCCTTCGCTAAATCAAAGATGAACAAATCATCCATTAGGAGCCTGTGTTTGGCTATGCGTCGTAAGCATACGTCTAAGGTTTTGGTGAGCGGGCGCTGTGTCGGCGTCATGGCATCTAGGACGTGCAGTTGTAGAACTGTAGCGGTCGGTATGAGTTGGGATTGATAGTCAACCGTAAAATTGTCTAAGGCCTTGCATAGCTGATTTGAGAAGCTGACGGGTTTACTCATTGAAGCGGTCCGAAGTCGGGGAAATAGGAGACACATATGTGGGTCCTGGTTTGGAGTCCATGTTGCCTGAGTATTAATTATCCACGAATGTATGAACGATCGCTGCTTGGTGTCATTACTAAACATAGGTTGGATCCATCTGAGCTGGAGTGCTGATTGTTGTGCTTCCGGGACTAATATTGCAAGGCCCCCTTGTTTGCGAGGTGGTGCCAGTCGGTGAAATGCAATCTTGGGAAACATCTTTTTAGTCAAGAAGTCATGGCAAATGCTGCGAACTTTCTTCTGGAACGCTTGAGGGACCGCGCAAACTCGTAAGACGTGCCAAAGTGATGATAAAATCAGCACATTCAGAATTGTCGCTCGACCGCGAATCGAGAGTGACCGATGCGCATGGATGTTGCAGGCTGATTTGATCTTGCCTAGAAGTTTGTCCAGGAAGCCATCCCGTTGCTGCGGCGATTGATACAAAGGATATCCGAGATATACCAAGGCTTGATGGGCTCGTCGATCGAACCATGATCTAATGCCCATTCCCTCCAAACACGAGCGCAAAGTGGATGACGACTTGCCAGATAGCGATATGGCGTGCGTTTTGTCCATATTGACCTTGGCGTTTGATGCTCTGGAGTAGGTGTCTAAGTGGTGGCGGACTTGTTGCAAATCTGATTCATTATGAATGAAAACAAAGCAGTCATCGGCGTAGGCTAGAACCTTTAGTTTAGTTGGAGACGGTGTGACTGGGGTAAGAGCTTTACTTGCTGCCATCGATATATCATATCCGTGTAATTGTTCATCGTTGAGGATGCGGACCAAGAAAGGCTCTAAGGCCAGATTGAACAAAATAGGCGAGAGAGGGTCTCCTTGTCGAACGCCACGTTGTTGTTTAAATGCTGGAGACAAGGACCCGTTAATGTTGATTCGTAGATTGCTGCCGAAGAAAAGAGTCTTGATAGAAGAGATGATCTTTGCTGGGAATCCCCATTTGCTAAGACAACATTCGAGATATTCTGGATGAACGCGGTCGTACGCTTTTTCCATATCCAAAGATAAACCGACGTCATCGGCATTTACGCTGGCGGCATGGTCCATAGCAAGTCGTACAGCAAGCCCATTGTCTGCGATGTAGCGTCCGTGCACGAAACCCGTCTGATACTTGTTAATTAATGCATTACTAACACGGACTATTCGTGAGTTCATGATACGGGTAAATATTTTAGAGTCCGTGTTGATCAATGCAATTGGACGCCAGTTTCGTAGTTGGGAGAGCTCCCCTTTCTTCGGAATGAGACAAATACATGTGTCTGACCATGATGCTGGAAATAGTGCCTGATGTAAAGCTGAATTGTAAATATCAACAGCCATTCTGCCATATAACGGGTGTTTGAAAATGGTAGACAACATGTTATAGGGCAGGCCGTCTAGTCCCGGACTGCTTCCTTTCGGTGCACGTTTGGTTGCGTCAAGTAACTCGTCGAGAGTCATGTCTTCTGTTAAGATGTCGCAAGAGTCTTGTGAGAGCACGCATGATGGCGGTAAATGGTCCAACAGGTCTGATATTGCTGCTGCATCAGTCGGTTCCGGTGAGTATAATTGTGAATAAAATGAACAGACTGCTTGATGCATATGATCAATCGAAGAGTCTACGATGCCTGTTACTGGATGTTCTAGCTGGAGGATGTTCCTTTGTGCCATTCGTTGTTGTGCTGTGCGTTTTAGATAGCCGGCCGATATTTCGCTACGCTCTCTCCAGCGGACATTAGCTTTGATAGCTAAAATTCTAGCGTGATCTTCTTGAATCTTGTTGAGCTCGGCGGTAATATCAACAAGGCGCTGAGGTCGACTTCCTGTTGTCTTGAAATGGCGCATCATCTTATTACGTTGACGAAGTAGGTGTTTTTCGCGATGGTCTTTTTTCTTGGCTAGATAACGTCCATATTGACGGCATTCCTCTTTCGCAATCTTTTTGACTTCATCCCAGGCCTCTTGTGGCGAGGCTATGTTGGCAATTCTTATATGTGCCGATGAGAGTGCTGAATTCAGTTTTTCTTTAAACTGTACCGAGTTGACAATAAGTGGGTTGGCTCTCCATATGTCTTGGCCCTGCCGGATATTACTGGCCCGCATGCTGGTCACTATCAATGCATGGTCCGTCCAGTTGCTATTCACATGGCGGACATCGGGTGCCGAACACAGCAGGGAGAGTGATGATGACGCAAATATATAATCAATTGACGATGTGCCTCGTCCGTTGTAGAATGTCGTCGTGAGGTTATTGGATCCGTCCGACGGCAGCATCAGGTTGACAAAGTTTTCATTCAAGTGTGCGCACCACTCTTTTGGTGCTGCTTTCATGAATGATGAGTCGCGCTGCGCATATGAATAGTTGAAATCTCCAAGGATAAACAACCTATCACCATGCGGAATCATATTTTGCTGTTGCAGGATTGGAAGGAGTTCGAGACTATAAAAGTCTTTCCGATCCCTGTAGGCGGCAGGCGCGTAAAAATTGATAATGTTGAACGGTGGAAATTCATTATTGATGTGTGTAACCGTCACCAACAATATCCGGCCGCTTTGCGACGCAAAGACATGTTGGATGTTGACAAGGGGAGAAAAGTTGATAATGGCACAGTGTTTACTCCATGAACTGTCGCGAGCACAGAACCGTTGTTGTAAAGTTTTGTTGTGTTCATCGTTATGAGTGCCCGTATCTTGAAGTGCCAGCAGGTGCAGGGCTTGGCGGCGTAGATGACGGATGAAGTGTTTTGTTTTGTTGGGGTTGTGTGGGTCATGTTTGACAAGATGTCGAACGTTTAACGAACCAATAGTGAGTGTCATTTTTTTGTTTTTGTTTTTTTTTTTTTTGGTTTGTTTTTGTGTTTTCTCTGTTTCTGAACTTCTTTGCTTTCCTTTTTTTTTTTTTTTTTAAAAATAAAAGGGAGGGGTTGATCTAATCAGAGGCCATAGTCTCCGCGGACGAGTGACCGGTGATCAAGTCGTTGGCGTGCTGTGGACCGCTGTCGGGGGACGTTGACTCAGTGGCGTCGAATTTGTTGTCGTCGCTTGAGTCTTCACTTTGCTGCTGCTGGGGATTGTGCTTCGAGGCCGAGGCACCCGATGGTGTGCTGATAGGCGGCGTGTTCCGGTGCTCTTCAAGTGTGAAGGCGGAATCCGAATCTCCTGCTGCCGACGGAAGCGGTTGGGTAGCATCCTGGGTCAATGCATCCACTTCGTCCGAGCAGAGTATCATGTCTTCTGTTTCATCCTTATCAGTTTCATCGGAGGATGATTGAGATGATGATTCATCGTCTGTTGGGGGTGTGAATTCTTCGTCTGAGGTATCCGTGTTGTCGCTGAGCGGTTCTTCGGTGACCATGGGTACATGTTTAGGCTGGGAACTTCGACGTTTTGAGTTCCCTTTGGGTTGTTGCTTTGGTGTGGCCTCGTTGACCTTCGAGTGTAGCTGAGCCTGGTTTTCACGCTCTTGTTCACAATTCGGGTTTGGAATGGTAATCGTCGTTTTGTCCAAAGCTGACTTCGAGTGAACATTATGAGAGCGATGATCAGATTGTGTATCACTTAAATGTTGAGCTGGTGGATGCGATTGTTGGGTTTTGGTCTTCTTTGGACCTTTGCTGGTTGTCGTCGACTTTATTGGCGATGCTGAACCAGTCGTCGTCTTTGGTTGTTTGCGCGGGAGTGCGTTGTGGGGATGATCGCATTCTCTCGCATAGTGACCGATCATTCCACAGTTGAAGCATTCTGGTTGAACGCGGCTTGGACATTGTTTCAGAGTGTGGTCTTGGGAGTGACAGTATCGGCAGTAATCACCCATGGATTGCCAAGTAGCGTAAAAAGACCGTTCTCGGCCTTGCACGAGACCGAATTCGACCTTGTGGGTGAGGGGCTTGTACGACTCTGGGGTGGTGTTCTTAGATTTCATGAGCACTGCGTATCCTTTACCCTGGAACCAACCACCCTCTACAGAGCGGTATAATCCAAGTTGCAACACGTGTCCGAATTGGGTAAGTGTTTGGCGCAACAAGACCTCCAGCTCATACATTTTGACGCCTGTAGGCAGTTTTTCGAGTTGTACTTTGGTGAGATCGTGTTCCGGAGGGAGCGATCTTACAGCCGGGAAGTGAACATCACCGACGGTAACGCCCTTTTCCAGTGCCAGGTTGCAGATGTCTTCGTCTGCAAAAGTCATCTCATACAGGACTTGTTTCTTTTCGCGATGGTGGATGAGACCTATGGCCTCATCCCAGTTTTCAAACGTTTCTCGAGCTGCTCGGAAAAACGCGTCCTCTTTGACTGAGCGTGTCGACATATCAAAGAAAACACTGTATTCTTCCGTTCCTCGACGAAGTAAATGGGATGCGATTGGTTGACCGTCGGCTGCCATGCTGCCAAGTGTCATTTTTACATCTTCAGGGACGTATTCGTTAAGCTGGGTTATCAGACGACCTCGACTGATTTCCGGACGTTTTTGGGTAACTGCTTGAGCATACGTTCGTTTTGGATGTGTTGGTGGATTTTCCTTGGGTTGGTTGGAGTCACCATCAGGAGTGACCCCAGGCACTTTTTGAAGGGAATCGGGAAGAGCCATGCCACACACATTTCAAAAACATGAGCCACAACCAACTGGAATTGAAAACGCAAAGCATGTTGCTACTAATCCACCCCTTTAAGCTCTAATTATTTACTGATACATCCTTGGTGTAATAAGGAGATACAACTACGACATTGGCACTCACAGTTACAGCCGATAACAGCGCTTTTTTTCCCGCTGTGATAGATTTAAAAGTATGCTAATAAGGATCCACCACATCATAGCATATGTTCACTACTGGTTCAAATGTCGATATACTTTACATAAGAAACGTAATCAGGAACATATGCTGCAAATTCTGAAACACGGTTATCATTGGCATGGGAACTGTGCAAACAAGGTCGCTTTTGCTACCAAATATTTCATTTCATAAATTAATACACTTCTGTCTTATACTTAGCATGATCATATCATGCTCGTCATCATCGTCGTCATCATCGCCAGCAAACAAGTATAGCAGTAAGCAGAAAAAACATGCACATCCACTCTCGGAGCACCTTGCTCTGACCAAGTACATACTTTTGTGTAAACATTGAGTGATATCAGGCAGCAATAGGTTGTATTTTGGAGTTGATTGAGATTCGCTCAAATCAATCATTGTACTTGTTTGTGCCTCGCACCATATAAAATGTGTACATACGGGACATTGTTTGTTCTTCTTTATCCAGTATCAAGAATTACTGTGATCGTAATAGCTGCTAAAATTTATATGGGTGCTTCGTGCTTATGTCTAAAATGTATCTGCTTTTGGGATTATGCGATTTCCAACTGTACATGCTATGTCCCATAAACATGTCATCATGTCTCGCTATTATATGAGCGTGGGTCGTTGTTTTGTCTTTGGAATAATAACAATGATACTCGATAAGAAACACTGAAATGGATATGAAAAGAACCCACAGACTTGCTTGATTACCAGCCGAATCAATGGGGAAAAGAAACGATAAAGAGGGTAACATCAAGAGACTAAACCATGCTTGGCATTTTTAAACAAAAGCGGTGGAAGCAGTCTTCATCGCATTTGGATAATCAGTCACTTTGCTCGTCGTTCCCAAATCGAGATACAGTTTCCAAATCAGGTCGCAATATGCTATTTAGGCACATGCCACTCATTCAATACAGAATCCGACAATTGGGTGTTGGGTCCTGCTGCAGATCACAAATCTATACCTTCTTTTTAAAATGTACGTACAGGATAATAGATATGCATTCTATCTATCTCATTTTGATACGCGGTAGCAGCATTATGTATTGCAGTCATGTATGTATCGATATCAAAGTAATCAGACTGTGCAGCTCTCTTTCTGTATTTCACACGCTGTTAAGAATGGGTAGCTTGTGCATTATGAGATGTCCTTAATTCTGGGATCCACTATTGGTTATAAGCGCAAAGGTGCACCTTTCTGGGGCTGTTTACAAAAGACAAATATACTGGATGATGGTCAATGATTTTTTTTCTGCTGCTCAGGCAGATTTAAATCGGTCTGTATCAATCGCCCTCGTGTTACTCCTTGTGAAAACAAATCCGTAACGTTTACAGCTGATAAGAAGAAAGACGAAAATGGATACAGTATCGAAATGATGATGACGACGACAACCATGGTCAGCAACAACGATAAAAAGCTTCCGTTATCCATCTTTTTCCGTGTTTCTTTTTCTTGTGTAGCATGCGATTTAGCAACGCCAAATGGAAGGCACCGGTGTTCTGCGCGCACGACGTTCTCCTTCCCAATTCGTCCAAGTGTGGGAAGGGTCTTTTTCTTTTGCATCTCTCCATTGATCTTTCCAGGGCTGATAACAGCAAGGAAAAAAAAAAGTTTCTTTCTTTTTGGGGAGAGGAAACCTCAAACGAGCCATTTTCTTCCTTTCTCTCTTTTTCCTTCGTATGGCTTCTTCTTGAAAAAATTTACGACTTCTTTCGGTTTCTATCCCCTCTTTTCTATACACTCTCCATTCTTTTATTATTCTTGCCATAATACACATAATACACCAGATACAGGATGCGCATGGACGGTGACCAACGTATCAAAATCAGCGGATGGCGAAAGAAACAGCAAACACTCAACTTGAACTTTGATGACCCCGCCTCGTTCCGCCCGCTCGCCATGGGCAAACATCCAAATCTGCTCTGGCCCCACGCCACCCGACAAGGATGGATGACCAAACACATGCCACCTGCGTTTTCATTCACAAAGACGCGACACCGACGCTATGTTCTACTTGTCGACCGCCTTATTTACACGTTCAAAACCGACACTCCCAAGCACGATTTTCGCGAGTTCTTTGAGCTGACGCAAAACACGAATATCTTTGTCACAGATCAGTTCCCGTCCGTGCTGTATTGCTTGGAGATCCAACGTATGGAAGATGGCCGTACTTGGTATCTGCAAGCTGAAGATGCAAATGACATGAAGCGTTGGATGGACCGGTTAAAACGGACGATCCAATGGCTGAGGTTGGAAGAGTCTGGTGTTGCTACAACTGATAAGCTGGATGGCGTCGAACTGGCTTCGGATAATCCACCACCAAGGCAAAGAATGGCTACTACCGCCGCTAGCACGACGACAAGGCCGGAAAAAAAACAAAGTGTCTCTTCGTCTGATTCGGCGTCGTCGTATTGTGATAACAACAACAGCAACGACAGAAAGCGGTTTTCAGCCTACAGTTATCATACACCACCACCTCCTCCTCCACAGCACCCACCGCCATCAGGGCCACCACCGCCCATCCCTGCTGCATACCATTACTCTGCAGAGCGTCAGATTTCAGTAGAGCATATGACGACATCAGCCGCTGCTGCTGCTTCGGCGGCCCTCGTGTCGCCCACAGCAGCCAATACAAGACGGCCTTCTCGTTTGCCCGATGTGCTTCCTCCTCAGCTACCACCACCCACATGTACGCTACCGTCTCCACCACCTCCAATGCGATGATATTTGTACACCACACATACAAAAAAGGATTATCCCAAAAAAAACAACTCATTTCATACACACAAGCCTTAAAAAAAGAGATTCTGTACGTTTTAACTCATATTACCACATAGATCTAGTATGTATGTATCTATTTCTATATTACGACACATTCAAAACAAAAACTACTACTTTTTATACTCTGTTTTATGTAACTACTGAGCACCGAAAAAGAGGACAAGACGGGTGTCACAAGAACAGACCCCAATGCTACCTATTTAGCATTGTCACAGATGATAGCACGAGATAATACTTGGGGGGAGGGGGGCTCATTATCATACTATACTATCCACAGGACTCCTACCGTGTCTTTTACTTTGGTTCTTGTGTCACATAGGCAGAGGGTCATAGCATCAACCGCGCCACTTGCTTTACTTCTTTATAGCTTTGTCTTGTTTCCTCTCCCACTTTTTTTTCAAAAATTCTTGGCACCTAATCTTTAAGGTGAGATAGCAGCAGCAGCAATAGAAGCAGCTACTGCGCTATGATAGTATGCATAGCCGTGTTACTTGATGTCTCAGTTTCTGGGTTCAATACAGTATACTTTAGTTTGTGATGTACACGTGCTGCCATATTGTTAAAGGATAACCCACTGCTGTCTTTTTCTTCTCTGCTTGATTCGAATCTTCCCGGGCACACTGTTATTACGTACGATTTCGTATAAACTTTATCGGGTTTCATTACATAATTCGCAAAGAAAACCCGCGGATTGGCAAAAGAAGCTTGATCATAGCTTGAAAACTGTCCCCCAAAAAAAAAAAAAAATAAGCGGGTTGGTGTTCATGCAGCACATGACCTTTGGTTGGGATCGCTATTTCCATATCAGAGTGGGTGCGTCTTACTACGCTCTCTCTTGTTTTTGTGAGAGGACACACAAATAGTATACCTGCCTACCGTTCTTTTGCTTTATTATCCCTGTGTGTGTAAAAACTGCGAATCCCCTTTCACTCTAATTCATACCATACCTTTTCCATTGAAGCAAAAAGAGTAAGCAAAATTCATACTTTTTTTTTTTTTTGCTGGAATGGAATGGAATTGCGCAGGAACAGCTGACACGGCGCGCAGAGGAGAAAAAGAAAGAGATTGTTGTGTGAGACAAGTTTGAGAATGATTATGCTTCTTTTACACGGCAGATTTCGGCATTCATAGTTCTCCTCTTCCTTCTCGCTCGTTGTATACCTTACAAGAAAAGAAAAGAAAGGTAGTGCAAAAATGCATAAGCTTTTCTTCTCAAGCGGAGGGTAGCTTTATCTGCTCTTTGTATCTACTTGAACTAAATAACCGCACTCAGTATCTTACTTTGCAACGTACAACTTCTTGAATGGATTCTAGCCAAAGCGCAGCCTCGGCAGAAGCACTACTCAACCACGGTAAGCTGCTGGGAACAGCACCACAACAATGATTATTTCAATCTGGGTGGTTCCCCGGGGGGGGGGGTGGGGGTGGGAGGAGAGCATTTCTTTCTCAAAAGTGTGCCTCGACTGAAAAATGCTGGTGCATGTCAATAGGCGTAATGTGGAGCCCTGATGATGATCCGTTGTTATTATCATCACCACCCATGTCGAGCAATTTCCGTCGGTCCCACGCTACCACCACCTCAACGGCTGCTGCTGACGACTTTGAATTTGTGGAGCAAGACGATACTGGATTATCTTTGCCGCAGCACAAAGTAGAGGGTGACTATTACGATAATGAACAGCAACAGGATGTAGCGGCAAAAGATCAACAGCAACAACCCATGACCCTTCGCGTTTTGTTTATGGGCAACTCGCTTTCGGACAGACACAAGACCAGCGTGCTGAAGAGATTTGCCGAAGCCATTGCATTCATGGCCCCACGACGACACTATCCTCCTTATTTTGGCAATACTACAGCACTGTATCCCGATACTCATAGCAATGACAATGACAACAACAACAACAACGATACCTTGATGATGATGGCAAAGTTCCAGGAACGCAAACATCACATTGTGTTTCTTGACGCATTCGACTGTGAGCCCATTGAAACATACGAGGATAACGGTCTAAGTGTAATAGAAGCCGATTTTACATGGTCATCTGACGAGAATACGAGTAATACTAGTAGTAGTAGTAGTAGTAGCTCTTCGTTTCTCCACCAGCAGCAACAGCAACAACAACGACGACAACGCCGTTTACGAGACTATGTTGATCATTACGGACAAAAGATCGATCTGGTCGTTTATTTCTACAGCAGTCATTCGGCTGCGATGCATCATCAGATTCTTGATCAAGAAATGCAACATTTGAAACACATCAGCGTTGATTGCAGTATTCCCACGTGGCCTATCTTGGTGCACAGACCGCATGAACGCGCAGCATCAGGAGCCAGTGGTGGTGGTGGCGGCAGTAGCCGTAACACCAGCCGACCTAGTACACACAATACGTATCGCACGGCCTCGCCACGATCCCCTACACCAACAACAACAACAACAGCTGGAACAGCATCATCATCATCAACAAGATCACAATCGAAACTCAACAATAATGAGTTACTAATGGCAGCAGCAGCAGCAGCAGTAGTGACAGATGAAGTGGATCCACTTAGTCTTCGACAAAGCTTCTCGGAACAGTTGATTCGACATAACGTCAAGTGCGTTGACTTGCCTGGTATTAATCCGGAACGGCCCAAGTTTCTGGGAAGCAACAACAACACAAATAGCAGCAACAGCAAAAGTAGTAGCCGTAGCAGTAGTAAGAGCGGCAGCAACGGCGACAACCATGAAAATACACAAGAGCAACTGGATATCATGACGGTGGACCAGTTTAATACGATTGACAAAAAAGAACTGGCACGTATGTTGAAACGATGGCAAAAAGCAGCCACGCAAAGCAGCACTACGATCACACGGCGCGGTGGCAGTCACCAAGAGCAGCGTGGCAAACGCCTTTCACGAGGCATATGGGTAAATGATGCCGAAACAAGGAAAATGGGCTTGATAGGTGCGCAAATGTTATTGCTGCTGGCCGTACTCGTGGGAGGACTACTTTACGATTGGGGCCAGCATCCTACTAGAGAAGGAGGCAGCAACGATCAGGATGGTGACATGATGGGAAAGGAAACAGAGAATGTGACCGTCGAACTACATCCCATGTGGAATATCGTGGATCAAGAGACTTTACGACACATGTTTATGGTTCAAGTCCCTGCTGCTCTTTTGATTGGAAAGGAGCAACAACAACAACAACAACAACAACAACAACAACAACAACAACAACAACAACAGAACTTTTCAGTAATCCTGGATCAATACGATCAATTACGCGAATATCCGATGGGGTACCAACGTTATGACGACACAGTACAGATCTACTACTATGCGGTAGACGTACCATCACCGTGCTTACTCAACAGCCATCATGATTTCATTGCAAACGTACTTTGGTATCGCCAAGAATCTGGCTATGATGATACTGAATCAAAAGGACAGCAAGCGCCACAGCCGTTATTGGTTGACCGCGTGGAATTGACAATCGAAGCATGCGATCCAGTCTCTGTCACCAAGCATGTGGCAGATCAAGCACGATGGATGTGTGGGTTGGAAGACGGATTAGCATTATCGACGGTGCTGCAGTATCCGCAAAACGCAAAGGGGGCTTGGAGAATGTACATTACCTCGCTCAAACTTCAAATACATGCAATGTGGCTAGCTTTGACGTCATTAGCCGAAACATTTGGATTTTAATGGCGTGTCCCTTTCCCCCCCACAAGGGATTTGGGTGCTATTACATATTGAAGCAGAAGTAGTCAATAGTAGATAGTAGTAGGATCATCTGTATGTACATAATGTATGAGAGTGTATATATACGACCAACAAAACATATATATCCTCCCTCAAAGATCATGTAAAAATCAAATAGAAATTCTGTGATCTGGATCTTTTTTTTTTTTTGGTTCGCCCACTCCTGAATTATCATCAAGATGCTGCTGCTCCTGCACAGCGATACGCAATTTCCAGCATGTACAGTAGTACTGCAATCGTTACCGACGGTTCATCACAATATATCGGATATGCAGCTGACATACGGTTCATCAACCACCACCCTGCATTAAGAAGAACTGGGGATCATGGAATGGGATTAGGCTTTCAGAACTACATAACCGATTGCTGGTGCTGCTGCTGCTGCTGGTGCTGCTATTGAGAGCAGTGGCCAAGATACAAGATAGGAATATATCTCCCTTCATTTCCTAGACTCGGGCCATATGTGGAAAAAGGAGGGCTCCCCTTAAAGAAAGTAGCTTAGTCTAATTCTGCGTCGTCCGTCTCGTTCCGTTACCTTCGACTACTGCCCAAGGCACTTGGACTCGGATACCAAGTAGCCAGCATCATGATCGTGCATCGACTGTATAGTACAAAAAAACAATTGGATCAACTGCCTCTTTTGGACATGATCGACGAGACAGATTTCAAGGAGACTTCCAAACAAGCACACTACCAAGTTCTCCACCCCCCACGCTAGGCCAATTAACAGATACGAAAAGGAAAGAAGCAAGAAAGAGTCCGGTTGTGCTTGTCCGAGCTTGCTGACAATGGAAATGCCGTCTCTCCTCTCTCTCTCCTCTCCTCCTCTCCTCCTCCCTCCGTTCTCTCTCCTGCCTTTTCCCAGACATCCACCAACAATGCCCTCCCTTTCTCCTTTTAAATTTTTGAATCCCCAACAAAAAAGAACGATCCCGAATTCGGATAAACGTAGTCTCCAAAAGTGTGCTACTGAAGAGAATGCTATTTTAGAAGAAGAAGGCAAAGCCCGAATGTGGGAGTGCCTTGTCATCCATTCAGCATCAGTCTCATCGAACGTCAGTCTTATCGTTTTCCCTTGAAAAATTTGCCACATATCCTCTCAGTGAGAGAGAGAGACAGAAAGAAAAGCGTAGGGTCGTCGCCACAACAAACTATCACTGCCCTCTAGTTGTTATGTAAAACAACAACAAAAAAAAAGGAAACAAAAAAATTCAATGCAGCTTAATCAGATATACAAGTCGTTTTTTAATAAAGAAGCAGCGTCCTTTGAAAGCAAAAAAAAAAAAAAAGTAATGCAAGGATGATGATGACGATTGATATGTTCTCTAAACCGATGACCACTGCTACGGGCGATGATCTTCTTTTGATGGGTTCGACAGTGAGGGTCCCGTGGCCTTTCTTTCTGGAAATGCAAAACGCATCATCTTTAGCATCATGGTTTGATGTGCTCCTCGTGGGGTTCAAACGTTGGGGCGTTGATCTCAGTCTGTAATCATACAGTTTCCGCATTATTACATAGTACTGAGGCCCAATCCATACAAACTCAACCTGCTGTCTGCTACTGCTGTTCGCTGCTGCTGCTGCTGCTGATGATGATGATGACCACCAAAAATGGGTGTAAGGGCGCGGCTCTTGTAAATTTGACAGGCCCCAAAGGTAACCCACATACACACGCATTACATCAAAAGAAAAAGGAGAGGGGAGGTTGGGGGGTGAGGGGTGAGGTTGCTTTGGTATAAACCCGCCAACGCATGTTGTGCGTGACCTTTTGCATACCCTGCCGACATACACAAAAGAAAAAGAGCATCCATCGAACCCGATTCTTATTGCGGTTCTTATGCGCGGTACGCAGCGTGGCGTGTTTTTGTTTTGATTTCTTTGTGTGTTCACGCAAAAAAAGTACTCATATTTCCCCCATGGACTGTCCACTGAGCAACCCATGGTGGAGGCTTCACGGTCTGGTTCTTTTAAAGTTGTAATTAGGTTGGAAAAGCTAAAGTGAATTTATTTTGTTACAGATTTCAGGGAGATCGCAGGAGTTTTCTTTCAAGAAAAAATAAGGGTCAAACGCGGATCTTGCTTTTGGGATGAGAGAGAGTGCGCGTGTGCAGTTTATGGTAATGGAAGGGAGAATGGAGCATGGAGAGAGAGAGAGAGAGACACCGACAAGTGTACGTGTACGCGAGAGAGGCACACCATGGAGAGAGAGCAAGCGAGATCTCCTATGTTGTGTGTATGTACGTACATATGTTTTGAATGAGTTGTTCACGGCTCTTTTTCTTTCTCTTTCCCTCAACTCACACCTTTTTTTTTCGGTATATATTCTTGCACGCACGCACAAGCCGCTTTTTAGTAGTGCCTTTCCTTTCCCTACTTTGTTCTTCTTCTTCTTCTTCTTCTTCTTTCACTTCCCTTTTGCTCCTACCTCTCTCCACCTTCTTTCTTTCGTCCTTGACACACACACACACACACATCTACACACTACCTCCTTCCCCTCGTTTGTCCTCTTGCTTCTTCCCCTTCAGACCGCTTAAAGACATCCTCTTTTCTACCCTTCTTCCTCTTCTTTCTTCTTCCATACACAAAGAAAGGCCATCTCTTTCCTTCTATACATTCTTTTCTTGTGCCACATAATCATCCATAGCCTAAAAATAACCCTAATCATCTACACATCATGTCATCACCATCCATCACAACAGCAACAAACAACAACACTGATAATGGTCTATGGGCTTCATCAAGCCCTGCACCATACCATCAGCAACAGCATCATCTTCAGCATCTTCAGCATCCCCATCATCTTTCTCATTCTAATCCAACATATCAATTGCAACAACAACAACAACAATCACCACCTACTAGTACTACTACTATCACTACTTCTTGTACAAGAACAACTGACTCTAATTCATCATCCTTATCATCTCCATCTTCGCCACCATCATCTTCGTCGTCGTCGTCGGCTACAGCAACAGCAACATCGGGAAAAGGATCACCCTCGCCATCAAAGCCTAATAATACAAACCGAAAGCGGACACGAGCCACTGCCGAGCAACTGGCTGTGTTAGAAGACACCTTTTCGGTCAATGTGAGTCCCAACGCCAAGCATCGCAAACAGCTGTCTGAAAAACTGGGCATGAGTGAGCGGTCGATCCAAATCTGGTTTCAAAACAGGAGAGCCAAAGTCAAGCACATGCAAAAACGAGCTCAGATGCAAATGCAACAAGCAGCAATGCGTGCGCAAATGTTTCATCACCAGCAACAACAACAGCAGCAGCAGCAGCAGTATTATTACCCTTATTCGTGGTTGCAGCAACAACAACTCCAGTTCCAACAGCAGTCTGCAGCCGCAGCAGCAGCAGCTTTCTTCCAACAGCAGCAGCAGCAACAACAACAACAACAGCAGCAACAACAGTTTCAACATAGACCATCGTTTTCCAGGGCACAGAGTGTGGATGCTATCCATCATCACCACCAGCATCAGTTCTCCTTATTGTCGGAAATGCCTGCTTCGACCTCCGCTGCTGCTGCTGCTGCTGCTTCTACTCACCACCATCATGGTCTCGCTACTGGCATCAATAGTTCCCCATCCAATAATAGCAACACAGCGGCGGCTGATTGGCCATCTTCAGGAGGAGCACCACCGGCCGTAATGGGAGGAGACCATCATCATCAACAACAACAAAGCGCCTTGTCGATGATCATGGCTCGGCAAAGCATGCCGCCCCATATTGGACCTGACTTTGACTCGTTTTTTACTTCCAATAACATGCATGTTGCCACAACACCGGAAGCCCCAGCTGTTACTACTGCAACAACTTATAGTAGCAGTCATAGCAGCAACAACAGTTGCTCCTCTGTGCCATTGGTACCTATTCCGGACGCTGGACCCACTGTGATGCTCGGTAACAACCAGCTTACGCCACCTCCTATCGTGAGTGCCGGCAGTACAAGCTCATCATCGTCGTCGTCGTCGTCCAACAATTCTTCCGTGGGTGACAATGGCAATAACAGCGGCTGTTTTGGTATGTTTTTTATTGTCATGATGATGAGTTAGTCATTCTGTATGTGTTTTGTGTGTTTAGGATTGGGGGTTGAGAAACACAAAGCAAATCCACTTTTGCCTCTCTCTCTCTCTCTTTCACTCTTTCACTCTACACTACTGTAACAATGAACCTTAAACTAGTTTTTATTAACAACAAACAACCCCTTAATTTAAATAGATCTTGACGAATTACTGCTCTCATCGGCATCATCCGCTACTACTACTACTGCTGCTGCTGCTGCTGCTCTCACACAGTGTCGCAACGGTGACAGTGGCGGTACCATTGATCCTAGCAACCTTGTTGTCAACAACAACAACAAGCAAGATACCAACAAGATGATCATTTTGGGCGCCACTGCATTGTCCGTGGGCTCGTGGCAACGACTTGCGTTGAACGCAACGGATCTGGTGTGTATCTATCGACCTACAGAGCGCGAATTCTCATGGCATATCGATGACAATGGCTTGCAATACAAGATCCAGTTCTCTATGGATGCAGTGCGTGCTATTGAACTTGAGAATGGTGACGATGAAGAGGAGGAGGAGGACGACAAAGTTGCAGCTACTCTGCAAGTCCATTTCGATTTACGACCCGAATCGCCTCCGTTGTTCTATACCATGACCGCAGACAAACAATGGATGCAGTGCAGTGACTTTACCGAAGGCGCCCAGGCCACCAGTATCCTTAGACATACCATCAAGGGTGTCTCGCATCAGTTGAAGCAGGACTTGCTGTCTTTGTTGAATGCTTCGGAAGAAGCGAGTCAATTATTATTAACTACTACTACTGCTAGTAGTGTTGCTGCTGCTGGACAACAACAACCCTCAGATCTCTTACTTGCTGCTACTACTACCACTAATGCTGCTATTCCTGTCGGTAGTGGCCATGGTAGCTTAGCAACCTTCGATGATTTTTTATCTCCTGCTTGTAATACTTTCGCTTATCGTGCCTTTGATTAAAAAAAAAAAGTTGGGAAAATTAAAAAGAATTAAAACCGTGTTTTATTCAAATTATTTTTACTTTTTTTTTATAAAAAAAATGTTTTTTTCTTGCAAGGAATGACTGTACAAAGTATATGGCTAATAAGAGCAAGTGATTGGAGGTGGGGGGGGGGGTGTAGAGGCTAGAGTAGTACATGTGTATTTGCGTGTGAAAAGGAAAATGGACAGAGAATCGAACAGGAATGAAGGTTGGGGAAGAGGTGTGTGTGTGTGGAGTGGAGTGGGTTCGGTTGGGTTGGGGTTCAATGAAGGGGGGTGGGGAAGGAAAGGGGAGGAAGGGGAGTAAAGAAGGCAATGAAAGAAAGAAAGAAAAGAAAACAAGGTATTAAGGTACAGAAGATAGTCTCGTTTCAATTGCGTCGTTTTTGTTGCTGCTTCCTTCGTCGCACTTCTTCTAATCGTCCGGCGCTTGAAGAAGGTGGGATCAGAGGCTCGCCGTTTCGATCAAGTACAGGTGCGTCATCAGTCCAGCTATAGTTGTTGCTATTTATGTGGGATGATCGGCGGTGGCTGTTGTTGTTGTTGTTGTTGCTGTTGGACGGGTTAGCAGTAGAAGGAGGACTGTAGTTCGCCGGGGCATGCTTTGAGGTCCAGATGTTGAAATTCCGTTCTGAATAACCTGGGTTCTGTACGATCGCTCGGATCTCTTGTTTGTCTTGCACTATTTGTTGTTGTAGTTGTTGCTGGGCTACATCAATATCATCAGATTCATCCATCATTTCAACGTCCTCGTCGATGTATTGCTGATGTGGCTGTTAATAATAAAAAAGAAAGAGTCATTATTACAGGTACGTTACGTATCTCTCTCTGTGTGCATTGATTTCAACGAATATCATAACTAAAAACACAGCAGCACGCGTACAGCGCAGCGACGTATCTATTTATTATGTTTTCACTGTTCTTTTTTTCGGCAAACAACTCTATATGAAGGTTTACCTGATGCTGTCGTTGTTGCTGCTGCTGCTGTACGGATGGGATGTGACTGGACAAACTTGATGCGTAGTCGATTAATTTTTCGCGGCTTTCAGCTGAAAGCGTTTGGACCTGGTGGATCATTGCTTTGATTGCCAAATTACGGTCATTGGTGAAGAGGGTGATGGGTTTACGAAGTTGGGCAAAATACCTGAGAGTCAATGATGAAAGAAAAAGTTCAATAAATGACATACACACGCGCATATTATACAAAACTTCTCCAGCTCCACTTTTTCTTTATGCTTTACCTGCAACAGTCGAGAATAGAGTCATCCCCTTTGAGCTACAGAACAAAGTGGAAGGTGACGATTAATATCTTTTTTTGTGAAGAAACCCCTAATTTATCGAAATGTGGAGAATTCCAGCCTTTTTTTTTTTTTACCATTTTAGCTTCCTGTTCAAATACTTCGTCCATCTTTTGACCTCGCAGCCATCCACGTTGGTCCGCCAAAGCAATCTGTACAAATTTCATTGCTCGTCGAGCGAGATCGCCAAGTTTGCCACTTGAGCCATGCTTGTGGGATTGAATGTTGTTACGACCCTATAAAAGATTCAATCAAAGGATCAACGAGTATTCTTTCTTCAAAATTTCTTTGTGTTTTATGCAGGACAAGATAATCATGCATTGCAATACGCACAAGAAAGGAAATGCTACTTACTTTTAAACCATCCAATTCAGTAACGACAACCCACGGTACAACGACAACAAGACTGCCCAGGTACTTTTCGGCTTGGGTTGCCAACGCAGTAAGGTATCCCAGGTTTGAAATCAAAAAATTGGTGTCGAGCACAGCAATCTGTTGACAATTGAAAACTGACGTCTGAGTAAGACAATTACTCAGAATAGCATGCGAAGAGAATGAAGAGGACGTGCTACCGCTACTAGCAGCAGTAGTCGTAGTAGTAGTATTGCTGCTTGCAATGGGGGTAGTGAGAGATGCGTAGTTATGATTCTCACTACTGCTACTACTGCTACTACTACTACTAGTAAAGCTGGTGCTGGTGCTAGTAGTAAAAACGGTGCTGGTAGTGCTTAGGGTGGAGCCGGTGCTCAAACGTGTTGAGCCAGGTACGACTTGGCATTGTGCCTGTTGATGGTCCAAGCTAGAGCTACTACCACCGTTATAAATACTACTACCACTAGTAGCACCAGGGTTTTGCAGTGACTTCAAATCATCAACTTCCATACCTAAACGATCATTTTCGATTTGACCGTCGTATTGTGCGGCCCAATCTTGTGTCAGTTCGGTTGGGTGAAATCCTGAACGCGCACAAAAAACAACTTTAAAATTAGTTTTGAATGCTTCTTCAACGCGTTCTCTTTTTTATTTCCTCTCGCATTCAACTCCACAAAAAAAAAACATACCTTCGGCACAACGGTAGTTATGAATTTCATTGTTGACTTCGTTGATGAATTCAGGACCGTCAACGTCCATAAAAAAGTTTTCGTCAGTCATTGTTGGTTTGGGTTTTTTCCAATTGTTACTGTGTCAAAGTAAAATACGGGGGGTGCGAGGGGGAAGAGAGAGAGAAAGAGATGGACAGTCGCGACAAACTCAGCTCACAAGAAATTTTTCTTTACGCGTATTTCCATATGCGCATGAATAAAAAAAGACACCCATCACAACGTAGAAAGGTTTTGACTTTACAAATTGTAATTGCAACACACACACATACACACACCATGAACGCGGAACTACGGTCTAGCTTTCTACTGTTAAATATTATGGATTAATTTGCTATTGAGCTCTATTTTGCCACTGCCTCCCTAAAGTTGGTATACGTACGTCAAAAAGAAACACTTGAATGTTGATTAGGAGCACAGTTCCCCTTCTACTATGATTTCAGAAAGAAGAGACGAAAGGAAACACAATTCCGAATACAAGCACTGCTAATCTTAAATAACATATTGTAAAGCCGCTGGTGACCGTTCTTATTGAAAGCGTAGACCACCTGGCAGGCGTACACCCGTTCCCGCTCTTTCATTGCGGCGTTGCCGTCATACGTGATGACCCCTGTTCCCTCATCCATGAGGATGAACCTAAAGTCTTCTGGAAAGCTGGAGAGAGAGGCCTTGTCGTACGAGTCGACTTCTTGCTTGCGGGGCTTGACCACATATTCCAATTTATGCTAAAGCAACAAAAACCAATCTATTTTTGTAACCTGTATGCTCGATTTAATTGCGAAGGCTTCCCTCTTACCTTCTTCGATGGCGTACATTGGTAGTCTACATGTTCTTTAGTCCCATCACTTGTTAAAATTCTTTGTAGTGTCGATCTATGCTGCTAGCAGTATAGTACACAGCATATCAGATACCGGTGGATAGCACCAATCCCATCCATCGTATGATAGAGCATGACTTAGCAAATAAGGCAACCGAGCCAACGACTTGTTCGTTCCATCGCCATTGCGTTGGATGGAGTTTTTGCGCATCTCATTTGTCCGCTTCATATAATCAATCCTCTATACAAAAACAATGCTGAGAAACAAACTACACATTGCTGGCGGGCGGCTGCTGGTGCTCTCTTTTCTCGAAACTTGTACTATAACTGTTATTGATACAATTAAAGACCTTTGTAATGAAATAGCATGCGTTGAACCTTTGGCTCCTTGGGTGTACTTCTTCATGGCCGAACACTCCTATATTATCTGATAGCAAGAAAACATTAAAGAGCGATGCCTGATGTACCTTGCATTTCTTAGTTACCTTTAACTTCGGAATTCAGCGTACGAAAGAGCTGGTATTCGTGAGAAGCTTTTTTTTTAGTAAATATCAACTTTCATTTACGTTAGGTAGTAGGCCATCAAGCACACAATACTGGTAGTAGAAGTTAATTACCCTGGAGTAAATACATATCAACATTCGTCAAATAACAATGATAAAAGTTTCTTTGAATAAATAATGTACATGGGGACGACGTAGCAACTATTGTTGCGCGAAAGATTAGCTTTTTCTTTTTGTTCTAAATACACAACCATTGATGTGGATGGTAAATAGTTCTCGCTCTGATGTTCAGATTGTTATCTCCACTATACATACCAAATCTATACAGTATGGTAGTAATATTCTCCAGGTCGATTGATAATTTGAACGTGTTGCTAATCTACTTGTCGCGCTTGTGTCCGTTGTTAATCGAAAATATTCTTTCAGTTCTGTTCTAGAATTTTAAAAAACTGGGGTGGCTCTATAGCAAAAGTTGTAGACTATTGCGAATAGCTTTTGTATGTAAAAAAATAATAATCACAGCTTGTGTGCAATCGCTTGAACATACTAGCTCTAAATAAAAGCATAATATATTTGATGTGGACGATTGAAGGTACTGTACCTGGTTACTGCTGTCGATGTGAAACCTAGTCTGGCACCACTGTAACACCGAGCCAGTGAGATCCCCGGGTTGCGCCGTCACGGACTTTTTCTTCATTTCCTCTGGTGGCAACTCTCTTCACCCCCACTCCCTCTTTCTCAAGCTTCGTTGACTGGTGGACAAACGAAAGACCTTCAATTTAAACAATGAATAGCATCGTCAACAGCCTTCTCAATGGCTTCTCAAGCATGCTAGCTATCGATCCAGACGCATCGAACGATGGATCGTGTGCTTGTTCCGGTTCAGTGGGTGGAACATGCTGCAAACAACAATCCGCGCCAGCAACAGCAACTGCTACTGTTAACGAAATCGAATCCTTAAAGGTGATCTATTCCAGTTTGACCGGCACAGCTAAAACTTTTGCAGCTGAGTTGGAAAGACAACTTGTAGCGGAAAAGAATATCAGCATCAAGCAACTACAACTGGTTGACATTACCGAATATGATAACGACGATTTGTTGACCGAAACGTCCGTGTGTGTTTTCTTGCTGTCTACCTACAACGTTGAAGGACCTTTGGATTGGTAAGGGCGAAATATGAATCAAATTATATGTGTTCAGTTAAGAATTTCATGAAACATTTGAATAACAAAATGTTACCATTTAAATGTGCTAGGTTTACAAAGTGGTTGCGTGATTTACGATACGATTGGCGAGTTGACCGTCTAGCATTGCAAAAACTTCGTTACTCCGTATGTGGTTTGGGTGACTCCGCCTATGGCGACGAATTCAATGTGGCAGCGCAACAGATCGACAAATGGCTAGGTCAATTGGGCGCCACACGTATCTATCCATTGGGTGCATGTGACAAGAACTCAGATCAAAAGGCTCAATTCGACGAATGGTGCCGTCAGTTTATCAATGAACTCCAAGACAAACAATCGCTTGAATTCTCGCCTGCTCAAGTCGAATATGGATCAGACGTCGAGGAGGAAGAGGAGGAGTCCGAAGAATCATCCGGAATTGATGTCGATGGCACAGGGTCTGGCGACGAAATGCTGGATGTGGAAGATATGGGTAAAATGGCAGGCAAGCTCAGAGCAGCCAAGGTGAACCGTGAACGTGAAGAACAAGAATTCGAGACGGCACAAGCCAAGGCCAAGCGCACAATTGGTAATGACAATGAAAGCGGTGAAGTGGTCAAGAAGTTCGAGCCACGTGCTATGGTTTCGCCAATGCTTCACAAGAATTTGACCAAGCAAGGATACAAGATTGTCGGCACCCACAGTGGCGTCAAGATTTGTCGATGGACAAAGAGTGCTTTGCGCGGTCGAGGTTTCTGTTACAAGCACAGTTTCTATGGTATTCAGAGCCATCTCTGCATGGAGACTACTCCCTCATTAGCATGCGCCAACAAGTGCGTTTTCTGCTGGCGCCATCACACAAACCCTGTCGGTACCAAGTGGTAAGTTCTTTTTTCTCTATCTTACGAGTTCACTTTTATCGGGGTTTGTGTATGCGGATAGTCACTGATATCAATCCATGACAACTCTCAAGGAGATGGAAGGTGGATGACCCGAAATTTATTTTGGATGGTGCTATGGAAAACCATTACAAGATGATCAAACAATTGAAGGGTGTTCCCGGTGTCAAGGCAGATCGATTCCAAGAGGCATTTACTATCCGCCATTGCGCTTTGTCGCTTGTGGGTGAGCCAATCTTTGTAAGTGATAACATCCACCCTGTTTCTTGAAGTAGTAGTAATTATCAGGAGATATGAACACTGACAGTAAAAACTTTAATAGTATCCACACATCAATGAATTTGTCAAACTCTTGCACGAACAGAACATTTCCTCCTTCTTGGTGACCAACGCACAATTCCCAGACAAGATTGCTGAAATGGAACTTGTGACGCAGCTGTACGTCAGTATCGACGCCGGTACCAGAGAAGGATTGAAAAAGATCGACCGACCCCTCTTTCGAGACTTTTGGGAACGATTCCTTGACAGTTTAGAGGCTCTGGCCGACAAGGGCCAACGCACCGTATACCGTTTGACACTCGTCAAAGACCACAATACCGAAGAGCTGGATAATTATGTAGAACTCGTACGACGCGGTCGACCTTCGTTCATTGAAGTGAAGGGCGTGACCTACTGTGGCTATAGCGGTGCAAGCAACTTGACCATGGCCAACGTACCTTATCATCATGAAGTCGTGGATTTCTGTCAAAAGCTGTGTGACAAGTTGGGCGGTGGATACGAGTTGGCCTGCGAGCACGCTCATTCATGCTCCATTTTGATCGCCCAGAAGGATTTCAAGATCAACGGCGAGTGGCACACGCATATTGATTATCCAAAGTTCTTTGAGTTGGTCCGAAGCGGCAAGCCATTTACTAGCATGGATTATGTGGCCAAGACTCCAGACTGGGCTGTGTTTGGATCGGACGCAGGTGGATTTGATCCAGAGGAAACTCGATTCTATCGTAAGAACCGAAAGGTGGTAGATGCGAATAATACTGCTGGTGCTACTACTGCCTCTACCGCTGCTGCTGCATCATAGACGATGAAAAAGCTATCCTTTATTTGTATATTTTCCCCCTTTATTGTTCTTGATCATATAAAAGCAACATGTTCTTTTTTCTCAGAGATTTTAAAGTGTGTGTTGCACTTTTGGCGATGCGTATATATGACATGATGTAAAGTATATTTTGGCCTTGCGATCGTTGGCATTTAACAAAATTGCAAGTAGGCATACATGCTATCCACAGCTACTCGTGCACTTACATCATTATCTGACATATGTACCCAAAATCATCATTACACCATACTACTCGACCAGCCCATAAGTAACTTATAGACAAGCGCGCCGCTTGTTTTCACTGGTTGTCGGTTTGCTTTGTATGGTCATACCAGAGAGAAAGAGCAGAGCGTATCTGTTCTAATTTTGATATTATAAAAAGGTACATAGCAAATATTGTCAAGAAAATAACACATCAATTCTTATTAATAATAGTACTTTTTTGATATGTATGAAATGCTTTTCTGGAATAGAAAAATGTAAAGTAATTAACAAATAGTAATAGGAGAACAATGCAAATGCAGGAAATTGGATAAGGTTTACATGCAAAGAGAAAGAAGAAGAAAAAAAACAGACAAAATCAAAATGAAGACGAGAAGGTTTCTACAAATACAAAGTCTTGCGAGGCAAGACGGACATGATACCACCGACTAGTAAATAACGAGTAGCAAACATGGCGACCAGCGCAGTTCCGTACATGGCAGTACGATACATGGGACCAAGCTTAATCAAGATTTTGACTATTTGATCAAAACGACAGTGAGCATAATATCGGCAATCCATAGAATAGTGGGATAACAGTACTTACTCGGTGGTGGTGCAAAAAGGTAGTTCAAGTTCAAGCCAGATCGAAGGGCACAAGCATGCAACAGCGGCGAGTGGAAGAAACCATAGACAAAGAACGACAACATGGCCATGTTAGGGGATGCAGGCAAGACGAGGTAGCGGCCACTGTAGATCATATAGACCGGCGCAGCCAAAATCAAAATGTGCTCTAAATTCACACATGATTGTCAGCCTTTTCTTCCCCGGTTGAACTCCGCAACTTTTTTTTTGTTGACACCAAAAAGCTCATTGTTTATCCACGCCAAACCTTACCGGCAAAAAAATTAAAGGTCTCCAGGAACAAATCGTGACCACGTAAATCCGGGAATGCCAAAGCAGCATAACCTCCCCACTGGGTATGCAAGTAAATATTGAACAGGATCTTGGACACAATCTTCTCAGGGGCAGACATGACCGATATCAGCAAGAGTGCGCCCATATGGCATGGCTGGAGCATAAACAGACCGGTGCCTCGGATCAGCTTGTGTGTCAGTGTCAGTCCCAAGGATCCAATCAGTGAGCCAAGCAAGAGCTTCTCGCCCCAACTGGCCGGGGTAGATGGGACAAAGGATGTCAGGAGCTTGAAGTTCAAGGTGCCAGGGCCGAGCGCTCGCATGAAAAAATAGGATGCTGCAGACGCAAAGGCACTCGATAGGAAAACAATTTCAATGGCGTGTTGTCGTGGGTGGACGTACCTATCAACCACCATTCTTTCGTTAGGCATGCATTCTCCCCTCGCATAGAATATAAAACAAGTTCAAAGTTCTTGCTATTAAGATACTTTACCACGATCCCTTGACGGATTGACTCCAGTCATTGTCAATGGGGAGCTCGGCAGCAATCTTTCGCACCAATCGTTCCAGACGAATGGCTACGGGATCCCAAACAGTGCGTAAAAGACTAATTACTGGAGCCATCTCGGAGAAGGAGGGTAGACAAACGCAACACAGCACAAAGCAAAAATTGTTTATATTTTTCAGGCACGCACACACCCCAAATAATGTGCAGAAAGGGAAGGCAAAGAGAGCGAGGCCTTGAATCTCCGGTGCCTGGGTGCTGTCAATTCTGAAACCTGTCATTTCACTCACTGTGATTGGTCTGTCAGAGGATCATCCCAAATGTCAAACCGCATAAAAAGAGAGTGCATTTGACGTGGCCATGCCTCTTTCTTTCCTTCGAACCAAACAAAAAAAAAGAGCCTCTTTTATCCTACTGCGCGCTCTCTCTTTCTGTCTCTCAATGCCCACTGCCAAATTCTCTGCTCAAGGCTCCACTACTGGTGGCAAGACCAGCACTACTGTGAAGAAGCCCAGAACTAGTGCTGCCAAGGCCGGCTTGCAATTCCCTGTCGCTCGCTTCTACCGCTCCCTGCGCAAGGGCCGTTATGCTGAGCGTATCGGTAGCTCTGCGCCCGTCTATATTGCTGCCGTCCTTGAGTACCTTATTGCTGAAATCGTCGAGCTGGCTGGTAATGCTGCGCGCGACAACAAACGACAGCGAATCAATCCACGTCATCTCAAGCTGGCTATCTGGAACGATGAGGAGTTGAGCAAGCTGCTCCAACACGTCACTATCTCTGAAGGTGGTGTCCTCCCCAATATCCATGACATGCTGCTTCCTGCCAAGTCGCGCAAGAAGGAGGGCCAATCTCAGGAATTGTAATCAAGAAAAGACACATTATCCCTACTTTCTTCTTTAGTTGTACTCCAGACAACAACTGTCCATAGCTGCTACGTCATTGCTTCTTTGACGTTTACCTCTCCCCCCCCACCTTACCCCCTCTTCCCTATAAAAAGTACCCTCTTCTTATACCAGACACAGATGTATATACATATTGCTGTACTAGCGTAGAAAAAAAAAAAGAAAACACGACAAAAAATAAAGTACTGGTATATATAAAACACATTGGACTACTGTTATCTCTATGCTTCTTTTGCCCGACCTTGTCATGTCATAAGGAAAAGTGTATGTATGTTTATACGGCCCTGCTGGTGCGGATCTGATTTAAGTGGGTTGCCACCCCAGTGTTGCTTATCAGTCGTCATTGGCATTAAGCCAGATATAACTGTATGTAGTCACCTGACCAGGAGGATGATCCTCTTTATTTGTGAGAGAAATGATGTGATATGATGTATGGTACATGCTACGGCCGTTACACAAGGAGCAATAAAATGGCATTGTCTTTTATTTAAATAAATTACGAGAACGGTTGATTACACTGGTTTGCTCGTGGTGGTACTGCTGCTGCTGTTTGGTTGAGTAATTTCAATGACCTTATTACGCTTGAGATTAAACTTGACTGCACGTCGAGGGGATGTCAGTTGTTTTGGAGATGATGCAGTAGTAATACTTGTTACACTAGTACTGTTTGTTGTAGATGATGCCGATGATGCTGTTGTTCTTGTTGGTGATGATGATGATGATGATGATGATGCGAATGATGGTGAAGATGTAGAGGTTGTTTTCCCATTGTTTGCTGCTGCTGCTGCCATTTGCCGTCGCCGCCTAACTTCGTTTGCCCCTTCTTCCATCATTTTTCTTCTGGCAATCGTCCGTGCTTCTCGGGCTTCTCGTTCTTCTCGCACTCGCCACATTTTAATCTGTTGTGCTCGTTTTGCTTCCCGTCGCCTTTTTTCTGCCATGGTCAATCGAGGCGGTGCCTTATCTTCCTCCTCCTCCTCATCTTCTGCCTCATCTGCGTCTTTGACTTTGCTTTCCTTTCCAGTACTTCGCTTAGACATTGGTACATCCGCTTCGCGTACTCTGGATGATGTCAGTCGACTGTGCGCGTTGTTGTTGCTGCTGCTGCTACCATTGCTAACAGTAGTACTGCTATTACGTGATCTTGATGGTGCAGGAGATGATGGTCTCGGTGATCCCATGGGCGATGATGGTCGTGGAATTCCAGCAGCCGATGATCGCAAAGCAGGTGAAGAAGGTCGCGGTGGTAAAGCAGCACGGGCAGCAGTAGCAGCAGCAGAAGATCGATTCAAAGCTGGAGATGATGGTCGAAATCCTGAAGGAGAAGCGGATCGAGCTACAGCGGCAAGCTTTGGCGATGTGGATGATGGTGACGTAGGCCGTACTAACCCCATGGTTGATGCCAGTTTGTTGGACTTGGGATCTTGCAATCTGGCTGCAGAAGATGACCTTTTTGCTGATTCCGTTGATGTCGTTGTCCTGAGTCGGGATGTTAATGAAGCGGTTGCTCGAGTTGTTGCGGGTATCCCGTCGTTATTAGCACTACTGGTCGATGACCGTGTGCGTTTATCTGCAGCCATGGGCGTTGAGTTGGATTTACGGACTGGGATTCTGCTGGCTGAGGTAGATGGTGACGGAAGTGCAACAATAGCTGGTGTGTTGTTGCTGTCAAGGACTGTCGAGACTTCTTCTAATTGCTGTTGTTGTTGCTGTTCAGAAACGGTAGGTCTGGGTGTATCTAGTTCGGCAAGTATATCTGCTTGTTCGTCTTCAAGGTCGGATTTGTCGCTGTCGTCAAAAGCTTCTAGTTTCGTATCGATAAAAGTTGAAACAACTGACTCTTCCTTTTTCTCTTTTTCGTCTTCTTCTATAGTTCTGATCGTCTCTTCAGAAGATAAAATGGGGTTTTGTTCTGGTACAACAGGTAACAACTCCTCGGATGGTGTCTTGTTTTCAATGGAACCGCACGATCCTTCTTCGGCCACTGATTCTTTTTCTATAACAGGTGGTAGAATTGGCGTTTCTTCAGCGATTGCAATGGATCCTTGTCCGTCTTTGAAGGATGGAACAGACTCGTGTGGATTAGATGCTGAAGCGTAGAAAGTGGATTCAGCTGTTTGCTCTTGTGGCAATGGATCAGATACTGTACACGATTCCTCGTGGTCTTTACTGTCGCTGGTGTCTTTGTCGTGACTTTCAAAACTTTTAGGTGAGAGTGATCGATCACTGACAATTGCAGTGGCTGGCAAACCCTCTTGTCGTTCTTTTTGCTGTTTCTGCTGCTGATTAGATGTGCGTGTGGATGTTACAGGATAGGGTATAGCGTCTGTATCCGATGTTGCTTCTGAAGATATGGATTCGGTGATGGGTATCGAAGCTACAAAGGGACAAACGGGGGTTCTGGGTTCTCCTTGTTGGTGGTCTTCTTCTTCCTTTTCTTGAGGCGATGATGGCGGTTGACCTTTTTGTTGTTGCTTAAAATCAAAAACAGTAGTGACAGCGGTAGGTTGGATGGGAGAGGGAGAAAGAGCAATGATCGATTCTTCTGGTTCTTTTATAGTAACAGGTGATTCAATTGGGACATATGACGTCGGTGACAGCGGTGATGTTTGTTCTATTTTCTGCTGCTGCTGCTGTTGCTGGATTACATCAGCAGTGGTGGGAGTGAGTAGTTTCGGTGCTGGTGGTGCTGCTGGATACGCTTTGTTTAACGAACGTTCTTTGTCGGATCCTGCTGCTACTGCTGTGGCTGTTGTTACTGTTGCTGTTGTTGTTGCTGTCGTTACTACCGACGGTGATATGGGCGTAGTAAGGAATAGATACGAATTATGAATGCCACGCGCAGTTGCTGTTCTTGCTGCAGAAAGGCGCTGCTGCTGTTGTTGTTGTTTTTCTTGCTGCTGTTCGTTCTCGTTGTCGTTGTCTGTGAAAATACACAAACTTTGGCTTGCTAGGGGAAAGAAAAGACGGATTGTGTTCCTCACATGTGACGAAAAACTAACGGAATGGTCGTCGTCGTCGTTGTCGTCGTCGTCTTTGGACTTATTGAAATTGTCGTCTTGGACAGGCGCTTCTTCCGTGGCTGTAGTCGTCTGTGTCGTCGGTGCCGTTGTCATGTAACGCTCGTCAAGATGACTAGATTCAATTTGGCCAGAAGGATCAATTAGAAAGGCGTAAAATAGGAGCTATTAGGAGCGTTTACGGTAAAATAAAATCAAAAGAGGACGGAGAGGACTGTGGTAAACGGAAGCGGTGGTGGTAAGGTATGGCTGTGGCAGTGGTTTGCAAAAGTATAAAACTGAGCGAAAGCACAGACTATTTTTTTTTTGGTTACCATATGCTTTCCTTGTATATCAGAAATGCTTGTGTACCCCTTTTCGTCACTATTTTCTCACAAAAGGGATCACCTCGCACCACTCTATATGATACAGTCTCTGTGCCAGAAGAGAGAAAAGAAATAAGGTGAGAATACTCCTTTCTTCCGTTGTTGAATAGAAAGACCCTCTCTCCCTTTTTGACACAAAAAAAAGCTGTATGTGTGTGCATACGCGTGTTCCTGTTCATGTCGGACAGTGGATTTTTATTGCCCGGTATTTGGCCCAACGTGCAGCTGTCATGTATAACATGGCAGCGTTGCAGCTACATAACAAACATCACGAATACATTCTATGAAAGTAGAAGCCGCATCGGGCGTGTACTGTCGGCACAACAGTGACCAAGCAGTGTATAGCAAATATCGAAACACTGACGTCCTTTGGGATACTCACATAAACAGCACAAGAATTATTATTTTACATAAATCTGCAAAGTCTTTGTCGGAAAGGACATAGTGTCGTCGTCAAATGGTAACTGTCGTCGTTGAATATGGCGGACCCAGATCTGTGAGTTACAGTGTTGATTAGTAGCAGTATCACTATGAACATTGAGCTCTAATTTAAAGCATCTCCAAAACCGCGTCAGGGCGATTCTGGTGCTGCTTGGAATCACCGTCGTTCAATGTATTGATATAGAAACTGTACTCGAACTGCCTCAAGAGTTATACTACGTGGAGGACTTATTGGAGTCAAGTTTACTGACAAAGGTCAAAATTTGTGGCAAGCGGGAACATTATCATCTTCTTCCACATGCTAGGACATATACCGGATCAAGAGCATCCTGAAATATAGCGCTTCCCAGTAAGTGTTCCTCAATATTTTCTGGGCAAATTCTAACTATAGTGCTTTGTCTATTTTAAATCTATAACAAACTCATGGGCAATTGCTCAATAGATGAACCACGTGTATTAAGCTTGATGCTTATCAAACAAACAACAATACGATAGCAAGTTAAAAACGCCAAAGAAAAGGCAAGCTTAATACAAGACGCTGGAGTGCTACTGTGTGCTGTCAACCAAGATATCAACATCATCCTAGTAAGTTTAATATCGCAGCACGTGAACCACCTACGTTCATATCCATGTTTGTCATTCATTTGCATGTTGTACTTTATGGGACAGATCCGATCAAAGACTGGAGTTTCCTGGATCCCAACCCTGCTCAGTGGATTGGATAGCTTTGTAATACCCTGCAGATGCGGTAACGAATAGACAACAGCATTCATAATAATGTCTAGATTATAAAACTGAAGTCATCATAACAGTAGCAACAAAGGGAGCAAAAGCTACTTTATTTTCTTTCAATCTTCCTTACAAACGAATTGTTGAAAAGTAATATGCAAAAGGCAACCATGACTGAATCAACCCACACTTATGACAAGCATAACTGTCGTAAAACAGCAGGAAGCAGAGGTAGTCTAGGAACGAGGAAGTCAGGAAGAGCGCAACACGGATCTTTCTTTTTCGGATAGTGACAAAGTGATGCGTGTGTCAAACCTCGAACGTTCCCAACAGCTTTCCCTTGACTCCGTAGAGTGAAAGCGCATTATTGTGACGCAACGATTTGGCCAATTGACTTCGCACTCGAAATGCACAAAGGGATGGCGAGTGAACAAGGTGATCAATGGAGCAACGAATTACGCGCAAAAGGGTCAAAAGATGTACAGTAGGAAGTCATCGTTTATAGTGTTATTCTCTTGATCGTCCCAATGGATCTTGAACGCTGCTCAAAAATAACGTAGAACCGCACAAAAACAAACGAACCGATTAACTTTGTCAGCAGCGGCAGCGTATACTTACCATGAGCGGTCAGCTTATTTGCGGCAGCACACACATACTTGGATAGAGTATGAATTCGGAACGGATGGAGGGAGGTTACACGGCGTAGTTCAGAGAACTGTTGGCGGATGACGAAAATTATAAAGCAACAGTAGACAAACACGCTTCACAATGAGGTCTTTTTTATATACACTGCAGCGTTGGGCTCAAGTGTGAGGTGTATCTATTCCCGCACACCGCACATGCAGTCAAAAGATACTAGCAAAATGGAATCGTCTGTGGACTACGCTCTATACTGTTTATCTTGTTAAGTGAAGAATGGAAACTGGCTGCTGGGAGGATCGTGTCCTTGATATTCACTAAACGACTGATGCTGGAGAGCCTATTAGGTTGTCTACCTTGTCAGTTACTCCTATTTCCATCATTTTATTGCTCGCAGAAAAGCATTTCTTCCGTGAATCTACTTGCTCATTTGCATTCGTGTCTTTGTTTTCGCTTGACACGGTGCCGTGCACGGACCCCTCACAACCAAGCGGCGACAGCATCGGAGGTACAGCAGCCCATGGTGAGAGACACGTACCACTACCGCCGAAGCACGCTTGTCTACTTGACCATCAGGTACCACTCCTCCTTTCATTTCCTTTGGTGCTGTATGTTTTGTTATGCCATAGTAGGCAACCCACAAGTTGATACGCAACCCGTTATCTGGGCCAATGAAAATTCACGGGGATTTGAAGTCCCGAACGAGAAAAAATGTCTATATAAAGCGAGCAATTTCGCCTTTCTTTTTTCTCTTCTCTTCAGTTCGTTTTGGTACAGCTTTGGTCTGTAGTACAGATGCACTGCTCTGTGCCATGATCGGGTCATTGCTTGTGCTGGCTATTGTCATAATTCTTCTGATGATCGGCAGATTCAGTGGTCCGCGCCCTGAAGAAAATTTGCAATATATACCAGTGGGAATGTGGTCATATACTCCGGCAGCCGATCGTGAACCTTCGGGTGCATGTGATGCCAACGGTATATGTTGGGATAATTGAAACGAACTTTTTTTTATTTTTTTTTACACACAAATAAGAAAATGATAAACAAAATAATAAAAATATATTTTTCTTTTTCGCATTCTTCTTATAAAGTTTCTTTTTCTTTTTTCGCGAACAAAATACTAAATACTCCCCACTCCATTCATTCACAGCTCCGTGCTAAACAAAGCGGGGGAACAGTGACAGTGGCTCTGTATCGTAGCTGGCAGTAACACGATCACAACGCTTTAGCACTCTCTTTCACCTTCTGTGTTCGCCTAAATTGCCAAAGTAATTGTCAAGAAAAAAAATTGTTACCGAGGATCCTCCTTTAGAAAAAGGTTATTTTATAAAAGACAACGCCAGAGCATACGCCAGCAGACATGTATAATCGCCAGATCTGTAAATTGGAATGTTTTTTTTTCAGCTGTTCCTCTCTCACTCTTCCTGCACGTAGCTTATCACAACACAATTTTCTTATCATTTTGGTTTTCACCTGGATCGAAAAACCTTTGTGATGTGCCTGCTTTCAAAGCGTGATTCTTGTAACAGCTCTTTCTACTCCCTTACACCTTCACTTCTCTCTTCCTTTTCTTATTTAACTTTACTTCGTTACATATTCTCAAGGTATGCGTCATCTAATTGAAAGTGATGATCGCTCACCAAAGATATCAGGAGGACTGTTAAAGATATGATATAGTTGCTCTACCAAAACATGCACACAGGGATGCTGTGTTTTCCAGGCCAAGCGATGCGTTACTAATATATGACTTTTGCGGTTCATAGACAATAAACGCGAGTGTTAAATGAAGCCTTTTCCTTCGTATCGAGAAGTCGATGGTTTTAAGAAAGAGCCCTGTTCTAATGTGTATCTGCGTATCGCTATGATAGCATAAATTTAATGATCAATCTTCGACTCGCTTTTCCTTTGTCGGACATACTATTCACGAGTCCGGATTATATTATGCAGGCTTTGTCCGATTAAAAGCCTCGTACCTTTCACATACACGTAATATGACTGATTTTATCGCGATTTTGCCTCCCGAAATCATTCAGTACATCTTCTCGTTCATCGGTCAGCGGGACTGTGTCGAATGTGTGAAAGTATGTCGCCGCTGGTTTTACGCGATCCACACTTACCAGACAGCCCTGTGGACACTGGTGGAAATCTCGCCTGATGCATGGAACAAAAGGAGCGACGCGATGCTTCAATGTCTGGGACAACAAGTCAAATCAGTATACATCAAATCTCAAGCCACGTATAAAGTACTGGAACGACTTGCTTGGCGAGGATGCTGCATCCGCGTCCTTGGTAAAGTAAAACAATACTTTTTTTCGTGTCAAGAGGATCGCGTATTCGGTAGTGCTTACTACTGCTTATGCGCAAAAGATATACTAAAGCTTTTTTTTTGTTTTATGACATTAGCAACCATGTGCATAGCAAACAATTACAACCTAATTTCGACAGTAGCACGTTACTGCCAGGAATCATCAGATATTTCTCGCATACGCTAACTGCTCTGACGATTTCATTTCACACTTGCGATATCTCGCTGCCAATGCTACTGGACTTCTTGCCGTCATTGACGCATCTTTCAGTGATGTTTGATGGCCGCACTAACTTATCAGACGCTACACTTGAACAAGTTGTTGGCAGAAGCAGACACAAAAGGCCACCGATACACAACATTATCTTCTTAAGACTGGACAGTGTGCTCAATTTTAAATACCGGATCCGTCCCGTATTGCAGCGTTGCTCCCACATCAAGTACTTGATATTATCGTCTTACTCACGATTCAATAACGTATCTCCAACCAACATCTATACAGCTTATGAGCTGTGCCCTCTTTTACGCTACATTATGTGGGATTGCAGCGAACCAGCCATAGCAGACAGATGGATGTCACTATCAAGAAGCACGAGTGCTGATACTAAAATAACAGAAAGGAAACCATCGAATGATGGCGAGGAAGGCAGTATGGCTTATGAACTGGTACTCAACGGCAAGGGTCACGAGAGGATCATGCCTATAGTAGTAAAATCGCAGCCGATACTAGAACATTTACGTATAGTCGCCTACGGTCTTTCTGATATTCATTGGTTGGATATATTGGCACGCAATCAATTCACACAGCTGACAAGGTTGGGGTTGACGGACATCATTGGTATGTCAAGCGAAGATTGGGCCCAGATTTTGCTCATGCAGCAACAAATTGAGATCTTGGAAATTGGAAATCGCGCTGGAACAACGCAGCATCTGAACAGCATTATCACAACCATTGTACGCTGCAACGGCTCCGTTTTCTTTTCTTGCGAAATTTCCTTCACATGTTCAGCGAGAATCCTCTTTGCGACCTTTCTCCGCTTCGCCGTTTGCAACAGCTTAAAGGACTGTGTCTCACGAACATACCCATCGACAACCAAGGTCTAATGCAGTTGTGCGAACCATCACAGCACCCAGTAGTCAGGAGACTAAGCTTGAGCCGCACATCACCGTACAGTAATAATGTCGACGACTTTCTCCACAGAGGCAGGATGGATTGTGTGGGCACAACGACTTAATGGAAACCAAAATATTGAATATGAAACTGACAGCTGCGAAAGGTGTTACTGATGCTGTCCTTGAGCATTTTGCACGAGTCGAAAGCTTGGTGCTATTTCGTGTTACAAAGGTCTCTACTATCACAGATGCAGGTGTCAATTCATTTCGTAAGATCAGCATTGGAAGCGGAGGATCCAGTAAAGGGATTGAAGTTCTATCGTGTCCAGGAGTATCTTCAAGATAGATAGTTTTGCTATGTTGGTAGCAGTATGATAGTATTATGAAAGTAGTAGTAGCAGTGCTGGCTTGTATGTACTTTATTCTCAAAGGTATAATAAACGATATTTGGTCTGGTTTTCAGCTCGGATTGTTGTGAAACTTGCATAGTCGAGCTCTTCACAGTACTTTGAATGATATGCTGAAGTGGATTATGTCAGAAAAGCACACTGTATAATTGCAACTCATGGGAATGACAGCACTGCTTTCATTGTACAACTAGGTTAGATATCTATGGTACTTTCTATATGTAAAAAATGGATGCAGATATGTATTACGAATGGCATGAACAATGGCTTTTGTATGTAAGGGTGCGAATGAAGGAAGGGCATGTAGTGATGATCTAGTGTCGGATAAGAAGGAAAAGATGGCTAAGCGTGGTAAGAGAAAGGACTTGGAAGGTGAAATGATTAAGAGAATCCGAATTATGCGATGTGTTTGAGGTACCCAGCCTTGATCAATGTTTCGACATCGGATCGACGTACAAACTCCTGGTTTCCCTTTGTCAGATTCAGTTCGCCATATTCTGTGTTGATTTTGCCCGCGTCGCGTAAAACACGAACTTCGATAAACAAGTCTAGTGGAGGATCCAAGCCCACACCTCCATTGCCCCCCAAATCAATATCCAAAAAGTGGCTCTTGTAGTCGCTAACCAAGTCGCCGTATCTTTCCAAGAAATCGTTTTCCTCTTTGCTGAGCGCCTCTTTGATTTTTCGTTCCTGATTCTGCCGTCCAACGCTCCATGACAGTTCTTTGAGCTTTTCCAATCGTTGGTGATGGTATGCAAATAGAATCCGTTTGTTACGTTTGATGGTAAGATGGTGTAGCATGATTTGTGTGATTTGTGAGGGCACGTTGAGCGGGCTGTTGTCGCTGTTGCGCATTTCTCGAAGACTCGCACCGGCACGCGCATTTAGCATTCGGATTTCGCGACACACACTTTGTACCAGATCGTCATTGTATGTGGATATGAGCATGTCGGATGTACGTTTTGCTTCTTTTGCAAGCTTGTAGCTGGTTTCACCATACATGGTCGACATGTGCTCGTGTTAATTTGCTTTATTAGATACAAAAGTGAAAAAGAGTAGAAGGTGGAAAATATTAGAAAGAAGAGACCCGATATTTTTCCAGAAAAGCGCGGGACTCGCGTTTCCCTTTTATTTAATTCGCTTGTCAACGGTATCTCAGCTCCTTCAAAAACGATTGCTCCAACATCTTGGATCAAGTCATGCCGGCAACAACAAAATAAGCGACAGTTAAATCAATTGCACCAACGATCTTGATAGTGTTAAGCAACTCGCTTTTGTCGTAATAAAAAGTCCCACTGGCTTTCAGCGTGTCGTGACAACAGGGGAACGCAAGGTCGCATAATGCTGACTGTTGGCGCGATGACCATGCGCTTCACCACTGTCGTTCAAGGCTACAAGTAATGTATATGAATTTGATTACGTCTCTGCCACAATCATGGCTGATGACTGTAGCGGAAAGATTGACCCGCCACAAACATGAAGGGATATGTGTCATTGGCGCGTCGAGAGTTACATAATCCTGCGACTAAGTCGTACGTGTACCAGTCATACCATGTGCCTTTTGGAAATAAAGGAATCGATTGAAGTTATGTGCGTGTGCAAAACGGGGCTAGCAAGACATCGATCCAAAAAAGACTTGTACATCGTTAACGGCGTAGAAAGGATATTCAGAATTTTCAAAGTGATTAGTTCGGCAGACTGGATTGCCGATTTTGGGGGGTTCTTCATAGAGAGTGTAATGATAAGGCAGCAGAGAGTATTGATTAGCAAGTGCCTTGCGCGTTGCTTCAGCTGTGCTTTCCTACTGAATAGGTTTGTCATTGACAGTTCCTCTAGCACTGTATGAAATTTACGCAGTAGTTGGCATGACGCAAAAAGGAAGAATGGATGGATACTAGAAGGTTATGTGTGGAAACGATGTTTACTTGTGGTTACGAGCAAAAGGGTAAAGTGAGCCAATTTCCTGCCATCGTGTACACAGTGTCTTAGTCGCGTTCTCCATAGAACCACATATATCCGCGCCACTGCACAGTAACTTTAGAGTTCGAGTTTTTGAGGTACCCCCATTGCGACCAGACCTCAGAAAAAAAAAACCTATCCAATGGCCAGCATACTGTCCTTAAACTGGTACATACAACTGTCGCATTAGTTTGGATATATCTGTTTTAGGTGTGCGTGTTGCTACTGAACCAGGAAGACTCGAATGAGTCAATAGGAACAGATTTCCTCAGGTTTGTACTTCTATATGGCCTATAATATGACGATGATCGGGTAGTATCATATCGAATGTCCAGGCACTTCTTTTTTCCCCTCGTTGACTAAGTAGGACCAGAATATATGAAGATCCTCAGATATAATACTTTATACGTTGTACGTGATGAAGATCCGTATGACCGTACAAGTTATGAAAGTCATAGTCTAATAGAACCTACTAAAATACTTGGCAGTAGACGATACCATAACAACGAAGATATTACCAAGGACATTGTTGATAACAAATTTCGAGTGTCGTCTGTTACACGAGCACCGTTTTTTTGGGCGTTCATTTCGTGCACAGTTGGATCAGATCCGCATGATCCGATACAAAAGCATCAGCTTCGTTTATATCAGTCCAGATAGCGCTCAGTGATAGCGGTTCTATTCATTACGCTATTTCATATGTCTATTAATCGGTTGCATTATCATAGCAGACCGCCAATCTAGTAAAGCCTGTTTAAATTTACTAGATTAAAAGGTATAAGAGACAAAATTTCATTCATTTTGTTACTACTATTATTACTGATTATGTATCCTGCCACACTTGGCTTCGATACTCGGAACCATTTGGATTTCTGATATACACATCCACTTCTCTACAACCCGCTCGTACGATGCATGTGTAGCTCGATTTTGTATCCACCATTGTCACCATATGGTGCACACACCTTATAATCCGCAAATTCTTTAGGTAATCTTTGAATCCCTACTACTTTTTCATATCATCTTAGAAGTTTTATGCTGGTTGTTTGTGTGAAATCTGTCACTAAAAACCTTCACGCTCTCTTTAGGCTACATTACATACAATTCTCAAATCTCAGGCGTACATCCGGTAGCGCGTCAGACACAGACGACCTTGCATTTTAATCCTTGTTGGTATTGTCGAACTTTTTAAAATGTTTAAAGTCGGCAACTGTAATATCAAATTTGTGTGTCAGAGTTGACGATATATCTATCCTTCATCTTTACAAAGTCATATCATATGTGTTTATGACAAGATCCGTAATTCCTGCCAATAACGGAGCATCCTTTTAACGATCAAGTTGGCTTTTTTAACGATTACATTCGATGCTCACCTTGTACGTTTCGCAGAAAAAGAGCATTGTATAACTTGAATATAATATCTCAATGCTATCCGACGTAGCGACACAGAGCAAAAGTGTAAAGTGCGCAATAAGACGTAACCACCAACACGGACATGAACTGAAGCAGCTCAAAAGAAACACCAAAAGCATGGATACGAGCTGATCAAAAACGAAGACGTGTCAGAATATATTTTTGACGAGTTTGTGCAACATATGATCTTTGGAAATGTATTTGTCGCCGAGGATGCCATCCAAATAACCAATTGAGTAGTAAATGGATGCAGATAATAATAAATGAGGACGAGTCGTGAACATCAGCAGGAAATTAATAGAAAAGAAAATGTACAGCATAACCAAAACCTTGCTGTCATGGGCCGTGCGTGCTATGATAGATAATCTTGTTTCATGGCTAGGTACCGGAAAATGTACAGCAGGATATAATCCAAGAAGCCCATGGGGAGTGGCGTAATGTAGACTTGGATGAGGCCGGTCACAGTTAGTAATGTCGTCGATCACCTTGGAGCAGATGCGGATCATGTTGATAATGTTGAACAATGATTGACACAAATAGGCCTCAATCGAGCCAGACCTTGAGATGACATATGCAGGTGTATACTATATGTCCGGCTTCAAGGGACCACAAACAACTTATGCAAAAAAATTTTAAAAGGCATCGGCGCCCCTGGTCGCTAAACAGCGGTGGTGGTTCAACAATGATCAAGTATTCTACGTCTGAAAAGAAATAGTGCAGTGAGAAGTTAGAACCAGATATCGAGAACAGCATCATTATAAATGTGTCATTGCCGCCGCTTCTGATTTAGGCATGACGGCCTCCTGTTAGAACTTACCACGACCGAATTATCTATGGATGTGCCTGAAGGTTAACTAATCAGTTTGCGCTTGAAAAGGACTCACGTCGCTATTGCCGAGAGCAGCAAAAGTCTACCAGAAGTATGTCAAATCTGGATTAAAGTGGCACTAGTACCAGCAGTCAGTAGTAGCAGGTATCCTATTAGTCAACTGGATATTCTTGACATCGTGTAACAACACCCCTTTCTTTGTTTTCTGGAGGTTCTGATCCTCAGTTTGATGATGGCCCCTGTCATTATTCTATGTTTACACTGGGCACCATTGCTCTATTGTATGATATAGCTTTCAATTATTTATCTTAGTCTCCCCTCTGAATACTATCCGACCGAACGGTTACATAGCAAAAATGAAATGCTTTCTAAAGTCGTATAAGTTATTGCCACGCAATAGGCCATGTCTACAAATGTTACATACTCTGTATTTTATATGATACAGAAAGATAAACGCGATATGATTAGAACTTGGCTGGAGCAAACATCGATTCTTCAGATCATGTGAGGCTGAAAAAAGAGAAGAAATAGAGCAGCAAAAGATAATGATAGCGAAGGGCACATGTCCACTGCACAACAAGAAATCCATCGTCATAACACTTTTAAATAGTATATATTGCCACGTCTACCAGTTGTATTTTGCGATATGGAGGGAGGAAAGAAATATAAATTCATACAGTATGAACAGAAGAAGAATCGTACGCCACCATTTCCCCCCTGATCAAACAAAATGTCGTGCTTATCACAATAGTCATGATTGAATGTGTTGATTTCAGAAACAACAAGTTTTCGACATATTGTGCTCCTTTTCCCTGCTGAGGAAGTCTTGATTATTGTTTTGCTATACTGAAATGTGTGGGACCATGACCCCTTGGCTATGTGCACATTTACAAATGGTGCAAATAGAAGCATGAATAGCGACGTCTAAAACTTATACAGCAGGAAAACATATAATGAAAATGAAAAGCAAGAGCAATAACATCTTTATTATTAAGATCTTTAAAAGTTAGCTGAAAAATCCAAAAAAGGAACTCTCATCCATGTAAATTCACAGACAGAAGAAGAGAAAGTAAATACTTACGCAAAAGCATTCCCCAAATTCATGGGGGACCTCGGCCGCACTTTTTACCCGTGGGCGCGGGGAAATTGTAGATGAAGCAGGACTTACGCCCGGAGGCTGCCTGAGTAAAAAAACAGCCGTTCGCGTGAAACGATGCAACATCCGAAGATGGGTCGAGACAGAGGCTACTAGGAACTGTGAAAGAAAGCAAAGGGGGAGGGGAGGGGGATAAACTATATAAAGAACGCAATAGACGCTTTTAACGACTTCCTGGGTCAGAGCAAGGGGAAGGGGAGGGGGGTATAAAATATATAAAGAACGCAAAGAAGAAGATGAGGCTTTTAAGGACTTCCTCAGGTCCAAGTCAAAGCAAAAAGCACACGCCACCGTCCAGATGGATGGATAGATCTTGACCACTGCCGATGGACTACTTGACAGGTCGGCTTCTAGGAGCGGGATGACAGTGGAGCATCAATCTTGACTGGCATGGAGGTGTCTGTGCACTATCGCCATTCCGAGAAACGAAAGAGACGAATAGTTAATGGGAAACTGTCAAACCACACACATACAAGATTCTATCGTGCTATATTTACCTATACTTCTACGATGAGACACAGGAGAACCGAACACCCAGCCAGTGTAGAGCAGAGAATCACAGCCAAGACAGAAACACTTCTTCTAGCCGAAGAAAAAGATCATTAGAGGGTTTCACCCACTGTGCTATCTTTATTTTTGACACGGCATTACCATCCTCCTCCATCCCAAGCTGACTTACATTTGTTTTGTCGTTTTACAGCAAAGTTATAGACAGAGAGAGATGGGGTCTAAGCCAATCCAAGTTCAAACAGATCACCGCAGAGCCATCCTCTATTAGAAAAAAGAAAACATCTATGAGCAGCTGTTCTTAATATGCAACTATTCCTGACACGTCATGGCATCAGCACCTCCAACAGACACTCGACTTCTCTCCAGCTCATCCTCACATTTCATTCCCTACCGTACTTACAGTTGTTGCTTATGTTTAAGGGTGGGATGCAAACAACAAACCCGAACCAACCATTTCAAAAAGTCAGAACCCTATAGTAGTAGCAGAGAAGAAAGGAGGATAACATTAGCGACTGTATGCTGTACACACACTTCTTTAGACACGTCGAAATTCATATCTTCTTTCGTATACAGTGGTCCCCCGCTTTTTGCAGCAGCGGTTTTTGGTGGAAAAAACTGCAAAAAGTGGGGAACTGCAAAAAGTGAGGATGAGTATGAGATGTTACACAGACTGAGTCTATTATGTTAATCAAGTGTCAATGATAGTAAACCAATTAAAAGTGTCGGTGTTGTACTGAGGCTACTTATTATAAATCAACTCTTATATAAAAGGCTGTCGTCTCATTCTTGATGTTTATATACTGCACTATTGACACCTCCACACCACTATGGTAAAAGCATAATACCCAAAGCTTACTGACGAGCAAAAGGACGCTATCTATCAACATTACATGTAGATGTCACTGGTTCAAGACTCTGTGTCCCAGGCTCTCGAGTTAATAGCGGAAAATTGCAGGTCCCCATTTTTGGCCTGCAAAATGCAAAAAGTGAGGAAACTGCAATTTTACTAAGTGATGAGCGGGTATGCTCCAAAAAAATCTGCAAAAATTGAGGATCTGCAAAAAGTGGGGCTGCAAAAAGCGGGGGACCACTGTATCACATCCACATGCAAAACCTCAAAGTACACTTCACACTTTCCATATTGTACTAACTCTTGCATCTGCGCTTTGAGAGCCAACGTGAGGGAGAGATGGACCAGGTTAAGACGAGAAGAAGGTTTGTGTCAAAAAGAAAGAAAGTGAGATAAACGGATCTTAAAGAAATCACTGTATACTCACAACCGGTTGCATACACTCTTCTCACTCACCACCATAAACATACACTCTCCGATCCTCTAATCCGTTCCAATGACACTCACATTGAATAGCTTTGGCTTAGAAAAGTTGACGAAGAGGAAGAAGAGCCCCATGATTGCTGCGGCCGCACGGTTATATAGTAGTAATGAACACGGCATTTGAGCCAGTTCAATCTATCCAATCAGATTGCTCTCTCACGTTTATGACGCGCCGAAATGTGTGGCTCCTCCAGATCAGGAAATTTGTTCTACATGAATGTATGACTATGTGAGTAGACGGGTATCGCATCGAGGAAAGACTCAAGGGGATAACCTTCATTAACACGAGATGAAGCTCACTTCACGTCCTTCATCATATGAGAAGTGTCATCGCTTTAAACACGCTGGACACAAGTATCAATACAAGTATCAACGTATACGTACAAGCGTATCCAAATCTCATGAGACATGACGATCCCGCGCTTGCCGATGTTCCATTTGGTGGAAAAATTATGGTCCTTGGTGTTGACTTTTGCCAGGTACTCAACATTGTATCCTCTCTTCTACTTTGCATGTTTTTTACTATTAAGCGGTAGTACTCGGTCACAGTAAAGTATATCGTAATATCCTTCCAGTGATACCAAATGCGTCGCGCTCGCAGATCGTACAGCAGTGCTTAAATCACTCATCGAAGCCATTCACGGCAGCCTTGACGCACCACACGTGGATCGCGATTACCTCATCAGTCGCTCCATTCTAACTCCAAAAAATGTCGACGTTTCAGCGATCAACGATCTGATACTCGACCATTTCCCAGGCACCATCCACGTATTCCCGAGCGCAGATACTGTGGATGATCCAGAGGATCAAATCACATACCCACCAGAGCTGCTCAATTCCATGAATCCATCCGACCTCCCACCACACTTGCTAAAACTCAAAGTCGGTTGCCCAATTATGCTTTTGAGAAACTTGCACACCCAAAGTGGTCTCTGCAACGGGACACGGCTGATTGTACGCTCTCTTTAACGATATGTACTTGAAGCTGAAATAGCCACTGGACCTCATGCTGGCAACATTGTCTTAATCCCTCGCATAACACTCACACCATCGCAAACACGCTCGCCCATTCTCTTCAAACGCACCCAATTCCCTGTTCGCCTGGCATTCGCTATGACCATCAATAAGGCACAGGGTCAAACTTTCAACACTGTCGGCCTCTACTTGCCTGAACCTCCGTTCACGCATGGTCTACTCTATGTAGCCATGTCGCGCGTCCGCACCCCTTCATCCATCAGAATCATGTTAGATCCCGAGAACTCGAGTATCGCGGGTCAGCAAGGCCAAAGCACAAGAAATGTTGTTTTCCATGAAGTTCTTCTCTAATTCTTTTTGTCACCTACTCTATTTTTACATCGCCCATTCTCTTTTTCTACATCGCCTATTCTCTTTTTTTATATTGCCTATTCTCTTTTTTTATATTGCCTATTTTCTTTTTTTCTCGCCTATTCTCTTTTTATCAATATCACTACATCATCTTTGTCAACACTTCTTTTCGCATTGCATTTTAAACTGGAGATAGTTAAGTATCCAATTTTGACGACTTTCTATGATAGGCTACTTGTCACTGCACAATGATCTTGCTTTTGATTTTGAAAACAGACAATAAGCATCTAATACCAAAACATTGATCCAACCTCGCTTGACAGGGGGATTTGGGGGACTTGCCCCTCACTTGGGGGTCAAGGGGGGAACCCCCTTGCGACGCGTTTCCGTTGAATGACACGGAGCGAAGCGGAGGGGCTCATTCATCCGAGCGAAGCGGAGGGGCTCATTCATCCGAGCGAAGCGAGGAAGGACCGCTAGTATTTGGTAAATATTCGATATTTGCGGAACATGCAAAAAGCAGCTTATGATGATTATGCATCATGTTGAATGGTACATTAGCTAACGATGTTTAGTTTTTTTGAGCTGCATTTCTATGATACTACCACGCTTCGTTGGTAAATGCATATAGAGATAAAAGGTAGAGATATGCTGCCGAGGGCTTGCTCGGTTGTTCTCGGTTTACTAGAAGTACAATCGTTCCTGAGATATAACCAGGTGACTCCCAGTAATGTGATGCCTTGTTTTATGCTATGATACTATACACTATTGGATATCTATGATAGCCAAACAATATCAATTATTATATGCCCGCCGCTTCTAATTGGAACCAACACTATAAACGTTCATGTAACTAACGATAGAAAAATTAAAGCAGTATACAATTGTACTCTGTAATATCTTAAACAGCTTACAAAAACAATCGTGCAGATTATTGAGTTGTTGCTTGTTATTTCAGGCTATCGCAATTCAAAAATAGATAGGCGAACACAAGAAAAGAGAAGGCCTTCTTTTGTAGATCTTGATATTGTGGTAGCTATCTTTTTAAAGCAAAAAGTTGTTGTTCTCTATAAAGCAGCCATAAATCATGCAATAACGACGAATAAAATGTTACTTGGCCTGTCATCAAATGCAGCACAAATGCCTTTTTTACACTATTTTTGAAATGGCTCAGCAGGAATTATGTAGAGAGACAAACAAGTGATTACCAAAAAGTGGGTCATGTACTAAATCTCGATCTACTACAGTATACGGGACATACAGCACCTACTACCAGCAGCAGTAGCAGGTAGTAGTATTTGGTAGTAGGCAGGTTGTTATAAAGTAGTAGCTGCATGGCGTGGTCAAATAAGGAAATGCCCGCAAGCTAAATATAGCGTATCTTTTCTACAACGTTCCATATGACATGTGGTGTCAACTATCGTGGTGCTTGTAACTAATGGGTATGCTTTCATCAGAAAAAGCAAAAATATAACTATGATAACGTGGAGTTATTGCTGTTACCTTCCTTGTGGTCCATCTCGACCCTGGCTATCGCTTTTTTTAGGAGCAAACGGCTCTTACTTCCATTCGAATTCTAATTGCTCCATTATAATTAGCCGCGTATCGACCAGTACTACGAAGCAAATATAGTAAACGCCGCCCGCACATTGTAAAGTGGACTGGAAAAGGGATCGTGGAAAAACTTGGGATGGGGGACGTGCCTTACTGTTCTTCTGCCGACCCACCCACGTGTTGAATATCGTGCATTTGGTTTCGGGATGTTGACTACCCAATATTTTTTTTCTGTAAGGATCCATGGCGACCGACTTTTCGGCAAGGTTACACTAGAAAATGTTATGTGTGGGGGTGGGGGAGGTGCGGGCTGGGAGAATTACTTTTAACGGGTAATGCGTACCAGAAAACGAGAAAATGAGAAAAACCTAGAAAGTCGGTTTTTCCATGTACGCTATGCTCCGGCTGATCGAGAACCTTCGAAAATGGCGACAATCAAGTCATCGACTTGACGCGGCGAAACAAAAAAAGAAAAAAGATATACGATAGCCCTCTTGGGGTTGTGGTGCCATCGGGGTGTATTTGACGTAATCGATCTAAAGTCAGCTGGGACTATGAGAAGAAAAAGGAAAATTATGCACAGTTTTTATTTTCAGACATATGTACATGGATTGCAGCAAGCAGCAAGGGAGTAGAAGGCGTACAGATGAGTTATACTACGCGCTACACGAGATATCAAAAAGACTGAGAGAGAGAGAGAGAGAGAATGACTATACATGGGGGGCAGATGGAGTGGGCGCAAGCATGTGACAATAACGAAGAGAAAGCAAGCAAAGAGGTTTGTATGTGCAAGATGAAAGAGGTATCGTGGGGGAAAAGTGTGCAAGAAGTTAGAAGGTTTCTGGGGAGGATTGTTGCGGAGACGACGAGCGCGACATTGACGATGGAGGCGTCGTGGGGCTGTTCGTCATCAGCTCGGCCACAGCATCTGCAGCAGCAGCGGTAGGGTGGCCGTAAGCGCCGGATGACAGGCGTGCAGATGATCGTCGCAGGTATGTTTGCTAGAGAAAACACGAGGAAGAGAGATTAATTAGAGCGAACGGGACAGACACACGGACAAGAACAAAGAAGAAGAAGAAGAAGGGAATCTTACCACCATGGTGCAGTTGCAGTCGCTGTGCGTCAGCAGCTGGTTGCGCAAGAACATGCTCTCCTCACGGAGCTGGCTCAAGAGATCGTGCAGCTCTTTGTTGCGGGTTGCAACGTGTTCAGAGCGGACCTCGAGTTCATGCATCCACTTTTTCTTCTTTTGACGGCACTTTGAAGCGGCCACTCTGTTGCGTTCAAGCAGCTTCTTGCGCTGTTCATCGTCTTCCTCGTCTTCGTGTTGTGATGATGCCCGGCGCTTTCGGCCTGCTGTCGATTTGGTTGGAGACGGAGGCAGAGCCAGCTGCTGGTGCTGGTGTTGCTGGTGTTGCTCCTGTTGTGCTTGTTGATGATGAGGATGTTGTTGCTGGTGACGGGCGCTGTGCGTCGTCGGCATGACAGAAGGGTCGGCATGCGGGAACAATGCCTCGGTGGGAATAGCGGCCGGCTGACCGTAGGAGGTTGGAGGTGGAGGAGTCGGCGGCTGCTTAACAGGTGCAACTGCGGGAGCAGGGTAGTAAGAGGCGGCGCCAGTGAAGATGGGCTGCGGTGCAGCAAAGACGTGTTGTTGTTGTTGTTGTTGTTGCTGCTGCTGCTGCTGGTGATGCTGCTGCTGCGATGTGGTCTGGTGAGACAAGGGCGGAGTCAAAGGGATGCAGCGATTGAAGGGATCGTCCACGACAGACGGGAAGGGATATCCACCGGTGGCAGTAGAGCATTCCAAGATGAAGCGGGTGGGAGTGGCCAATGGTTGTTCTGTAAATAACAAGTGTACAGCAGTGCGGAGAGTTTAGTTGGGCCCGTCTGTTCGGTTGTGGTCTGAACGGAGGATTTCTCTTTGGGCTCTTCTCTCTCTCTCTCGTTTCTTTACCTGTATTCATGATGTCCTGGTATTCAGAGTAAGTGTAAGGAGAGTGCAATGGGAGTGTGAATGATGGATGATGGATGATGACGATCCTGTGTGTCAGCCAACAACAAAGGAGAAAGCAGAGAGGAAAAATACCGGGGACTGCTGTTGCTCTTTATATAGGCGGGATTTCAAGGTGTGGGTGGGGGGGGGGTGAGGGTGGGTGCGGTCTCTTGGGCGGTGGGGGTTTGCCAGCGAAGGATTTCTGGTGATCCCCATGATGTAATTGGCTTCGTGTGTGAAATGCCTATAAGAAAATAATGCGGGAAAGGGGGAGAAATCGAGCATTTCCTTTTATGGACCTGTGCTGATATCATGACAGCTCAACCTGCACCTTCCCTTCCACCCCCCCCCGTTCCCCATCCAATGGGCGCAGTCGCACAAGAAAACGAACGCACGGTGTACGTTTCACTGAATTTTTAGGCGCAAAACAAAAAAAAAGATATTTCCCCCCCCCGGGCCGAGCTGTTACTGCTCAGTAGTTTACTCGCTTTGCTATTGGTTCCCCAGCACTTGCTGCTACTGCTACTACTACTACCAGTAGCAGCACTAGTTATATCAGTAGCGGTAATATACGAATAGTAGTAGTAGTAGTAGCAGTAGTAATTGCACAACTGACTGACATTGACTGTATATGAGCCGACGACGCTGGATGGTGCCACCGCTCATGCTGGGAGCTCCAACATAATTTCCGTTTAAAAAAGAACCTTTGAATTGGGGAGAGCACATATAAATATCGCCGTGAAAGCTGCTGTTGTGCGCTTCCTGTTCTTTTTTTCCATCTCATTACGCATCCGTGCTATTCTCTATCCTCCTTTTCTTTCTTTCTTTCTTTCTCACATTAGGTGCTCTATTATCGGAACTTGCGGGTAAGTGCGTCATTTGGGGATCGGGGAAAGAGGGGGGGGGAGTATATGCCTGCAGGAAAAGGGTGCTAAACTTAATACGGCTGTGCGATCCATCAGACGGGAAAAAATCATGGCACAACAGGCCACCTCAGTCACTCATGTCGCCGTCAATGCGATTCCTAAAGATGGCAAAGTCTTTCCTCCCGCTTGGAAGACGGAGCACTATATCCACCAGCATCATCACCAGCAACAGCCACCCATCGATGCGTCCACCTTGCAGCAGCAACAGCAACACCATCATCATCATCATCAGCAACAAGCCAACTTTTCACCGTACTATGCAGCCTCGACGGCTGCAGCGGCTGCTGCTGCTGCTGCTGCTGCTGCTGGAACAAACAATAATAGCAACAACAACAACAACAATGCAGGTTTTCGTGTACGCCAGCATCCTCCTCCACCTTATCTCCAGCAACACCAGCAGCAGCAATACCACATGCCCTCGCAAGCACCTTTACCGCATCCACAAGGCAATACACATTCTGCCCAGTACTACTATCCTAACTATTCGCACGGATATCTGCAGCCAAACATGATGGAACCACAGCCACCACAACAACAACAACAGCAGCAGCCGCAGCCTCAGCCGCAACAACAGCAATATATCATGAGCCGGCCCGTGCGCAAGCGAAGACGCCCGCCTCATTCCTATGCGTCATTGATTGCACAGGCCATCTTAACGTCGCCCGAGCAACGCCTAACGCTTCGGGAAATATACGAGTGGATCCAAACCCGCTATCCCAACTTGTACGAGGCTAACGAAACCGGTTGGCAGGTTTGTGTGATTTAGCATCTCCACTCTTCGGGTCTTTTTTTTTTTTTTTGTGTCGTCCTAAATGACCTTGTATAACTCATACCACCAGAGCGCAAAAAAATAAAATTTTAGAATACCATACGACACAATCTTTCATTAAACAGATGCTTTATGAAACTTCCGCGGACCCAGCAGGACGGTCATCGCAACAAGGGCAGCAAAGGCGGCTACTGGGCCGTCGACATTGATAAGCTGAGCCATACAAACTTTGGCCGACAAATCATTGACTCGGGTTTTTTGGGCAATCTGGAATACTGGCAACAGCAACAAACCTTGGAAGAGCAGCGACAACGGCATCAACCACGGCCTTCATACAGCAGCAGCAACAGCGGTAACAGCAGGGACTTTGACCTCGCCACGCAGCAGCAGCAGCAACAACAACATCCTGTGGACGTGGATTTCGACTTTGATAACTTGGTGGCACCGCCTCCGCCTCCTCCCCCAACAACAACAACAACAAACAACGCTAATGGCGATGATCAGCAGGATGATGTCGCTAGTGCTGCTGCCACGCGCATGTACACAGCAGCCGATGAAAGTGACAGGTCGTTTCTGACACGCATGAAGCGCCCCTTGTCGGCCCTGTCTTCGTCATTTAATACAAACACGACAAAGACGAGCTCGGTCCGAGACTCCATGTCACCTGGCTCTACCACATCGAGCAGCATGAGCACCCCCATGCTGCCTTCTTCGCAAGCGAATAATAGCAGCACTACTACTATTACTACTAACACGAATGCGACAGCAAGCAACAACAACAACAACAACAACGCACTTAAATTCGATCTTACGCACCATCATCCTCATCCGAGCGAAAACCCTTTGATGAACCCTTCTCTTATGCGTGTCAACAACATCATCAACTGACACACTGCCAGACTGTTACTTCACAACAGTATCATGCTTTATATTCTGCTAGTGTAATACTGTTTTTTTTTTATTTGATCCATCATTTTCTGCTTTTTTTAAGATTGCGTTATAAACACAAACACATATGATACAAAAAAAAACGCTCGTTTGCTGCTGCTGCTGCTGGTGATGATCGGGTTTAGGCCAAAAGAAAATCGAGATCGTGCTAAAAACAGCAAAAGTCGGCTTTTTCTTAATTTGGACGGGATCGCGATCGATCAAGTGTCGGTGATTTGTTGAGCACTAGTGCGTGCCTGGTTTTTTTTTTTTCCTCTCTTGATGTCTGAATCTTAGCCTCCTCCTCCCATGCTATCTTGAACGGGAAGTGAACGAGAAAGACGTGTGCTGCCAAGAAAACATCTGCTGTCCTTTTTCTTCATACCTCCCCCAGCCAACCCTTGCTTCTCGGATGGCAACAGAAATAATGCAATCGGTGGGTTCTTGCTGCTGGTCACCGTATTGTTTATCGAGATTGAATTTATATATCGCATGTGAACCAAGCACTAAATGCGACTCGAAGCTGAAAGGGAAAAGACTAAGCGGTTTTTAGTTTGGAGAAAGAGAGGGGGGGTGGGTGGGGGACACATCTAAATGTGGTTGCAGGTGGACAGTACATGAGTGGGATTCTTTCCCTTTATGCATGTGCGCCGAGAAAGTACGCTCTGTTGTTGTTGTTGTTGTGTTTTTCTTCTTCTGTGGAGTTGATTCGGTTCCGGTGCACAGTTCCTTTTTTATGCTGTTTGCTATGTATTGTAAAGTCGCACATATCCGGGATCCTCCTCAAACCGATAATCGGGCCCCTAATCTCTTTGTCACATTGTTGTCCAAACTGCCGTCGTTTTTGTCGTACAATGTGCCGTTGTGTCTCCTACTTTCGATAATGAAGGAACAATCCCTGCATATTCGCCGCTATACAACAGCTGTATGCTACAAAAACGAATAACAATATCCTATATGTGATCAAAGATTATTATTATTGTTGTTGTTCAGATCATTGTTACTAACCAATAGGCAATGGCAGCCACTATACAAATTGTTTTATGTCGCAGTACTGCTGGCGTCAATCTTCGCGTATGACAAGGGAACGATGACGTCATTTTCTACTGATTTTGACACTCGCCCACCCACATTATATCGTCAAGCTTGCTATTAGAACGTCTTTCGTACTTGAGACAGCCTATCTACCATCCTCCTTTACAATCTCTCTCTTTCTACGATTTCACAGAAAGATAACATGTGTGACGCTTCACATTTAGAGGAAAACTAATTATCGTACCATATCAATTGTTGTGTATTAGTGCTATGCCTAAACGAGTTACCATAACTCAAGGAAGATCCACCCGCCCATAGACTCTCTCCCCCTTCAGAAGTCTAGCCAATCAAAAGCCATGGAGATGGAAATAGCCTTTGTTGTTTCGCAGCAACCTGTAGTGAGTCCGTGCCCCCCATTGCCCTTCTCTAAATCCATCCAAACATTCTCACACCCACCCGCGACACCCTCCTGTTCCCCATGGCAACGCGGATGAAGTTGTTGTTTACCCATCCATATGTGTGTTCATTCCCGCTCTGTCTCTTCTAGTGGCCACCCTATTACAGTGTTAGTGCCCACACACCATGCACCAATAGGAGAAACTTCCATTTCCTTCCCTTGCTGTTCTTGTGGTCTGCTATTGTAATTAATTTATACAACCCAACGTTGCCTTTGGAATTTTCTTTGTGGAACCCATATGAGCAGCAAAACAAGATAGTTTAGCCATGCAACGTCAAACTTTACTTTTTTTTTTTCTGCCATTCTGCACACTCTCTGTCTTTTTTTTTTTTTTTTTACGTAGATCTTTTTTTTATCCTAACAAGGAATAGTACGGTCTGGTGAGCCACAGCACTTATTGTTCGAGACCTTTCTTTGCCGTGTTCAAACAACAACAATATTTCTAGTGCTTGGATCCAGAACTGTTGCTAGTGACGATGAAACAAGAAGATCATCACCATCGTCGGCATAGCGTACGCTCAAGAGCTTAGCAAACAGGAACTATATGAAATCTTCTCTTTTGATGGTTCAGTAAAGGGATTTGCCGCTGTGGATCTAATGACGATCTGCGCGCCGCGGAGACCACGCAGGGAAAAAAGCGTTGGAATAACTTTTAGTAGCTCTTCTTGAAATCTAAGCGGCGCTCGTCTCTTATCACAGCTCGTTTTTTTCTACCTGTTTCAATTTTATGTGGACCATGCATGGTTGTCATGTTGGCCAAGCAATCGGCTTCGATCATTTCTATCGGATAAATGCTACACTACGTATTAAAAAAGTGCGTGTCTGGTGCGTGGGGGTAGGGCGTTTGGGAGGGCGCGCTGTGGGGACCCGGGGTATGGTGATTAGTGTGGGATACTTTATGATTTTCCTTGTGATGCGCATATAGCAAACGAGCATTGCGGCCTAAAATACTCATTGCATATACCGTTCGTTTGGATACTGTACTTTGTCGACGTGTACGAGCGAGCGCCCAGCCAATAAGAACTTTACAGTCTTGTTCACTCGTTGCATATCGCATCCTGGGTATACAACCAGGAGTCAATAGCGGTTGTCATTTGTTTGTTATCGCTTTCCCGAAAATAAAGATGGCATTGTACCCTCTTTTCAGTAATAGATCGTAAATTTTAATCGTTTAATCGATAAACGCAAAGAGAGAGAGAGAAACGCCGTCGACAAAGATAGCAACCATAAACAATAACGGTAGAATTAAAAGATAGTTTAGCGCAGCGTATGTCACAACAAGCGCCCACACAACAACGATTAATAAGCTGGCTTCTCTTTTTCCCATTTATGATGGTCGTCTTGTTGACTCAATACGAGGGAAGGAAAATGCGTCGAACTCATGTGCTGATATTGTTCTTTGATCCATAAAAAGTAAATGTAATCTTAACTGATAATATTCCCGTCCACCGGACTCCATTGTCATTTAAGTGTTTTGTGATCAGTTCGTCCATGTCTTCTAGATTGGCGTTGTTGTACCAGGGGTTGGGTACGAGTAACCCAGAAAAAAAGAGAAAATGTAAACAGTACTACCATCATCATGTGCACGGTGATCTTTCGATATCAAGACTGTTTACTGCAGCAACTACAGTATTACGCGGCTAACGAAAAAAAAGGAGGTGCTAAACAACAACAACAGTACAGTCATAATCCTTCCACTAAAACTTAATATACTAATACCTTTCGCACTTTTACCATATTAAGTATACTTACAAACACGCACGCTTACACAACGCAACACAGCATCTCTGTATCAGTATAGTCGTCATGGGCGCAAAGTAACAAGAAATAATAGGAAAGATGATTTAACAATGCACAGAACGACAAAATGTTAGTTCAATCTACTTTACAAGTATCATGCATGCAACTGAAAAAATGATGAGCCATCTTAGTAGCAATATATCTATATCTTCAAATGAAACAATAAGAGAGCTTGGCACTGTAGCAAGGAGTCCCCCCTCTCGCTGCCTTTTACATGAACTACAGTGATGGTATATATGAAGGGGTTGGGGTCAAGTTTCCTGGTAGAAAAAAAAAGTCCACACACAGTATTGCAGTCAAAGGATCCTTCAGCAAATAGTATGTACTTTGTATCATACTCTAGGTAGTATTGCTAGCAACAACCATGGTGGTATATGAATATAGTTTGCAAAACAATCTTTTCAGTCAACGACTGGAAGGACTAGTTGATACCAAAGTTGGCTCGGGTCAAGTGTCCGACATGTCCCACGCACACGGAAAGTTATATTAGTTTCCATTTTGAAAAAAAAGGAGGGGAGAACGCCAATTACTGACCGGCAAAGTCATTCCTTAGTGGTCGCCATTGTCATGTATTTAATCGATATACAGTAGTCTAGCACCGGTGTTGTTGTTGTAGTGCCTACATAATGAAAAGGAAGCACAAGCAGATTGTGGATCTCATCATAGATATTATGTTGTACATCGTCATGGTCCTCTGAGAGTATTTATTTTACTTTCTCTATCTGTCATAGTTAAGTTAGTAAAAGTCTTTACTAACGGAGAATATATCAAACTTATTAGATGACGATGGTAATGATGAAGATGTCTCATAAATACAACATAACAACAAGTTTCATACTACCGTATATCATAAGTTTACTAATATATCATTTAAACGACACATTGTATAAATAATTAACTAACCATAGAAAGCAAACAAATTTGATGAGTTTTGCTTCATTTAACATTACATGCTGATATAGAGCAGCGGTTGGTCTTTATACCCACCTTTCGCTCTCGCCAAAAGTACTCCAGTCATTGTTACTTACTGCTAATGTATGTTGCTAATGAGGATACGCGTATTCTTCATTTTTACACGAGTAAGGAGACACACCTTTAAAGGTTCATCAGGAAATTTTTTGCACATGGATATACGAGCAACTAATGCAGCTCTGCTCCATCATTCTACATTTATGTACTTGATAGAAAAAAGAGATCGACAATCGGATGATAATAGTGTGCCAAAAGCCTGTTCAATAGCAATACACGAGAGAGTTAATCATACACATCATAATTACGTATTCTTTTTCTGTTTGCATGACATATCGTCAAGAGATAGACGCCAAGGTGCATTGGATCATCATCAGATTAGCTAGTCAAACACATTTATAGTAGTAATATGCAGGATCTTTAAAGGGTTAGCTTTGCGGAAAAAACCTTTCATTTTTATTGTTGTTACTGAGCAGTTACTGCCAGCTGGATCTTTCATGTGAGAGAAATCAAGTCTGACGTACTGTATTGATGTACATGTTGACGGCAGTATGCTTGCGAGAAGAAAGAAGCCCCATGCTTTCGCTTGTTGGCAAATGCAATTGAGAGAGACCAATGAAAAGAAAAGTTAAGCATACAGATCAATAATCGAGTGGCCGCCCGCTCTTCTTGATGATTTTTATATGCTTGCTGACAGTACTTTATCTTTTTTTTTTAAGTTCGTCTAGCATCAGTACCAACGATCATTCCAAGTTTTTTGAAAGGACCAGTTTGGTAAGCCATTAGTAGCAGTCGCGAATAAAGATTTCAACTGGTGAAAAAGAACTTGATGCTACTGTCTGATATAGCTCACACCAACATGTATAGAGACGAGCACAGCTTTTATCATGTATCAACATTCCATTTGGCCAGTTATTCTCGTATTATTACGTGCTGAATGTAATACTGATAAAGCATTCCTCCTCTTGATTTGCCTAACTTAATAATACTTCCTGTGTTCTTTGATCTATCATGGGTCTAATAGCAAAAACCTTGCCTACCTTATTATATCCGCTATGACATCATTTTCAGAAGTTCAGTGTACATAATACGCGACACACTGGACAGCCTGATAGTCTGAGGCAGATGTCATATCTTAACTTGGAAAATATACGTCAGAGAGCTTACTAATAGCTAGAATTCATTGAGTGCGTCAGTATCATTATGGTTTCAAGTCTACCTACTGCTTACTACTGCTAGTGAATTTTTGTAAACAACAATGCAAAAACCAATTGATAAAGAGAGAGAAAGTGATTACTATAAAAGTTCGACTTTAGCATCAGCACATTTTTCATACGTAATATACGCTGAATTTAGTAACTCTGATGTGAGAAAACGTGGGACGCGGCAGATGTAGTGGTGGTAATAATGACGATCATGTTTTCTTTTCTCGTCCCCCCTTGTGCCAAACAAGAACGTTCGAGCCCCTCCCCTAAAAGTAAGTTCATCGCGAACAATCTGTAGCACGCATTTCCTCACAGACTCAAGGGTCGGGGTGGGATCGGTTAGGGAATACTTGTCTTTTGCGGAAAGGACAGGTCATTAAGATATTGCTGATTTTTGCTTTTGGCAATGTCCCCGTCATAATCGTACATATCGATCAATGTACACGCATATGCCAAAGATCCTTTCAGAAGAACAAGCCCTCTCCGAAAGGTTCAGTAGTTTTAAAACCACTTATGCGAAACTTCTTTCTTATTTTAGGCGATGACGATTATTCGTGAACTTTCCTCTCTGTCTCTCTCTCAAAGCTTATCGCGCTTTTTACTCCGGAAGCAGATAGTATTGAAGAGGAGCTTTTTTTTGTTAATTTACGGAATGATGTAATAAATCAGTCTTGACGCTACTAAACAACTCTTACCATTGTGTGTACTCGGAGCCGTAAAAACAAAACTAGATTTTCTGATAGTAATGAAATGGGATCTTTTTTAAAAAAAACTGTTGTGGGTAAAGTTGTATTTACAAATGCTTTTGCTTTCTCTAGCATAACAGATCGATGGCGTCATATTTACGGATGGTTTACTATAAAGGCTTTTGAGCGCTAAGCAAATACCATGTAGTATGTGCTCTATCAGTTTCGCAATCCTCAATGCGTTACTCAATGTATGTTTTAACTTGTTATCATATCACTGATATGGTTGGCATACTTGAGACCAGTAGTTCGGATCGAGGATCGTCGTGGTCTCAGGTCTTTCATATAATATCCGAATCCCCGAAATGCTAAGTAAAAGAACGAACACTTAAGCTATTATAGACCCATTTACCTACAGGTAACTCTACCATTTTAGGTGAAACATTCGTGAATCCTGCTGCTTTCAATCCTTCGATTATATACGTACCCTGCATTTTCTGTATCAGTGCCAAATATTCTTTGAAGTACGACCGTCCATTGTTCCAACTGGTCGAAACTAGGTCCTCTGGATGTAACAGGACGGTCTATTTTTGAAAAACCATTTGGAGACAATATCATACTTTGACCATAGATTTCAAACCATCCACGGCGCTTGAATATTTTAAATACCTGGTTCAAAACTTTGGGCCACTGTTGACCTTGTGAGCCAAGGATCCAACCATCATGGATTAGAAAAAATTCGACACTGTTATCAGCAGACTTTTCGGATCCGTGAACACCACAGCTGTGGCGTTTTGGGGGGCGTAGTTGCCTGGATTCAACGTTGGAAGGGGCATTGTCGCTATTAGGGACCCCCAATGGCGCGAGCCATACATCCAATGAACAATCATCGTGGAATTATTGCAGATATTTGCCTGGTATAAGCGTCCCCATACGCGCCGCAAAAGAAAATGCCTATAGTGATTTTAATAGCATAAATAACAGGTAGTTTAGCGATGTCAATTGTTGCCAGCAACAATCATCCAAAGATAAGAGAAAGACAGTTTATCTGACACAATGTATCGAGTTCACTAATACCGGTAACCACCTTGTTTGCTAGTGTTGGTCGGTGGAAAGTTCCACTGCTAGCAACAGATGAGGAGCTGGACAAATTCCGATTTCAACGAAAAGCCGCCTGGTGCTATTGTTGTTCCGTGCATTTAAAACTTCTTTACTGCTTTTTGCTCCTGAACTGTTTGGTGTTGCTTTATTTTACTTAATGGCAGTACTGATTTTGTTTGGTGGGGTACCGTAATCGTCTTTTCCACCTTCAATATTACTTGAGAAGCAACTTCCGCTGCAACCATTAAATTTGCTATAGACGCCACTGATTGTCGAAGCAATATTTTTTACGTTTTGCGATTCTGTTGTTGTCCTTCCTTGATTTGTCGATTTCTTTTTCTTTTTGGCTGGCCTAGCCTTAATGAATTCGTCTGTGTTTTGGTCGGAGACGGGTGAAGCTGCTGCCTTGTCCCAACGTTGCGTGATTGATCCCATACTTGCAACTCCGGGTTCTTCACTAGGATCGTTTATCTTGTGGCGAGCAGATGTACCGTTATTAACAGTAGCGGGCGCTGTGTAAATGGTGAGGTAGTAGGATTTGACGACAACGAACCATAACCACTACTGCTGGGCAAAAGTACCAGTGAGAGTGTTACCTGGTGATGATGACAATTTATTGTTACCATCCTCGTCAATACTTGAACTTTCGGTCTTCTTGTAGCTTGATAATTCAATGCTAAAGACTTTACCCATATGTAAAATTGGAACAGAAGATGCACAGATGTCGAACTGGAAGCTTTCTAGAACGGGTGTGCTGATATTCGCTGAGACGTTAAAATCTCACACGCGTAAACGATTTCAGACAAGACATAATCTGTTCATCAACTAACTAACTTGCTTGTGTAAAAATTGTCTAAGCATTGATTTTCTATTTTTTGGTCCAGCTTGTTGCGTGTGAAATTGATATCTTTGCTCCATAGCCATCGGAAAACCGACAATGGCATTTTTGCTCAAGTGTCGTATTAATAAGTGCATATAGATATTCACGGATTTTGATTGTAAGCAGTGATAGAGAAATGCTCAATGTCATTGAAGAGAAGATTGCAACATAATCTCAAAAATGAAGTGACAGGCTGACGAATACATCCATTTGTTAATAAGCTAACATGTTTCCACAAGAATGTATCATATAACGGAATTAAACGTCAGCGATTACACGCATTCATACCTATACCGAAGCTCTATAATGAGTATACAATTCTATACATGCTTTATGTATCTATGTGCATATAATCTAGCGATAACGTTATAGTAATTTTGTATTTTATCTTGATAAGCTGTGGCGTGAACATCCTTCTGCAACCATGGACCACCATCTCTGCTGACACTGATGACTTTTTATGGTAACGTGCCCTATATTTTAAGCGGCGATCGGATTTGGGCCGTTAAGGGGGACGCTCGAGTCTATTGTGAATTGAATCCTCTCTCAAAATGGTGAGTTATTATACATAATGCTAGGACGATGAAGGATAAGAGAGAGCGAGAGAGAGAAGCATAGTCAACAACCACGATAACGCAACAGATGGATGAACAGATTGGACGGATGGATGAAACGATATGTTTTGTGGATGCAGCCCTTTCTCTCACCTCTCAGTTTCCATCGTCTCCTAGTAATTTATACATTATCGATAATTAAAATGCTCTGTCGACATGTACTGATGCACGAACTTTTACGCTGTCTTTAGGGCAAGAAAGATCAAGTACCCTCCTCCTCCTCCGGAGGCAAGAAGGCTAAGAAGGCAAGTAAAAGTGGTATATATAATCAACCAAGTGGAAAATGCGTTACTAACGTGGACTTGATGTTTGGGCACATTAATAGAAGTGGTCCGCCAAGAAGGTCAAGGACAAGGCTAACAACATGGTTGTCCTCGACAAGCCTACCTACGAACGTCTCTTCAAGGAAGTCCCTACCTACAAGCTCATCTCCCAATCTGTGTTGGTCGATCGTCTTCGCTTGAACGGTTCGCTCGCTCGTGTTGCTATCCGTGAGCTCGAGGCCCAGGGTCTCATCAAGCCCGTCTTGCGCCACAACGCTCAGGTCATCTACAGTAAGTTTTTATTCAACATGTCTATTGCGCGAAAAGAGAGACAAGGAGTGCCGATTTTGTACAGAATATTAAAATGTGCCCTTTTATTATCATTTTTACAGCTCGTGCCACTGGTGACGAGAAGAAGAAGGCTGCCGCCGAGTCTGACGAAGAGTAAACATACTCTTTTTATGCAAATAAAAAATTCTGTTCAAAAAAACTGTTGGGTTTTGTTACTTGTTGTTTATTGCTACCATCTGTCATCACGCTTCTAGTATTGTCACTACTGCTGCCACTGCCACGATCCGCTTTTGCCTCCAGATTTTTCCACGACACGGATGCCCTCAATGACCATTTTTTTGGAAGAAGCTTTACACATGTCGTAGACTGTAAGCAACGCCACACTTGTCGCCGTCAACGCCTCCATTTCAACGCCCGTTTTGCCTTGACACCGAACAATGGATTCACATTCAACTCTATCGTGAGCGAGGCGCAGTTGGACATCAATCTTGTCCAGTAATAGGGGATGGCATAGTGGTATCAGTTGGCTGGTGGACTTGGCAGCTTGTATCCCGGCAATTTGCGCTACACCCAGTACGTTGCCCTTGGCAGTATGTAGCTCGTTCTTTTCCAAAAGCTGATACGTTTCGGTTGGCAACAGAATGTGTCCAATTGCGCGTGCTTCGCGTCGTGTAATGTTTTTGTCTGCCACAGAGACCATTTTGGCTTCGCCCGTAGTAGGATCCGTATGTGTTAATTTTGTGGTATAATTGCGACGTAGTAAAATGGACTGAAATCTCGAATGGAGAAGCATGTTGTTTTTAGTGTAAAAAAAAAGGAAGCGAGGGAAGAAAGAGAAGTTTATTACAAAGTCCACGGTAGTCGTAGTAATAGTCGTGGTGGTGGTGGTGGTAGCAGTAGTAATAGCAGTAGGCAGCAGTTTTATATTTACAAAATGAATTCTATCCACCGATCAAGATCATCGGCCTGTTTTTCCTTGAGGCAAGTTCAGACATACCTGCATGCTGTTTCTTCTTCTTGCGCACAGCTGCACCAATGTAGTGGAGCAGCTCGCCTTCGCTATAGCCTTGCCGCAGCATATCCCGTAAAGAAACCTCGGTCGATCCAAACAGACACACTTTGATACTGCCGTCTGCCGTGATCCGAAGTCGGTTGCAGGTTCCGCAAAAATGATTGGTCATGGATGAGATAAAGCCAATCTTTCCTTGATATCCAGGTACTTTGTATGCCTAACGTTTAACGAAGGATGTCAGCCCTCAGTTTTCCATACAGCCATTCTACGTTCTCGATAAAAATACAAAGGAAAAGGTGCGTTTTACTTTGGTAGTATCGTTTGGATCATCAACGAGTTTTGTCAAACGCCCGAATCGTGTTTCGATGCGATCCACAAGTTCTCGGTACGGAACCAGTTTATCCTTATTCCACCGGTTGCCTACAAAAAGAGAGGAGCAGTGCCATGGGTTACATATTATCGTCTCCTTTTTTCCCTCATTATTTAGAGATGATTGTCCTGCGTACCATCAAACGGCATGTATTCAATGAAGCGAACAGTGACAGGGCTGTCTTGGGTAAAGGCGACAAAGTTCAAGACCTGATCATCATTGGTCCCGCGCATCACAACGCTGTTAATCTTGACGGAATTAAAGCCCAGGTCCGTTGCCTGTCGGATCGAAGCCAGCACGTTATCAAACCCTGACATAAGAGAGATAACAAAGTGATGAGATATGGGGCTGAGATCTCTATCTGAATCTCCTTTTTAACTACAGGACCCACCTCGCCTCCGTGTCATGATCTCAAACATGTGCCGGTCCAACGTATCCAAGCTGATGTTCAGCGAGTCCAATCCTGCTGTGTGCAGAGCTTGCAGTTTCCGTTTTAAAGCGATCCCGTTGGTGGTGATGCCGATGCTTTGCAGGCCTTCCGCTTTGAGTTCATTCAGGCCGCTGATGATATCTATCAGGTCTGGCCGCACCGTGGGCTCGCCTCCTGTTAAGCGGATTTTGGTTACGCCTTGCGAAACAAACAGTCGTGCCAAGGACAAGATTTCGTCCGTCGTCAAGAGTTTGTCGTGCGGGGTCAACGGGACACCTTCCTCAGGCATACAGTATGTACCTTCATTTGAGAGAGACATTGGTCTTAGCAGCCCCCACTTTTCTGGTGTCGGTGCATTAAGGATAGGAAGCACATACATCGTAGGTTACACCTCTCCGTCAGAGAGATCCGCAGATAGTTGTGCTGTCGGCCGAACGTGTCGGTTAAATATGGAGCTTCCGACGGACGATATTGTTGGGCAACGGCTGCTTCCGGCTTGGCACGGAAAAAGGAGAATACAGGGATCAGCATGATCGGCTTACTTTCACACAAGCGTTAGAATACATACTTGTAGACTGGAGAAGAGACGTCGCTGGACCGTGCGTAGGCGAGGAAAAACAAACATAAGGGAAGAGAGAGAAGAGAGAGAAGAGAGAGAGAGAGGGAGCGGAAGAGAAAGGGGAGTAAAAGGAAAAAGGAAAAGCAACAGCGTGTGCAAATTACCAGTGCTACTCCGACTCGCTCTCTTTTGGCAGCAAGCATATACTATTTCCAGCGATATCATTTTTTTTTATCTCTTGCCTGGACAATTTTATTTTATTTTCTCTTTCTTTACCCTTTCAAAACATCTTTTCTGATCAAAAGGAAACCGCACACGCACAGTCTCTCTCTTCAGCGCTCCCCGCCCCACACGCCAATGAAATGCCTATCAGACACAGCAAACCAGAGAAAAAAGGCGACGAGGAAACACTCATACAGCCATCCAACCATCCAGCGCCTGTGGTAGGCTATGGGGCCGTCAACACCAGCCATCCCAACAGTACCCCAGCAAACAACAACAACAACAACAACAACAACCCTCCGTCTTCGTCTTCTTCACTGTCTTCTCTACGACAGCACCGCATATTCAACCATCTCCATCGCGACAATGACGACTCTTCATCGCGCGGAAGCAGTGAGGCAGAAGAGTGTAGTCGCGATCCTCGAGGCACGATCGCCGAGCGGAAAAGACGGCGTATGCATCGACACCACCACGCAGGATCGTCCGCACAACTGTTGCTGCCGCGTTTGATGCATCGGAAAAGCTCCAACAAAAAGTCCACTCCAAGTAGCAGTAGCAGCAGCTGCACAGGGAGTGACCACGAGGACGCAGGTGGGAGTAGCCCTTCAGATAATGAGACAGATAGTGGCGCCGGTGACGGTAACAATGCTAGTGGCTACTTTGATGATGATGATGATCTTCTAAGCCGTATTGCTACAGCCGATCTTGTGCTACCGGCACTAGATCCAAAGTAAGTTCCAAGAGCAAGTCTGTAAGGTCATGCAATGCTGCTTACTCGGTAACGCTGGCAATAACAACGCACACATACATGCGTATGCTTCTGTACCCATTCCTTTCCCGCTTCTGTAGGGCAGATGAAGTGATAGCATCAGCTGCGTCTCCGAAATCTGTTGATCAGTGGTTCGCAAGACGGTCCCATGTGAACTTTAGTACGGTTAGAGCAAAGTACAGAACTACCCGCAAAGCAATCAGGTACGTTTCTCTTCTCCACTTTCACTTCCATCGGACATGTGCAGATGTAAGTTGTTGACATAGATATCATGTCTTGCAAAAGGGACGAGAAAACTGAAGTGATTAGCATGATCAACAAAGTACGATCGTACTTTCACTGGCACCCATACGTATCCAAGCTTCGGGAAGCATTACTGGCCAATCAAACCATTGTTGCATTCGTAAGTCGATATGAAATGAGATGCAAGACGCAGTCTAGTAATGGATGCGTACTGTAGGTCAACATCGATTTGCTGGTCGACCTTTTGTTCTGCTTGGCGTACCTCTTGGAGATGAAACAAGAATTTGATGTGCATCTTTCGCCTCCTTGGATGTATAAATGGCGGTCCTATGACCTTTGGTATGACAATTTGGCCCTCTCCCATTCGCTGCTACAGTTTCGAGTTGGCTTAAACTGGAATTGTCTAGGATGTTTTGCCAGTGGTTGACGTACTGGAACCTGGGCTCGTTTGTGATGCGTACGTATGCGTATCCTGCCTAATTACGCTGTCACCTTTCCTTTTTAACATAATTGGATTAATTTAGGCATCTATTTGACCGGGCGGCCATTGTCGGTGTTACTCAGTTTTAGATGTCTTATCGAAATGTTGACAACGGTTCCTTTTCTGATTTCAAATTTCATGGAACATGGCCAGCTGCTCTATGGTAAGTGAAAATAGGTTATTACGGAGCTGTTGTACCCTTCCTTTCCCCCCCAAGCACACATGCGTGCACAGCACATTGAGGGAGGGCCTGTAGGATATCGTTAAGCATGCTATAACTCTAACAGTTATACAGTGCCTTACTTCTTACGAAGTTGGGTGCTCCTGCTGCGAATCAAAAGTGCCATGAAAATCAAAAGCAATCTGCAAATGACAGGTGCGTTTCTAAAACAAAACAGGACCGGCCTTAGGCTTTAAAGGGGTCCGAGCTGCGAGTGTGTAAAGCAGCCAAAAAAAGAAATCCTGTTTGAAACCAAATACTGATTTTTAAATTGCTTTTTTTAGACAAGCCTGTTGACCTGCTCAAGTCCAAGCTGATCCACTTAGTATGTATGCTTATTACACTGCTGTATAATGGCATGGCTGCATTCCAGTACTGTGAGGCAACGTTTGCCAGTATCAACTACTCAATTATCGACTCGCTGTAAGTCTGCTGTTAATAATCTTTAACAATGATTGCTATCGAAAGCAGAATACACGTGTATGCTGACAACGATAATCTATTATAGCTATTTTGTCATGGTGACATTATCCACAGTTGGTTATGGAGGTAGAAAAACACAAAATTAAATTTAGCAAATTACTAGGTCACGAGAACTCATCTTGGCTGCTATACCAATCTCTATAGATATTACTGCCCAAACAGAAGCCAGTCGAATTGTCGTAATGCTCATTATAGTTACTTCGTTGGCGGTTCTGCCAAGTTTGATTGCCGATGTGTTGGCAACAGTCCGGAAAAGGAATGGTTAGTATATTAGAGAATATGACATAAATGTGTACTGACTGGTTTGACGAAAATTAACAACAAACAGATGGGGGAGGCCATGTGAATCACGGTGTACTTCCGTTTATTTTGATTATCGGCGCCTTCCGACCTGATCAAGTGAGCGAGATACTTGATGGCTTTCTGAATAGGGTAAAACATCTGAAAGGTATACAGCATCACGATGAATGATATAACTCTAATAACTGGCCTTGATAATGGTAGGAAAATGTGGAAAGTCATCTGAATGTTGTGTTTCTCGATATCAATAAGCCGGCCGAAGATCTCAAATTAATGGAGCGTAACTCCATGTGGGGTCATCGCGTCCAGTTTTTGCATGGTTCCGTTTTAAATGATAAAACGCTGCAGAGAGCGGTATGAACACAATCTTTCTAGGTCTTTCTAACATAGCGACTGAAAAGAAACTTATGGCATTATATGTTTATCGATGTAGAGAGCGCGTTACGCAAATGCCATCTTTACAATTTCAGGTACCGTTAGAGTCTTTATCTACTGTGTAGCTCTCTTCACTCTCCTAGATTCCCTCTCTGATACATACATGTTAAATATCTCTCTCTGACTTATCTTCCTTGTTCTTCGCAGACCAAAATGCACGAAATACCGCAGAAGAAGATGAGCGCAACACAGTCCGTCTCTGGTCACTCTATTGCTATACTGTGAGCCATAATGTGCCCATATACACATACAATTTATCGCCTACGACTGCCATCTACCAAAAGGTTGCCAAAGAAATTATTTGCGTCCAGGAATTTAAGCAGTATCTCCTAGCAATGAACTGTCGTTGTCGTGGTGCATCAACACTTTTGACGAATCTGCTGCATCAGCGGCAACCCATGAATCGTTATGACGAACCATGGCAGGCTCAGTATGGTAATATACTCTTTTTTAATTTCGTCGATATGCTTTTATGCGCAATCAGATACTAATTTGTGCCTTCCAATTCTATTTCCAGACGATGGCTCGTGTAACGAAATTTATACTGCAAAACCACCAGAGTTTCTGATCAATGTGGCATTTGCTCATGCTGCTTGGGTATGTGTTTGTTTTTGTGTGAGCGAGACAGAGAGAAAGAGAGGGGGGAGTCTAGAACAAACCGTCACCAGCTTTTAAAGCACGTATTCATGCTATACCATCACAGGTTTGTTTCAAAGAATGCCAGGTCATTTTGTTTGCTATCAAAACATACGCTGCAGACCGAGGAGACCATGAAATCTTGCTGAACCCAAGCAACGATTACATCATCAAGGCAACCGATCTGTGTGTATACATTTCCGAAAGCCCAAAAGAGATCAAGGATATCAAATACCTGGTAAGTTGGAGGAGCACCAACATTATTAAACGATCATACTATAGCTCGATCCTTTCTCTTGTATGTAAACAACTTAGAATCATGTCTATGTATGGCAAATGATCCGATCATTGCAAGTGACGCGCCAAGCGGCTCTGCCACCACCTCCGAAGAGAGATGCGAAAGTAACATCAGCAATAGAGACTGCACCGATAGCACCGTACGCTATGCCACCATCAGCAAACGTTGGTGCAAAAAAACCAACATCCGAGCCATCACGCGCTTCAGCACCCGCTGTTGGTGTAGAAACAGCGGTTCCTCTTCTGGCTAGCACCAGCAAAAGTGCTACAGCAGCAGCGGCAGCGACAGCAGATCGACCAAAATCACTACCTAAAGGGCCTTACAAACTGTCTAGACTGCCTACACCTCGACACGCTTTGCTTACTGGCAGCCGTGCTTTGATTACTCGACTAGGCCAATCGCCTGTTACAGACCACGATGATGGAGTGGATGATGTCGGCTCACCTGAACATGTCGAGGATATATCGCTTCCGCTCTCGTATATACTTGATGAGGCAGTGAAGAAAACGGATGCAAAGATCGAGTCGACCGAGAACATGCGTGGCCACATTCTTGTATGCGTGCATCGAGAAGTAGTAAATATATTCAAGTTTATCTACAATCTAAGGTAAAGTGTATTTAACTTACTTCTTTCTTTGGAACTTTGGAATCTCTAACAACCATTTCTGGGGATTGTACCAGATCGCCTCATATGAAACCTGAAGAATTGCAGGATATTGTTTTGCTGTGCCCGTCCACTCCTAGCGACAAGGCATTTGATTTAATCAGCATGTTTCCAAAAGTATATTTTATGGTGGTATGTGTGCCAAGATTCACTTTGTATTTTCTTAAATGCAAAGAAGGGAAACGAAACAACGATACTAAGCGTTTTAAACAGGGCAGCTGCAGACAACCTGACGACTTATTGCGAGCCGGTGTAAAACGTGCCAAGCAGGTGGTGGTCATGAGTGACAAGGAATGTCTAGATGATATTGAGCGAAACTCTGATAGTCCCGCCATGTAAGTTCTCTATATGCCTTTTCTTAGTACCTTATTACGTCTACTGGAGAACTCGTATGATAACTTTACGCATATATAAAATACAGCATGACCAGTCATATCATCGACTTACTTGTGCAAGAACGAATGCGCAATGCATACACCATTGTGAACCTCAGTAAGCGTCTATTACACCGTTCTTTGTACTGCTATTTGAAGAAACAAAAACTAAATGTGAAAAAACACTACAGTTGAAAAATCAAACATACGATTCATGCATCTCTTGCAAGACAAGGATGTTGCAGAAGAAATCGATGTGTTCTATACCCCGGCATATGCTGCTGGCGATGTTGTCGCAGACAGTTTAATTAGCAATGTACTACTCAGCCAGACATATTACAAGCCAGATATTGTATCGATCATCAAGACGTTGTGCGGCATGCCTGGCCCGCTTTATGACGGATCGGCAGCGCATCTACTATCCTCGTCGAGCGAGTTCCAGACAGCAACATCGGCAGCAATACATGCTCCACACCTCACGTGTATTCTAATGCCACCCGAGTTCGTGAATCAGTCATTCTCCCATTTGTTTGAGACATTGTTGCTCGACCACGGCGTGATGCCCTTGGGATTGTTTCGAGCACCAAGCGAGTCCTTGGGCAACGAGTCTCCGTTCGTGTATACCAACCCTGTCCCATCCTTGATCCTCAAGGAATCAGATCATATCTATATTCTTTCATCTCCCACATGGAACTACAAAGATTGTCCATAAACTTTATATTTTCTTCTTTTCATTAACGTTATTATCATTATTATTGGGTTCTTTTTTTATTTTTAGCCTTCATCTTTAAGAGGGTCCCAGCCCTCTTCACCCGTGTACTCTATTTTTTCAACTTGATAAAATGCCGTCATACCCGCATCGAAATGTTGTGTTACATGGCAATGGAACAGCCATTGACCTTCATTGTCGGGCATCATATCCAAAGTTTGGAAACTAATTGGCATCAAATCAACTACATCTACACGATGACCCTTGTTAAGCAAAGTCGCGCCGTGCCAATGCGCCGTATGTGGATCATCGTCACCAAGCCCAAGCGACAGGACATACCATCGTACACGTTGACCCCAATATACGTGTAGTTCAGGATTATTGTTGTACACAAAGCCGTTGATATGATACATGCGGTTTGATTCCATGAACCCCGGATCCCCGTCAACGTCCACCAAGGCAACGCCTGCTGCTTCGGCTGATTGCTTGAGATAATGCGACATGTTTTCGTCCGTGATCGTCATGAACGTGAATACTTCTTGATCCACGTCTCTGGGCTTTTCTGGTGAGCCGGGTGTCGGTCGTTGCAGCATCCCGGCTTCATAGATGACTACAGGGCCCAGTAGTCCGGCATGTACGTCCGCTAAAGGACTAGCGCGTGACATGTACGCCCACAATGCATGGGTCGCATTCTCGGGCACGTCCCATACGTATTCGAATTTCTCACCAGGTTCGACGGCCATGCCTGGCGGTGCTTTAGACGCTAGGTCGCCGTTATAGGGATGTAAACTGTATGGTCGACTCGCCCGATTCCAGAAATGAATACGAAACTGATCGCCAGCCTCGGCTCGCAGAACGGGCCCAATGAATCCCAGCACTGGATCGTGTGGTGCAGCTCGTTTATACTCGGGATCTAGAAACTGCTTGTAAATTGCTTTGGTATATACTCGACCTATTCGGCTGTTGTTTTGTGAACAGTATTTAGAGGCAGCTGAACTTTCGTCAAGTGGTAGATCTCGCAGGTTATCTCGACCTGTCGGTGCATAATCCCAAGTGATTTCTTCAGTAGTAATGTAGTAGTGCCGTAATTTGCTCGCTTGGACGACTGCTGTAGTGAATGTTGTCGTTATTGTTGTTAGGAGGAAAAGAAATCGCCATCGTTGCATATTGATTGTTGGAGGAGTAAAGTGGTCATGGCTGGTTATTTTCCCCTCCGCCGAAGTTAATTTCAGCTACTAAAGAAGTTATAGAAGAAAAAAAAGTGGCGTGAACAAGTTTGATATTAGTTTCTGAGTTTGCTTTACAAAGAACGAATTTATGCGAGCTGATCACAAAATAAGATTCGAGTTGCTTAGCACTCCTTGATTTTTTTTAAAAGGGCACCAGACTCGCTGCCGACCAGATCCACATCGTGCTGCCTTTCCATCAATCCTGGATCCAGTAAGTGTGTATATAAACATTTCAAAATGGTGCTTATAAAAGCACCACTGCTTGACTATTGCTTGACTGTATAGATATCACAACAATCCAACCTGGAAAACTGATTAAATAAACATGCTGCAAATATTGTTTACTAACTCATTAAAAGTAAAGTACAAGCCAGACTGCTAATATCACCGCAATGGTACTAAATCATTGAAAATATGTTGTATGGCATACGAAGATCATCTGTCCGAAAAATAATCCTGAACACCCCACGACTTCAATCTTTTCACTAGATCCTTCAATGATACGAAATGCTTCGATGCCTGCATAAGTGAGACTATAGATCCGTGAAACACGCAACAGCACCGAGCTTTCGACTCGTGCAAAATGCTCAAGGACGGCATCAGTAACACCTTTCGCAGCTGTCAGTTTCATATTTGATATTTTGGTTTCCATTAAGTCGTTGTGCCCACACAATCCATCCTGCCTCTGTGAGAAAGTCGTCGACATTATTACTGTACGGTGATGTGCGGCTCAAGCTTAGTCTCCTGACTACTGGGTGCTGTGATGGTTCACACAACTGCATTAGACCTTGGTTGTTGATGGGTATGTTCGTGAGACACAGTCCTTTAAGTTGTTGCAAACGGCGAAGCGGAGAAAGGTCGCAAAGAGGATTCTCGCTGAACATGTGAAGGAAATTTCGCAAGAAAAGAAAACGGAGCCGTTGCAGCGTACCAATGGCTGTGATAATGCTGTTCAGATGCTGCGTTGTTCCAGCGCGATTTCGAATTTCCAAGATCTCAATTTGTTGCTGCATGAGCAAAATCTGGGCTCAATCTTCGCTTGAATACCAATGATGTCCGTCAACCCCAACCTTGTCAGCTGTGTGAATTGATTGCGTGCCAATATATCCAACCAATGAGTATCAGAAAGACCACAGGCGACTATACGTAAATGTTCTAGTATCGGCTGCGATTTTACCACTATAGGCATGATCCTCTCGTGACCCTTGCCGTTGAGTACCAGTTCATAAGCCATACTGCCTTCCTCGCCATCATTCGATGGTTTCCTTTCTGTTATTTTAGTATCAGCACTCGTGCTTCTTGATAGTGACATCCATCTGTCTGCTATGGCTGGTTCGCTGCAATCCCACATAATGTAGCGTAAAAGAGGGCACAGCTCATAAGCTGTATAGATGTTGGTTGGAGATACGTTATTGAATCGTGAGTAAGACGATAATATCAAGTACTTGATGTGGGAGCAACGCTGCAATACGGGACGGATCCGGTATTTAAAATTGAGCACACTGTCCAGTTTTAAGAAGATAAGGTTGTTGTGTATCAGTGGCCTTTTGTGTCTGCTTCTGCCAACAACTTGTTCAAGTATAGCGTCTGATAAGTTAGTGCGGCCATCAAACATCACTGAAAGATGCGTCAATGACGGCAAGAAGTCCAGTAGCATTGGCAGCGAGATATCGCAAGTGTGAAATGAAATCGTCAGAGCAGTTAGCGTATGCGAGAAATATCTGATGATTCCTGGCAGTAACGTGCTACTGTCGAAATTAGGTTGTAATTGTTTGCTATGCACATGGTTGCTAATGTCATAAAACAAAAAAAAAAGCTTTAGTATATCTTTTGCGCATAAGCAGTAGTAAGCACTACCGAATACGCGATCCTCTTGACACGAAAAAAAAGTATTGTTTTACTTTACCAAGGACGCGGATGCAGCATCCTCGCCCAGCAAGTCGTTCCAGTACTTTATACGTGGCTTGAGATTTGATGTATACTGATTTGACTTGTTGTCCCAGACATTGAAGCATCGCGTCGCTCCTTTTGTTCCATGCATCAGGCGAGATTTCCACCAGTGTCCACAGGGCTGTCTGGTAAGTGTGGATCGCGTAAAACCAGCGGCGACATACTTTCACACATTCGACACAGTCCCGCTGACCGATGAACGAGAAGATGTACTGAATGATTTCGGGAGGCAAAATCGCGATAAAATCAGTCATATTACGTGTATGTGAAAGGTACGAGGCTTTTAATCGGACAAAGCCTGCATAATATAATCCGGACTCGTGAATAGTATGTCCGACAAAGGAAAAGCGAGTCGAAGATTGATCATTAAATCTATGCTATCATAGCGATACGCAGATACACATTAAAACAGGGCTCTTTCTTAAAACCATCGACTTCTCGATACGAAGGAAAAGGCTTCATTTAACACTCGCGTTTATTGTCTATGAACCGCAAAAGTCATATATTAGTGACGCATCGCTTGGCCTGGAAAACACAGCATCCCTGTGTGCATGTTTTGGTAGAGCAACTATATCATATCTTTAACAGTCCTCCTGATATCTTTGGTGAGCGATCATCACTTTCAATTAGATGACGCATACCTTGAGAATATGTAACGAAGTAAAGTTAAATAAGAAAAGGAAGAGAGAAGTGAAGGTGTAAGGGAGTAGAAAGAGCTGTTACAAGAATCACGCTTTGAAAGCAGGCACATCGGAAAGATCAGTGCAAGCTTTTCGATCCAGGTGAAACCCAAAATGATAAGAAAATTGTGTTGTGATAAGCTACGTGCAGGAAGAGTGAGAGAGGAACAGCTGAAAAAAAAACATTCCAATTTACAGATCTGGCGATTATACATGTCTGCTGGCGTATGCTCTGGCGTTGTCTTTTATAAAATAACCTTTTTCTAAAGGAGGATCCTCGGTAACAATTTTTTTTCTTGACAATTACTTTGGCAATTTAGGCGAACACAGAAGGTGAAAGAGAGTGCTAAAGCGTTGTGATCGTGTTACTGCCAGCTACGATACAGAGCCACTGTCACTGTTCCCCCGCTTTGTTTAGCACGGAGCTGTGAATGAATGGAGGGGGGAGTATTTAGTATTTTGTTCGCGAAAAAAGAAAAAGAAACTTTATAAGAAGAATGCGAAAAAGAAAAATATATTTTTATTATTTTGTTTATCATTTTCTTATTTGTGTGTAATAAATAATAAAAAAAAAGTTCGTTTCAATTATCCCAACATATACCGTTGGCATCACATGCACCCGAAGGTTCACGATCGGCTGCCGGAGTATATGACCACATTCCCACTGGTATATATTGCAAATTTTCTTCAGAGCGGACCACTGAATCTGCCGATCATCAGAAGAATTATGACAATAGCCAGCACAAGCAATGACCCGATCATGGCACAGAGCAGTGCATCTGTACTACAGACCAAAGCTGTACCAAAACGAACTGAAAAAAGAAAGGCGAAATTGCTCGCTTTATATAGACATTTTTTCTCGTTCGGGACTTCAAATCCCCGTGAATTTTCATTGGCCCAGATAACGGGTTGCGTATCAACTTGTGGGTTGCCTACTATGGCATAACAAAACATACAGCACCAAAGGAAATGAAAGGAGGAGTGGTACCTGATGGTCAAGTAGACAAGCGTGCTTCGGCGGTAGTGGTACGTGTCTCTCACCATGGGCTGCTGTACCTCCGATGCTGTCGCCGCTTGGTTGTGAGGGGTCCGTGCACGGCACCGTGTCAAGCGAAAACAAAGACACGAATGCAAATGAGCAAGTAGATTCATGGAAGAAATGCTTTTCTGCGAGCAATAAAATGACGGAAGTAGGAGTAACTGACAAGGTAGACAACCTAATAGGCTCTCCAGCATCAGTTATTCAGTGAATATCAAGGACACGATCCTCCCAGCAGCCAGTTTCCATTCTTCACCCAACAAGATAAACAGTATAGAGCGTAGTCCACAGACGATTCCATTTTGCTAGTATCTTTTGACTGCATGTGCGGTGTGCGGGATTAGATACACCACACACTTGACCCCAACGCTGCAGTGTATATAAAAAAGACCTCATTGTGAAGCGTGTTTGTCTACTGTTGCTTTATAATTTTCGTCATCCGCCAACAGTTCTCTGAACTACGCCGTGTAACCTCCCTCCATCCGTTCTGAATCCATACTCTATCCAAGTATGTGTGTGCTGCCGCAGATAAGCTGACCGCTCATGGTAACTATACGCTGCCGCTGCTGACAAAGCTAATCGGTTCGTTTGTTTTTGTGCGGTTCTACGTTATTTTTGAGCAGCGTTCAAGATCCATTGGGACGATCAGGAGAATAACACTATAAACGATGACTTCCTACTGTACATCTTTTGATCCTTTTGCGCGTAATTCGTTGCTCCATTGATCACCTTGTTCACTCGCCATCCCTTTGTGCATTTCGAGTGCGAAGTCAATTGGCCAAATCGTTGCGTCATAATAATGCGCTTTCACTCTACGGAGTTTTCATTTCAAGGGAAAGCTGTTGGGAACGTTCGAGGTTTGACACACGCATCACTTTGTCACTATCCGAAAAAGAAAGATCCGTGTTGCGCTCTTCCTGACTTCCTCGTTCCTAGACTACCTCTGCTTCCTGCTGTTTTACGACAGTTATGCTTGTCATAAGTGTGGGTTGATTCAGTCATGGTTGCCTTTTGCATATTACTTGTCGATAATTCGCTTGCATCTTTTTTTTTCTTTGAGAGTAAGGAAGATTGAACTAGCTTTTGCTTCCTTTGTTGCTATTGTTATGATGACTTCAGTTTTATAATCTAGACAGTATTATGAATGCTGTTGTCTATTCGTTACCGCATCTGCAGGGTATTACAATGCTATCCAATCCACTGAGTGGGGTTGGGATCCTGGAAACTCCAGTCTTTGATCGGATCTGTCCCATGAAGTACAACATGCAAATGAGTCTATGACTGTGTAATACCACCACTGAAAAATCATGTTTGCGCTCCAGTTGGTGTTGGTGCGTCTTACTTTGGGTTTCATCCGCGAGTTTTAATCAAGTAAAAGAAAAGTTAAAGTGTAGATCTCTGCGTACTTAATATATTAGCCGCCCGCGAATGTTCTTTCAATATGCACACGTTATTTATAAGTCTGTCTCCAAAGAAACGCCCGTCTTGTAGAGCTGTCAAAAGTCGATGGTTTGCTGCTACGAAACAGTTTTTTTGTATGAATTGCTACGAAACATGATGCTATACGTACCTATAACATTTGCTTGATTAGGCCAGCAAAAAGATTGTCATATACCAAGTTTATACAGTATAATCAATAAAACGTATTGAGAGCGATGTTGAAGATGTATTGTCCGCAATACTGTTGTTAGTTTTTATACTTCTATTACATTTACAGCGATTTTAAATGTAGCTTCAAGACAAGATGAGGGTCTGAGAAGTGACATGAGTACTCTGTAATTGCTGTAGCATTCATACAGTGTGCCAAATGATGAGCAGCAATGTTGCATGTGCCATTAGATGTATCCACGACAACGCTTCTTCTTATTAGTATCATAATCTTGTCACTCTCTAAAAAGTAGCAATGCGTATCACTCTGAAAGTTCATTTTTCGATTATGTATAGTGTAGGTATAAGAGCAGGTTTTGGGTTGATTTATATTATAAGTGCGGGTGAGTCATGTATTATTAGCGCCTGTTGACTTTTTCGCCTTCATGAACCATGGTATGAACAGATGCATATCAAAACTTGATCAATATTGTCCGACCCGTATACGAATTAATTTACAATCACACAGTATGAAGTATAAGGCCGTCAGTGTATATACGCTGTGGTTGTTGCCATTACACTTGAGCTCAGTATAAGGTATATACAGTAGTAGATATTGGTGCTATAATAGTGCTGTGGAACAAGACGTTTAAACATATGCTGCAAAGAAAAAGCCTCGTCATCCATGTTGTACTTCCTTATCCTATGCGACAAATATACGAGAAGTTTGAAACCTGTTGCCCTATTATTTTTCGAAATAGGTTCTTGTTCTTTTATTAACATCGCTTTTCTTTTCGCCAAATGCCAGAAGAGTAAAGAAGAGAGGTCAAGTTCCCACCACCACCGGCTCCTGCACATTAGAAGGCTAATGATGCGGAGAGACAGCAGTGGGGCTCAGCCAGCATGACAGCGAGCACTAGGCTCTTTTTAGAAAAAGATCCTCCGACATGTACACAACATATGTTTCTCACGAGGCGCAAATCTATTAAAATGCCACTATCAAGAAGCAAACAGAAATTCATTCAGTCAGAGGCAGTATTAATGAAGTTGTAGTGGGATCTGACGACAAGGAGCTTCTTAAAAGTGGCATGTAAGTCTTCAGGATCTGTGTGGCACGGGTAAAAATGAGAGGTGGCGTTTTTCTAATAGCCATACGCCCAACAGCTTAAAGCTTACAGAAATCGCAATTTGGCGTTGCATTTTTCGATGCTTCTGGAAACACGATCATCCGGTTCCGTTTGTAGATCCTCCTTACAAGAAAGTACGGGTGACACATAACTGGCTTCTCTATAAGAAATGACGATCCTGAAAAGTTTTCTAAATTATTTATCCTATGATAATAGTGCCAACACCCAAAAACAGCGGTCGTATCCGCCAGATATATTTGCGCTTCAGCATCATCCGGCTAAGCCATGCCTTATGACTTTAACTGTATGAGAATGACGCTATTATAATGCTTTCTTTTCAAAGTTTAAGGCCTCTCCTGACAATGTTAAATTGCAGTAATAATATTATTGTCAGTAATAATACAGTATGCTCATCACACTTCCCCTGCGCCACCCTATCAGCGCTAAATAATGCATATATCCTGACGAGTCTTGCCAAGGTTGCATCTGGTCAATCATAAGAATACTCTTCTAGCTAACCGATGGCGAGGCACACTGTAGTACGGTTCTGTGGACAGAATGGCTTGATCTAAGCTAGTGAATTGCCGCTACATAAAAGGGACCGTATCCAAGTGAAATTCTGACGTATCTTTTGCAGTTTCGCTATATATAGAACATGTATCATCTTTCAAGACCTGCATTTAATATAAAAAGGAGGCGAACTATCCGTTATCTATTTTCTGTAATCAACAATTCATATATTCTCTTTTACTTCTGTTTTACTACTTCAGAAATGATGATCAAAAACTACTTATGGGGCTCTTTACTTTTCGGATTAGCCGCAATATTAAGCAAGATCGAATCTGTGAACGCTGCTGCTTGGAAAATGCCGTCCGACTTGAATTGTCCTGACCCAACAATCACTCGTGAAGGCAACCGGTGGTTTGTTTTGTATGTATTTTAAATTAACAAAAAAATCATAAGAAAAGTAACAGAACAAGAGCATCAATAGTGGTAGCTGATACAGTATCAATGTACGTTAATAGCTGTACTGGTCTGGGTATCCAAGTTTTGACAAGTACAAACGGCCATGACTGGAAGCGATTAAAGCCAGTTTTTCCCAAGGGCCAAGAATGGTGGAATCAATTAGTCCCACAGCATAATGACACAAATGTGTGGGCTCCGGATATCTCATACTTTAATGGCAAGGCGCATCTTTTCTATTCAATCTCGACCAGTGGCTCAAGAACCAGCGCAATAGGCTATGCTACGGCGGATAGCGTTACGGCTGGCAACTGGAAAGATCAAGGGGTAGTCACCAGCACTACTGAGCAGGAAAATCAATATAACGCGATCGATCCCAATTTGGTGCTGGATAAGAAGGGCAAGCCCTGGCTTCTCTTTGGCTCGTTCTTTGACGGTATCAAAATTACGGCTTTGAACCGCAAGACTATGAAGCCCGTTGGTCCATTGCATTCTGTGGCCCGTAAAGAGGGAGGTATTGAAGGCACTATCCTCACTTACCACGGTGACTACTGGTACCTCTTTGTATCGCTCGGTCACTGTTGCCAAGGGCTCCAATCCAACTACAGAATTGCGGTAGCCCGCTCAAAGAAAATTGCTGGTCCCTACTTTGATCGTGATGGCGTTAATGCCCTCAATGGTTAGTATATTATCTATGCATATACATTGCTTCTAAAAGATAGTAATCGTTTTATCTAACTTTTGGCAAATGAATCGTCCATTGATATAGGTGGCGCAAGTGTCATTTACGATGGTAACCACGATGGTATCCTTGCTCCTGGAGGTCAAGACGTTTTCAACAACAAGGTTATTGCTTACCACTACTACAACAAGGAGTCAGGTGATCGTACTCTTCGCATCAACGATATATACTGGGGAGACGATGGTTGGCCTCGCTTTTAGACCGTTTTATAGAGCACAACAAAATCAGTCATATCATTAAACTATTATGGACACCCTCATCCAATTCACATTGTACGATGCATTTCTGGCGTATGCTTATTCTGAACAATCGTATGACAAGAGGATATGTATATATTTTTAGCAACTATCTGTATCAGCAATAGCAACAAATGTGTTGGCTGCTAGATCGTCAACTCTATGAGTAATCACAGCAACTTATAGTTCTCATACGAGAAAAGATTTTGCAGAGGGATGAGTGAGTTGCGACAAACCCAATGTGCTAGGTGATTCCAAATCATTTATAAAAAATGTCTTTGATTGAAAAGTATGAGGTAATAAAAACGTGCGCAGTAATATGTACAAGGATTCATGAGTAGTTAGAAAGATGCGGTGAGATAGATTATGCAATGCTGGTAGTAGGCTTGATACCCAGAATTTCGTTAAGTCGTTCCTTATCATGTTGGGTGGCCATGCGCTTGGCCCGCAAAAACTTGGCTCGTGCACTATTACAAGGTTGACATCGAATATTAGTTTCGTTCAGCAGTAAGTTTCTCCTTTGTCAATCATCAAACAACTTACGCATTCCGTAATACGACTGGTGCTTTCTTTTCTACTTCATCGCTGCTACCGCCGCTGCTTGAGTCCTTTTTATCCTTTTTACTACTCTTTTTCTTTTCCTTCTTCTCCTTCTTATCCTTCTTCTCTTTTTTCTTTTTCTTCTTTTCCTTTTCGCCCTCTATGGTATCATCGCCCTCCTTGGACCGTTTTCTCTTCTTCTTTTTGTCTTTTTTGGACGTCGTCTCTTCGTCGTTCTTGTCATCGACGGCCTTTTCGGGTTCAGTGCTGGCAGCTTCGGCTGTCCGACTGTTCAAATCGGCCAGTAACTGTGAAAACGCATCGGTGTTGCCGAGCCAGTTGTCGGTTGTTCGCTTGTCTGCACCAAGACCGAGGGTATTTTCTTTAAGTCGAATTTTGACATGTTCTTTGTTACCGTCTTCGTTTACACCCAAGCCTTTGCCGGGAGCCCAGCCCATCTTCATGAGCATTTTGAATCCAAACTTGCTTTGATCTAGAGGTAGATTTTTTAGTTACAATGAAATAGTACAGAATGAAGACGGACTACTGGTGTTGTTCGACTTTTACCATTGCTCCAAGCAAGATTGTTTGGATCATCGCTCAATCGTTGTTTGACTTTAGCTCCAGCAAGGCCCATTGGTGTATTTTGTGTGGTCGTAGTAAAATAAGAGGCAACGGAAAAGAATTTTTTTTCGACATTCAATTTTTGAAGGAAGCGCGCCCTTTGATTGGTTGATCTCGCATTACTTATGTTGCCACATAAAACGTGCGGACAAAGGCCAAAAGACAAGGACGTGAATGAATGAATGTACGCATGCACTCCACACGCAGATAGCATCGGATCGATATAGACATTAGTAATTAATAAAAAGTACTAAAGGTCCCAATAGTAGCTGCTATGACAAATCTTTCCTTATACGTTTATCTCCTCATCTCTTAATATGGCAATACAACGTACAACGCTAGCTTGGGATTGCACAGCCTGGCGTGATGGTTCGTAATGTTACTGAATTGGTTGATGTTTAATTTTTTGTATAAAAGCAGCGACATTATCATGTTTACCTTTCTTAATTTGCTTATAAAAACACAAATTTAAGCCTCTTGTACTTGACTACGATGTCTGCTACTACCAGTTCCGCCACTGCCGGTATGTTAGGAGGAAGATGAAAAAGAAAATGCTTTCTATTCACCACTGTTGCTGGCTATTCTGTGTCTAAACTTGTTACGATTCTATACAGAGAAAAACATTGTTGTATACAACAGTGCGATATCACCTTTTGGACACCGTGTGCTTATGGCTTTGAAGCTAGTTGGGGCAAAATATGAGCTCGTTACTATCAATATGCAAGAAAGAGATGAGTAAGCGCAGCTGATGAGTGCTACTATGATCAATGAGTGAGATATACTAGATATTATTATATTGATCTTAAACCACTTACACCAACATTGCAATTATGTATCGCTTTTCCCACTATTAGGTACAGAAAGATTAATCCTGAAGGCAAAGTACCTGCCGTCAAATACGGCGAAGCATTGATTCCCGAATCCATGGTGATAATTGAACTACTCCATGAACTGTATCCTGAAGCCAGGTATAACGCAAAAAGATATATTATAGACTGCGAAAGCATGCTTATGTGGTCTTCTTTCCTGATATTCGGCTTTCTAGACTATTCACTACAGACCCTGTCAAGAATGCAAAGATGAGGTTCGTTATTCGACTGTTCGAAGATCAAATTCTCCCGGCCTATGGTCAGTTATTTGGTAACCCGCCCGTTACCAAGGAGAGGCTCGACAGTGCTCTTGAAATCATCCATAAATTTTATAAACGCGTAAAGTATCCCATTTTCATATGAATTCTCATTGTCGCTGCTGCTACCGATCAATTGATCATATTTTGCTTATCCAAAATATTTTAGTTGAATGAGCTTCTTCTCGAACAGTCGCCATCAGGCCCATACTTTTTGGGAACGGAATACTCAAGTGTGGATATCGCTCTCACGCCTTTCATATCTACTATGGGCACTTTCACGAAATTTTTGACTGGTCAAGATCTAACTGTTTTGAATGAGCTGCCTAGACTGCGTGATTACCTCTCTGCTGTTGTCGAACATCCGGTTTCAAAGGAGACAACGTTTTTGGACGACGAAGATAAAGTCAATGCCGTTGTTACAGAACACTTTAAAGTCACAAAAAACATGTTTACCTGATATGATGAATGCTACAGTACTGCATCTTGTATCATTTGCATTATGCCAACGTAGAACATGTATATCTTACAGTTAACATACAGTATATGATTAAAAGAGTTTGTACTACTACTACTGTATGAGTGTAAAAGCTTGCAATGAAGAGCATACGTCTACATTTGCAATCTTTTAAACATGCCGAGATGCATGTATAGCGGCTTGGCGCATGATACCGCTAGTAAAGAAGCCTTCTTTATCGCTGTATTGGAGCTCTTTGAGTGTACAGTGCAAGGTTGTTGAGATTAGCTTAGGGATAACAAAGATAAGATACCTGGATACAAACAATAGCGCCAGTAGTAATTAGCTTTTGATTAAACTAGTTAAAAAACATACTACAGTATTCTTCTCTTACATATTTAGAGTTGGCATACAAGACTAGTGATACAGTATCTCTTTTGTTTCTTTATATAAAGCTTTATCATGCTATATCTTTTATGTATATTCTTAGATTGTTGGTCACAGATTTTGGTTATTCATACAGTATCACATAAAAACAGCTAGGTGAACACTTACATCATACTAAGGAAGATTGATAGTATACAGTTTCGTAACTATACATGGTGACTGTTTCATATGATCCATACACGCTGGTAGCTATGTACATTAATGCACGCGCTTTTTATCTGTCTGGGAACAATTACGGCCTTCCATCTCAACAAAGTCTTGACCAATGGTTGCATCGGAATCTTCATGCAATATTGACACTGATGTACCATGTGTGTAACCATTGACACCTTGGCCCCTGCACTTTAAAACTGCTACACATTGTGTCCTTGCTCCCACCTTTTATTCCAGTCAGAATTGGCCAGATAGCGCAGGTTTTTGCTTAAGAAGACGTACTGCAGATGCCTTGCTCCTATTATTGCAAGTCGTCATACCTCAGAATATGTATTACTGTTGTATTTTCTGATTTATTTAGATGGCAGGACCGAACAGAGTACGCGCATTTGCAGTAGTTTGTTTGACGACCTCTTCCACCTGAATATCCTTAATACGGGCGATTTCTTGAGCTGCCAAAGTGATATTTGCAGGTTCGTTGTCAACGCCCTTCTCAGGTCCCAAAGCAGGAGAATCTGATTCCAACAAAAGGCTTGATAATGGTAACGCGGCCACCACTTTTTGAAAATGCGGTGAGCGAACAATGGATGGTGGCACTGAAAAGTAGTATCCTGCTTCTACTGCCTTTTTAGCATGTGCTGGCCTAACACATTTCGTGATGAGTTGTTTGATGTTTCAATTTCTGACGTTGTTTTCTTTAATTACCTGCCGTCAAACGCGTGCATAACAACACGCGTTGCTCTGCATTCATACAGTATTTCAAGTGCATGATGTCCTGCCGATCTAACATTTTGTGATCATTAGCTGTCCAAGCGAGAGAACTCGTTTGGAAAATATGAAAAATTGCTTTCAAGTACCTTGAATGCACGTTGACAGGTAAATCAGCTGCCATCGCCAATTCAACTTGACGACGGAACACTTGACGTTGCTCATTCCTTGATTCATCTTCAGAAAGACCATCGTTGTACTGATTCGTTGTGACAATGTGTCGTGAATAGTCGAGTCCAACTATATATAGCATATACGCAGTTGCAATCAGTTTTTTTGACTTCCTTTTGTACACGCTAGTGGACAACCTACTTTCGCCTACACAGCAAATCTTCTTATTTGCAATAGCTTCTTTCAAGACAGGTTCAAAATGCTCTAGATCACTTAAAGTAACAGATCTTTCACGCGTATCATTGACATCGAGACGCTGGACAGGATGGAGGCCTACGGCTGGCTTGATAAGACCATCGGACTGAGCAGCAAGATCGAATATGTGTTGTACATCGTAGATATTTTCGGATACGCTCACGATACGGCTGATATTGGCTGATTTAGCAGCAGAAAGTATATCATGGAACGCCTTCTTTTTCTCTGCATTGTTTGTTTCAAGTGGAAAGTTCTCGAGGTTGATATGTGCATGAACGTCAATCATTATGTGCGTGTGTGCGTGTGTGGTGTGTGATGCCTAAGTGGAACGAAGAAAAAGAAAGAGATACGGAAATTCATTTTAAACACACCGAAAGACAGTAATGCAACGAGTACCTTTTCCCTGTGCCACACACCGGGTTTTTACCCCGTCCTGTCTCGAGCAAAATGTTTCCCCAGACGCAGTTTTCAAGCTTTCAAACGTAATGCAACGAGTCGATTGAGATGAATAAATGAATACTTGGGCGATTATTATTATTATCTTTTCTTGTTTTTTTTAAAAGCTATGTACATTCAGTGTGCTGTCTACGCTATTGGTGTGTCCTTTACTTCGTAATATTTCTGCAATTGCGCTTGAGCTTTTCTGTTTCTTGGTGAAGTTCCGCCACCTTGGCTGCTAATGCAATCAGAGTGTTGCTTTGCGATTTGAGGATGCTTGGGATCTGTTCAGGCGTCGTCGTCTCGGCCAGACTGCCATCAACCATTGTTTGGATACGCTCGTCAATCTGATTAATCGCTGAGCGATATTCCTTGACGCGAGTTTCAAGAGATGCAGCAAGGTCGTTGAAATATCGCTGATGGATGGTAGTGCCTGGCTTTGAGCGACCTTGCGTGTTCTTGTTTTCGAAAAACAGTTGACCAACCATGGCATTCTTCAACTGATAGTCAACAGTGGACGTCAGAGCTTCGATGTTTTGCTGTGTGACTTCGTGCAGATCCCTTTGTAGTCGCAATTCCTGGAAAAAGTTCAGAATTTAGTTTTATTATTATTTTCCTAAAAGAAAACGATCATAGCACCCGATTTCTGGCCTTTCTTTTTTTTACCTTGGCGCAGTTATCCGCATAGGTATCAATTTCCCGAATGAGTTCTCCATTGTATGCTGATTGCCGCGTTTCGATAGTCTTGCTAATATCCATTTGTTGGGTGATAAACAAGGATAGTGCATTCAATTCGTTCTGCGCCGTTCCGGGTAGGTCCCTGTAGCGTGTTCTCTTTTCGATGCTTTCAGGATTTGTAATCTTCGATTCCAATGTTGTCTGCTCGGCCGTTGTTGGTGCCGGCGGCCCGCTATTGGAACATTATCAATATTGGTTAGCAATTGTCATACATAGATGGAGGAAAAGGACAGAAACGGATAACATACAAGATATCTTTGGGAGTGGATTGGGACTTTGTAGCAGACGACGCTTGTTCTGAACTGGGTATCTCAATAGGCTTTGACTGGAGCGGTTTGAACGGGCTGATGGTCTCGGGTTTATCCGTGCTAGCTGTCTTTGACTTGTCACTTGACTTTGACGACGGTGTATCCTTGAAGCTAACATGCTTGTCAGTGGTGTGGTTCTCTTTGTTTTGGATTTCAGTTAAAGCCTTCTTTCCAGGTGCATTTGTGGTTTGTGTAATGCCGGCGTTATCGACACTGCGCTTGCGCGTAGGAATGGCACCGCTCAGACCGCTGACAAGTGTACTTCCACTGCCAGCTGTCGACAATCCCTTTTTGGCAGCATCACCATTATCTTCCTCAGCAGACCAGCTTTGTGATAACGGGGATTTGCCATGGAGAAGCTTTTGTCGGCTAGATTCGGTCGCACTAGGTTGATCCGAACTCTTGCGCTTCCTGCCTGACTCTGACGTTGTCGAGGATGATTCTGGTTGATACAACAACAGAAGTAATTGTTAGCCTCTCCATCTAGCGCTTTTCCTTGTTTTAACTTTTATAAATGGGTATATAGCCCCATACCTTTCGATGCAGCTAAAGGTGCCTCGGTGCCAAATGAGAATGTTGACGATGATGTTGTGGTAGATACAGGCTTATCGGCTTCTGCAGAGGTTGATGTAAAAGTAAACGCAGTTCCAGGCGAAGGAGCAGGAACGCTAGATGTCGTTGCTGGCTTGGATGCTTCCGGGGTCTTGAAAGAAAATCCACCAAATGGACTGCTTGCTGTGGTTGCTGCTGCAGAGCTAGTAGTAGAAGCCTTTTCAGCAGATGGCTTGTCTAGTTATACGTTATAAAAGGAGGTTAATGTCAAAAGAAGTTGAAAAAACACAAAGCCTTGATACCCGAATGAGGCAATGATACCTGTAGATGCTGCATTTGCAGGGAAGTTGAAAGGCGATGGTCCTTTATCCAATGCTGGCGAAGTAGATGAAGCAGGTGCTGGTGCAGGTGCTGCAAATGAGAACTTCGGTGCTGTCGAAGTAGAAGCTGGCGTCTCGGAGGCTTTTTTCTCTACACAACGTGAATGATTGGTTAGTTACAAGCGTTATAATATGGTATGCTAAAGCTAGGTGTACCTTTAAACAAACCTTGCGATTTGTCAAACGAAAATGTCGGAACGGATGGTTGGTTTGAAGCAGATGATACCGGTGTACCAAATGAGAAAGTAGGTTTGGGAACCTCTGCAGGTTGATCTAAACGGTTCAAAGTGATTTCAGATTGGTCATTATTAGAAAAACCACCAATAAATTCAAAAGACAATAATATTTTTCTACCTTTATTTTCCGTCGATGGGGTTGGTGTCACTTTACCAAACGAAAAGGCAGGTGTAGTAGTCTTTTGACCTTCGGGTTTGTCCTCTGCACACGGAGATACTCTTAAGTTAGAAGCTTGATTCACACAGAGCAAGAAGCAAACCATATGATTGAGGGAGCGCAGTGACATTACCTGTAGCCTTGGGGAACACAAAAGGTGATGGCCCCTTTGACGGTGCTTCCTTGCCTTTCTCGGGAGAAGAAGCAGTAGATGTGATTGAAAAGGTTGGCAACGATGCAGACGCAGCAGACGAAGTCTGTGGTGCTTCGTCAGATTTTGACGATCCTCCAAACCAGTTTTCGCCAGATTTCTCACCAGGCTTATCCGAATCAGTTGTCTTATCAGCGGTTGATTTGTTATCGCCACTGGAATGGTCAGCTTTCTCAACCAATGTAGCAGAAGTATCCCAACTCAATAGAGGAGTAGTTGTGGTAGCGGTGGTGGATTTTTCTGCTGTGTCCTTGTCATCGGATGATGGTACCTTTTGTTCTTCTGAGTCCTTGCGAGCTACTGTCGATTCTCCACCAGCAGTAGCAGTACCAAGATTGGCTGTACTAGCTACAACTTCAACTGGCTTGGATGTTTCTTTTGCAGTTTCATCAGCAGACTCTGTTAATATTCATGGTTGAATGAGTAAATGACCTATTACCGCATTTCTGTGTGGCTGAACTGTATATGCTATTTTACCTTTGGGGGTTGTCTGTGCACTGCTGCCAAACGAGAAGTTCAATGGCTTTGCAGGAGTAGTGCTTGCTGGTGTCGTTGGGCTGAAGCTGAAGGCCGAAGCTTTTGATGTAAAAGGCGATGACGGTGCTTTATCTAACAAGCGTTACCAAACACAACAGTAACAGAGAAAATCGAATGAACGTTATGTCCATACCCCCTTTTCCTGCTTCTTTTGTCGATTCGAAGCCTTGCTACTGACAATAACAAATAGAAATATTATCTCACCACTTTGCTTTTCGGTAGATGGCTCCTTTGTGGTTGCTTCATCTGTTGCGGGACTTTTTGTTGTAGCACCAAATCCGAATGCTGGCATAGCTGGCTTGTTTGCATCAGTGGCAGGTTTCGATGAAGTTCCAAACGTAAAGCCACCGGTTGCGGGTGCTGAGGTGGTAGTCTTTCCGCTTTCCGACAGTTCTGTTGGCTTTGTGAATGAAAAGGATGGTGGTGCTGTACTGGTAGCGGGTGCTGTTGTGGTAGTGCCAAAGCCAAATGCTGGTTTTGACGTAACAGTACTTTGTGGTGTCTGCGATGTAGCAGCTGGAGCAGCAGTACCAAATGAGAACGTGGGTGCAGGCGTGGTGGTTGAAGCAGTCGTCGAGGTTGTCGTATCTAATATGCAAAATCAGTCTCAAACCGAAAATAACTCTCTTTAATACACGCCCTTCACTTCTTTAGCCTTCTTGTACTGTACCCTTCTGAGGAGCTACTGTTCCAAAGCCAAATGTGGGTGTCGACGTAGCAGCTGTTTGACCAAAGGCACCGCTGCCTCCAAACGAGAATCCAGATGGTCTCGTTGCTGCGGGTGCTTCATCTATTATATAATCATACAAGACAGAGAATTAAAAAAAGCGTGAACTTTTTTTTAAATAGAATAATTTCCCGAAGCAAATCTATTACCTTTGTCCATGGATTCATCTTCCATAGCATTGGATTGCTGTTGCGTTGATGACGATCCAAAAGCAGATTGAGCCGCGGGCGTAGAAGTACCAAAACCAAAAGCAGGTTGGGATGTAGTGGTGGAAGCAGCACTGGAGGCAGTTCCAAATCCAAATGCTGGTTGCTGTTGTGGTGCAGGCGAAGCAGCAGCTGTGCCAAATGAAAAGGATGGTTGTGTTCCTGCAGTGCTCGTGGGATTTGCTGCTGATGCAGGTGATCCGCCAAAGGAAAACGCAACTTGCGGCGAAGGAATGCTTGTTGCACCTGATCCGAACGTGAAAGATCCACTGTTGCTACTACCACTGGTGCTACTGCCACTACCGAATCCGCCTGTGGATGCTAGCAATGGACTCCCACCAGCCGGAGGAGGTGTTCCAGTTTGCTGTGTTAGTTGCTGCTGTTGCTGTTGAGGCATATTGAACTGGAAAGAGCTGGCAGCGGAAAAAGAGCGTCCCAAAGTCGGCGTTGTTGGTTGTTGTTGTTGTGGTTGCGCGCCAAACGGAGAACCACCAGTGCTCATGCCAAACGCAGAGGGTTGTTGGGGGGTTGTTCCCGCAGTGTTGCCAAACGAAAATCCAGCCATTGGGTTGCTGTGATTGGCGGTGTCTTCGGATGCGGTGCGTTGTAACCGTCGACGTGGTTGAGCAATTTTACGATTTGCTATGTTAGCAGGATTAATTGGACTTTGATTATTTTGGTCGCTATAATTTTTATAGAATGAATATTGTAAGCAATCCTAATCTGGCTGACAACTTTTTCAGTATAGATGTCACTGGTAGAGAGTAAATCGGTACCTCATTTATTTTATATAAAAAAAACGCGCCAGCGTTCTCGATAAGCAAAAGGTTTTTTTTGAAAGAGTAACAGGTCGTTTGCTCCTGCTAAAATTTTCTATTTTGGCTCAGACCGTGTACACAGTCGCGACAATTATAGCAGGGCGATTTTGCACTGTACACAAGGATCGCTTAGCATAGTATAACGTGTCCATTTATAAGGACTTCTCTTCTAGGACGAAGATAGCGTCAACAGGTGGGTTAGCCCTATGTTAGAACAAGTGCTAGGCATTCTTGGTTTCTGTATGCTCAAGTTATAGAGAGCACTACGGATGGGTAGAATAATATCATCGCGCTCATAATGAGCCAGGTCTTTTTATCTGTGTACTGCCTCTCGATTTGATCTATTATGTTGGTTATGCACAATCAATTGCTCAATAGTGCTCTCACATTACATCTATGCCGCTTGCCTACCTAAAGGTACTGAAGTATATTGTCATCGTCGTGATATGGAACGATCGTGACTGCTCTGCATTGCTTGTAAAGGATTGGTATATATGCAAATTCCTGTCGACCGAACCAAGCATAATCTCGTTGCACACACATGAATTATAGCTTAACCTATATCAAATGTTTTTTTCTAATTATGATGCTACATAACGCGTAGCATGCATCATCTTGGTTTAATAATATTTATCGGGTAACGCCAGTCAACCAACTAGTGCTGTGAGTTCTGCATAATTACCCCAGTGTCGCCATGGTGATAAATGACATCAATAAATTTGCATGGGTACGGTTCGATTGTTTTAACTGGTTGGTTATATGTCACTATGAAAGGTTGCGATCGAGTGGCAGTTTCGCAGTTTACCCAACCTTGAAACCACTTACATCTTCGATCTCCGCTAAAGAGGCAAAAAAAAAAAAATTAGCTGGATACCAAGGCTTGGGCAGCTTTTTTTCCTTCTCCACTTTTTGCAACAGACCTCTCTCTCTTGTGCTCGTCTTCCTTGTTGTTCTTATTTCTCCCATATATCCTCGACAATGTCAGCGAGAGAAGAAGGGATGATGGATGCTCCTTCCAAAGTGCCAGCAACACCCACGACATCAGAACTGAGCGATGATTTAAAGAAAAACATCGAAACACTGACGCCACCAGATGGTGGCAGGGGGTGGCTGATCGTCCTAGGTTCTTTTTTGGTAAGCCAGGAAATACGAACGAGACACTCAGTCATTGACGACGGTTCCTTGCTTTTTATCTTCTATTCTAGGGCCTGTTTTCTATGTAAATATCTGCTTTCATGGCGAGGGTAAAGGTACAGGAATGTCAGTAATATAATTCTTTATCTCTTTCTTTTTCATTTCTATGACCAAACACAACAGCTTCGGTTACAACTACAGGTATGACACATAACCAAAATAAAAGCCGCCGTTCTTGTGCAACGATGAAAAGGAATCGGGAGATCTGATCATTCAACTTTTCAATGCGTCTATAGTTGGGGCGTCTTCCTTCGAGTCTATAAGGATGTCTACCCAGATGACCTGTCCAAACTCTCATGGATTGGATCAATATGTGTTGCATTGTTTTTTATTCTTGGACCAATCAATCAACTTGTCATTCGCCATATGGGATACAAGTACATGCTTGCAACGGGCACCGTATTATGTACAGCTGCACTTATTCTTGCCAGCTTTGCCAAAGAGGTACCCTATACGTTTGCGATTTAGAACGACACCGAAAAAGCTAAAACGTTATCCGCTGTATAATCAGCTTTGGCATCTGTTTCTTACTCAAGGTCTATTGTTTGGCTTTGGTGCATCATTCGTATGGTTTCCTTGCATTGGAGCCCCGCAACAATGGTTTTCGGAGCACCGAGGTCTTGCCGTCGGTCTCGCCATGTCAGGGTCTGGTATCGGTGGTCTGGTCATTAACAACATCTGTCAGGCTGCTATTGATAATATTGGCCATCGCTGGGCCTTACGGTAATTGACGAACTTTAGCTTCTCTCTCTCTGATATGGAGCATGTTCAGAAGTTATGTACTGATATATTCGGGTGACATCTACAGGATCGTTGGTATCATATGCTTTGTACTCCTTTGTATTGCTACTGTTCTAGTCAGACCTTTTGGTACCATTCAGCAAACAGGTGGCAGAGCCAAGGGTCTTATTAGCTGGTACCTTTTCAAGAATCCACAGTTTTGCATCATGTTCGCACACGGACTTATCACCACCTTTGGCTACATGGTAAAGCGTCCTTATTCGGCTATATATATTTTAATAGCTAATTAAACTAATTTGTGCTGCCTACTGTAGACTCCATTTTTCTTGCTTCCAAGTAAGTTTTATAATCTGATTGATAAGAACTGCACTCGTAAATTAAGCTGACCTTTATACGAATAAAAATAACAGCACATGCCGAACATTTGAAACTGGATCCCTGGGTGGGCACCAACTTGTCTGCCATCATGTCTGCCGTCAATGCCGGTGCACGTATCTGCACTGGCTATATGGGCGACAAGCTCGGTCGGTTCAATAGCTTATTCGTGTGCACATTCCTTGCCGGCGTTGTCTGCTTAGCCATCTGGATCAATGCAACAAACGAAGCAACAATTTGGGTATTCTCAATTCTGTACGGTTTTTTTGGTGGTGGTTACATTGCCCTATTCCCTACTGTCCAACCACAAGTCGTGGGACTAGAAAATATTGCGCCTGCTGTCGGCTTGTTGTATTTTACCAATCTGTTCGGTTACATGTTTGGCACGCCTATTGCATCGGCTATCATAAACAGATTCGATCCTCCTGATTTCCGGTACGCTGCAGTCTGGGCTGGTGTCACTGTCATTGTGGGTGCCTTGTTTGCCGGCTGGCTTCGCGTTACTCAGGCTGGTTTCAAGTTAGTGCGTATCTAATCTTACAACTATCGACTATCCTCCTCCAATGTTCTCCATTTCATTATCCTCCTCCATTGTTCTCCATTTTTGTAAACGAAAAAGCTCCTCCTTGTATTATTTTACCTCTTCTCTCCCTAATTTTTGCATCTTTTATATACGATTCATTCCTCCTCCCTTTAATATACTCTGTATTGCTCGTTTTTGTGTTATTCATTCCTTGTGAAATGTTATAAGAAAAATTAGCTCCTTTTGATATTCAATCGAGCAAGAGACACGAAAAAACCAGAAATGGACTTTGAAAAAGACGCGCACGCGTGCTTTTCCTTTCTCCTTTTCTCGCGACCCGACCTTAGCTCTTAAAATGGCTTCGAATGTTCGCCTTTCGCGATTAAGCAAAGAACTAGGTTTGTAGTATAGCTTACCTTCAAGCTCACCGTTCAAAAAAATTGCTTCACTCCCTATTTTTTCAAAGATGTTAATTATTGCATTATCGAAAAATAGCCGATCTTGAACGAGATCCTCGACCTGGAATTATTTGCCACCCAGTCGACGACGATGACATTACCCACCTCGAAGCTTGTATGTTCCTCTCTTTCTTACAACCACAAAACATTAATAAGAAGAAAAAGGCACTAATTCAAGGCGTAATGCAGTCATTAAGGGTCCACCCGATTCTCCATACGAAAAAGGCAACTTCAAACTGGATATAAAAGTGCCTGACGATTACCCGTTCAGCCCACCACAAATGCGGTTCCTGACCAGAGTCTATCACCCAAACATTGATGATGGTGGACGTATCTGTGCTGATATTTTGAAAAAGGGCGAACATGGCAGTTGGCGCCCTTCTCTCAATATCTCAACCACGCTGATCAGTTTGAGCGGACTGCTCGCCTCACCGAACCCGGACGATCCTTTGGACGCTGAAATTGTAAGCAATCGGTGTATGTCTTTTTGAGTTGATGATGCGTTATCGTCATTTGACCAAGTATTAAATCATAATTTAGGCGAGAGAGTATCAGCTGGATCATGCTTTGTTCCTAAGCAAAGCGAGAGAGTATACGTTTAAATATGCCACAGGCAAGCAAGCCGATGAAGATTCGGTAAGATTTTTCTATCTCATCTGTTCAGATACAAGTTGTCAGTGAAAGCCATTGTATCTGATTCGATTCATTTTTGTGTCCAAGTTAGACTGTCCAAAGAGAGATCAAGCAGGATCTTGGTCCAAGTGCTCTAGTAGCCGGTAGCAACAGCAGTAATATGGAAAAAAACACTGATCGACCTATGTCACGAAAATCGAAGCTTTCACTTTCTACAAAGAAGCGCAAATCAGCATTGTCATTGGCATCGCCTTCATCGTCGTTACCTGTAGGGGATGCGGTGGACATTGAGAGCACACAATCCAGCCTGCCGCGAACTCTTGGCAGCAGTAACAATAACAACACAGCGAACACGCAAAGCGATACTACATTTTCACAACAGGCTCCTATTGTAATGGAATCAAACAATGAGTCTGTCGAAGCAAATCCTGTCAATAACCAACACACAGAGGAACCTCAGTCATTGGCACCTGTAACAAAGTCACAACAACTATCACAAAGCTCATCAAGAGATGCAAGTACACAGGTCGATGAATTATCACAGGACAGCACCCAACATTCGATTCATTCACTCGAACCGAGCGCACAGCAGCAACATCCGTCAACACCATGGGAGGATATTGATGACACGACCTCTCAAAATGAAATTCCCAACACACCCAGAAATTCATCGTCGAAACCTAACTCACTGCAGCAATTCAAATCAGCCAGTGGCGCCATTGACACCGACAACGCGGACAAGATATCATCAGTAGAGCAATCCAGATTTCCCGACATGCATTCGATCAAAAATGAAAGCTCACAACGATCGACCAAATCAGACAAGAGCAGCAAGCCATCCTATGATACAACACCGTTCCCAAGCAAAGAAAATATGGATATATATTTTGAAGATAATGCCAAGGGCGACGAAACTCAATACGTGGTATGCAGTTTAGGCAAAATAAACAGCGAACAAAGATCAGCACCAATCGACAAAGACGCCCCACTATATACTGAAAGCGTATCATCATCACCATCAACCACTAACACCATGAAAAAGCCATTGCAGGAAGTATCACAATCATCGCAGAATATGGTAGAATCTCAGCCGTCATCAGAGGTTACGAAGTCAATGAGCTCGCCATCTTCCTCTTCTGCCTCTGGTAGAGTATCCTTTCGTGAGCTATTTAAATCGACGGATGATGAAAAGTATATGCCAAAGAAAAGGAAGATTCCTGCGAGCATGAGAGACAAACTGAGCCTCAGTAAAACCAGAAAGCGTCAAAATCCGTAACAAGCACCTTTGCTTGGCGTCTTCACGCATGTCTTATATTATATATCACCTTTTACTCCCCCCTTCCCAATTCCTTTACTGTAAAAAACTATACGCCTCATGTAATATATACTTTTTAAACAATGAAAATCACCCTCAACATATATCACGCATACTACTATCCATGCGCACATTGTGCCAATTATACTTGTCAACTGTAATAACTCGATTGATCCGAGCAGGATAACAATCCATCCACCAGGTACACTATGATACATGGGGATGGCTTTCAAACAAAACAGATACTTTGATATGGGGATAAGCAGAATAGATCCTGATTACTCATGGTCTTCAGGAATATAGATAAGTTTACTAATGTCGAGTAATGCAAACTCCCCACCGCTCCGTCCCAAAGATTTCCCATTGTTCACTGTCTGACTAAGGCCAAATACGCACGGTCGAGTCACACACAGCGAAATATGACAAACGGGCAATATTCATGTCAAATTATAAATCATTGTTTCCCGCGATATTCTGGTTAACGAAACCCCACATACCCCCACCTTTTCCTTCTTTTTACCTTTTACCTTCAACCATACCATGTCTGTGCCAAAGTTTGAAACGCTCGAAATCACCCTATTCCCCAGTGGTGTCTGTGAAATGGCCTTCAATCGGCCTCACATTCTCAACGCACTTTCTGCACAAACCTATCAAGTAAGGACAAGAAAACGTCTTGGGGTTGTCATGGAGAATCGTTGTTGACTTGACAATTCTGTGTTAGGACTGGCTAAACTTTGTGAAATGGGCAGCAGCAGCGGATTCGGTAAAGGTGGTAGTGTTTATCGGACGAGGTAGATTTTACAGCGCCGGACAAGAATTGGCAAAGCCCGACTTCTCGCCTCAGGGCGTGGCTAAAAACAGTGAGCGCCGTGAAGTTGTAAAGTAAGTTTTGGCGGAACAAGTGCAGTACATGGGATACCTCTTTTTTGTTGGTCCAAAGATTCACCCAGATATAACAAACAATAGGGGTCTTGTACACGAACTTATCAAGTTCCCCAAGCTTTTAATCGCGGCTGTGAATGGTGGTGCCTATGGATTTGGCGTCACAACGTTGGCTCTTTGCGATGTTGTTTATTGCGTTCCTTCCGCAACGTTCACTACTCCCTTCATGAAGCTCGGTAATAACCCCTTACTCATCTCCTAGCTGCTGATCGGGATCAACATGCTTATCGTCATTTAAATTTACGTGTTATCAGGTTTTGCCGCTGAAGGCTGTTCTTCCTACTTGTTCCCCAAGATCATGGGACACTCTCGTGCTAATGAAATGCTGGTAAAGAAGTCGATAGTTTTTTCTGATGTAAAAAGATCTCGTATAAGCAAAAAGAAAATATGGTTGCTAACAATTACTGCTGAATTATCTAGCTGATGGGCCGGACCTTTTCAGCACAAGAAGCCATTGAATCTGGTTTCGTATCTCGTTCCTATCCTGAGGAGGGCTTCCGTGAAACCGTCCTTGGTCTCGCTGAAGATGCTGCCAAATTCTCTGCTGACGCCCTTGCTGTCACAAAGAAGCTCACGCGTGACGCTGAACGCGACCTCTTGCATAGAGTGAATGAAGAAGAAATGGCTCGCTTGACCGAACGTAATGCTAGCAAAGAATCTATTGAAACCGTTATGCGATTTGCCGGTGAGTGCATCAAACTGCATTTTTTAAATTAGCTTCTGCATAGTATCGTGGTATCCTCTGTCGATTCACTAATGCTTCTTTCTTAACCGAAAATATTAGAGGAAGCCGAACGCAAGCGTGAGGAAAAGCGAAAGGCAAAGGAACAGAAAAGCAAACTTTAACTTAATGAAATTCATACACATTTATTTACCATTTCAATATCATCAAAACCCAAGCATCCAAAATGTAGTACCTTGTGAATCAACGGTAACTGAGCTTATTGACAATGCATATTAAACTGCATAATGTGTATAATTGGAGATTACCAGGGCTTTCTGATGTTACAATATCAGATATATAGGGTGTGAACAGTTGAATTTTAACGTGAAAACGCTTGAAATGAATTATCTTTCTTTGTTATTTAGAATGTCATAACGCCTTTTTCAAGTTAGGCAATTGCATCCAATAGCTTTAACTACTGACTATTTACTCGGAAGCCTCAGCTGCTTGTGGATGGTTGAACGAGCATAACGAGATGAATGATAACGTTTTCAAACAGAAAACGGATGTATATTTTACATTCAGTAACCGTACATACATAGTATGTATAATTGCAACCGCATTACGTTGAATGAGTGATGCTTACATACAGTGTGGCGTTAATATATTCTTAATATTGCTGTTTAAGTGAAGAAGTTTGAATTATCTTTCAAAGAGCTGATACTCGAGATAGATAAAGAAGATATCTATGCTAAAAGTTACATCATTATATGTATCATGTCGATGATATGTTGATATCATACAATTTAATTTCATTCTCTTGTATTTGCCCTCAAAATTATAGAAAACTCAATCCAACGATGATGATGCAATGATACATCCAACCGAAAAAGATACATTATATTGCTATAAATACTGGCGCGTCACTATCCTCAAAATATTACCACGTAGCTTTTTACTTTCCACTAAGCGCGTCCACAAAATTTGCATTGCGACGGAAGAACAAACTTTGTTCAATAAGGCATGAATTTACGACTGTGTTTTAAACATAGAAGAGCTCTTTTCTTTCACATATTTTTTATACAATCTATAATCTATATAAAATAGTTCAATGACTACCTCAAAGTACCAAGAGTCAATCAAAGATCTCGCTTCCACAGACGATGTTAAGCGACTTAAAGCCTTACGATTTATAAAAAACTCAGTCATTGGAAACAAAACAAAAAAGGATCTTTACATCCAACTCGGCGTAGTGCAAAAGTAAGCTTATTTTTGCTCTCTTCTTTACCCGAGCTTCCCGGCCAATACTTCTAACCCTTATTGTTGCTGCATTCATGTGGTCAGACTAGTTGAATACCTTACGCTTCCCGATGACACGTCCTTTTTTCTTAAAATACAAGCAGCAACTGTTCTTGGCAGTATTGCTTATGGTAAAGCGCTCCTCTTTTTTTAAGACAATTATGTTACAATCATGTTATCGAGAATAAGAAAGAAAAAGTAAGCTAAAATAAAAGCTATTCATTTACAGGCAAAGACGAAAATGTGAATGCGGTTGTGTCTTTTGGAGCAATAACACCACTCTTGGATGCTTTGGCTCTACGTCCTAGTGTCCCGGTGATTGAAGCCATTCGTGAAAAACGCAAGCTGCTAGAAGCTGCTACACGCGCATTAAAGTCTATTTTCACATGCCCAAGAACTCCAAAGGATGATATTTTCACAGTGAGTTGTGCTATTTTATACTAATAGAAGAAGGAGAAACCAGGAAAAAAAAAGAGAAAGAGCGACAATCATTAAGGATTGTTTAGAGTCATTGCTAGTTTCTGACATAAAACTCTGTCGTTCCTATCATTTCTGAACAAAACAATCCAGGAAAAGCATATTTCGGATCTTGTTGCCTTGTTAGATGCGACATCAACGTACTTGTGCCAGCAAGGCCAACCGAGCGCGACGTCGGAGAGTTTGTCATTTGGCATGATTGCGGAATTTACGGCGGCAGTTATTGCTAAATGCTGCGATACACAAGAACAACAGATGCAGTTGGCTTCAGCTGGTGTAATTCCACCTCTTGTCAACTTGTTGCATTCGGGTCACGTCAAAGCACAGGAGGCGGCTCTGGATGCGCTGGCAACGCTATGTCGCGAAAACAGCGAGCTCGGCGAGATTGTGATTCACGCTAAACGTAAATACATAATCAACACTATTCGGAAACCGGAAAAAACACATGTTAAAGAGAATATGTGAGTGTGTGTTGAGAGTCATGGTTACTAACTAGCATATGACTACTACTATTATTATAATGGCATAGCGATTGACTCAAATCAACTGACGACTGCTACTATGCTCGAATTTGTACGCGACAAGTGTCCGAATATGCGTTTGATTGCTGCTACCTGGTAATTTTATCTCAATTATCTCAAAAAAGACATTACCACTAATGTCTTATTATATTTGTTTCAGCTTGACAAACTTATATCGAACGGGCGTATTTATCGAGCCATTTACTGAAATTGTGCTGGTTGTACTACCGGCATTAGTCAAGCTGTTGAATGATCCCTCGGGTGATGTACAGGAAAGAGCTCCATTGGTTCTAGCGGATCTGGTAAAGGATAGTGAGGATATGCAAAAGGCAGCATACGATGCAGACGCCATTTCGCGCTTGGCAGAGCTGTTAGTCAGTGCGTCGTCAAAGGAAAACGATGATGATTCGGATGAGCGGATTGGAGTACCGGGTGTTGGAAGCGTCGCTAAGCGCAGAGAAAAAATTCGCGAGGTATGTGTTGGACTAGTACTCGTAATTTCTAATGGAAATAAAGTGGGATTCAGTGAAAGGTTGCTCGGGATCAGCCTTTTTTTTAGTTGACAAAGGTACAATCTTAGAATTCTTTGATTGCTATTGCTGCAGCCACTCTGTTAAAAGAAGAATGTCGATCTCAGGTAAATAAAAAAGTTGCCGCTCCTGTTGAGACCGCAGAAATCCTCTTCTTTTTTGTGGTTAGTAACGCTTGTTGACTGAACGAATCATAGGCGATCAATTCCAAAGTATTACCACACGTTGTAGCAGCACTTCAAAGTAAGTATCCACATGTCCGGCTAGCGGCATGTCAATGCGCGAAGTCGCTTTCACGTAGTGTGAGCAACTTGCGTACCAGTTTAGTGGATGCTGGAGTAGCGGCACCTCTCTTGAAGGTAAGCTATTACTGTTATCAACGTTCGTGTAATCTTATATTATCGAATTGTTGCTGACACGTATGTGTTACTGTTAAAGTTATTACGAGATGAATCTACTATTGTCCAAGCTGCAGCCTGTGGTGCATTGTGTAACCTTACACTCGACTTTTCACCCATGAAGAAGGTAAATTATAATGGTTTGCTGCTACTGGGAAGAAGAGAACATTTACTATAATATTGTAAACGTAATCTAACACGTCTTTATAACTGAAACATAGAGTGTGATCGATGCAGGGGCCATTGATCGATTCGTCGAATACTCACGATCAAATGATGCCAAGCTCCAGCTTAATGGTGTATGGGCACTTAACAGTCTACTTTACAAAGCCGATCTGTCAGCGAAAAAGGCGGTGATGAAATCACTTACTTATGATGCATTGATCGAGCTGTTACACGAACCCAATCCTGCTATACAAGAACAAGCATTAGAGATTGTGAGGAATTTGGTGTGTGGACAACAAGAGGTAAGGCGACTTTAGCTTTTTTGACTTGTCGTTATATATCAACAAAGTAAGGAGACGGAAAAAACTGAGGAATTCTTGTCTATTAGGATATCGAGGATGTTATCGAGGGTATTGGCCGGGATGATCTATTGGATGTATTGGAAAGCAAGCTTCAGGTCACATCCAATATGGGACTCGAGGGTGATGATAGCACAACCATGACATCGGTTAGTACATAATATCGTCAAGACAAAATGATTGTATATTCATTATGAGAGTTGTCACCGAGGAATACCAGGATATGCTGACGAAGAATGGCATCATAGATTTTAGAGCCTGCATTGTATATTGTAACCAATATGTCAAGCAGCTCTGAAGATCCAAGGACAATGCTAATGAGCCGGCCGAGCATTGTAAACAGTATCATTCATCATTTGGTACGTATTTCTCTCTACACGATGTGCCGTTTAGAAATTGGAAATCAAGGTGTGCTAGGGTTACTCATCGAAAAAAAAACATGTCTTTGTATCCTATAGTCACATGAAGCACCCAAGATCCGAGTTGCAGCAGTGTGGTGTATCATTAACTGGACATGGATAAATTCGGATGAGGACGAGGATGGTATGTGTAGAGTAGTAACGAGTATGTGGTGCAGGGAAGGTGCAGTCAAGGATCTAACGTTTGCTTATGTAATGTTCTATTTCCTGCAGCCTTGGTAGACCGAATTAATCGACTTCGCGCACTAGGTGTTGAACATAAACTACAAGAAATGGAAAAGGACCCTAGCCGAGATGTGCGTGATAGAGTACGAACAGCCTTAGACCAACTTACTTCTATTGACCCGTAATAACAAAGAAAATGTACAATTCAAAAATAATAAAAAAATAACCTTTTATTCAGTCAGGCGTTTCTTCACATGCAACCCCTGGCGTCGGATTGAACCAGCCACAGATGCTGCAACCCACAACCCCACCTGCGGGGTTTAGCATCTAACCTCCTTTGACCATTTTCCATACATTTGCAACTTTTTTTTTGTAGTCTTCTCCTCCCTTTTCTCGCCGTCATTATGCCGTTCCTTACCTCGGCGATTGCATATGTGTCGGGCGTACCAGAACCCACGCTGCGCTTGCTGGTGACCCTGGGTCTCGCCTACCCTATTGCTCGCGTGTATAACCAAATGTACATTCGTGGCAAGGGTCCTGTCGTGTCCGCTGCCACTGTCACCGAACGCAACTTGTTCATTCTGCTCGCTGGCCTCGCGCTTGCATTATTTTTCAGTGGCTCGAGCATTTACCACTCATTGTTGACCGTCTGTGCAAGCTACGGCTTCTTATACCTGAACGAACGATTCATGCCCAACAATCGCTTCTATGGCGCGGCCGCTGTGTGGGGATTCAACGCAGTTTATTTGTTGGCAGGTTATTATATCACGGCAACAGACGACTACGATGTCACCTGGACAATGCCGCAATGCATTCTGTGCTTGCGTCTCATGGGCTTTGGTTTCGACTATTATGACGGTGCCACTTCGATTGTCAAGGTCGAGGGTCCCGAGCCAACAAAGAAGGCTGAAGAAACGACCGACCACACGACTACGTTGCGACCTACTGAACAGACAAAGCCGCCAAACCAGTTACCCTTGTCGTTCGCGTTAGATACGCCACTGGCGTCTCTACCGGATTTCAGTCAAGTGTTAGCCTATTGCTATTTCCCATCTGCATTTTTAGTCGGCCCGCAATTCTCATTCTCGCTGTATCGGCGCTGGCTCGCCTCGTCCCCCTTGCAGGAAGGTTCTGCGGTTGCTCAAGAAGAAGCTGAAAAGGACCAGATGCGTTATGTGTTCCGTTGCTTAGGCTTGGCTGTTGTCTATCTTGCTATCCAGCAAGGTGTCGGTGGCAATTACCCTACGTCTTATCTCCTCACTGACGAATTTGCTTCCCTCTGTTTCCTGCGCCGTATTTGGATCTTCATTATCACCGGCAAGTTTGTTTACAACAAGTACATTGGTGTCTGGATGTTGACTGAAGGTTTGTTTATCTAAACACTACTGTTTCTTTGTGCTTTGAGACGAAGTGGAGGTAGGAGGGGGCGCATGGTATAGATCAAGTGCTAAATGGCTAGAACAACAATGGGTGGTTATGATAAAATGACAGGTGCTTGTGCCTATTTCGGAATCTCGTACGATGGCGAAGACAGCCGAGGCAATCGACTCTTCGGCGGCCTTGCCAACGCCCTGCCAGCTATTTATGAAACGGCTACCTCGATCGATCACATCATTGGTTCTTTCAACATCAACACGAACCTGTGGGTCAAGTACTACGTATTCAAGCGTCTCAGGTTTTTGGGCAACAAGCAACTGTCACAGTTTGGTGCATTGGGTTTTTTGGCCATCTGGCACGGCTTCCACATCAACTATTTCACGACGTTCTTTTGTGAATTCGCTGTCACACATTGTGAAGCTGTCCTCCGCAAGCGTCTCTTGCCATGCGTACAAACCTATACCTCCAAGAATGCGCTTGCCTTGGCTGCATGGAAGGTCGTTGCTTGGGTTACCTGCAATGTCGCGCTCCATTATTGCGTGATACAGTTCGATCTGCTAAAGCTCTCGAAGGCATGGGTTGCTTACAAGAACGTGTACTTTGTGGGTCACATTATACTCTTCGCCATTTTTGCATTGGATGCGTTTGTTCTAAAGCGACCAGTGCGTACTCCCAAGGAAAAGGTCAAATAAATAAAGGGCTGTTCATATGTAGTAGAGTAATTAGTACTTGTTTTTTTATTGGGGGTTTTTTACTAAGAAAGTAATAATAAAAGTATTCGCATCACACCATAACCATCTCCAGCACTCTTGAAGCAGTAATGTCAGTCGTAGCAGCAGCAATCACAGTGAAAATATCTGTGTATCGGCTTCCTGTCTTGTGACTCGACCGCTGCATAATTGGAGCGATGATTGAAAAGAGAAAGTTTACTACATTCACATTTAACCTGATAATATCACCAAGGTCTGTGCTACACTCCTCTTTTCCTCTTCGTCCACTTCCTTTGACTCGAACCGCAAATCATGTCTGACTATTATGTAAGTGCTATAGCTGGATCTCAGCCAATTCCAGTGGCATTTAACTTGTTGTTTCTTTATTCACCTGTTTTGTTTTGAATTGTTAACCTAAAATAGGGTCAACAACGACCGCGAGAGGAATCGCGTGGCAGGCCACACAACTACCGAAATTCACCGCGGATGCCACGAGGCAACATTAACAGTAATCAATCCGGATCGCCTGTACCGTCGTGGAGTAATACTACAAGCAGCCGAAGTGTGTCCCCAAGGAGTAATTTCGGCGGACGTTCACCGTACCTGAGGACCAACGAAAACGATGGCGAGGATTCTGCAAACCACCAATGGCGCGCATGGCGCGGGCCTGAAGAAACAACAGCAACGACAAATACACCTCTCGCCTCTTCGCCTAGCACGTCAAGTCCCTCAAATTGGTTCACTCCAACGATGACTTCAGCTAATGCCACTTCGCGTGTCACCGCTGCAAACAGTAGCCCCCAACAAACTGCGTCTCTTGCCTCCGGATCTGAAGATGTTCCGGTTATGCAACAACAACAACAAAAAACATCACCGACGCGTGTCGCAAGCAATAGTGCTACGGATACCATAGCTTCTATTAGCAATCCAATTCAAACTATTGAAGAAGAACACGGCGTTAGAAATGAGATTCACGGTGCAATTGATGATGAAGGGGATGAAACAAAAGAGGAAGACAACCGCAAGCCTAGTATCTGGAGCGATGATTGGGACGACGGCTACGAAGAAGAACAGTTGTTTTCATCCAACTATACACCACCAAAGACAACAGCAGGAGACGACGACATCAATGGCAACGTTCACACGCCGCCACGATCGGGATGGTCACCCGAACCGATTGATCATAACAATTTTGACGACACTGTCGACAATCATACTCGAGCACACCTCACATATTTCTTCACTGCAAAGCGTGAAAACCGAGATCTATCTGTCGATGATATTTGTGTCCGTGTAGATAAACCACGAGACCCACAGCAGCGTTACCAGTACCAACAACAACAACAACAACAACAACAACAACAACAGCAGCAACAGCAGCAGCAGCAGCACCATAAACCTCAACATGAGCATGAACAATATGTCAGCGACGACGATACGTTCCATGGGCCCAAATTGCGACGTGGTGCATCAGTAACCCACCATTCCCATACAAACACTGCTACTGCCACCAGTCCTACTGCTGGGATCAATGGCCGACATTTCTTCTCACCATCTTCGACACTGCAAGAACCAAGCGTCCAAGTATTTACGGACAATAGCTCACCATTTATGTATCCACAGTTCTTTGGAAAACCACCACCGGCTCAAGACAACTATCAACAGCACAACAATGGCTCATCACCAATGCAGAAACGAGGCAACAAGCGATGGTTGAACGATAACACTATGGATTCATTCAAATATCCAGAGTACATTTCTCTTGAAGAGATCGAGCTTGGAGTATCTAATGGCCAGCTTTATGTTGGCATTCTTCGCATCAGCGGACGTCGACGGTACGATGCTTATGTGTCCGTGACTTCGCTCGATGATGATGTTTACATTGGAAGTGATTTTTCGCGGAACCGTGCGTTTGACGGCGATGTCGTGGCTATCCGGTTAAAAGACGTGGACCCTGCGTGGAAGCAACGGAAAGAAGCGCATCTGAAATTTCTTTCTCGCAAGGGTGCCAATGTGGACCGCAATCCCTCTGCGACCGACTTGGCGGAAGGAGAGGAAGAAGAGGAATCCAGTGAAGAAGAGGAAGACGATACATTCGGATATAAGCCAAAGTACGCAGGCGAAGTTGTCGGCATCGTCGAGCGACCCAAAGAACGATTTCTCGTTGGGTACGTCTTTACTTCAATTTCTAGTTGATTAAAGAGAGGGGAAACCGGTCCTCTTCACTGTAGAGAAAGTTAACTGATATGACTTCATTACAGATTATTGAACTTAGACTTCTCACAAGAAGGCAATTCCGCTCTTGAGCATCGACTATGCTTCCGTCCACTCGACAAGCGTATGCCGCTCTGTTACATACCGAATGCCAATGGACCGCCGGACATTGTTGAAAACCAAGACCATTACAAGTCGCAATTACTAGTGGTAAGCCAGAAGAATAGAAACATAGACGATAGAAGGAGCACGGCGATATTGGAGTGGGCAGTGAAATAGCCGTCAAGGGTATACCTAGTAATAATGTGAACATACACCAAATAGGCCAAAATAATTGGTTGGCAACACAACAAAAAGCGACCCGTAGCCAAGATTATGCGAGTTCTTGGTGAAGTTGGTGACATGGCAGTAGAGACCGAAGCCATTCTGACAGACTGTTCGATCGCCACAACGCCGTACAGTGAAGCAGCTTTGTCAGCAGTGCCACCATTGCCATTTACAATTCCTGAAGCCGAATTTTCCAAACGAAGTGATATGCGAGAAATTCTGACGTTTACAATTGATCCAAGCACTGCAAAAGGTAAAGTAGCTGTCATAACTTTTAACAGATGTTTATTCAAACAATTGCCGAAAATGGGAAAAACAAACAAAGCTAATGCAAGCTTGTGATCATTTACTGCAGATTTGGATGATGCATTGCATATCAAGCGGCTGGTGGATGGCTTCGAAGTAGGGGTCCATATTGCCGATGTGTCGTACTTTGTTAAAGCAAATACCCCACTGGACTCTGAAGCAAAAGAGCGTGGCACAAGCACGTATCTTGTCAATCGCGTAATACCAATGCTTCCGGAAGACCTGTGTCAAAACCTGTGTAGTCTCAAAGCTGGCGAGGATAGGTGAAAACTAACGGAAATAGCGTGGGATGCATATGGACTACTGTGGATACGTGATTTATAAATACAAAAAGACTAATATCCACCACTCTTCTTGACTGGGTAGACTGGCGTTTTCGATTATCTGGAAAATAGATAAAGAGGCCCGTGTGTTGGACACATCATTCTGCAAAACTATGATAAGGTACATGTTGATTGTGCTTCTACAACATCCTCTTCTCTGATTGCATGAGAAAAAGAGCATCTAACTTGGCAGTTTAATAATAGATCGAAAGCACAACTATCCTATGAGGATGCACAAAAGGTGATTGATGGTGGAAATATTGACCCATCAGTTGAACGTGCGGCCGAAATTGAACAAGCCATCCGTGATCTGATGGAGCTGGCACGGTGCAGACGAAGACGACGGTTCGGCGAGGGCGGTGCACTGGCACTTGATTCAATTAAATTGATGTTTGACGTGGATGCTAATGGCGAGCCGACAGCTGCTGTACCTTTTGAACATATTGAAGCGCACATGCTGATTGAGGAATTCATGTTACAGGCCAACATCAGCACCGCCAGAAAGATTAGCACCACTTATTCTAATGAAGCGCTGTTGCGAAGACACCAGGGCCCAATTATCCGACGACTGGTATGGCTTGCCATGTTATGGAACGAGGAATACAAGAGATTAACAATAGCTTTTACTATATTGCAGAACCAATTTGTAGAGCAAGCCCGAGAGCTTGGATTTGATGTCAAGGCAGAGACAAGTGGTGAATTGCAACGATCCTTTGAATCCATACCGGAAGGCGAAATCAAACAAGCCTTACTCGCTCTCGCAATCCGACCCATGCAACGAGCCAAATACTTTTGCGTCGGCACATTAGACATTGAAAAATGGCCTCACTATGCCCTGAACGAGCCCGTTTATACCCACTTCACATCTCCTATTCGCCGCTATGCTGATATCATCGTCCATCGCCAACTCGAAGCCGCCATGAACAACAAAAAGATGAGTGGTTATAGCAAAAAGACAGTCCAGTCCCTTTCATACCACTGCAACTATCGCAAAGAGCGAGCAGGCGCCGCAGAGGAACTCAGCATACATCTGTTCTTGTCGCGCTACTTGGCCAATATGGCATCAAAGCAGCCCATCATTGAGTCTGCGACGGTCATTAGCGTCGAGCTTGATTACATTGACATTTACCACCACAAGTACGGCTTGAAGCGGCGCTTGTATGTCGAGGATCTGCCGCTCGCCAAATACGAGTTTGACTCGGACAGCAACACTGTCACCTGGTACTGGAAACGAGGGGCCTTGGTAGATATGGACAGCTACATGAAACGGGTCAACAAGTACTCGTCCAACTCCTCACGAAAACAGCAGCGTGGTGCTACGACAAATGACGGTATAGTGGAAGCATCAACAGCAAGTAAACAAGTAAATACGCAACTTCGTGCGCCACCAAGACAGCTGGTGCCTTCACGCTTGGACCATGAGGCGTGCTCACAGACATTCGCCGTGTTTTCAACATTGGACGTGAGATTACAAGTCAACAGTTCGCGTTCACCACCGGTGATCAATACTTATCCTGTCAATCCCTTTTACTGATAGCCTTTATTTGCTTTACCATTGCATGACATACCCGTTCACCTCTACCCATCTAATCGCTCGTTTATTTTTTAATAAAAACAATTCTTTTTCCTTGGTCTGTACGACGTGGTAATCTGAATGATGTCTGTGGGGTATGTACATAGAACTGCATGGGTGCTTTAGCAGAGCATGTTTGTTGCTCAAACGTGCATGTGACCGTAGTGGCTGAAAACAGGTTCTTGTTTTTTCGCATGGTGCGGCGGGGGACGATGGATATTAGAAACGAGAAACAGAGAAGCCAGCTAAACTATCAAAGCGTCTGTGGATGAATAGACTCAATTGAGTCAAGTCAATCTTGGCGAAGTATGATAGTAGGGCTTCCCCTAGAGGTACTCACTACAAAAGTTACAATGTCACAAGCAGTAAGTAGTAAGTGGTGAGTAGCAAGCAAGCAAGCAATGCGTGGACACAGAGAAAGCAGTAGTAGTAGTACCAGCCCAAGCGAAGCCCTGCCGAAAAGGCCTTGAGTGTGCATATGACCATTTGTATGAGCGAGTTTGAAATTTGAAATGCCTCGGGCACTAAATCAAAAGGTGCTGACAGGTTAGAAATGCTACCAAAAACCGTGTCGGAGTCGACCCCAATCTACACGTAAACAGAAACGAACCTTTTTAACCGAAATTTCGCACGAGAGGCATGTTCCGGATAATTCATTTCATCCGGCTCTGAGTGTAATGCAAACCCGACAGCGTTCCCCCTTTCGCTTTCTTGTTCATTTTTGCCTGCTCCTGCTATTTCTTGAAAGAAGTGGAGGTCAATGGCAGAGGACGATGGAATACCGTCTGTGTGCGCCTTTTTGCAGCATCAGTATTTGTTGACTAAGCCGGAAATGGGGGTGTAAGATCAGGCTCGCTGACCAATCGTGATGAATGCCCATGTGAAAAGCGGAGACGTGACACAAACGACAAATGCTGAAAAGTACAAATCCGTATTTAAAGACCTGTCCTTTGCTTTTAACCCCACACTTTTTCCTTTTTCTTCTTTTGCCCTTCTCTTCTTTAACAAAAATAACCATGGCAAATAACGAAATCCGATATGATGGACGTGTCGTCATTGTCACTGGCGCTGGTGGAGGTAATGATCATCACCACTCAAACCCTATCTGGACGCTTCCGTTGTGCTGGCTGTCCCTTCTTTTGCAGTCATCGCCACCTTCGGTATACACGAACACGGTTACATTAACACACTCTGTTATATATCCTTATTAAATTTCCAATAAAGGTCTTGGTCGTGCTTACGCCTTGTACTTTGCTCAGCGTGGTGCCAGCGTCGTCGTAAACGATCTTGGTGTCTCCCACACTGGCGATGGCAGCAGCAACAACGCCGCTGATGTCGTTGTTGAAGAGATTCTTAAGGCTGGTGGCAAGGCCGTTGCCAACTACAACTCGGTCACTGATGGTGAAAAGATCGTTGAGACCGCCATGAAGGCTTTCGGCCGTGTTGACATTGTCATTAACAACGCTGGCATTTTGCGTGACAAGTCATTTGCTCGTATGACCGACAATGACTGGGACCTTATTATGGCTGTTCACGTCAAGGGTTCGTATGCCGTCACCAAGGCTGCTTTCCCTATCATGAAGGAGCAAAAGTACGGTCGCATCATTATGACCGCTTCTGCCGCTGGTCTGTACGGTAATTTTGGTCAGGCCAACTATAGCGCTGGTAAGTAGGGCTGCATTATGTAGGCGTGCATGGGTGTATCGTTACAGAAAATCACATGCTTACTTTACGTGAATGTGAAAATTTATAGCCAAGCTGGCTTTGGCAAGCTTCAGCAACTCTTTGGCCCGTGAAGGTGCCAAGTACAACATCCACAGCAACACCATCGCCCCCATGGCTGCCTCCAGAATGTAAGTAGCTAATCACCTAATTATATGTGTATGTGTGTATATGAGAGCACCCTTGATCGAGGCTCGGCGTTGGCTGTTGCTCAAGATACTAACCGTGTGTGCGCATGATGCTATTTCCACAGGACCGAGACTGTCATGCCTCCCGAGATCCTTCAAGCTCTTAAGCCTGAGTTCGTCTGCCCTGTTGCTGGCTACCTCTGCCACGAGAACACCGAAGACACCGGCGGCATCTTTGAAGTTGGTGGTGGCGTTGTCTCCAAGCTTCGCTGGGAGCGTTCCGCCGGCAGCGTCTTCAAGGCTGACGAGACCTTCGACCCTGCTGCCGTTGGTGCCCGCTGGAACGAGATCACCGACTTCTCCAAGGTCACCTACCCCGCTTCCATCACTGATACCGACTTTGTCGAGCTCTTAGAGCGCGCCAAGGCTGCTCCTCCTAACCCCAAGGTTGAGCCCCTCCGCTACGACGGCCAGGTAAGAACCCTTATTATATTTTCCAGAGCCACAGATGACGGATCGAGTTAAAGCAACGTGGAAGGGAGGGAAAGAAATTGAAAGTGATTAATTAATATTCACGGTATTGGATGTACGTACGTAGGTTGCTATTGTCACTGGTGCAGGTGGTGGTCTTGGTCGTGCCTACGCCCTTCTTCTTGGTAAGCTCGGTGCCTCTGTCGTTGTAAACGACTTGGGTGGTGCTGTCTCTGGTCAAGGATCGGACAGCCGTGCTGCTGACGTGGTCGTCCAAGAAATCATCAAGGCTGGTGGTAAGGCTGTTGCCAACTACGACTCTGTCGAGGATGGTGAAAAGGTTGTCGAGACCGCCCTCAAGGCTTTCGGTCGCGTCGATATCCTGATCAACAACGCCGGTATCTTGCGTGACAAATCCTTCATTCGCATGTCCGAAGCCGACTGGGACTTGGTCCAGCGCGTCCACTTGCGCGGTACCTACAAGGTCATCAAGGCTGCCTGGCCCCACTTGGTCAAGCAAAAGTACGGCCGTATCGTCAACACTGCTTCTGCCGTTGGTTTGTACGGTAACTTTGGCCAGACCAACTACAGTGCTGCCAAGGCCGGCATCGTCGGTTTGACCAAGACTTTGGCCCTCGAAGGTGGCCGCAAGAACATTCTCTGCAATGTCATTGCTCCCAACGCCGGCACCCGTATGACTGCCACCATCATGCCCCCGGAGATGGTCGAGGCCTTCAAGCCCGAATACGTTGCTCCCCTCATCGGCTACTTGTCGCACAGCAGCCTCGAAGAGAACGGCAGCATCTTTGAGGTCGGCTCTGGCTGGATCGCCAAGGTCCGCTGGCAACGCAGTGGCGGTGTTGGTTTCCCTGCCAACCGCCCTCTTCTTCCCGAGCAGGTTGCCTCCAAGTGGGCCCAGGCTATCGACTTTGAGGATGGCCGTGCCATCAACCCCGAAAGCACTCAGGACTCGCTCCAGGCATTCATGGCCAACTTTGGCAACGAAGCAGAAGAGACCAAGAGCGAAGGCTCTGTCGATATTGAGGCTGCCAAGAAGATCAAGTTCGATGTCACCACCTTTGACTATGGCGAGCGTGAAGTTATCCTGTACGCCTTGGGTGTTGGTTGCAAGCGCACTGACTTGCAGTTCGTCTACGAGAACGATGAAAACTTTGCTACCCTCCCCACCTTTGGTGTCATTCCCTCCTTCAGTATCATGAGCAGTTTGCCCTTCGGTGACATCTTGCCCAACTTCAACCCCGTAAGTTATATCTTCTACAATGCAAGCGGCGTTTATTGTGTATTTACAACAAGAGCAAACTAACACGATGTTATCGTATCATTAAAAGATGATGTTGTTGCACGGCGAGCAATACCTTGAGCTCAAGAAGCCCATCCCCACCTCGGGCACCCTGAAGTCAGAGGCCCGCATTGTCGAAATCACTGACAAGGGCAAGGGTGCTTCCGTTGTTGTTGGTGTCACCTCGACCGACGAGTCTGGCGAAGTTGTCTTTGAGAACCAATTCACCTTGTTCATCCGTGGCTCCGGCAACTTTGGTGGCCCCAAGAAGGGTGCTGACCGTGGTGCTGCTACCGCTGCCAACACTCCTCCCAACCGCAAGCCCGATGCCGTTGTCACTGAGAAGACAAGCGAAGACCAGGCTGCCTTGTACCGTCTCAGCGGTGACTACAACCCTCTTCACTTGGACCCCTCAATGGCTGCTGTCGGTGGCTTCGATGTTCCTATCCTCCACGGCTTGTGCTCCTTTGGTTTCTCTGCTAAGCATGTCTTGAAGACCTTTGGTAATAACGATCCTGCCGCCGTCAAGAACATCAAGGCCCGCTTTGCCAAGCACGTCTTCCCTGGCGAAACTCTCGAGACCTCCATGTGGCGCGAGGGCAACAAGGTCATCTTCCAGACCCGCGTTGTTGAGCGTGATGTCATTGCCATCTCTGCCGCTGCTGTTGAGTTTGCTGCTGGCAACCGTGACAGCAAGTTGTAAATGTCTTCTACCTCCCTTTCTGAAAAAAATAACCCCCCCATTGTCATTTCTTCCTTTTCACAGCAGCTCAACCGTCTATAATACCTCTTCCATTTCTTTCTATCTGTAATGTCTTTTGTTTCCTTTGCACACACACACATGCTATCCATGAAAAAATAAAACTTGAAATCGTGCACACCAAATGTGGTGGATTTGTGAATAAATAACCATCTTTGATGTTCTATATATATGTACTACATATATAATTCGTGTCTGCGATTAATGTCATCTTCTCTCTTCATAATTTCACGTGAAATTCTGTGCTACATACGCCTCAAATCTTAATGATTAAGCTCGGTATGACAAGCGAAATATCGAATTCAATTCTGACATCATCATGTAAAGGCAAATAACCATGGTATTTAAAAAACTAGAGCTAATATTTGTATTGCTATGCTGCGCTGTGCTGTGTTGTGTGAAAACAAATGATAGAGAAAAAGACGGGATATATACAAGCATACATTCAAGGGTTAGGGAGGAAAAGGAGGAAGACGAGAGAACAGGAAGTGCTCGTAAAAAAAGTGGAGAGAGATAAGATGAGATATTCACCCTTTCAATAATGTCTCTTTTGCTCTTCTTTTTTTATACAGCATTCCAATCAAATGAACTCGCGGCGTCTTCCTCTTCCCAGAGACGATTCAAGTAGACTTCAGTCATGTTCTCTCGTAGCAAAGCCATGTCCTTGGGTATGTAAAATACCTTGCACAGGATTGACCGCTGGAGATCATTCCGCTGATTTGGGTTTAACATGTTTTGACTAAACATTTTTTCCAACTCAAATGCTCTGTGTGTCAACAACATGTAAGCAGATTTAAACGCTCTGATGATAAAAACTGCATTGTATGATTTTGCACCGATATCATTATCACTGTCCATTGGATCTTGAATTGTGTATACCGGTTTTCCATTCCTGCTCCTGACGTTCCTTGTCTAAATAGTGAGGATGTTGATGAAGCGTCGGTAAGAAAAATCTGCCTGCTCACTAAAAAGGTTCCTGATCTTATTCTTACCTTTGCAAAGTAAGATCCTTTGTTTACAACCGAGATACCCAGATCCTCCATCTGAAAAGCAACACCATAGAGTTGTAAAAAGTCGAGTAATAGAGTGCCCATGTTTGCCAGTGGATCAATTTCACCTGCAGCAATTTTCGGATGCATCTAAACAAAATGTGTAAGATATCATTGTCTCCTACCACAGCCATCGATTTGCGAAACACACCTGTAAAAAGCTCATGACCATGCAGACAATTGCGTATCCACCCAGTCCGCCTGTAAACACCTCGTTATGTCTCCGCAATGCGAGAAAAAGTTTGACAAGTAACGTGAGGGGACGCAAGCCGCGTTGTTGTCGGATCATGGCATGGATACAGTTAGCACTGTTGATACCGGAATCAGAATCGAGTGTGATGTCAACTTTTAATCCAGTAAGCGAATCTTCAAATTTAATGACAGGTACCTATAGAAAATTCCAGGTTTATTAACCTTTGCCACTTGTAATTGTTCAAAAGACGTACACGGATAGGAAATAAACGCTTACCGAGGCCTTTTCGATCACTTGTGGATTTGAGCAAATGCCTGCACGCTCCAATTCACGGGCAAGATATCGAAGACGAGCATTTCCTTGCACTACAAGATCCAGATCACTAATAGAATATGGAAGACAGTTAATAAAATTAGTATCTCGACCGTTGTCAAACGCAGACACTTCTGCTTCATTTCATCATTCATCCGTTTTTTATCTCCATCCTTATTGCATTACCTGTTTGGCAAATAAAGATTTGTATTAAAGCTTCCAAATACTTCAACTTTAGTATCAGTATACAAATTGTCGATGACAAGACGAATCTTGTGGATCAAGTATTTGCGCATAGTCACTTCCGCTTTTGTAGGCTCGAGATAAGCTAATAAACTGGCGGTTTCATTTTCAAGACTACAGCACGTATACGAAACAAACGAACGGAGCATAATATTTTGGTAAGTTTCATATTACATTGCTAAAAAAAACGCAACGATTTTTCACTTTTGTAATTTTGCTTACACTGCTTTGACAGAAGGACGAGGTGAAGAAGTACCTGACCGTTTGAACGGAAGCCAGGGAAACATTGTCAAATCCTCGTCATCGTCATCACCGTCGTTATCTTGTTCAGATTGGAATCGTTTGCGTTTGCGGCTGTTGGGAGCAGCAATACCACTGGTGTCAATTGTTGGCAAATCATCAAAATCAAGCGCAATGAAATCGTCGTTTGCTGTTTCAAGTTTTAGCATGTTTGGTTTGGAATAGGGGAAGGTGAAAGAAGTTTGAACGGCAGCAACTTTGTGAGTTGCACACATAAATAAAAAGATAAACTTACCAGCGATCGACTGTGGGCTTTGTTCAGATCTTGGGAGCGAGACTGTACTGTTTTCTTCAGATCGTGGTGGAACAGAGTTGTTACGTCTTTGCTTTTTCCTAGGTCGTGTGTTTCCACCGTTTTTCAATGACGGATCTTTTTTGCCTCCTTTCTTCTTTTTGGCCATGGTTGAATAGCAATAACTAGAGAAAATGCAACTTTATCAAGCCACGCATAGATATAACCAGTATTGTAAACTCCGCTGGATCATTGTGCCTGAAGCGGCATTGCCGGCGCTTAACAACGAAATCACAGTACATAGTGCGTATGCTTCAAACAGGCGTGGATACAAAGAATAATATCATATTTGGATGAGAAATCATTAAAAATCTAAGCCTGATGCTGACAACCATTAAGATACGGGTGATCTGTGTATCCAACCGGCCCAGTTGTATAAAAAGTACTTCTGTCATACTTGTTCAGTGGCCAGCCATGCTTTGAGTCGCTCGACAAAATTTGGATTTAACAATATAAGCCCTACCGACAGCAATCAAGTTACCCGTCTCTTTTGGAACTTTTTCAATTATTTTAAGATGTGTTGTATAACCTCCTGCGGAAGTAAATGGACGGCCTTTCCAAATTTTGCGGAATGGATCAAGTGAGTACTTTTCCATGGAAGTAGGATCACGACTATAGTCATCGCAAGGCTCAACAAAACGAACGTATACGAAGTTTGGGTTTAAATGCTGCAACAGATAAGATTATGATTCGTAAGGGGTTTTATCTTCGTAATCCTATGTAAATGTATGTTTTTGATGAAATGCCATATAGCTGTAAATCAATACACATTGAATCTTATATGCAAAATGTGGAAGCAGGATTCATCGTGTATTGTTTTACCTTAAATCCTCCCCACGGGGAGAATCGGATAGCTGTGCGCTCGGCACCTATAGCATTGGCTACAACATCAATTACTTCTATCATAACGCAAATTCGACCCTCTTTGCATTTGAGCCTCTGTGTGCGTCGGTTTGCTTGTTGCTGGATGAATTGATAAACTGGTCAATCAAATACGCATTAGCAGCATGCAGCTCGACCACCATGCCAAAGTTGTTGATAATGAATGCACCTTTCTCATAATGAATAAAAACCCGCTCTTTTATTTTATGTCCTCAAACTCATTTACAGTATCTTTCCTTGTGAAGGTATTCACGTGTCGCTTGACCTTGCAATAGCCATTATCTTTCTGACTGTGTTCAATCGTCTTCGCCGCTTCATTTGACAATTAGGAAAGAACTCATGTTTTGGCGTGCTATGTCCCTGTTCTTTTACTTTTACAATGCTGACAATGTCATGGCTTACATTAGATTCGTAATTACTTTTACTTTGCACTGACTTGATTGAATCTAAACATAATATCTAGGAAACTGTTTGACGCAAGCATAATGCACAGACCGTGTAATACAATGTCAAAGTGTTGTGAAACCCGTTGCGTAGCAATATCAGTACTGGGCACATCAGAAAATTTCTTGCAACAGCAGGATCTCTTTTGGACTTGGAACACGTTGATCGAACTTTGTGTGCTTGAACTGTCGTTTCTCATAGAATCTGCACGACATGCACTCTACAGCCAAGATTAAATCTTTTGATACCGAATACTGTAATGCCCATGCTCATTAGAAGAATTGTTTTACAAACGTTTTAAATAACTTTCTATCAAAGCCTAAATCCACGTGGATGTGCCCAACTGTTTGGGAGATCGCCTGAGATTGAGCTGCCTTTGGAACGCCGGCTATGTTTACAGGTGGAGGCAGTTCGACAATTGTACAGCAACGCTTTCCTTTATTCCTCTTTCTCCATTGTCTTGCTTGTCTACAGTTACAATAAAAATAACCGCCGTGGCATACCTTTCACTTGTCACCCACCTATGACATGGAACATAGTCGCTGTGACCAGTGGCCAGCGAAAATAATTAATTAAGCTACGGACCGCCGATGGTTTGCCGTATAAGGCTATGTAGTGCATATACTAAGATTGATTTAAATAGCACAACACATTTGCTTTGTATCAAACATAAGTAAATTTGTATGTACAGTAATTAGTCGACACTTCCTTTCTATCCAAATACCTGGGTTGACCAAATTGTCACCTGTCGAAAAGCATGAATCAATGTCAACACACGAAGGTGGCACTGCATCAAGAAACACACTGATGATTAAGGCGAAAACTCCTTTCACTCGGAAGACAACATCCATCATCATGGCATCCAAACTCCACCTTCCTCGTCCTTCTCATCTTGAAAATATTTAATATCCGGCATGTCTGCGATCCGTCCATTAGTTTACCCCCACAAAAGTCTATCATAGCAGACAGAATAGACGTGTTCAGGTCATTGAGCGTACGTTCAATGTAAAATAGCTTATCATACTTTTTGAGATTTTGTTAATGCTACCAGGGGTGCATCAAATTGCTCCCATTAGAAGTAGTGGCTGTGTCGATATCGTCCAAGTTATGATAGCCTATACTCTTTGGTGTTTATCATATCGTATGATGATTGATCGTAAGAGAAGAGAAGAAAAGCAACGCGCTTTCTGTATCCCACTTCCTTTTCGCAGTTGCTCTGATCTGCACAAAGCTTGTCAACGAAATTTTCCTTTTTCGGTTCACTCCACCCATGATCCCTGTACCACTCACAGTGAACATCCTTCTTTATGAGGCTTGCTTAACTACGCTGCGTAAGAGAGCTGCTTATTGCCATGGCATTCAGTAGTCATGACAATTCGTGTCCCTGAAAGCCATTTGTTGCCAGGACAAGCATGTCAAAACACATTTTATTTTATTCGCGTCACCCATTTTGACCAATTCCGAGCGAAATGGCGGCTGTTCTTGCGAAGAGATTCGCAGCGCTTTTTTCACACAATTGCAACCAGCGCAATGGGCAGACTCGTAGCAACACGCACATACTAAACCCTTGTTTTTTCGAGGCTCTGAGGCCAAGTTACGATGTTTTCTGCGCAGGGTCTTCATTGTACTTTGCTGTCATGCTCGGCTTCTTCATGCGCAGACCTTCCGTGCTGGCGGTGAAAAAAATTGGGGGGTGGTGGTTTGGTGGGGGGATGGAACCAAAGCTGGGGGACGTCACTCGTCCGAGCGAAAACACTACGCTGAATACGCTTATGGTGGTGTGGTTTTAGACTGCTTGTCGTCTTTTGTCTCGCATTGAGCTCGCTCGGTGGTCAGCTTAACGAACGATAATCGTAAGCTGGCAAGCGTGGTGGATGCAAAAAACAGCGTCGACCATATATCCTATCTGTCTGCTTTTCCCAGGCTGCGCCTGAAGTATGATACATGTGACAAAAAATACCAGATTGGCCGGAACGTATCCTCTGAACCAACTTTTTTCCTTATTATTTTCGCGAACAGGACTACGCGAACACAGAAAGTAAAAGAAAAAATTAAAAATAAAAAAGATGAAAAACGGCACCAAAGTGTGATAAAGCGCGCTGTGATCGTGTTACTGTCGTCTGTCATTGTTCTGCGCTTTGTTGAGCACGGAGCTTATCTTTGCCTATTTTAGTTTTTGTACGCAAAAAAAAAGGAAGCGGGCCCTGAACTTATGCACATAAAATGACACCCATTTTCCGCAGCGTGTTGCTTCCTCACTTTTTCTTTCCCTTTTCACTTTTTCACGATCACGACGTATGGTGAGTCCCTTTCTTTTTTCTGTGGATGTGTGGGTAGGGAGTGGGAGCTAACGCGGGTTTTGTAGGTCATAGGTGGGTGGGTGGGTGGTGCTTGTTTTGCAGGCACGGGCGACGAAGGCATAAGGTAGGTGGTTGAAGGTAAGTGGGTGTGTGGGTGGGTGGGTGGTGTTTGTTTTGTAGGCACGGGCGACGAAGGCGTAAGGTAGGTGGTTGAAGGTAAGTGGTCGCGATTGGTGAGACCGGACTGGGCATCTCAATACCAATCGACCTTCCATTATCCACAAAGCGACCAAGACAAGACCCTAGCTTTGTGGTAGAGGGTTACGGGAGCAGATGTCGATGCACCTTCCGGCGGTTGCTCCTGTCAGTACCTGCCTTAGAGCAGGGAAGCTAAGACATCGACACCCTATTATTGATTAGTAGTATAACGTACCAAATAAATATTTGTTTTATTAACTTTTCACTCGTTAAACTTGTATGTACATGTTAATATTGTTGTAAGACTTCCTCATGCGAAGCGAGGAGGGAGCTCAAGGGCTCGTTCAAAAAGATAAAATTTGTTCATTTTTGCTGCGAGACTCATCAATCTTGTTCCAGTTTGCACAGTGGAGACAGTTGCAGCGAACAATATAGTTGCCACTGTGATCGTCTGCAAAGCAGTCGGTGTCGATGGAGAACCAAGGGACATTGAACTTGTCTGAGAAACAATCTTACAGTTTATTTTTGCTGATATATGGAATGAAATTTGCAGCGCGTGTAGCGATCCTCTATTATTATCCTTTACTCACCTCCACAAATGGTTATTCTCACTCTCAAATTCCAATTCTCCATATTCCCGCAGTGGACGAGCTGGGTAAGAGGCGAATAAAACAAAAATATGAGTGAGTAATGTTAGCTGGAAGTACGCATACTGTAGGGATTCACATTGCGTTTAAGCGTTGCGGCAAAGACAATTCCTCAAGTTATCATCTTGAGGTTCATATGCATCTTTAATAGTTGGCATTCTTGCGATCAAACAGTTATAAAAGCAATATGTCAATAGGCCGACCTCTCTACGATTGCACAGTAGTACCGCTGCTACATTGATGGAAGAATGAGTCATTCTTTTTATATCTTGTACGTTGACACAGTAACTCCAATGCTATGATACGCAGTATTAGTGAAATTCCTCGATACTACCAGGCATTGCTTCCCCAGGAGCAGCAGCGCATTTCATTTTCAAAACTGGCACAGCTTCTCAGCAAATCCGCATCCGGGATCCGTGCATGCACCTGGACTACGAGTGTAATCTTACAAAAAGAGTAACCAATGCAAAGTGCGCCATGGTTCGTACCTTCTGAACAGTATCCATTAAACCAAGAATTAGGGCAACCATCATTGTTCCCTACCATTTTTTCTTTCAGGTGCATATTTTTTAATTGAATCGAGGAGGTATAACAATAACAGTTAAACATGCTGTAACCATGCATAAATGATCGTAATAGTTACTTCCACCTTATCGTCAGTTTAATATTTTGTCGATAGAGCCAACAACTGAGCCCCACGCGTACTTTCAATACTACATGAATGTTATTACTATTATTCCTCGAGTCGTTTTACAAAGCAGAGAAAATGGAAGGGCAAAGAAGGGAAAGTCCATGTAAAGCATCAACACGCGTACATACATGTACACACTTTATTGTCTTATGTTTCGTGGACATTTCGCAGGTGAACAGATTGTCAATGAGCTCTTTGCCAAGGTTGACGAGTAACTGATTGAATCCAAGTGTGTTTATTGGGACATTAAATATTGGTGTCAATTACCAGACTGCGCCTATAGACCCAAGTTTGAAATTGGTGATCATATGGCATGGTTTTATAGTAGATGAATGTATGGGAGAAAGCTAACGCGGGTCATGTTATGGTCCTTCATATTGATCACTTATACAGGAAGTTGCTGCTTTATCCGAAAAGAAACTACATATCAAACCTCTTTTGTCCCATGTACCTTCAATGGGAAAGGGATAGATCAAGACAAGGGCAACAGCTCAGACGACAAGAAAGATAGTTATGCATGCGCTCGATTTGCGATTTGCTTATCCCATCCGCACTACCAATTATGTAAGCTATGGTAATGGATACTATTGCTCTTCAAGTTCCTTCGCTACATCGACATCATACATATGTGTATCTCAACTCTTATTTGCTTTATTAGCTGTACGTCATGAGTTTACTTCAGAAGAAGACAATTGGGGTTTCTCTCGTATCGTCAACTTTGATCGTATATATCAGCGTGATGATGAAACGAACGTGCTCCGTTACTGACGCAGGGCCAAATACGGGTAAGTGCTATTGTGCGCGTATTCAAGGATCCAACCGGCGTGCTGTGACATGATTTCATAAATATGAGTTGATATATTAAAGCAAGAGTTTGCTCCTTTCTTTTGATGCTATAGCTATGATTCAAAAAACAAATTGGTCTCGTAGGCATTTAAAAAGGCCGGATTTTCAAGATACTTCAATGTTTTATTGCAGCTAATTTTCCACACCGAAGATGTATTTATGAAGAACCCGCAATAGAAAAGAGCATTCCCGCAGAACTACAGCTATTTTTCTTTCACTTTCAATCCTCCCCTAAAGCAGTAAGTACTGTAAGGGAGAGAATATGTACATCCCACTTTGTCTAGCATCGCTGATTTTCCCGCGCGCCACCTCCACAGTACCATCGTCGCTAAGTACTGTTACATGTACACCAGCTCGTCGATTTATGATGTAGTTTCTAGGCGATGTCACTTGGAGATACAGTAATGAAGATCCTTCACAAAAAGCGACGGTATCAATATGTAACAACGCTATTCTTTTTTTCATGCAGTGAAACTTGCTTAAAATATTTGCTTAGATCATCTATCTGAAATAGGCTCTATCCTGAAGTATCATAATAAGAAACTTCGTAGTAAGACGTTGTACAATATTATTTGCTTACAGACCACGTAGCTAGCACCAATAATACAGTACATTGCGCGTAAAAGATGATTGGACACTGTTGGGGCACCGTTGTAGTCTGACAACGTAAGTTCCCCTCCCGACTGCCTCTTAATACGGATTCAAAAAGGAATGGTAGGATACTGTTGAACGGATAACAAGCGCTTTTATGCACGATTCAGACAGTTAAAAGCCATCTTGGACAGAAAGTGTCATAGTAAGAAAGCCCAAAAATTAGAAAACCGCGGCATCTTTAACATAACATGTCTCAACAATACACATGTAATCTAAACCTCTTTGCCAAACAAATAGCATGAATTCAGTAGTGTATGATACACAGTGTCGTTTTTTAAAAGAAATCAGAAGAGACCAAACTGTAGTTCAAGCATTGCGATTAGATTTAATGTTGCGTTGCACGTTGCTTGATGATTTTATCAGTACATCATATTATACCATGACGAGAAGATCTTCTTGATGCTTTTTCTGTCGTGCTCGATGAAACAACACACAGAAGTATGCACAAGATAGTGTACAGTAATAGCTGGCTGAACATAGCATACAAAGGTAAGCATAGAATTGCGTGAACGCGTTTGTACCTAATGATCCTACAAAGTTGGTTAGGGAACGAGAACAGTAACAGGAGTATAAATTCTTTCCTTGGAAGAGTGCCTCTTTGATATGAAATAAGTTGTAGTGAGTTCCCCTCTCTCATCTTTTATGTCTGTGCAGACTAGCTGCTGGTATAAGTACTTAAGAAGTAAATGCTTCTCCTGAACATATACCATATCTCTCTAAAAGATTAAAGCTGTCAGTGTATTTTTCCATTGTTTGTTGTATATTGAAGTTTTTCATGTGTGACAAACACAGTAGTAGTTTTTGCGCTCCGACGTTCTGCGTCGCTGCATTTTCCAGACCCATTTTCGGATTTCGTTAACGCAAACCTGCATATACACGCACTACACCCGACACTTTTTATACACACAGACACAAATGTCAGCTTTATGGGCGCGAATGAGGCGGCCGACCCGGTTTATAGTTGGCACCACGCTTCTCGGCACAGGGGTTTACGGCCTTGACGCTCGCACCGAAGCACAGCTAATTCAACGCAATATACGTACATTTTACAATGGCATTGCTTTAGCCGTCGACTACAAGCTGAATTTCCGACCATCGCTCGAGCCCGACAGCGCTTCACGGATCGAGTCTCTCCATGAACGCGTGGCCAATCGTATTTTTGACGTTTTTGAGCGCAACGGTGGTCTGTATATCAAAGTTGGCCAGGTTATCGGAACCCAGTCCGCTGTCCTACCGCCTGCTTACCAACGGCGAGCACGACGACTCTATGATGCTGCGCCTGCTTTACCGTTTGAAGTCGTCGAGCGTGTCTTTCGAGAGGATTTCAATGGATTGCATCCCAGCCAAGTTTTCTCCGAGTTTGAAATGCTGCCTGTTGCTTCGGCTTCGATTGCTCAAGTTCATAGAGCCAGGCTGCATTCGGGTGAAGTCGTTGCTGTCAAGATCCAAAAACCTGCTATTCTCAAGCAAATGGACTGGGATTTGCTTGCGTTTAGAATCTTGTTACAAGTTTATGAAAGGCTGTTTGACTTGCCACTGTCGTGGTCATCCGATTATATCGAGAAACATATACGCATGGAAACTGATTTTATCAGTGAAGCAAGGTAAAACATAGAAATCAGTGGTGTATACCGTCGCCGGCCCACATCTTCATATCATTGGTGTTTTACTCTTTATCTCACCCTTTCCATACTCTCTTCAGTAATACAGAAAAAGCAAAAGAATACTTTAATGAGGAAGCTACGTTCAGGGATCGAGTTTACGTCCCAAAAGGTTGGTCACATTTATGGGTTAGATATTCATGATTTAAGCTTGACACGTTTATAAACGTTTACCCGTTACATTTTCGTTGTTGCTTTATAGTATACCATAACATCAGCTCCAAACGTGTACTCGTTTCCGAGTGGGTAGACGGTGTACAAGTTACGGACGCACAAAAATTGAAGGCCAAAAATCTCAATCTGGATAGAGCAATGTATACAACGATAGAAGCATTTTCTAGTCAGATCTTTAAGAGTGGTTTTGTGCACGGTAAGTAGTAGTAAGGTAAAAGAGAAGGCAGTGTCGTTGAGTGGACATAGGATAGTATGATTAACTTTTTAAACTGTGTTTAAACGTATGAAGGCGATCCGCATCCTGGTAATGTGCTTGTTAGGAAGCATCCAACTATTAAAGATGACGTGCAAGTTGTGATTATCGACCATGGATTGTACATTCAGGAATCGGAAAAGTAAGTATAAGATTAGCTCTTAGGAGATAAAAAGAAGTCAATAGTCAAATAACTGACGTGCACATATACAGATTTCGTCTAGAGTATTGTAAATTATGGGAAGCATTGTTTATGTTAGACATGGATACCATGAACCGGATATGTAAAAGCTGGGTAAATCATTGATTTCTATTTTATTACTATTTAAAACGACTTAGCAGCTGGTTCATTTTCGGCTACTGTGTCTTACGTATTCTGGAATTTGATATAGGGAATTGAAGATTCAAATATGTTTGCATCTATAACACTGCAAAAGCCATTCAGTCCCAACAAAGCTGTACATCTGGGAAAAGCGAATGTGAATATGCAAGACATTTATGAATTACAAGTGTCTCTCAAGGACCGGATCAAGAATTTCCTCAAGGACCAAGCACTCTTTCCACGAGAGCTAATTTTCGTATCAAGAAACATGAATATCGTACGCGCCAACAACAAGGCTTTGGGAAGTCCGGTAAATCGCATCAACGTCATGGCTCGGTGGGCACTGCGTGGATTAGCTGAGCAGCGCAATGTTTCACTTGACGACAACCAATCTATCACCACGGGCCAGAAATTTAGGAGCTATTTGTACTCGACGTGGCGACTATGGTTATTCGATTGCACATTAATGGTTATGAGCGTTAGTTTCTGGCTCGTGAAGTTGCGGGACAAGACAAATAGGCTATTGTATGGAAGCACGAGTCAAGGTTTCGAGGAAGTATTAGATCAAAAGTTGAAAGAACAGGTATGGACTCAAAAAGAAAGATGTAAACAATTTCGTTTGCAGAGGACAAATTAGTTTAACTTCATCGGCTCAACTTTATAGTTGCAACAACAGTTCGGTATCGTGATTGATGAATCACTCTTTGATGCGTAATTTATCAGAGAAATGAATTTTTACACAAGGAAACAAAAAGAACATGTAAATATATTTGCGCCTGTCCAAAATGTAGTATTCACAAAGCTTGTAAATTTTGTCAGCGACATAGAGAACACCACCCCTCTCAATATTTATTTAACAATTATCAACTACACTTGTTTAATTTTCATATGCATCTTAGTAAAAATATGAAGCATTCGACAAATTCACCCGCATTCATAACCTGAGTAACAGTGTGGCATTTAGTGTAACTATATGCATAGCTAGGTGCACACATATCTCCAAATGCCATAGTAAAGAGGTATTGTAGCAATTGATACTTTCCCATGACAACAATAACAAGGCATTGCTGACATGTGGGAAGTTGACTACGTTAATATTAAGCAGGCATTATTTTTGACAGCGATTAACCCATGAATTGGGGGCGGCACTAGAAATGAGTTTGTCGAGGCGATCCCACGTGTCAAACCAACCGCTTTAATGCGGAGGGAAGGCAAGAGCCTTTCTTTTTCCTTCTACACTAACTGTTAATACTACCTGTTTATACTACTATTACTTTTCTCTATCCTTCTCTTAATACTCTAATACTATATGCCACTACCAACAGACAGCAATAACAGCCCATTGCTTGCAAGGCTGAATGCCTTTATTACACATTCCCTACAGCCACACCAGAAATTCGCTGTATCATTCTATATCCTCACCGTCTTTATGTCATATCTATACTCTTTACTCGGCCGAGCACCCGTCAGCTATTTCACCAACAAACGCAATTTATTCAATGTTCTTTTTGTCAAACTCGGATGGTTTTGGACAACGGTGGTGTACATGCTCTTCTTGTACTTTGTGCAATCTCGCAAACAATCGTATGAGCGCGGATTAGCGCGCTACGTCATGATCAGCGCATACTGGTATATTATGACGCAATGGCTGCTTGGTCCAAGCTTTATCGAACGTGTGTTTGTGGCTACAGGCGGACAGTGTACTGGCGGTACGGGTGGCGATATGCTGCTCAGTGTATATCAGCAAGCAGCATGTAAACGGGCCGGTGGCAAGTGGGGTGGTGGACACGACGTATCCGGCCACTGTGTCTTGTTGATCCTTTCAAGTCTGTTTTTGTGGGAGGAGGCCATCGCTTGGGCATTTTATTCAATTCCGACCGTTCAACGGATACGACAACAGAACGGTTGGCCTTGGTTGTCAGTCAAGGCGGTGTTTGGCCTTTTGATCTTGTGGTGGTGGATGTTGATCGTTACTAGCGTCTACTTTCACGGTCATTTCGAACTTGTCTCTGGCTGTTTCTTTGGTGTACTGGGTTGGGCTATTGTGGTAGGTTTTCTCTCTCTCTCTCTGTGTGTGTGTGTATATCGCTGATAGAGGCAGAGGATGTGGGCTCATTGAGGTGTATGATTTACGTGTGTATTGAAGTCTCTACCTCTTAAATGATAAATTTTAGTACGTCGGTATTCTGCCTCGTCTCCCTCAAATCGGTTTTCCTCCTCTTCAATTATAAACAACCATCATGCACGTTTTCGAAAAGAAATTGCTTTTTGTATAATAGACATTTCATATATATCTAATCCACATTGTTATTCTTGGCTTTTTTTTGTTGCTGCTGGTCCCCTGTATTACATTTGTCATCCTTATAATGAATAGCATAAAAATCAATGTAGTGGAGACCATCTCCATCTGCTGCTTTTCTTCCATCTTCTTCCTGATTACTACTCCTCCTCATCGCCCTTTTTCAGATTACCCATGTTTGTGGCCTCAATAGGTGATCTGTAAGAAAAAAGATCCGATTAATCAACTGCACTTGTATTTCTTTTACTTTAGTCTTCCAGAAACTGCCAGATTAGTTAAAAACTTCTTATTTACCCAATAAAGACAATTTGCTGAATCTGTGTCGTTTCCTCATCTTCTTGGTTATCTTGAACGAATATCTACAAAAGGAAAGCCAAAAGGGTTAATTGGGCTCAGTTGTATATGCGAAGAATTCTTTGCTCTTGGATCATGGATATCTCCACTCCTCCCCTCATTGATCTCTATTAATACAGTACCACAAGTGTATTGACGTTCTGGAACTTGACAAAACGTAAATTGACGACGGCATCCTCTTCAAAATCTTTTGGTTCTAATTCAATTGTCTGTGTTTCCTTTACAGAGTCGGCTTCATCAAAACCGAGATTTTGTCGGTTGACATAGATCTTGATGGTCTTGGGTGCTTGGGCTAAATGTGGGGTTTGAGGAGGGAGTTTTGGAAATATATAGTGATGTAGCTTAGTATACATGATATCTTGTATACCTTAAAGGCGTTTATTTACCAATATTCTTTGCCTTGAGTTTGATGGAATGGATTTTGACAGGTTGATTGAAAGGTACAGTGATAATGAGTTGTTCGTCGACGTCACTTTCGAGGAATGAGTCGTCTGACTTGAATACGTTCTTTACGTTGTTTTCATCCTGTTGGTTCAGCGCATCCATTTGGTTTGGCGTAATATAATCGGTTATATCAGACTGAATATATAGGATATAGTTAGTTAATGATTGTCCTGGTAGAATGACTATAGTTAGAATTGGATGAAAGTAAGTTATCATTACATGACCACTGATGCCGTAGTTGCTTTTGCTGCCGCTGCTACCATCACCGTCACTACCACTGGCAGTTTCACCCTGATGTTTCTTGACCAATTGTTCAATTTGACCTGCACTGGCGCCTTTAAGTTCGGCGACTTTTTGTCCTGACTTAAAATACTGGAAGGTGGGCCTATGAGATACAGTCGTGTAAGTTCAGATATCTCATTTTCTTTCACTCCTTTCTATCACCGAACTGCTCCTTACATGGCTGTCACTTTGCAAGCAGCTGCAACATCCTAGTATTGAATTGTAGTATCAGTAACGGACTTCTATCATAATCCCACTTACGTAAAACTTTATAATAGTACTACTATTCAGTTTGATATATCTTGTATCAAGTTACCCTTAAACGATCCACGTCGACCTAATTAGCCATGAGCCTTTAGCGTTAGTTATACCAAGTCAGGCAGTTTATATGCGTATGTACTTCCATTTCTTTCGTTTATATACCTTTGCGAATTGAACATTGGGATACTTTGCCGAAATCTGTGCAAAGAAGGGGGCAATCATGTGGCAAGGACCACTATTACGTGTATTTTAATATGATACGTAGAAAATAAGATAGAAAATATGTTTGTTCATACCACCAAGTTGCATAAAAGTCGACAACAACCAGCTTGCTTCCCGATTGCGACAGCAAGTCTTGGAATTCTTGCGAGGTTTGAAGTTCTTTGATCGATGCCATTTTCAAGTTTAGTAGTGGTACACGTAAAGCGAAACAAAGAGTGCTGGGAGCTTACTATGGGCATCTTTCTCCGCTAAAACGCTAAGCGCGTTGTATGTTGAAAAAGGAAATCCACACCATTGGTCGCCAAGTGCGGCTTTGTGTGCGTTTCTCTCCTATTATAATTCCTCAACACATATTCTTCTCTCGATACTATTACATATTATACAATGGTCAAATATGCAGTGATCTGTGCTAGTAATCAAAACCGATCCATGGAGGCTCATAATGTGCTGAGGTATCAACCACTGCCATTATATGAAATGAGAATAAAGGGAAAATTTAGTTTCGACTTGAGGGCATTAGGATTCACTCTGTTTTTGTTTCTTTTTTTTATCGTGGATTTGTTCGTCATATGTAAATTAGCAAGAAAGGCTTTGATGTCTCTTCATATGGTACGGGTAGCATGGTACGTCTTCCCGGTCCAGCCATTGACAAGCCTAATATCTATTCGTTTGGTACACCGTACGATCGAGTTTATCAAGAACTGAAGCAAAAAGACTCTCAACTGTAAGAGTTCTTTCTCAACTCAATCCTATGACGATACATATACACACGAACACATTGTATCATGAAACTCATCTATATTGATTATGCAATAACACAGTTATACGCAAAATGGATTATTAACCATGTTAGACCGTAACCGGAAAGTAAAGGAAGCACCACAGCGATGGCAAGAGTCTCATGAAATGTATGACGTTATCATCACTTGTGAAGAACGTTGCTTTGATGCAGTGGTGGAAGGTAAGGCGACATAGTAGTCATGGTGAAGATAGTAATGGATGATTTACTCAATCAACATATCACCTTATTCCTAGATTTGTCAAATCGTGGTCAAGGATATAACACAAGTACGCATGTTTTGAATGTGGATATTAGAGATAATCACGAAGATGCATTATTAGGAGGAAGAGCGATTTTGCAGCTCGCTCAAATGGTACGAAAATTTTGTCTTGATATTAATTGTTTTGCAAAAGCTAACCGAGCTATAATGTTAATTATAGATCGAAGCATCCACAGATATAGACGCAGAAATCGGTGGGATCATAGATGCCTTTGCTACAAAGAATTTGAATTACCCATTGCTTCATACCGTTGCCTATTTCTAAATAAGAAAGCGCTTCGTGACGTTTCTTTCCCTCCCTCCTCTTTACTTTTCCGCCATTCTTACCCAGCATCATTCCATTTGTATTTATCAAACATCACATCGTATGTTATATGTTCTTTCTGGCAATTTATAACGGATTTACATGTGATATTCAGATGGTGCATCCCATTTATTTATTTTTATTTTTGTAAAAGAGGCGGACCTCCAAAATAGTTTATTTACGAGGACTTGTTCATTGGAAGGGAAGTCCCCGCAGCTGCAGGTAGCTCAAGGGAGGGAGATGGTATGAGGATTAGGTATGGTAGTGATTAGCGATTCAAAGGTGTGTGGGGGATATAAGATAATTAAGGAGATACTGGAAGTATATATGTTCTTGGTGATTGATAGGAATGTAGTGAGTTTGAGAGCGGTTTGGTAGTATGTTCAATTGATTATGGGTTTGATCGCTTTTTCTTGATTAGGGAAAAGAAAATATAAATGTTTGTTACTGGTTTTCCCACTGTTTTTCATACTTTCTTTAATATGTTTTTTTTACTGTGTTTTTTCTTTTTTTGTAAACTCTTTTACTTTTTACATATTCAGTTGATTGTGTATAATATCAATCGCTCTAGTAGCGATTGTTGTGTGGGGGTGAAATGGGATGTCATGAAACATGGTTTCCCAGTGGGCCCGCCATATACATAAAATGATCAAAGAGACAAATTGTAGGAGTGTGGTTTTGGTTAGATGATAGTAGGGCTTATGTCCAGTGAAGAGAAATGTTGTTAGGGAGTGTAGATTAAAATCTGTATGCATAAAGTGTTGCCACACATGGATCCAAATGGATTTCTTGTGCAGGCACTATACAAAGATATGTGCAGTTGTTTCTGGATATTGGTGACATATGCGGCATATTGATGTGTTGATGAAGTCAAGGGTGATTTTGTACAAGAGATCAGAAGAAGGGATCGTGTTATGGTATAGTCGGAAGAGAATGTTGCGGGTTGTGTGATCCATAGGTGTGTTCCAGATTCCATTCCAATCGATGTGTTGAAGTGGTGGTTCCGGGTGTTGTTGTTTAAGAATACAATGTCGATATTTTGTGGTGCTGTCCTCGGCAATAGCTGGGTGTGCAGGAATCAGTTGGTTTAATTGTTGTAGAGTGTCATAGGAAATGCTAGAGTGCCCCCCTCCGGGGTGGTCAGGGAGAAGGCATAGGCGTGCAAAAAACGGCTGAAACATGATGCGAGGCGCCACTAGGTCCTGCCAAAAACGATTCAGTAGAGTCTTGTGCAGAGGTTGATCAGAGCGATTTTGGATACGCAGATGTTGGAGGGCTGGGTCATAAATGAAGATGTCTTAAACTTGAAGTTTTCAGAAACCTAGTCGTCATACTTATTGAATGTCGGGGAGGGCCGAATAAATACTCGGTAATGGAAGCTGCAACCCTAAGCCGATGTCAACGGGGGTGTGTTGCCATTCAATTGATAGAGCATCCACTTGGGCAGTGCTCTTTTACGCGTACGAGTTTTTTTAACCTGGTTCCATGTGTAAAACATCCCTTTTTTAGCATAAGCTACTGTGGTAAGGAATTGGTGTTTATGTATAGAAAGGTAAAAACCAAAAGAAAACATAAGAGAATTAAGACGCTAATTCATGTGAGATTAAGTAAAAGGTGAATAACGGTAATTGTGTCTGAAAGAGTTACAACAAGAAAATATCGGGAAGGTAATGAAAACTGTCAGATACTATTTATGCGTTTCTAGAAATACAATGGAGCAAAAATATGCACTTTCCCACATGCGAGTTCGTGCATAAGACGTGAGATCTTCAACACCTTCTATCTGCATTAGATCCCATTCATTTAGATTTTTGCTCCTTCTACCTTCTTCCAGATCTTCAGCCATAGATAAAATGGCTGTTTTGGGTGCAAGAATCATTTGAATGTAAGACATGAATGTAGGGTGCAATGTTTCGATTATGTAGTCTTGGTCTTGTTATGAAGGAGGAAGCCAGTACTTATCCTCACTATTAGGGGTCGCAATTGGACGGGTCGGGATGGGTCAAGGGTCTGACCCATTGACCCACAGGTCAAGAAAACACTGACCCGACCCGACCCGTTCAACCCGACGGGTCAAAACTCGGGTTGACGGGTCACTACTGATTTTGATTTGGTGACAAAGGAGGTGTCAATCAACCTGAGCTTGAGCACTGGAAGTGCAAAACTACATGTATACACAGCTCTCTAAGATGATGGCACGCAAATTCCTAGCAGTGCTAGCAATATCTACGTTTTGTGTGATTATTCTTAAAGGTAAAGGGTTAGTGCCATAACAAAAGAAATCGTTTGCGCTCACATGCATTAAAGAAAGCATAATGGTTAAAGTGTGGTTAAAAATCGACTTCCTTTAAATGCCCGTAATCCTTTTCCCTTTTCCCTTTTCTTTTCATTTCTTCCTTCTTCTTTCATTTCTCTTTTCTTAATTCCTTCTACGTCTTTTGTCAAATCTCGTCTCTCACTGCCACTCTCTATTGTCTATTCTCATTGTACTATTGCTACTTCTTTACTTTGCTACTTCTTTACTACTATTACATATATTGCTTATAGCTTACTTATCTTACACTTTTGAATATAAAATATGATCCCACAATGAAAAAGAATAAAAGTACGTTTTATGTTACAGTTCTATAGCAGACATATTGACAACTACATCTTTAATATAATGATCCTTTCCAACAAGAAGATTGACTACTTGAATACAAGTACCTCATAGATATCATATGTATACACGGGTCACAACGGGTCTACGGGTCGGGTCAAGGGTTAGACGGGTTGACCCGCGGGTCAGAAAAGCATCAACCCGACCCGTTGACCCGTCCTCAACCCACGGGTCGGTTTTGACCCGCGGGTCAGACTGCGACCCCTAGTTATAGTTATTTATTTACAAACTCTGTTCATATGTAATTAGTGCATTTTTAGTGTTCTAATTTTACATCCTATATGTTATGTTTCTCATTAAAAAGAAAGGAAATTTAAAATAACTATTTATCCCAAGAATTTTATTAATTTCAAAAGAAAGATTAAATAAAGAAATATGATAAATATATAGAAAAGGTAAAATAATGTTAATGTATAGATGTGTCTCATCAATATGAGAAACAAAAATAAATCAAACTTTTAAACTTTTATTTAAATTTTAAAAAAAGGAAAACATATGACTATTATAACTTTTTTTATATTTTTCATATAATTAGATAAAAAACAATAAATATAAAGAGTCATGGGCTCATTTAGAAATTAGAATCTCACTTTGAAAAAATAATAATATATTTCTTGGCATCTGTTATTTTTTTCAAATAAAAACATTTTTAAATCAATTATTTTTATGGGATTTTAAATGCCTATAGATATATTAAGATCATAACAAAAATAATATGCCATTTCATTTCTTTCCTTTGATTTTAACTTAAACAAAACATTTATTCTCTCTCTCTCTCTGTCCTTCCAGTCTTTAAAATCTTTGATTTTAAATCTAAGAAACAAAGTACTTTTATAAGCAAAACTCATCTTAAAAATAATATTAATATTAGAAAAATACCCCCTGGTATTTTTCATATAAGTATTAAATTATATTAGAGTTTAAAAATTATAAATTTACTAGATGGTGACATTTATATTTTTTATTAATAAGCAAATGATCAGATGATCATTTTAAAAAAGAATGGAACATTCAAAATATTTATTTTTTAAATGTTTCAGAATAACATTAATTTTTATATAAAAAATACCAGCTGGTATTTTTTTAATGATAAAAATAATATTATATCCACCTTTTGGGTATTTTAGATATTTATAAAATAAATATGATAAACATTGTTTATAGAAAAGCTCTGTTACTCTCTCCACTTTTAGGATCTATCTTTGATAGAGACTGGAAGAAAGAAGGAGAGGGAGAAAAATAATATCAAAAACCAGAAAAATGATTAAAAAATCTAATATATACTTATAAATATTTGAGTAGAAAAAAAAATTTATTTTCATCATGACAACAAAAAATTAATAGAATTTTTAAATTTTTACAATTTTTTTAAAACCAATTTATATGGTATTATCGTATTGATGTTGATGTAACGGCTCTATTGAGTTTTTATAAAAAATATATATCTTTCTACTTTGTTTAGACTTTACTTGGGATGATCTCTCGAACATTTAGGAGTACCGACAACTCGTCAAATCGTCAATGGCCACCAAATGCACTGTTGGCTACGTACACAAATCAAATATGAAGGAGTCGATGTCAACAAAAAAGAGGCTAGTAAACCTCCAAAATCTACAAGATGAAGACGAAGCTACTGTGCGAAGATGTGTTTGTGTCTTGCAACACTTCTGCCAATGACCTAATTGCCGAAGGAAATACAACAACCCAAAAGTATACTTTTGAAGATTGCTCCAGCAATACACAAGATTGGTCACTAAGATCACAAAATCGGCTCACCCAATTCGCCTTGTCGTAATTGACTATGCTGGATTGTCCACCAACCCCGACGACTTGAGAAATTTTATTTCTTTAAATAAGTTAATAAAAGAAGTGGTTGTTGATGTTGGCCACAAGGTAGAAATTTTTTACAATACGATTTGTTAAAGAATGGTAAGAATTTAGAGAAGTTTTAGTGTTATAGAGCATGTGTGAAACAATCACAAAACCAGCAGTAACAGCACAAAAAAATAAAAAAAAGTAAGTGGGTGCTACATTACTATAATATTTATCATAATATTATGGAATTTGGTAAAAATAACTATAATTTATCTAATACATTATATTTAAGCTAATATTTTTATAAAATAGTAAAATTGAATTCTTTTTCAATATATAAAATATATATATGGAGAATAATTCATAATTTAGGATTTTTTAAAACGTCTAAGAAAAATAAAAAAAATAAATCATAAATCAAAAATTAGAATATTTAATCTTAATTATAATAATTTAAATAAATAATTAATGTTCTTTATCCCTCTCTGAAAAAGATATATGATTACATAATTATTACAAAAAGAATTTAATCTACAATTGAATTAAACCGAACCTGGTAATTGTTTTATATTTCTCTACCATAATAAATTATTGAAAAGGTCTTAATAGACTTCTAATTATATAGCAATAATAAAATTAATAAATTTTACGAAAAATAAAAATACACTATTTTATAAATTACCATTTTGTCAATAAATAAATCTTGGCATTATTAACATATAAGGAAATTTTAATTTTAAAAAAAAAAGTGTTGGATATTCATGGGGTGAAAAAAAACGAGAAATAATTTTTGCGATCGAAAAATTGCGAAAATGCATGAAAAATCGCGAAAATGCATGAAAAATCGCGAAAATGCACGAAAAAACTAAATATACTTTATTTGTTTTTGCTTTTATGCTTTGCAGTTGCTTTTATCCTTTATACTTGTGGTAGAGCCCCAGAGACTAATGATGATATTTTATATTTGAACCTTTTATCGTCTGCAGGATGAATTGCTGTTGAGCTAGTGACCACAATGTCTTCTACATGTTCTAGATCGTCATCACTTTCAGCTGCAAGATCATCAAACCATTCATTGACCAGGTCAATCCACGTTTCTACTGTCAGTTCTTCGTTGTTATCGTTGAACTTGTCACTATGCGTGTCCATGCCTAACATTGATGATGCTTGTGTTTCTGGAGCCGATGTACTATTTACTGCTAATAATGGAGTTGATGTTGATGTAGATAACAATGCTGGGGTTGATGACGATACTGGCAATGATACTGACAATACCACAGGTAAAGCTGGTGCTGCTTGCTTATTTCGGTTTTCATTGCTGCCACCCCTCTTTCTTTTCTTTGATTGAGATTTGACTTTTACTATCTTGAGTACTGTTTGATGTAATAGCTTGTTATGTCTTAGACTATGATTATAGCCCATCTGACTAAATAAACGCTTGCATGAGGCTGAGTTGATTCCGATTGCCAGTAGTCGTCGCGCAACAAAAACAAGTTCTTGGTGCTCCTTAAAGTCGAGCTCCATCAATCTCCAGTACAATGATATATCAGTGAACCCTTGAAGAAGTTCATCGTGGAAAGGCGGAAGCTTAAGCCATAGCGGGTGAGTTGTTCTACCATATTTGGCGCAGTTTTGTTTGCCCAAGACGTGTAATAATAGGACGCCCATTCTAAGAGTTGAAGCGTGGTGATACTGCCAGTCCTTGTCGTGGTTGATAGTTCAGGGTGCCTGTTGATGCCCCCAAGACGTATTTTTGGGTTCAAATACCATAATAAAATGAGCAGTGGCTGCTCCCACATGTTCCAACGCCGTTCAAGACGAAGTATAAATGATTGCAGCTCTTGATCAGGTAGGGTACTGACATAGTTGTTTTTTTTTGTTGTGAAATGGGTAACGAATGTGGCAAACTTGGTAGCAACATCGTGTAATCGTGCATTGTCGCTTTGCAACAGGTTCAAACCAACTGCGAATGGTGTAAACATAGATAAAATTCCCTCGATGTCGGCCCAAAAGTTATTGTCGTCGATTGTTGCTACATGGTCAGACAATTTTTCTTTAAGTTTGTCGTTCGTATGCGCATCTATAACCAGTTGCTAAAAACCATCACGATAGTAAGTAATTATCTTGAATGGACGCCATGATCCAATAGGTATCCCTTTACCTTAAGAGATAACTTCGCATTTAGTAAGCTTTTAATAACATCAAAATAGCTTTTGAGTTTGGATTGGATTTTTGGCAAGTGATCAAATGGTCGAGGAGGAATGACGATCGGTTGAATGCCACCACAAGTTTGATCGCTTCTTGAATACGTCGCTCTACACTTGGAAACGATTTTAGGATATCGGCAACACAAAGATTGACTTGATGAGCAAAACATGGTAGAAAAACTATATCACGGCGCTCGCGTCGTAGGCGGCTACGTGCTGCTGTGTATGAGCTTGCAGAATCGGTGACCACCGCTATGACCTTTATGCCGTTATCTTGTATTCTTCCTTCATCTAGAAGTTTCTTGAGCTTGGCAATCACGTCTGCAGTATACCCTAGGTCCCTTGATGCGTCTTCTGCATCCCACACGATGCTTTTTCCTACTGATGTCACCAGTACGACGCCGAAAATCGACTGCTTCTTGGGGACCAGCCATGGTTATGATGATTTTAATGCGGTCTAGTAACCCTAGATGACTAATTAGCTAAGATATGTCAGGATAGCCAAACTAATTTCTATTGAAATAATTCATGCACGAATGTCTTGGCATGCATACATTTAAATTTTTGAAAAAAAATAAAAATTGAATTTTTTTTTTAATATAAAAATAATACCACAGAATATAAAGCAAAATATATTTGTTATATTTTTTATTTTTATTACTTCAACAATCGACATGAACCAACTCAACCTTCTCGCATTCTTAGCCATTATGGCTGAATTTGTTCCTAGTTTAGGAGTTACATTGACGCTCTTAATTGAAAGAGCAAAATACCTTGCTGAAAACCATCAGCATATTGAGTATGAACCTCTTGTCACACAACTGAGGTCAGAACTCGAAAAAGACCTTACACAGGCTAAAGTAGATAAAAAAACTAAAAATAATACACGCAATAAAATAATTGGAAGAATTCGAGAATATGTGAGATTCCTCAAATCCTCAAATCCTCAAATCCTCAATTTTCTGATGCAATGTTAGAGGGTAACACCTCTGGTGCAGATTCCTCGTAGGGCGGTAAAGAATTCCGATTCCAAAACACTAAAGGGCTGTTCACATATATTTGTAAGGACTTCCATTTAACAAAAGAGCAAATCATGGAATGGTTTATAAAACATGAACGTATTGGTTATCGAATTGAAAAGGCAATTGCATGTGATGAAATTGCACCAGAAACCAATGAGAAACATGTACACATATAGATACAAATAGATGAGCGGTTCGACACAAAAACAGCACGTAAATTCTTTACTATTAATGGTGTTACTCCAAATATTAAACCAGGTGGTAATCCACAAAAGTCTATTAGCTATTGTATGAAAGGAAAAGATTATATTTGTTATAATATGGATCCAAATTATGAAATTAAAACTAGAAAAATGCACCAACAGTTACTTGGATATCAATTAATTACTAAGCAGCTTAATATGCGGAAGGCAACCGAAATATATCCAGAATTGCTATGGAAATATGATACTGTAAAATCAAATTTAAATTCTTACTTTCATGATGCAGATATGGAAAATAACCCTGGAAATAAATTACATATGTGGTCTATGTTTGGTATTGAAACAATGTTTGGTGGCAAAAATAAGATACCACAATACTGGATTGTAGGTCCATCAAATGTAGGTAAGACATATAACATTGATGTATTAGAACAAGGTGGTCATCGAGCATATCTAATGAATAAAGAAAATGATTGGTCAGATTATAAGGATGATGATTATGATTTTATGTAGAATGAAGAAACAGGTTCTGATTTCAAATTAACATTTTTAAACCAAATGTTAGAAGGAACACGGTTAAAACTTAATGGCAAATTCACAAAGTCAATAACTAAAAAGAAAAATATACCAATAATACTGAATAGTAACTATATGCCGCACATGTTATACAAAAACAAATCAGTATATGAGTTAGAGCCAACGCTCAATCGTTTATATACTATCTATGTTGATAAGAACCGTAAAGGTCATATAATATGGAATCCATACACAATGAAGGTGAAGGATTATGAAAATAAATTCATGTATTATGAAACATGGATATGTATGAGGACTTATACAAAGGTGAATTCGAAAATGAATACCAAGATCAGTATACATTTATCCGTTATGCACATAATAGTGGTCAGGATGATATTAAAAAATATACACCGATGGATAAAACAGTAGAGGAACTACAAGAATTAGCTGACACAGAAGAATATATGAAGGAACAAGAAGAAAAACATAATAGTAATAATATACAGAACAATAAACAACATAAACCGCCTCAACAAAATAATAGAGGATGGTCAACTGTAAAGGTACCATCATCAGTAGATTGTAGGCATTGGGAAGATGTGTTTAATGATATAAAATGTGATGATGTTGTAAATGATACTACTGATTGGGAAAACCCACCAGAAGATATAGAGAAATATAAATACATAGATGTAAGTACATCTGAATCAGAGAAAAGCAGTGACTGCAACATACCAAATAATATACCAAAACGTAAAAAGAAAAAAAGACACATTAAAAATAAACGGAGAAACAAGCAAATAGTAGAAGAAATATAGCTAAAAGAATATTCTAAAAAGCATAAGGATATAAAACAGGCTATAATAGATGATATCGATATAACAAAAGAAACTGACGTCAAAAATAAATCAACAGATACTAATATAAGTACAAGTATAACTAATGAATGCATAAAACATAAATATAATTGGGCAAGTAAACGAAAGGTTGATGCGGTCAGTTTCAATATGAAATTTTTTAATAAGCAAATAAGTAAGAAATTAATTTAGAGCTGAATACTATGTGTAACCATATATTCATGTAGCATTTCCCGGGAATTAAACTTATCAACTGTTAACCAACTATTATCCTTTACACTATATCCAACCCACTTAACCTCAAATATGTACTTATTATCAGTATACACATGTCCTACAATCTTCTCAATTTCATATGAATTACTATGTTCTATATTTCTCTGTTCTCTTTGATTTTTTCTCTTGCGTTTAGATGTATTATTTTCAGTTTCGTCCTCACTATCTATAGCCATATCTATTGATTGATTAATGTTAAGCTGTAGAAATTTCTGCTGCATGTCAACCATTTCGTTATATTCAGTATTTACTTTTTGCTCATTTGAAAATACTAAGTCAAGTTTGTTTTTCTTACTTGGGAATTCAAAATCTTTTCCATACCATAATTTATGATGTGGTTGTACCTCTATATTATACTTATTTACAAATCGCCATATATTAGTAAGAATACAAGCAACACGAAACTGAATATTATAATATCTTATATCGGTTATTTGCAATGCTGCACGATTATTATTAAATCGTTCAAATTTAGAGCCTAACATAGAGAACTGTGCTTCTATTGCTGAACGAAATGATCCAAACTTGTCATTAAAGTATGTCTCATTGATTGTTAACTTTTGTCCTGGTTCTTTTCTTATGCGATGTAAAAAATTACGATCATAAAAACTATATCCAGCATCTGTCGCATTATCTTTAAACTTTTGTATAAATAAGTTATATCCACCATCCATTCCTAAACAATCTGCCTCACTTATTTTTTTATATAGTTTCATATTAATAAACATAGTACCATCATTTCCGATAGCACATTTTTCAGATACTGAAACATATGTAATTATTTCATTCATATCCTGTATAACTTGTGTACGTACAGCTAGCCCTTTTAATTTATATGAATATAACTGTGAATGTGACTCATTTGGTTTATAATACTTTATTTTACTATCATGTCCATCAATAAATAGTGTAACATTCTTAAAACCATCTGGATTGTTTATTATTGCTGTTAGAATGCGAATACGTGGTGATGAGAACATACTATCTAGATCTTGTTTTACCTTTTTATTCAATTCATTATAGTTAGTAATCCAGAACCGCTTATATAAATCATAAAATGTTGCATATGGCATAACAGTATGCATATCCTTTCCTGATACACCTGATACCATATGATATAATAATGCAAGTCCTTTTTCAATCTCGCGGTATGGCCCTGGATATTCAATATTTCCATATAAAACTGTAAGAAAATAAAATACAGGTATAAATCCAAATCTATGAAGTAATACATCCTTTATATCATTTATTGTATTATTCTTCATATCTTTAATAGCTGTTCTATGATTAAATCTATGTTGCATTTCAGGCCAAGATTTATCAAGAAAAGTCCATTTATTATCAATTAAATTTTTAATTTCAATATTGAGTTGTTCAGTGTGTTGTGTTGTGTTCATTTTTATTTGTTGTTATGTACTTTAAACAATCGCTCTTTTTTTTCTCGTGGGGGATTAAACTGGAACTATTAAATATAACACATTTAATTGTTTAATATTTATCAATGACTTAATAATAATTTTTTATAAATGTATATAATTTTCAGATTTTGAAATTTTTTTAGGATGAATATCAATTTAATATGTAAAACCTATTTACATTTGTTACCATGGAGGAACAATTCTATTTATTTATTGTGAATATAAATCAAAGCGGTTGATAGTTTATAAGTTTTTAGGCTGCTAAAAATCGCATTTAATTCTTAATCATTAATAGGGGAATTAAACATTAATACGAGAAACCTTATACCTATCATGGTTTAATATTATACAAAGATTTAAAAATAATTTTTATAAATGTACATATTTCTTATATTTCCATATTTTTTATCACTTATATAGTATATTATTATTTTTACAAAAATAGTTATTGTAGGAACATATATAGTAGTTACTATAGTAATAAATGAAATTATAGTTCTATAGGTTTGGGATGAAAATGACACTTAGTGATATATTAATTTTGTACAAACATAGTAACAAGAAATTTTATTATGTGACAGTGAATTTTGAGTGAAAAAGAAAACATGATTATTTATTTACATAAAATTTGCTAAAGCAAATTTTATTATGAATTCATGTTTTATTTTTTTAGAAAATGCTTCTGTTTTAAAATCTACTTATTTCAAAAAATTAATTTATCGCTATGTTACTAATCATCGG